GGAAGACCGACTATGTATGAGATGCCGAAAGTTTGAATGCTGAAAAGTCTTCTCGATGCAAACACCGCCCGACCATATGTCGGGTACCCCAACCTAGGCCCTTACTAGGGTGACGATGCCTCCGAGGTCCCAGATTTTTGAGTTCGTCCTTAGATGCCTACTATGGAGGAATTTGGGATGGATTCGTCCACAAAAATCCCGAGTAGGTTAGGGGGGACGTATCTGACTTGCCAAGCTGTTGTCACTACGCGTACCGGGAGGATCCCAGTACCTTTTGTAACTAACTTGTAAACCGACAAATTGTGACTTTGCCGAGCCAAATTGACTAGCAAGCCACACCGGGATAAGGACGTAATACCTCAAATTCTTTAGCGGTGTTGAGGGATACCGGATTGGATATCAGCTTCGCTCGGACGTAACTGAGATTCCTAGTTAGCTCGCTCTCCTCAGACTGTGAGTACACAGCTTCAAAGCACCTCGATATTAAGTTAAGACAAAATAAGGTTCTTCTTGATCTGGATAATTAAAGATTCAAAGACATGAGTAACATTGAAGCGACGTCGTACGTGGTTCTTTTAAGGTAGGTAGAGCAGAGGTGTAGAAGTCGGAGGGGGGATCAGTAACAAGAAAATGTCTATGCCAAATAACAGTGCAGCGGGTGTAAGTGAGAATAGAGTTGTTGACACCGGAGGATTTTAAAGGTGGTCGGGGATTTTCTACAGTGCAGCGTAGGTAGACAAGCAAGAGGGCAGCAAGATTTTTTTTTTATCAGGACAGTAAGGAACTGACTCGTTAGCCGGTAGGTACTTGCCTCATGATATATTATTACAGGTAGGTAGGTGGATGTCGAGGAGTAGGTAAGGTCGAGAGGAGCCAGTAGTAGGAGGAAGTGGAGACCCAATTAGACTCTACTATGTAGAGTAGACAGAATGGAAGTTCGAATCCCTTTTTCGCATGTAACCCCATCAAAGCAGTGGGTATGTAATACATGAGATCAGGCGACGACCTTCCAATGAGAAGGGGAATAGGGACGAGTTTTAACCAGATTTCCCCAAAAACACGTTAACAACACCAACGCCTTAACTTGCGCCGTGCGTAAAATGTACCTGGGGCTTTGCTAAGCTTGCTAGGCTTGCTAGGCTTGCTGGAACTTGCTGGGCTTGCTACCTAGGTAGGTAGGCAGGGCTCATCTGGTTGCGACAGGGTAACGAGATCTGCGCAGTGCGCACAGATAATCGAGTGCGGGTCCGAGTGAATCCCTATTACCGATACCCCAAGGGCGTGCCCCTACGAGACATGATGGGTGATCTGTCCAATACCCTGCCGGACCAAGCTTGACCCTGCCTGAAGTTGATGGGTGCCCAGATAGATACCTTGGTGGAAGGGTGAAGAGAGTGTAGAGCCGGAGAATAGAACTTATTGGGTGGTACGGGGTAAGGTATATTGGCCAGGGGCATATAAGACAAACCCTTTTCCAGCCTCAACAGAGATCTTTGACTCGAAGGGTGTCACGCGTCACCGCGCATGTTCCTGGCGCAGATCAGCCTATCAGAAAACGGCCACCAGATCTTAAGGCTCGTTTGTACGATTATGCCTGGTTTGTACGAAGTTGAACTGGACATTAAGTACTGTATAGACAGTATAGACTGTGTTGTTCTTCTGCTTCTTTCTTCTCTTTTCTCTTCTCGCTAACAAACATTAGCTATTGCTACGTACTAATAAGAGACATGATTGCCCAAAGGTCATAGTGTAAGTATTGTAGGGAACGACTCAGGTAGAAAAGTAAGGGTACCTAATTAGGACGAAATGGGTTTGAGAGGGGGAAAAGGGGTGACAAATATTTGGTTACCTACCTATACCTAATAAAGAACTTAGTAGGTTAGAGGTAACACACGACACACACAAGACGAAGTTTTGCTTTTCTCAATTGTGCGCCGACTTTTCTGTTGTGTGGCTGATGCTGATTGAGAGATGATTCCTTCTTCTGCACAGATCGGCCATTTTAGAACTTACCTAAAGGTACTGTGAAGCAGGCATTCAAAATTCAACGTGTCATACAAAGATGACTGTTACCATGATTGTTACAACAACATTCATCTTTCGTTACGCTTCCTCGTCACGTTGTCATTTCAGTTTATGTGTTTAGTTTTGCTTTGTTTAAGATTGACGAGCTAGGGAACGGGAAGACGGAGATATGATCTAATATTATGAACAAAGTTAGAAAATTATGTACGTATATGTAGGTAACACCTTATAATGTACCTACTTAATTGAGGGACTAATATTAGGTAATGAAGTTGCCAATGTCAGGTATATTAGGTATAAGTACCTACCTAGGTAAGCATATGGGGAACTATCCTGCCTAATAATTATAAGGCAAAATAAAGGAAGGAAGGAAACGTTGTATGCATGCAGATCCTAGGAAATGTATGAGATGAGATGAGATGAGGCCTAGTGCTTTCCAGTTTCTAAATGTTTACAACTATAGGTACCTGGTTAATGCTTCTTGCCTTATTATTATTTTATCCACCAAATAGCAGGAGCTCCTGCTGATAATAATTAGACATTTTCATAGGTACTATGTGGTTTTAGCCCCCAACTTCTTTTTTTTTTTTTGTCAGGCTATGAATTACCTCCTTGTTTGGAGCTATAAAACAAATAATCTTTTTTAAACAACCTACAACATTCTGTACACGCTCCAGCGAATAGAACCTAGGTAGCTACGATATCCACTGTATTGGTATGTTCTGCATGTTTAGTTAAAGATCTAGAAGACGCCACTAATCGATCTAATTGACTGCCATGAATTTATGATGGAAGCTGATTCGACCCCGGGGAAAAGAAGCCGGTGAGTATGAGTCGGACCACACACCCAAATGGTTTAGGAGACCGACAAAGGAACGTTTCTTCTATGGAATTGTCTCGATGTGGTCTCGATGTGGTCAACTATTGGTCGATATAGAAAATTTCAAGTATGAAACTACATAATTGGCTCTAGCGAAGAATTTTCTAAAATATTCAGGGGGCAGGCATATACATTTTTAACCCGGCCTTGTAATCACTTTCATTGCAGGCTAACCACACGCCAATCGATATCGGACCCTTTTGTTAGACTGTCTCTTTAGCGGTCAACTTATGCATACTATTTGAGCAACTAGCATTATTCATGGTTACGAATGTTCATGAATAAGGACCGAGACAGGCCACCGTCATTTATTTAACCATCTCAGCGCATCTTTAGGCGTAGGTTGGACGTCCAATCTTGCCTAGCATAGCATGTGCTGAGAAAAGAGGTACGGCAGTACGAGGCACCCATTAGGCCGCAAGGAGGCCTTCTAATAAGAGATGGCTGATGTCTGGTCGTTTAAATAAGATCCTTGAACCTTGAATCCGGTCGACGACAGGGGCGTTAAGATGTCGTCAAAGAACGACAAGGGTCCGTCTGACATTGTCCCGGAGTCAGCCGGGGTGTTGCATCAACCCAATCCACTGTCATCAATTTTCAGATCTCTTCTACTCAATATCAACAACCTACGTCCTAGCATATGTCCCAACGGCTAACTTTATTATAGAATATATCACACCTAATATAGCAGAGACACTAATATAACCGGCGCGTTAAGATTGCGGTAGTCACTTGGTGTGTGGATAGCTTGTGAAGAAACCTTTAGCCTGGAGTCTGCACTTGATATTCTACATGTCCGCTACTAAGTCGGTGTATTACTAAGATGAATGATAGGTACGGGTTATTTGTAAGTAAGCATCCCCCGGATGTAATACACACATGAGGCCAATGATAGGCCTGCCTTGAGGTATGAAATTGATACTTTTTGACTATGTACAAGAAATCACCCCATTTTTATGGGCTTCGTTGACTAGCGCAGGTCCCCGAGATTCGAAAAGAACAGAAACTGGGCGCTGGAAGACCCACATGAGCTTTGATCTCCCCCTACAATGCGAAGTCGAGTTTATCTGATGGATCGGTATACTCGTCATGGCCGGCATGGCTTGCTACGTGGTAAGACTCTTTGCCAGGTACATCTCAGCATCAGTAGTAGGAAGTAGTAAGTATTGTGTGGCTTCACAGAGATGCATTTGGATGCCATTGATACATCGGCGACACCGACTCTCCTATAACATGTTAGCCCTATGTTCCTTAGGTACTTCTTTCTCCAATTGACGATCTGCAAGCAGATACCTTATACCAAATTTTTCTAGGCTTGGCATATTTCGAGGTTAGTTAACTCGGTTATGTCGGTCTAGGTCGCCGGCGACGGTTTTTTCAATACCGAATCGTTCAAGTGAAGCCTAGATTGCGCGACATAAACGCGTACAAATAGGGCGTCGGAACAGGAAAGATCGGCGATATAAAGTGACCAACGTTACAGTATTGGCTGCTGTGTGGTTTGTCACTCTCAGCCTCATCCAGGCCAAATGAGGCTTGCACCGTTTCTCTGCAGAAACACTACTTCTCGTATTGGGTCAAGGCCAGAGTCAGGTCACGTTGATTCACGCTTATCTTGCTTCAAGAACCAGACACGTAGTCCGATGGCTAAAATGTATCACGTTTATTAATACGGGATCGGCCAAATTGGGAGTCAAATTTATGTGAGAGATGACCGACGCGCTGTCGATGTCTTAGGTAACTGTGCCGATACCATCTATGAGGTGGTATTGTAGAAGCATATAGGCATAATTTATTCTCGCCTCGTTACCAATTGGCAAGTCACAAGCGGAGACACTCAACATGGTCAGCTTCTGTCTTCCATCAAACTAAGCGACGCATATACCTAGCTCTATACTCAAAAAAGAGCTGCAATCTACCTATAGCTTGAACCAAGACATGTCCCCTTAAACAATTTCCCCAAACGAACAACTCCCTTCTAGAAGGATTCTGCGTCTGCCATTGTCTGAAGCTAGTCGATATCTGGTATGGCTTCCCTCCTCGACTTCTGTAAGGAATGTTACTTAATGCTTACCTATAATATGCTTGATGAGCTGCCAGGGTTGCTTAAAATGCCGTCCGTGCTTGATATCTATTTGAGTGACCGGCTGCTAAAAATAATGATAGCGCTACGCGTCTTTTACTCGGGGGTTTCTTATTAGCTTCTGGAACAAATTCACGACCTATGCAGTGCCAATTTCAGGGCTACCTTTGTTTACTTGGGTTTGAAGACTCGTTGACCGCCGCCGTTGTATCACGCGGAGTCTAAACACAACATAACGCCGATCTTACAGCCACCCGTCATACATGATATAACACAACCCGAATACCCGGTCTCTTAACTCGTGTTTAGTCTAATTAACTTCCCTGGGCTATGATTGGCCAATTAATATAAGCAAGGAGGACGCGTTGGCGAGGCTCATTTACGAAGTAGCCTTCTCTCATCTTTAGCTGTTGCTGTTGGCATCTCATATACATTCCACATAAGAAGCAGATACATAATGGTACATTTAGGTAGCCCTTGCACATACAGTCTACTATATGGATAATATAGACCATAACGTACGTAACCTAACCTTCTGCCAGTAAGGCCGATAGATACCTCGGTAGGTAATCGCCTTGCTCGAGAGTCGCATAAAAAAAAATGTAACCCACGAGTCGTATTGCGAAACAACATATCTGACTTGTCTTATCGCTTGACCCAGGTGGGCATCTTTCTTGCTTTGAGGTGACCAGGCTTCTTCCTCTCGACTTTCCTCGGATCACGAGTGAGGCAACCAGCTTGAGGCATATTAGAGATATACTGGCGCAAAAAAATTTGTAGGGATTCTGCATTGACTTACCTTTCTTAAGGGGCGTCTTCAATGCTGGTTCGTGAACAGCCAAAGCCTTGGCAACTGCCATCGCGAGTGCTTCGGCCTGGCCGGTGGTTCCGCCGCCCTCTACAAGGGCCCAGACATTGTATTTGTCTATTCTGTCCATTACCTTCAATCCCCAAAGCACACTTTCCCGGTCGTGAACTCTTCCGAACGCGTCGTTCAGGGTCTTTCCGTTAATAAGGACTTCCCCTGTCCCCTGCACGAGCCATACTCGAGCGACTGAAGATTTCCGCCTCCCGACGCCATGCGACCTACCAAACCTATCAACCACAATAGGCTTCGCTCGGTTGAGATAGAAGTTGATATCTCGCTTGAAGGGCCGGAGACCTTGCTGGACCTCCTCTGGCATTAAATCAGGGTGGATTTGGTTTAACCTCTTAGCCAGCCCAATACAGGTTGCGTAATCCCTTGCCTTCACTGCTTCACCAATCGCCAATCGGTACTGCTCTTTCGTCTTCCAAGCCACCCGCGGCGCTTGTCCGGGGGGGAGAATAGGAAGTCTCTCGTATTTCCGAGCCAGGTCCTGAATCAGGACGAAGCTGTCGTTGAATTGCGTATGGCGCGAGAAGTAAGATGGCGAAAGCGGCACGGGACGGACATGCATCACATCTATTTCGGCCGCATCAGGGCTCTGGTCTACCGCCGCTTGTAGCCGTTCTAAAGCATCATCTTGTCGAGCCGTGGTCGTCGTAAACGTTCGGCGTGTTCTCGAGCACGTAGAAGAGCAAGAAGATGAAGAAGGAGAAGAAGCCTTTAGAGATGCTGAGATGCTCGGTTGTCGGGTCGCTGTCGCCCGGAGATCTCTAAGACAGCGAAGGCCATATCTTAGAGAGGACATTGTACCTATCGTATCCTCTTCATGGCCTTGCGCCTACTAAGAATCAATCGATCGATGGGTCGGAATATTGAAGTGCGATAGGTGTGTAATAATAGGCCTGTAGGCTTTAATGGGAACCTCAATTGAAGCACTTTTTCAAATGCAATGCCCGAATTCAATTGGACGGCGTGTCAGATATTCCGATTGCCGACCACTTAAACAGTGGAAGTAGGTACCTACCCAACCTAACCTAAGGAGGTAGGTAGGTACCTAAGGTAACCGTATCTTGGAAGGCGGGGTGTTTCGGCAAGACTCTAAAGTGGGGGGTAAGGTAAGCGCCTAATAGAAATTTGAATTGAGCCAGGAGCGCGATTGCCCCGCCTCCTGCTTTTGCGAGAGTAGAAAAAAAAAATTCTGTTACTCAAGTCTACTTCTAACTTTCCCCTCCTCTCATCATCTCGACAAGCACCAGATCCTATAATTCATCATGGCGCCTTTCGGAAAACTCTTCACCAAGGAGGTAAGCTATATCGATAATAACTAAATTGTCGTATACTGATTTTTTGTTTATTTTGTTTTTAACACAAATACTGATATATTCACGTTGCGCAGCTCAACCCCCGCTCTACCGCGATCCTCGCGGTTGCGAAGGCCAATGGCCTGGACCTGGACATCGTCGAGGCCGACACTGTCAACCCTTCTTCTGAGTTCCTCCAGGTGAACCCGCTTGCCAAGATCCCCGCTTTCGCCGGCAGCGATGGCTTCAACTTGACTGAGTCTATAGCCATCGCCATCTACCGTATGTATTTAATACTCTCTAAATTGAGTTTTCGTATTCAACCCCTCCACCAAATTGGCATCATATGATGACCTAGACATTATTCTAACAGTTATCCCTATCTGAAAATTTCTGTTGATCATGGTTCTACTTTCTGATCTTATTGCCTTTTGTCCATTACTTATGTACGCATAAAATGATGCGAGAAAAATTGCTAATTTCTTATTTTCTAGTCACCTCCCAGAACGAGAAGACCACTCTCCTCGGTAAGACCAAGCAAGAGTAAGTCAACGTCCCAATAGTAGTATCTGAGGAATCAACTACTAACAAAGCATAGCTATGCCTCCATCCTGAAGTGGACGTCGTACTTCAACACTGAGGTTCTTCCCAAGCTCGCTGCTTGGTACCGCCCTCTTTTGGGCGTTGATCCCTACAACAAGAAGGCTGTTGAGGACGCCGCCAAGAACTCGGAGAAGGTTATCTCCGTTGTTGAGCAGCACCTTCTTCACAACACCTACCTTGTTGGTGAGCGTATCACCCTCGCCGACCTGTTTGCCGCTGGTATCATCTCGCGTGGCTTCCAGTACTTCTTCGACAAGCAGTGGCGCTCTGAGCACCCCAACGTCACTCGATGGTACGAGACTGTCTACAACCAGCCCATCTACGCTGATGTCTCTAAGCCTCTTGAGCTTCTCGAGACTCCCAAGTTAACCAACGTACCCCCGAAGAAGGCTGAGCAGCCCAAGCAAGCTAAGGCTGCTCCCAAGCCTGCTGCCCCCAAGCCCGCAGAGGAGGAGGCCGCCCCTGCTCCTAAGCCTAAGCACCCTCTTGAGGCCTTAGGACCCTCTGCCTTCGCTCTTGATGACTTGAAGCGCTACTACTCTAACCACGACGAGGCTGAATCCATGAAGTGGTTCTGGGAGAACGTCCCTTTTACCGACTACTCCATCTGGAAGGTCAAGTACAAGTACAACGACGAGTTGACTTTGACTTTCATGTCCAACAACCTGATTGGTGGATTCAACACTCGCCTTGAGGCTTCTCGCAAGTACCTCTTCGGCTGTGCCTCCGTGTACGGAGAGAACAACGACTCGGTCATCGAGGGTGCCTTTGTCATCCGAGGCCAAGACTATCTCCCCGTCTTTGACGTCGCTCCCGACTACGAGAGCTACGAGTTCACTAAGCTGGACCCTACCAACGCTGATGACAAGGCTTTTGTCGAATCCATGTGGACATGGGACAAGCCTGTCGTCCACAACGACAAGGAGTACAAGCACTCCGCCGGCAAGGTCTTCAAATAAGCTGCTTCTGCATTATTATGAGGAAGGATTGTTATGAGCTAATGAGTTTATGCAAAGGAGGTCGGCTTAGGGATAGGGACAATGAATACCAGACCCAAAGGGGTTAAACCTATAAGTAGCAGCAGGTTTTCTATGTAGTACCTGAAACATGCTAGTCGTCAAAGCATTCATTCTACGTTCTTTAAATACCGTGCATGCCGACAGTGTTATAATGAAGCGGATTAAAGAATATTAGATGACCAGCATATCTACAAAGGCACACACACCCATATGTGTCAAAAGAGTCTTTTACGGCGGATACCGTAAAATGTCTACGCTTCGATTACTATAAAGCTTACAGTATTCCCAAGTCCAAGTTCATTTTACTTAGATGATCCACACACAAGCTACAACATCAAACTTGAAATTTCTTAAGACTTTATTGCCTATATCACATTTTATCGATCTACATCGACCGTAGAAAAAAATCATACCAATCAAAATGAAGGGCGCCCCAAGAACTCAGCAGGTCCGCAACAAAGCCGAGCCTGGTGGCATGATCTACAATCCTGGCGAAAGCAACCCGGCGTTATGCTCTGTCATGTAAAAGACTTGCCTTATATATGAAAACGGGTGCATTTGTGTATATAATATAATATATATAAGGTACCTAGATATATATACCTAGTATATTAGGTGCACTAGAGGAGAATTTAAGAGGAGAATTAAGAGAGAGAAAAGAGAGGGAGGGGAGGTTATATGAGTACCTAACTAGTGATGGAAGATACGAGTTATGACATAAGAAGGGATACCTGTCTTCTAGTAGTGAGAGTTGGTTTATTAGGGAATGATTCTAAATGAATTATGCACTGGTTAAGGGGGGGTTGGTTGTTGTAACGGGTAATGAATAGACATTTTCTAAGTACGATCCGTGTTGGTTTAGAATTACTATGTAGTAATCCATGATAACCCTCATCTAGCAGCAGAGACATACCCCTAATAATTCATTCAAGTTTATCTTTTATCACAACAACGCATTCAATTTAAAAATTTCTAAATTTAAATCAATCATATTCAATATGTTTATAAATGCATTTATTTTGAATTTTTTAGGCTTAATTCAAAAATACGGGCCAAAAGCCGTGTCTCGTAAAATAAGGACTCGTCAACAATGTATTGTTGCTATTATTAATTTTTATTAAACAACTTTTCATCCGGTAAAAGCTGTGTTTATCTCGAAAGTGAGGAGACAGTCAAGATGATTACTTAGCTGATCTTTAAATACAAAGACACCTTCTACCCATACGTCGCCTCTTGACTCCAACGCAGACGAGCTATCCCCCACATCTCCTGCAGAGTCGCCACAGACTTTACGTTCGAAATTGGCTTTTGGATACCTACGTTCTTTGTCATCCCAAGGCCTGAAGAGATAAATACCCTCACGTCGCTTATAGTATTGAAATGTACCTGAGAGCAGTGAAATACCCACGAAAAAGGATCTGATGACACTTCTGGGGGAATCTATGTCTTTCATCGGCCATAACGTGCTCGTCAATTGCTTTGCGGTGCGGATTGCTGTTTCTCCCGACTGTCCCTGTAATGCCTCGGTGAAATTATGGCCACACCAGTCTGGCAGGTCGATGCCGTTGAAGTGGATGGACAGGTACTGCAGATTGGTGAGCTTGCCATCGACGCGCCGTAGCACCTCCATCCACTTGTCATACACGTTAGCGAGCACAATGACATGTAGCGACCGAAGGCTGCGTAGTGCGGTGTCGGAGATCGTGTTACCCAGAAATGTAGCTTCTAGATGTTTGCGTATAGGGTTGTGGTTGTCGTAAACAATGAATTGGTTCGTGGAGAAGAAGACCGCCTGTGCCTCGGCGTAAAACGCCTTGCTAACCAGGAACAACGGCGTGGGGGGTCGCCAGCAACGGCAATCCACCGAGTAGGCGGTGTACGATCGACTGCAGAAGGAACCCGTAGGGCAATGGCATAAATCCCCGATTCTACGGACCTTCCGAACGTGGCAGCCCATTACGAACTGGCAACCATAATGGGGACAATCGACACACTCCCTATGTTGACACGGATTGACGCACTGGCGGTGGTCGATGCCAACGCAGTGCTTATGTTCGTTGGGATGACATTTCTCATCTGGTGTGTAGCATGTCGCGTCACAAATGCGGAACTTGATGTAGTATTTCCCGCAAACCCATTTAACGGTATTATAAGGCGTGACTAAGTCGGTGTACCGTAATACCATCTCGCGAAGCTCCGATGGGAGACGCTGGAAGGGAAACCCTTCATGCGGGAACTTGGGCGGCCCTATGGATCGCAATACCGCCTCCTTCGCCATATCCCCAAGCTCGTGGATATGAGGCTCGTCGCTGAGTCGTATCTGGCAGCTGGCTAGGGTAGGGAGGTGGCGAAGCGGATGAAGAGCGAGCCGGGCCGTTTCAGGAGAGTCTGCGTAGCAGATTAAGCCAAAATCGAGGGCTTGGGGCTTTACATAGGGAGCGATATATTTGGCTGCGTTTTCCCAGTTCTTAAGCAGGATATTATCTTTAGATATGAAGGGACCTCCCTTGTCATGATCAAGGCGAGGGTATAAGGGATGTCCATATTGCAATCGCCGATAGACTTTCGGATAACTCAAGTGAATACTCAGGGATGGTATAGAGGATAGAGCAGAGACCGGGAACCGGAGTAAGACAAGCGCGTCTTGCACGAAGAAACGATTGGTGGAAAACAATATGTGCGATACCTCCTTGTGGACGGCCCGGCTGGTGAGGAGCAGGTTGATGGAGAATGCAAGGCTACAATAAGGCGTCCAGAAACGGTCAGTATGTTCGAAACATAGCGTACGTTTGTGATATAGGAAAATATTGGAGTCGACAAACAGGCCGGCTGCGGAATAAATGTGACGTCGAATGGCATCAGGGAGATCCAGAAACGATCGCGGTGCGGGTGGCTCCATTGCGAGAAGGGTACGAGGAGGGAAGAAAAAAACAAGGTGCAGTGAAATAATAGGTAAGGAGGAAGAAGACGACCTTGTAGAGTCTGGTATTAATAAGAATTTCCTCGTGTCGAGTGAGCCTGCAAAGCGATGTGACTACCTTTTCACGCTGGTGAAAAGTCGTGCGCAAGGTACCTAAGCCGTTTCTTGTCAGGTTCGTGAGTCGACTTAAAATCAGTTGCTGGAAACCGTTCACGGCTCGGCCTCGTAAGAGGAGGTCGTGATGGCAGCGATTATGACTGCGAGCCGTAGCTAAAGAAAACGTCATTTCGAATTTCCTTGACTACCTAGTATATAAGTTTGATTCGAGCACGCAAGAATATAGTAAATACGGCTGGGTGAATGTTTTGTATCACACCTTAGTATATACCTAGAGTTAAGTAGCCTTTCAATTCACAGTATGTCAACACTGAGTAAATAGCTATGTCTCTGTTCATAGCTCTAGTTCGTCGAATACGTATCTCATTTACTATCATGAGATGGAACAAGAAGCATAGGCAGAAACGAATTAGCTATTACACAAGAAAACCAAAGGTAGATAGCTCTAACCTAGGGACTTACCTTATAAGTAACTAGGTTCATCGAGCAAATTGTGTTGGTGCGGTCGTATTGGTGAGAACTGACTGGTAGATGAGTAGATGAGGATTCAAGGCTGGTTTGGATGTTGAAACTTATGATTTGCCGATATTTTGGTTTACTTTCTTGGCTTTGGGTTTAATGGCGAAACCTTCTTATAGCTTCTCCTTTATAGTACTCTCATGACATCTGCATCAAGCATGTGATAACTAACACAGAGTAGGTACTTAAAAGACTGGTTTCCGAAATATTTTAGGAGCGATATGTCGCGAAACGGTCTATAGATGTCTACCCAGGCACCTAAGCTAGATAGGCGTTGCTGTAGGAAAACTCGATCACGCATGTCCACCACCCAGCTAGTTGACCGTAGCTTAATTTATCGTCTTTTGCAAGCCTCAGCTTAAGCGCTAGGCTGCAATAACAACGTCTTCAACTCCTCGGCGAGCTTCTGTATGCTCGGAAGGTGCTCTGCCTCCCAAGCCTTCACGGTGCTGTCGCCCAGGTTCCCCGTGCCTATGGTAGAGAACAGGTCCGGCTTGGCAAAGGGCAGCTGAGGCCGCGTCTCGACGACCTTGAGGCCCATGTTGTTGAGGACCCCCTTGGCTTGCTCGCTGGCGTTAAGGCCGCCGCTCCCGCCGTAGCTGACGATGCCGACGGGCTTCCCCTTCCACTCGTGGAGGAGGTAGTCGATGGCGTTCTTGGTGCCGCCCGCCATCGAGTAGTTGTACTCGGGGATGACGAGCACGTAGCCGTCGTGCTTGATGATCTCGGCGCTCCAGGCCTTGGAGTGCTCGTATTGGAAGGACGCCTGCTCGGGGACCACTGGCGGTTACGTCAGGTCGAAGTTCCCAGCAGGGATTTATAGATCGCAGTCTACTTACTTATTGGAGCCACTTTTTCGTTGTAGACGGGGAGGTTAAACTTGACGACGTCTACGTCGGTGACGGATATGCCGCTCGCGGCTAGGGGTTTCTCGACGATGTTCCGGACGAAACTGGCTACATTGGGTCCCGCACGTGTGCCTCGGGTGCTCATCGTAATAACAGCAACTGATTTCGAAGCCATCTTGAAATATTGTCTTTGGATGTTGAATTGGATGAGAAACGTTTCTATGAAGAAAAGGAAGAAAAAGAAAAGAAAGGAAAGGAAAGGAAAGGAAAGGGGAAGGCCTGGTAGGAGGAAGAGTGCGGTGTTTTAAATCTGATGTCTTTCTCCTTGGGGTAAGTCTTCAGGTCCTATCCGGCTGGACGCTTCGGATAGTTTCATTATTGTTGAGCCGTAGTCCCTTATGGATATAAGGTATCATTACAGGGGCAGGGCATCGCAACATCGTCGCAGCACTGAATGTGCAGTTAGGTATTGTAAGCCCGGCCCGGTACCGGGATGTTGGATTTGTAAGAAGCCTTGTTACATAGCAGATGTCAAATATCGATATCGTAAGCTAAGTACGGGATAGGTATAATACGAAATCCGCGTAGGATTTTGCTTGATTTTCTAGAGCCTTGTCGGACAGTCGGACCTTTCTGCAGTTTAACTATTTTGCCAGTCTGTCTATTCCAGTACTACAAAGGCGTTCGCAACCCGTGTCCATCGGGCACTGCGTCCGTTCGGGGGCACGGATTGACACATATTTTCGACGTCTTTGCATGGGCGGAATAGTGAGTGTACAATGTTGTATGTACCTTGAAAACAGATCTAGACTTCTGATTGGACGATGGGAAGAAATTTAACTGAATAGAGTAATTGGCGGGACCGAAAAATACGTGTGTACTTCATGCGCCCGCGGAATGTGGGGAAGGAAAACAGCGCCGATGAATACATAGAGGTACCAGGTAGGTAGTGTAGTACTTAGGTACCTGTATTGCTATGCCCGAACAACACGCCTCTGCTTATCGCCGATGGCCATTTTAGGGGCGTATCTTCGAGATCGAGGAACTTTTCAATAATTGGAGATTTCCGTATTATAGGCGTTAAGTGTGTCATTATATAATTGCTGACAGCTTATTCATGCTAGAAATCGTGATAGGGCCGCTGTCTTAACGAATCAAAGACTTCGCCATTATATGATGGCGCGATTAGCAGCCACCACACTACAACTGAGCATGGTATAAGGAATATTCGTGGGTTTCATGACATACGTATGCCGATGAGGCTCTCAGCTACACGTGTACATACCTACCTTGTAAAGGACCCCCGCAGAAACAAGACAAAGCCCGGTAGATCAGAAGAATACCGCTGTGGGGTCCCCGGTCTGACGGTGGTTGTGGCCCCGGCTGACGGTATGAGAGATATTTTAGTTGTTTGTGATCGTCAACCCGGGGCTCCGAAGGGCCGGAAATATTGTCTTAACTATTTGGTTACCTGCCTGCAAAGCGGGACACCGGCCCCATAACCATCCGAATGATACGCTCCTTTCACTATGTAAGCTAAACTATTAGGTGTGATAGTGGAAGTTTTGAGGCCGCCAGTTCTTCTCCTATCTGCAGCTTGAGACGCGTACTCTTTTTATATGACCAGGAATGTCTATTTCTGACTATGGCTGCTTACGCATTGGTTTTTAGGGTAGGTAAGTATTCTTTGTCTTATATATCTCGGTTGTACGCCGAACTTAGTTTCTATTGTATGAGAATCATTTGCAAGATACAAAGAATACCCTGATACATGAGAACTATCGCTATAATTCCCCAGATAGTCTGGACATATTTCCAACTACGCCGCGCCCTATTTATATTATAATGTTATATACAATTACACTTCATTAGTTCGGTGCATCACAATTTGATGTAATTTCTACACAGGTTAATTCATCATGATATCAAGCTTTACCAATTACCGTAGAATATACCTAGTTCCATACTATCAAAAAATAGGGCTCCCCCAACTCTCTCATGTGGCTGAAAGATCAATGAAAATACTAATATGACCATTTGCTATGCTTTGTTTTTCCATGGAATATATATCACAGGCCCCATTATCATGAGGCGTAATAAAGAGGTACGTATAATAGGTACAGGCTACTCTGAAATTTTATTATACCATCACGACTAAGCTCACATAGTGTTATGGCTTTATCTAAACTGACTAGTAAAGTACCTCAATCAGACATATAAATAGGTACCTAGGAAGTTTCCTAGATATTAAATCTTAACTGGATAAGCCCAAAGGACCGTTGAGTTTTATCAGAATGTTCATTATAGGTCATTTTGATATTTTATTAGTTTAGACTTTAATCATATTCCCTATCTTCGGATTTGACTATGGCCAGCAACCGAAACTTATTGGTTGTGCGGTTTCCCGCGACGGTATCGTGAAGAAATGTATGCAAAACTTAGGGTTGAAATAGATCTTATTAATAATAACTAATTGTTATTGCAATATGGTAAAAAGTATAATACAAGCATTAGTAGGCATGTGAGGCATTCTGATGTATAATAAAACTTCTTGTAGAACTTCTGATCGCATATAAAATGAAGCTACTTGCTAATACTTGCTGCTCGCTGCTGCCAAAAGGGAAAAGGGAAAAGGGGAAATCACGTGTGGAACATCCACCGAGCTGCTCAAATTACATAGTAAGGTTTTAATTCTGGCGGCTTCCATGCTATGTTAGTACCTGTACTTTCTACCTTATCACTTGCATCCTTCTCCCAAGTGGTATGACGATGGTGGGGCTTTGGACTTATCAAAGAGCAGTCAATAGCTGATTTGAGCATATATAACCCCACTTTGCCCCTCTTTCACTTATCCCGTACCTGAAAATTGCTATGCACAGGCCACTTAGCGACCTTTCTTAGTGGTTATGGTTGCCTCGTCGGCCAAACGCCTTGTAAGGCAACAGTGCAATGTCAATAAAAGAATAAAAAAAAATAGCAATTAGGCTAACGCTAAATACTAAAAGATGCACTACGTACAAAGTGTAACCTAACATCGTCCAAATCGTTGTCAAATCTTCCGCCAACAACTTTTTTTTTATTCCCAACAGTAAATCGCACGCATTACATACATACATTACACGCATCAACTCTAGCATCCAAACTCTTTAAGGTCACGACGAGCAGCAGCCATCATGGCTTCAGACCTGGGCCATATCGCCCAGCTGTTGGATGCGACTCTCGACCCTTCTAAGCATAAGAAAGGTACGTAAGAAGAGAGCTCTTCTGCCCCGCCTCGTGGTGTCGCATATAACAAGCTATCGCCTTTCCGACCTTGCGATCATAATTTAAAGCTGGGGTTGAAAACTAAGATTTATATTCTAGCCGAGAACGAGCTCAAGCAGGAGGAAAAGAAACCTCAATTTTCACTACAGCTACTCAAGATAGTAGCAACCGAGAACCTCCAACCCAAGACCCGTCTCGCAGGAGCACTCTGCTTCAAGAACTACATTCGACATAACTATGTGGTATGTTGTTGCTACTGTTACGACTTTCGATACGCTTTCCACGTCTATACGCGTATAATGCTGATGTCTGTAATGTTCAGGACGAAGAAGGCAACTACAAACTTCCCATTGACGAGGTCAATACGATAAAGCAGGAGCTTATTGGGCTAATGATCGCCTGTCCTCCAACCATCCAAACCCAACTGGGTGAGGCTATTAGCATAATCGCCGACTCCGATTTCTGGGATCGATGGGATACCCTCGTTGCCGATCTCGTATCGCGCTTTTCACCTGATAACTTCAAGGTCAATAACGGAGTGTTGGAAGTTGCACATTCTATCTTCGTCAGATGGCGGCCCTTATACCGCTCTGATGATCTATACACCGAGATCAACCACGTACTCAACACATTTGCCGTGCCGTTCCTGAATCTTTTAAGTGTAAGGACACAGCCTTGCGTGTTGTTCCCAACCTACTCCAAGCTAATAGCGTCATAGGCCACAGACCAACAGATTACTACCCATGCCAACGACAAGATAGCCTTGAAAGGCTACTTCGATACGCTGAGTCTCCTAATCAAAGTATTCTACGATCTCTCTTGCCAAGACATGCCGCCCCAATTCGAATCGAATTTGGAACACCTTTCGACCCTGCTACACAAGTACTTAACCTACGAAAACCCGCTGTTAGCGACAGATGATGACTCAGAAGCTGGCGTGATCGAAATAGTCAAGGCTGATATCTGCGAAGTTCTGCAGCTCTACGTGACTAAATTTGACGACGACTTCGGTCGATACGCTCAGGTTTTTGTTAATAGCGCGTGGAACTTGCTTTCGGCAATTGGGCCTGAAACTAAGTACGATAATCTCGTTAGCAAAGCGCTGCATTTCTTGACGGCCATTGCCGCAAACCCACGCCACTCTGTGGCATTTAACGACGAAAACGTTCTGGGTCAAGTTGTAGAAAAGGTTGTGTTACCTAATGTTGCGTTGAGAGAGTCCGACATTGAGCTGTTTGAGGATGAACCCATCGAGTTCATCCGCCGTGATCTCGAAGGATCAGACACGGATTCACGACGAAGAGCAGCTACCGATTTCTTAAGGCAGCTCCAAGGCAACTTCGAGCAACTGGTCACCACCGTCGCGGGAAGATATATAAACCACTATTTGGAGCAAGGCAAGACGAACTGGAAGGACAAGGATACAGCCATCTCGCTCTTCTTGTCGATTGCAGCTAAAGGTGCTGTGACCGCAGCACATGGTGTTAAGACGGTCAATTCGCTGGTTAACGTTGTTGACTTCTTCCAACAGCATATTGCCAATGACCTTGTTTCGGATGCGGGCGTAGAGCCAATCTCTAAAGTTGATGCTATCAAATATCTCTACACGTTCCGAAGTCAACTGACCAAAGAGCAATGGCAAGCCGCGTTCCAACCCTTGATCCAAAATATGGGCTCGTCCAATTATGTCGTCTACACATACGCAGCTATCTGTGTCGAGAGGCTTCTCTACTTAACAGATGATTCTGGCGTTCGCTTCTTCGGCAGAGCTGACATTGAACCTTTCGCGAAAGATCTTCTTGACCACCTGTTCAAGCTTGTAGAAAAGGAAAACTCGCCTGCGAAGATGCAAGAAAACGAATTTCTCATGCGCTGTATCATGCGGGTACTAATTGTTATGAACACTGGTATCTCAAATTTCGTCGATATGGTTCTGGACCACCTAGTCGGAATCACGAACATCATAAAAGCTAACCCGAGCAACCCGCGATTCTACTATTACCATTTTGAAGCTCTAGGTGCTGTTGTAAGGTAAGCTTCACGCTCTCCACGCTTATATTTTCCTTCTACATAGGCATCCACTAAACAAAGTACCTAGCTTTGGCTCGTCTGCAGGCCTTTCAAAACTGGAGGATCGACTATGGGCACCGTTCAACGCAATTGTCACAGAGGATGTGAACGGTATGTGCAAGGCCACCTTCGTATATATCTTGGTGTCTGGTATTAACAAATTATGTCTCTAGAGTTCATACCCTATGTGTTCCAGCTTTGGGCCAAGCTGCTAGAACTTGAACCAGCTGGCAACCTGCCTAGCCAATACCAGGCGTTGGTACAGCCTTTGATGATGCCAACGCTTTGGGAGACAAGAGGAAACGTCCCAGCGCTTACAAGACTACTAGCTGCCATAATACCTAGAGCGGCTCGTGTTATAGTAGCAGAAAACCATATTCAATCTGTCCTGGGTATCTTCCAGACCCTCCTTGCCGGCAAGAAGACAGAGCAGAATGCGTTCGATTTGCTAGAATCTGTTATTATATCAATCGATAGGTACGTATTGCCGCCGAATAAGGTTGGTAGTAGGTCGCTAACCTTGTTATCAGGAATGCCATAGAGCCCTATTTCAAAGAAATCCTATCTCTCCTTTTCACGAAGCTCCAAAAAGCCCCGTCTGACTCGTTCAAGCTTCGGTTTGTGCGATTCTATCACCTAGTATCAGCCCGAGTGGAAGCAGGCTTAGGTACCGATTTCTTTATCAGCCAAGTAGACCTGATTCAGAACAATCTCTTCACTCAGATCTACCTGAGCATCATTCTCCCAAGCTCAGAACTGCTCGTGCGCCCTGTCGATCGCAAACTAGCCGTTATCTCGTTCGCCAAGTCGATGGGAGATAGCGCTGCCTTTGCCCAGCGTTACGTTAAGGGATGGCGATTCACGTGTGAAGCGATGTTGAAGTTACTATTAAACCCGCCCAAGGTAACAGGCGGTGTTGGCGATGATGTAGTTAATGAGGCGGACGTGGACGACATCGGCTTCGGCTTAGGATTCACAGCTCTCAACACATGCAAGAAGGCTCCTCGGGATGACTACCCCGAAATCCAGGACATTACGGTCTGGGTACGCCAATACCTTACCGAGGCCAATGCCCGGCATAATGGGGCAATCGCTCAGTATCTGCAGGAGAGACTCACGGATGAGGGAAGACAAGCTATGGCGATCTACGTAAGCTAGATTTAGTAGCCAGGTTCAAGGAGAGAAAATAAGCATATAAAAGTATGTGGCTTTAAATGGAAGAAATGACCAAGTGGGAAATGAGCGTCTCAGGGCCGTTTGAAAAAAAAAGGATTTGTAAAGTTGTTCTCGAGGATCTTGGTTGTTGGGCGTATCGTAGGCACACAGACCCCGCGGCCGTGGTTGCGGCCTACATGAGGTAGATAAGATAAAAAGCTTAGGTTAGGTAGGTTTAGGGCAAGCCTATCTCATCTCGGCCTGAGATAACATGAATGATAATTCACTCTGTAATGGAGTGATACTACCTAACTTGATGTTTTCGTTCGAATCTGGGATTGTTTTATTCTGATATGTATGATATTTCGCTATTTACCAAGTGAAGCATTTAATCATAAAAGAACGGTACCTATAGGTACGTACTTTGTAGTGGGGGTTCACGGGTTGAATGGAAATAAGGTTGAAGCTACCTAAGGTACCTAACCTAAGGTACTTACCTTCAGTGCCAAGGTACTTATGTAGAAGGTAAGAAAAATTAGTCACCTCAGCTTGCATCATCTGGGCACAGCTAGAGATAAGCAAGGATATGGATTGGTTAAAACGGAGAAAGGGATGGCGCGGGACCTGTAGGGGAACCAAAAGGGTTATATTGTGGAGAAATCTTTTACGAAACAACCTTTGAAAGTTCCCCAATCCCCAAGACCCAAGACCCAAGATTAACAACCACTACCCCCCCAAAAAGAGGTTCACAAAGGTTACCAAAACTTCACTTACCTACAAGTAGGTATTAAAAATCTCTCTCTCTCTCCTTCGCTTATCTAGCCCGGTAACCCATAATACACCATACGATACCATTTACTTACCACCCTTTACATACCTGATAGCCCATGTAGCCTGTTTGCTTCAATCAACTGCCCGCATTATCGACTACATCTTCTGTCCGAAGCCGACATCGAAAACTGATTTCCGCCTTGTGTCTCCCAAATGTACTACCACGTTCCACCATCCAAAAGAACACAAACTAGAGCCCACCGAAGCCGTTTGTTTTTACCACCGCTACCGAGACAACCGCCTTCGTCAAGACCTGTTCGGTAGTGGTTAGGGAGAAAAGAGGGTGTAGAAGAAATTAAGCTTGTAATATTGCGAGCTACCTTTAGCTGGGCTAATTCTGGACGAGAACGAGTCACGTCACACGTCTGTGTCGGTCGGAGTCCAGTGGTTGGGAGACGCTTGAAATTTTATATTGATTCTTCGTACCACCCTTTGATTTTTCTTTTTTCTTTTCTTTTTTTTTTCTTCTTTCCCACCCTTATGCAAGACCCGATTTGCTCGTAAGTCCACGTCTTTTGATTGCCCACTTACTGCGTACCTTAGTATGCCGTCTTCCGTAATCGATCCTGGAATGTTGCCCCGTACTCTAAAAACGGGCGGTATCTGTCATCGACTATATTCAGCCATGAAGCCATGCTCACAAAGCTAATATGTTTCGTCGTATAGCTTTTCTGGGCCGCAAGGCCGGTGATCAAGGGCACACTGAAGATATGTCACCATCACCTGGAGATGATGCTTCGTCGCCCCAGGATTCCAAGGGCAGCAGCGGGCTCGCCAGTGTCTTCAAGGGCCTTGCAGGTGCTGCCAAGTTGACTAAGTCTCCCCCGGCTCCCGTACAATCATCTGGTCCCTCTATTAGCGTACAGATCGCCGAACGCCGTAGTGCTACGCCAAACATCCTCCGTGGCATACCATCCCAGCATGCCGAAACTTTCGAGCTGCTGAAGAATGGGTCGATGACCCAGCGAGTCGTGGCAGCTGATGCACTGCGCCATACTGTTGCAGATTATCCTCTAAGTCCAGTTTTGGATATCTGGTACGCTGCTAAAGATCTGGTCGATCCTACCAATCCCAAGTCGGTTCGCTATTCCGGTTGGGAACTCTTGAGGGAATGCGTGAAGCATACCTCCTCGACAGATTTAGAGCGTAACGAGTACTTCCAGACCATATCTGCCCAGGCCAACCCGGAAGATTTTCACTTGCAGCTCGCAGCCCTTGTCGATTTAACGAACCACGCGCGAAATCTGTCTGGGTTCGATTACGATGTGTTCCCATTATTGTCTCGGTGGCTTGAGGAGGCATTCGAGGCAGTACGAGCGGCGAGAGGTGCAGCGAAGAAGCAAGGGTCACGGATGAAGGGGAAAGCGCTAGCGACCGGCGAGGATAGAAACTTTACGGACCTATTTAGTTTCATTACGGACGTCATCAAGTTCAATTTCAGCGTTGCCGACGATGACGCTGCGGAAGTTTTGATCGACAGGTTACTGGATATTTGCATGAATACTAGTGTCGAAGAGGATCTACAGGCGTGTATTGGCGTTATGGATGCTATTGTGACGTTTGGGGCGATTCCTGCGGAAAAGTTGAAGAGCTGCGTTCACGTTCTCTGCTCTATACATTGCCTCGTTCCTAGCCTACAAAAAGATGCGTGGCATACCATGAGCATGTTGTGTCGGTCGCACAATGGACATGCTACTGTGAGGCTACTTCTTGATGTTTTGGCGAGTCTGCCGGAGGACGCCGACAAGAAAAAAGAGGTCGTTCGTGAGGTTAGGGGCGCCCTGTCGGTCCTCACCAAACTTGTGTCGAAGAGTTCCGAGAAGGGATATCCGGCAGTTCCCTATGTCCTTTTGGTCGATGGCCTGTCTACAGTGGTACATGCTACGCCTGCTTGGAAAATACACCTCGATATCTTGCGATTAACGAACTCATTATTTTGCGACAGCCAGGGTAATATTAATAGTATGCTGGCCGATGAAGATTGGACACCTGTTTTCGAAGTCGTGGTCACATGTGCCAATGCTATTATCGCGTCCCTTACCAAAACTGAGAGTCGCATCGAATCACTTTTAGACCTAGAAGAAGAAGAGAGCGATTCCGCGGAGAGTATGCTGGCTCAGGAATTGATAAAGCTAATACGTCGACTCGAGAGCATACTCTCAGATGAATCCCCTCCTATCGCCCAAAAGCAAAACGATGCATCTCAAGATCATACGGATGCAGACATTCAGAAATTGGAGGTTGTACAACCGGAGCAGCCTAATGCTCTTGTCCAAAGGCAAGATTGTATTGTATTCTTTACAAAAATCCATCGCTGTCTTCCTGACTCCGGGGCAACGCTGATACTTGAATATTTCAAGAAATTCCGATGTTGCTCGCCCTCAGATCCTCTTTGGGAGACGAACTTGAACCTAGTATTGGATGCGTTTTTGGCAGATAGAAAACGATCAACTGATGTGCGTTTGCGCGCTTTGCAGGCCTTTACGGAGGTCTACGACATGATTGAACTCATTAACGACCAATTCGAGCCGGACTTCATCCCAGAATTAGTGAAGCGTCTATTAGCAGATGTAGCGGGGGAGGCGGATATCGTATTACTCCAAAATATTGTGTCGTTTGCTGTTGGTGTTGCTAGCACGGCATCCCTCTCCCTTTTCTCTTACATTGTCGATACGCTTCGAGGAGTAATAGGGAACAGCCGACTGCGTTCGATATCTTCCACGCTTTCCCTCCCCCCGGAGCCAACGTCAACTCCCCAGCATATAAAAGCAACTGCGAATCAAACTCCTTCAAGTGTAGTTGTCCGAGGTTACGTGCAAATATTCTTACGAGTTCTAAACTACGATGCGACCAAGTCAGTGCGGCTATTCCGTATTCTCGTATCAATAGCGGAGTCGAACTCCAGCGAGACGGATGCTCGCATTGCCGCGATGCAGTTGCTATTTCGTTTGCGAGCCGATTGGGCTAATCGTATATTTGTCACTTCTCATTTCGAGACAGCCAGCCTCGCTAGGTCCTTATATCGAACGGAGGAGTCACTGGCGCGCAGAACTTCTGAAGAAACTTCATACCTCGGAAGAATTTCGCGGAGCGAGACCACTGGTTCTGCTCGCTCATCACGAGGCATATCCCTCGGGCATGGCCAGTTGCAAGATCGAGGTTATCCGTTAAGGTCGGGAAGTGGCAGCAAAATAGCCCCAAGCGCGTATCAACCCCTATGGATCGCCTCCGACACAGATGCTTTACCTGAAACCCCGTCTCAAGCTGCAAGCATGGTCCTTTATTGCAGCGCTTCTGATGACACTGCTGAAGTGGATGGGCAGTCGCCGGTAGAGGTTCTGGAGATCCGAATATGGCTTGAAGTGGTACTTAACTTAGTGCGACAAGGCTGTGATTGGGAAGTTTACAGCTTCATCCTTGTTCATTTGCCCTCTCAATTGAGCAACCATGCCATCTTCCGAAATACCACAGCGGAGCTTCAGGAATTGAGACGGGTGATTTGCGAGCAGATCAAATCCAATAACTTCCAGGAACCTCCAAACATCTTAGGATTGCGCCGAGCAGATGTAGCTATCTGCCTTTTCCACAGCTTAACTATGATTCTTAGTTACCATCAATATTTCCAGAAGGCGGAAGAAGACGAGATTGTTCGCACATTTGTCCATGGAATAGCGACGTGGGAACGAAGTGCGAAATGCTGCATACACGCTCTTACTATATGTTGCCATGAACTCCCTTCCTCGACGGGCAAGGCCTTAGTCACAATATTACAGAAGATGTCGCAGATTATCACTCAGCCATATGTTGCCATGCACATTCTAGAGTTCTTAGCTTGTCTCAGCAGGCTACCCTCCCTTTACGCGAATTTCCGGGAAGACGAGTATCGGATTGTCTTTGGAATTTGTTTCCGATACCTACAATACGTTCGAGGCAAGAGGCAAGCGGCCAGGATGTGTTCGATCAGCGACTCGTCGGCGCCAGGGATAGGCGAGGCTCAGTTCAATCCCAATGCTTCGGATGACTTACCTCAGTATGTCTATACTCTAGCGTATCACGTCATTGTGTTCTGGTTCCTAGCCCTGAAGCTCCCAGACCGCACGAACCATGTTGGATGGATTGCGAGAAACTTATTTATAGATGTTGATGGGTCTCAAGCTTCGGATGAGCAAGCACATCTTACCATGGACTTCATTCAGAAGGTTACATATGCTGATATCGATGAATCTGCGGCGGACCCTTTATTTACTCGCGATAGGTTCGGAGAAATACTTAAGAAGAGATGGTTAATTGGTAATAGTATCGTTACGATCGAGCAGGCTACGGCTACGGGTTGGGCACAAATTACTAAACGCCAGCCATCTGGAACCTCGTCGTATACGATCCGAGAGTTGTTCAAACCACCCCCGGCACATCAGCGTTCTATGAGCGAGAGCACTAGGGACGGCCATACAGGACCTGTGAATAATGTCCTACCCAACCATATACTAGTACAACTTTTGTCCTCTATGCCGCAAGGAAATGATCTTTCACGCCCTATTCCACTACCTGACGACGAGGTAGTCAACAGAGCCATTAGGATGTTCGACCATAATCCAACAGTAGATGGCCACAAGGTTGGCGTAATATACATTGGAGAGAACCAAACGGAAGAAAAGGACATTCTGGCTAATATATCTGGAAGTGGAGACTACATGGAATTCCTTAACGGCCTCGGCACATTGACCAAGCTCAACGGTGCAACGTTCAATACGCAAGGCCTGGATAGGCAGTATGATACCGATGGGCAATATACGTTTTGCTGGAGGGACCGGGTGACGGAGATTGTGTTTCACGTCACCACCCAGATGCCAACAAATCTAGATCACGATCCACAATGTACCTTGAAGAAGCGCCACATCGGGAACGATTTCGTCAATATTATTTTTAACGACTCTGGTTTGCCCTTCAAGTTCGACACGTTCCCATCAGAATTCAATTTCGTCAACATAGTCATCACACCCGAATCCCGCGCCTCTTTCGTCGCTACTAGGCAGAGAACGCCGAATGACGTGGCAGGGTCTTACTACAAGGTCCGCGTGATGAGCAAGCCCGGGTTCCCAGAAATCTCACCTGCTTCCGAGACCAAGATCGTCAGCCTGCGGGCGTTACCCGAATTCATCCGGCTGCTGGCGCTGAACGCGTCAGTCTTCTCGCTGGTGTGGGCCCACCGCGAGGGCGGTGAGCACGTCTCCGCTTGGCGCAATCGGCTGAGGGAGATCAAGAGGCTCCGCGACAAGTACGGCCCGAAGGCGATGGTGGTGCCCCAGGGACCAGGTGGTGGCCCGTCGCCCTCGCCGCCGGGAACCGCCCTCGGTCACGGTCACGGTAACCCAACCGCGCTTAGCAGCACGGTCGCCCAATTGGACGCCATGAGGTCGGGTAACGCGGTTCGCGACAGCTTCAGTAGCCTCCGCCGATCTTCCGTCGCCACCTTCTTCTCCGGCTCCAGCGAACAGACCTCTCATCGCTCCTCCATGCTGTCGACCGCTCCCACGGACAACACCGAGGTCATGACGGTCAACGGCGTGGACGCCCTCGTCGACAGTGTCGACTTTTCGAAGTGGTCGGCATAGCCGTTGTGCAATAAACCGCTGTATTTATTTTCTTTGAAGAGAGAGGGGGGGTGGGACGGGGAAAAAGTTTGTTTTTTGGTTTTTTTGTCTTGTAACCCCGGAGCATAGTACCTTGGCTCGGATAGTCTAGACCGGTCAGACTATTCTGGTCTTTTTTTTCTTCTCTTCGACATGAGAGAGAGGCAAAATAAAAACGCGGTGTGGGTGTAGGTGTAGGTGGGAAGGAAAGGTCACGCGCATCTACGATTTTGTCTTATGTCTCCGTTTACGCCCGCCTCCACGTCTCCATCTACGACCACATCTACATTTTACGAAAGAAGGAGAGAAAAAGTTCGCGGTTTTTACGGTTTTAGGGGAGGAAAGATGTTTTCTTTCTTCTTTCCTTTCATTCTCTCCTTTCCGAGGTGGCAATTTGAGAAAAAACAACAAGCACGGCGTCTAGGCTAAGGAGGGGAAAAGGGGGGGATACCACTGATGTTGTTTTTTATATTACCGGTTCTTTTTTTCCTCCGACGTCTTGTTTACCCATCTAGGTACCTTAATCTGCCTTGTCTGTTTGGTTTGAAAAGAAGATGAAGATGAAAAGAGGCAAAAAGAAAAGGAGCGTCGTCACTCCGCATGGACGTATTACCGCAGTTGAATGAATGAGAATACATTGTACATGTTCTTTTACGAACGCCTGTCTGTCTGTAAACTCGCGACTACTTTCTGCTGCTACTTCGAGTAGCTTTTTACATAGGAGGTACCTTAGGTTAGGTACTTTTGTAGACGTACGCGAAACCTCGATTTGTGAAGGCGATTTTTGATAGTTGACCAAACGACGATGGCGGCGACAAGTAATGATAACCCGTTTGCGTAACAGACGGAGTATGGCAAGGTTAAGCGGTAGGAAAGGGGTGTGAAATTCAGATGGAATAGTGGGTAGGCCGAGGGCGGAAGAGACGAAAGGGAGGAAGCTAATGGAAAAAAAGACTTAAAAAATCGAGTTGAATTGAGTTGAGTCGAGTTTCATTTCGTGATATGATACTGTAAAGAGAAGCGCAACATCGCAACATCGCATCATCGCCGCACAAGTTTACCTACCTGTAGTGACCAGTTCCTGATTTGATATTATCATTAGTATGCCCCCCTTTTAAATTTTTTTTTAAATTTTTTCTTCTCGTTTTCGGGTTTTTTTTGTGACACGTACACGTTTTCTACCTGCTGCTAGGTGCTAGGGCTAATCTGTCCCTCGAACGTAAGCGAGTTATGTATTACTTGCCACTACTAATCATACAGATGTAACGAGGAATGGGGGAGAGAGAATAAATAAGCGCACGTAGCACAAAACGATGACCACTTTTTCTGACTTATCTCATTTTTTTCTTGTTGCTCACGCCTCGCCCTCGGATTATGGGGGGGGGGGGTGGATGATGGAGCAATGAGATGAGATGGAGGATGAGATTGGGGTGAAATGGGGACGGCTACACAAGGCCAAGGGGCGAGGAGGGTAAGGGAAAGGGCCCGCGTGGCACAAGGTTACAAGGGGGAGGGTAGGTGATTGGAACTTGTGGTCGCCGGTGGCTTACAGACTGCAGCGCAGCGCAGCGCAGCAGCAGCAGTAATGCATTTCCATCTACCCACTAGTAGTCGTCTGCTGCAGATACACGAGACGGTGTTAGGCTTAGGTGAGAGCCGCAGAAGCCGGTTGGGAGTACTTTGTCGGCCAGGCTATACCGCATGCGTGCGTGAATCGTTATGATCTACCGCTGGGGTTGACATGATAATGATATGCGCAAGGTATCGATCCCGGAATGCCGCCTTTTTAGTTCGTTGGCGACGTTAGCTCTGCTACCCTGTACAGTCGTATGCAGCTATGTACCTAAGGTATGATTTTATTGCGTAGGGCGTGGTCATGCCATGATCTCAGAGTTTTAGTCTGTATACCTACCCGAAGTAGATACCTAATGTATAGACCTTGGGTATGACTATAATATGTATGAGATGAATGTATACACGTGGGCAAGTATGTAAGTTGGTTCCATATGTGCAACCGAGCACAAGACCAACTATTCCTCTTGTTACCCAGGCTAGGAGTTATTTAAGCTTGTATGATGGTTACGGACGGAAGAGGAACAAGTTTTGCGTAGTACATGTGGAAGCAATTTGGATGGCAATAGGGGGTTGCCAAGACCCTCAACTATGCCAAATCCCGTTGCCGACGCTCTTATGTGCCTTCGGAATTGCTGTAAGGAGTTACCGAAGCAGCCTGTACTCTCCGGGCGAAGTAGACAGGGGGAAGAAAAGGACGGATTGTTCCCGCGGGTAAGGTAGTTCGTTGATTAAGGTAGGTTGTGGCGGTTAGGTCGATAGCAATGTAGAGGTACTTTCGATTCCCACCGTAATGCATACGGGCGTACAGTAGGGTAGGACAGGTACGAAATGTCATTATGGAAGACCCGTAAGATGCGAGACGAGTACGAACCAACCACACAAGAAAAGAAAAAGGGAAAAAAGGATTTTTGGTATGGTTACGCAAAGGGAGACTTACATGACAGTACCTAAGATATTTACGACATACTTTTGCACATTGACTATATAGCGATGGTAGGTAATCGGTAGCAGGAAGGAATGCGAGTAGACCGGTGTGATGGCGGCAACCAGCCAATCGACCACATGGTTTCCTTTCGTTCCATTTCATGCGCAAATGGCCTGATACAGTACGCCAGCACTGCGCCTGTTGCAGAGTTATCGGATTGCTGGGCTTGTTTCACTTTCCCTTCTGTCTGGCACTCTGCTAGGGATATACCCGATCGGAATAGGGCTAGGAGGTCCAAGCCATGTCAAGAACCTTACCCACGGCGGTAAGCATTTTCCAATCAGGTAAAGGTAGATCCTTTAGGGCTGTTGACGTAAGGCCTAGCTTACTATGCGTCTCTCGGCCCGCAACTGCGTCAAAGACAGAAGAAACTTAGAAAAAAAAATCATATAAGGACCAGGGGGGGACGGCGTTATCCAGCCATACATTGCATGAAGTATCGACGTAGGACAATTATAAGGCCCTTGGGTGCACGTTCCTAAAGTTGAATGGGCTAGGCATGTAGACGCGAAGCTCCCCCAGACATATCAAGCGCATTTTACCAATAGGGACAGCCCTATAGAAAAGCCGTCAGTGGGGGATGTTCGTTACCCCTGGTTTGTACTGTGGGCACCGGCATTATATGCGGCAGAAATATATATACCTAACCTACTAGAAGCATCCAATAGGCCCAGGGTTGCATAACGACCACACTCCATGGTGCGTGCGTACTTGAGACAAATCGGTAAGATAAAAAGGTAAATATCCCCGGCGGAGTTGGAAGATTTCGGAGCTGTATCATGTATTGATCGAATTTGTTAAATTTAGACTGAGGCCTAGTTGTCGAGTCTCTTTCTACTATGTATACTGACTGCTATGGTCGCACGCATTATGGTGTAGCCCCCTACTAGGTAGGGATCGAGTAATACCTAAGGTGACATTATCGAATAGCCTTTTAGGCCGCTTTGTGGTCTTGTCAAGCTCACATCTCGAATCAGATTGATCTAGCTGTATGCTATAAAAGTCCTAGGTCGCAGTCAGCAAGGGAGAGACCGTATTACCCACTTGCGAGATCTGAGTCTAAGCTTGGTAAAATAGTTACTGCTTGTGGCTAGTCCGTGTCCCGACTGTGGGACGAGACACGCATGTCTCCCGTGGGCCGTGGAGGCTCCGTCCGCTACCAGGTCCGCGTGGCTGGAATTGGTAACAATCGGAACCACGTTTTATACTGTGTGCTGACAACGCTCACCTAGTACTCGCGAGGAAACCTTTAACCTCGTAGCGTTAGGAAGACTCTCGTTGTTTAACCCGTTGCTTAAGCAGTGAGATTGCTGCGCTTCTATCCTCCGTCTTGGATAGGTCAGCTGGGTAAACCCGTCCTCGCGGAGTATCAACTTGCCGGTAAACGCAGCTGTGCCGCATGTAACAGGTATCTAAGCAGCCAATGCATTTGCAACTCCCAGCTTTTGTGCAACCCATCTTGCATCTGTGATTGGATGGTCTGCGGCCGTAATACTTCTCTGGGCTCACTATAGTACGTTGTGTCTCTATGCTGATATGCGCACGAAGACTGCATATTGACTTGGCTGCTCTTTAGGTAGCACGAAAAAAAAACCCCCCAGTGGCTATCCGATCTTTGTAGGGTGGTACCATGGATCTACGCGTCTGCTCCTAGTACGATAGCCTCGGTCAAGTAAGATGCGGCAGTCCTTTTAAAGTGCTAAATTTCGATATATCAAGGAGCGGGTTAGTAGAGAAAAGGGGACTGAAATATAGCTGGCTAAAAAGTATGTTTCGTACGATCAGGATCTGGCTGTAAGAATTATACAGTCTAGACAGATTGTCGAATGCTGAAAATCTTCATGACTTAGGATTTGATGCCCCTCTTACTTGCTTATGACCCCCGCATCTTGGCTCTCCTTATGTCTTTCGAACCTCTCACAGAACCGAGCGAGTTATAATCATTTGAATCCCGAGGCCTATGAGGTCGTCGCCAGACCAATCTTGCTTAGTTGGGCAGCGATCGTGAAGGATTCCGCCCCCACAGACCCCCGCCTGCGTCGAGGTGTCATTAAGAACTCCAACAATATGGAGTAGTACGGGACACACCTTAGATTCGTTCGTTGAATTTAGATGGACTGGATGCTACAGCCCACATCGCCGTTTGGATAAGCTGAAGTGGGTCATTATACGCCCTATTTACACTACGCTGTGACGTGAATTGCCGGATTATTCTGCTTCTAGCATTCTGATTTCGAATTGGACGTAGTAATTCCGGATGCGCGTGCTCGGAAGTAAATTGATTATAACAAATATTAACCCGAAGTCGAGCCTCATAAACCACTCGGTCATTCTCATGTGACTTCAGTTGTTACTCAACACCGTGTAAGCCAATAAGCAATACTGTCAGGGAGCCCTATCCACTATGATTTGGATTGCTCAGGCCCGTTTCTTGTCATAGAAGACTCTCGTCGATTTGTTGGAATTGGTTACTCAGCACTAGGCAGTCGTAATCGAGACTATAACTGAGTCGAGAGGGAATCAATCGTCATCGTGCTGATCCAAATGAGCTGAGAAGCCTTTGGCCCAATTTCTTTGATAGCTGGCCCAATGCCAACTATATGTGACCTATCGAAGGTTTCAAAAGCCGTATCAGTTCCAACGCCATGTCTCATAAGAAGAGTAGACCCCCCTGTAATACTGCACGTTGTGCAGCTGACTTAGAACATGGCACAATCTGTTTCGGTATCCTTAGTTGAAAATTCGACTCATAGTCCTCCACGATAAGGGAAGCCTCCCGGCTCTCATATTGCCTTGACGCCATAGCCTTGCTCATAGACAGACGGGGTTGCTTCACTTAAGAGCTTATTGGAGTAGCTTCACAAGGTGGCCAAGCTGAGGCACGATACCTAGAAGAAGGTCGGCGGGCGACGTGCGATGGAGTAACGGCACGCGTCGCGAGAGTTTCCTAGTCTTTAAATCAGTATTTAAGGTCGGTCGTGAAGATCAAGTTTATGTCGATTCCCATATATCTTTATATATAGCCCATTTCTGAAATCCTATGACAGTCTTATGTTAAGATTGATTCCACATAACAGGTAGGTAGTTAGATAACGGAACTTACCCATTGATTGAAACCCCTCGTAGCCACCTTTCACAGCATCGAGGAATACACGTTTCATTCCTTGGCCTTTGAGTATGGTGACGCAAGCATCGAGTAATCTAATCATAACAGTATCTTTACTGATCGTCATCGCCGCATTGCCGTCTAAAGTCCGGGTCAGTTGAGGATCTTCAAACATTTCTGATGAGCTTTGACTGCTAGGGACTAACCTGCAATGCAGATGCACGCTACGCCCCCCACATCAGATCCAATTGTCCGTGCCCAAGGAAGGTCTTGTGCCAATGAGCTAACCTCATTAGGAGTATATATTAGTGCAGAAGCGATGATTTCCGATTTTTCCCATCCTAGGACAATATCACTGAAGCGGCCGTCGTGAGCGAGATTCATGTATTGGTCATACCATCCTGTATAGTCTTTGCGGGCAGACTCCTTTTCTACAAAATCAGCGATTAGGGGAAAGTCCTCGAATGTGCCCTGACGGAAAGTCAGCCCGGAGGAAGGCGCTGACAGTCCACCGCTCGGCCAATCATCGATCCTCAAGAGCCAGTCACAAATATCTTGACCACGGCCTGGAGCCTGGCCATCCATTCGCCAACCCCGCCTCCGAAACCAGTCCTCAGACGCAGAAGCGGCAGGTATGCCGCTTAGAAGGCGGGGAAAGGTAGAACCCAATTGAATTCGATCAACTCCCCGTATTCTCTTAAGCTGTTTGAGAGCGTGCTCATACAAGCTAAGCCCAACCCCCCGCCGCCGATACGCTGGCTTGACGATAATCATAGCTAACGACCCAATAAGTCGTTCACCCTCTCTGTCCACAAATGTAGTATAAGTCGCACAAAACCCTATTATTTCACGATTCTCGGGGAGTCTCACGACGAAGTGCATGGCGTAACCATCCCGCTGGAGCAATGATTGCAGGGGAAACTTCTCCAGGTGAAACTGATCTGGTAGACACTGATTCCAAAGTTCATGCACCGGTGCGACATTAAGAGCATCCCAATTCTCTGGAGGCCAGAATCTCGGCTCTATCATTAATGAATGCACATCCAGTCCCACGGTACCCGTAGTCCTAGCTTCACCAAACAGAACGGCGGCTGCGACTTGTAAATCGGAAGGTAAATACCCAGGAAGTTGGATAATCGTAGGAAAGTTTGCTTCCATGAGGCCGAGGTCATGTACGCTTTGGCATGCCATGATAATCTGCGGACGTTGCTCTCCTATCTTCCGGGCCATTAGACCAATCTCAACCTGCGAAGGCTGACCAGTGTAGGGAAGTCCGGAGATAACGAAGACGACAACTTTGGCCCGTTTGATGAAGGCGACATGCATGTCAGTCAAACCGTTCCGCGCGGTATATGGAACATGCCGAATCCACGGATGCCTCGCGGCCAAGGCCCGGCCTAATGGTTCAAACGGGTCGCTGTCATTTTCAACATCTGGTTGAACATGCGGGACAACTGGTGTTAGAAGGACAACAATATCACCATCGCCAAGTATCCTAGTAAGGGGGATGCAAGCCTATAAATCATCTAGATTAGCAGGGGCTCACACAGGTGCTGTAAGAAAATATCATAAATGATCTATGATGTAACTCAAGAAGTCATATTTTGCAATACGAATATTTTCCGACTTGCAATGGAATTGATAGAGTTCTATAACCAGCTACTGACCTGGTGGTCCCTGATGAGGGTTACCTGGGACCGACGTGAGCCTCCACGGTGTCCGGAAGTAATGACTGGTTGACCGGGAAGCATTTCTTAGAGCTACCAAATACCGAACATGCACTTCATCCCCATGAATTTTTTTGGGTATTCCTAGGTTATATATGAGTATAAGTCAGAAGCCGAGCTCGATTAGGATTGGGCTAGGCTGTCAGCAGAGCCATTCCGAAATTACTCACCAGTCTCACCGAATTGCAGAAAAACCTTATGACATAAGCATCATCAAATGCCAAGTGTTTCCTATACCAGATTCTAGAAAGAGCCTGATGAGGCTTTGTAGCGCATTAAACGTTCCACACTAGCCAGGTCAGAAAGGATGTGGCGCTGCTCTGGTGCCAGGGTTAGAAGGATCAGCTAGAAATATTCCAACAGGTCAGGTCAGTAACAAGCTAGGATAACGGTCGAGGAGTCGCCGTCAGGGCCGAAATTGAGCCTTTTCAATAATAGTATGGCACGGACAACGGGGAACTGGACACAGGGGACGGACGGTAAGCCCACTGTAGAGTGACGCGATAAGAGGTAAGCGAGTTGCTGCCACAAAAGCAGAGTTCCATTTGCTGCAGGCAAATGCGTTCCTTAGCATTACATACCTATACATACAGACGCCACGCCAAAACTACACGTAATTAATACCTAAGTTCGAAAGCCGATGTCCCGCCTGGAAAATATGGCGACCGGCGGTGAAGAGCAATGTACTACTATTCTCCGCTCTGAATTCCGATCCCGAGCAAGTAAAGGAAGCTGACAGCGTATACCTCTTTTTGATACCAGTACGGCAGTGGGTGGTATGTACTTCCAAGGTTGGCTATTAAGAGTTGTTAGCGTAAGACAGATGCAACGCATAAAAATGGTGTAAGTGAATTAGAAACACCCAGTAACACGGGCACTTACCGGCTTTATTTATTCTAGGTAATTATTAATAATATTATCAATGCTAAGTTTTAGGACGTTAGACCCGAGGAGCCATTTCTCTATACAGACAGATTTAGAGGTGGGTGCCCATTCGTACGCTTCTGGAGTCGCATAGTATTGTCTATGCTTGGGGCACTACCTGACCTGACAGTCCAAAAAGTCTTCATGACTGCTCGGAGCAATCTAAGCTACCTACCTCCTATGTGGGGGGTAGCATTGGGTAATATAATATAACGTGCAGAACATACATTGAATACATTGTTATATGTATAAAATGGACGTGCACGAAGGCTGCTGATTGTGCGATATCATGACCTACATCATGACGCTTTCACTCGAGTCGTACGTGTTAGAAGGCGAATGAATATCCGTAAGACTGATGTTAATCTCGACCGCAATGTCAACGTGTGCCATTCCGTCGAAAGATACGTCTGTATCTGCACGTTAGAACGTGACCTCTCATCATAGTGAATGATTGGGAGCTTCCCCCCTCGAGGCGGTTTTAGTCGAATAAGAGCTGCGAATTGGTGGTACAAATGCAATGCAACAGAGTCTGAAATGATAAGCGTTGGAGGTTCTAGGATTCGTTTTCGATTCTGCTGAAGATTCAAGACCCCCCTTTTTTTTAGTTTTTTTTTTTTATGAAAAATAGAAAAAAGGGTACACACAGCATCAAGGGAAAACGCCGAAGGGTGCTCTTGCTTTGAGTACCTAAGGCTAGGTACATCATTCTACCCTGCCTTATAGGTATTGTGCATCCAACATCGAATTGAGCATAATCCCTGGATTGGTGATTCTACCGTACCTACCTAGGTACCTAACCTAGGTACCTAAAGTAACCTAAGGCATTTACTAGCTTATAGAGGCATGTACGATAAAACATCGGATATTCCGAAGACTGGTATCATCTCGTCAGATCAGGTAGGTACCTCGCATCAACAGGGCGTCTGTGTACGGAGATGCTCTTTTAAGGGATAAATGGCCGTTCTATAAACCCTAGTCCATCTATTATCGTCTACCGCGGCTGCTGCCGAGCCCTCGGACTCTGAAAAGGCATTGTGATCTATAGTTGGTAACTACCCCACCTCGCTTATAGCCGCGCTGAAGTCACTATATTTCCTATTAGTCGCACCACTCGAGTTTGTGTCACTACTTGCTTACTTCTTCAGTTGTTTAAGTGAGTACATGGAATTTACGGCATATAGGTATTAACACAGGTGCCTAACTAGCTTCGCTTTTAACTCTATTCTCGGCGTTTCGGTAATTTGTATAAAGTCACACTTAACAATTTGTAAGCTTCCAACACTCATTGTTAGTAAAATCATTAGTAACTGCTCCCGCAGGAAGATCTGAGTAGTACAAATAGCCTATCATACCTTTTACGTCATTCGAACCACTGACTAAGAAAGCACTTACGTTGCGTCTTTCGTACAATTGCTCACGTTACGCAGGCACTTCCTTCTTCATGTCCATAGGTCATCATTCCTTCACAAAATGGGCCGAGGCGCAGAGCTGATTGAAGCTCCTTTCAAAAAAGAAAAAAAAATAGAGAGAGAGGGAGAAAAGAGCAAGGTTCAGCAGCAGTTTACACTTAGGTCGGAATCATCCCTATTCGCTATTTCCAAATTAGACCCGCCAAGAAGTTTAATAGTGACCAGGCTTTCTCTGAATGTTACGAAGTACACTTACATTAGGTACCTACCTATACTTGAGTTACTGGTTTATTTACTGAACCGCAGACACAAATACAACCGTTTACCTATTCTAGGCAAAGGATTAGGGAAGATGATAGAAATTGGAAGGTAAGAATATTCACCAACAACGTTTGTAAGGCTTTGGCTTTGGCTTGGGTGTTAGGGGATTTCCGAGAGCAGCCGACGGCAGGGCTGCAGAATGCGCGTAAGAGCATAACAAGGGAATGGACGCAATCACGCATCCTAAAGTTACATGGCTTTTGAAAGACCCATAACAGGTAGGCACCTGGGCCGCTAACAAACTCCATCCGGGGTTCATAGGATCGAGGTACAGGGTCTTGGCAACTTTAGCAGTCTTTTTTTTTAAAAAAAAAAAGAAAAAATAGGTGTCCCGTCCTTAAAGACTTTACGTGCCACAAATTACGTAAGACCCCACATCAGACCTTCAGGTTTAGGTACCTAAACTGCTAAAGTACCATCAACCCCACTTTCTACTAGACGCGTCTAGGGCCTTACAAACAACGCGTTGGATCCGCCAATACTTCTTATGATGTTATTTATGCAAGGCTGAGATATAGCACAAGGAGTTGGCGACGTTCTCGTCGATTTATCCTAATGAACATATGTACCTAACCTAGGTAATAACCGGATCTTAGGAAATAATTGAGTACCTAGATCTACCTAAGTAACCATGTCAGGATATCAAGAAGACGATACAATCCACGGCACAGAAGACATACGCGATGCCCTTACGGACGTGGTTGAGGGTCAGTATACCTATGGACTAATCATCAATTACTAAAATATTTTTAACTGACCTATAAAAAAGCATCTAAACTAACGGCAAAGCAACGTGGAAGCAATGTAAAGCCGGCCGTAGAGAAGTTAGCCTCGTTGTCGTACGAGCAAGGCCTCCTTCCAGATGATTTGAGCCAACTTATAGATTTGGTTACCACCCCGAATTTCCTTGATCAAGCAAGCCTCGGAAATCTCATCAGGAACTTGTATCCGGTAGAGACAGTGAGCATCGAGGTTGTTGTCAAGATTATTGGTTCTCTTGGGCATGGAAAACTGAAACCATCTCTAAATATTCAAGGGGCACTCCTAAGATGGCTTGTTATGGTTCATCACATTATAGAAAACCAGGCCATATTATCGCGATCCTACTCCGTTCTATTCAACCTCCTAGACACTGCCGCAATTAGGTTCGTTTATCAACTTTTCGCTCCAGCAAAACTTTGCTGACAGTCACAAGGAAACAGCTATGTCATCTACTAGCTCTTATTACTCGGCGCCGGCATGTGCGGCCCTATCGAATCCAAAGCCTGTGAGTTTACTCCCTAAATGCTGTGGTTTCACTATATCACTGACTTCTCTCAAGTTTATCCTTGTCCAGGCAAACGGGAAATGATCCTGCAGTAACCGGCCTACTCCGAGTGTATAAAGACTATTACCCAGAGATTATTGTAGGAGAAGCGACTCGTGCCAAGGCATCGGCTTTCAAGGTATGACTTCTACAGTCTCATTGGTGATGTAAAATTGCTTATCATTTTCATAGCACCCAGGCCCGCAGTGGCGTGAGAGGCTTGATGAAATCCAACAAGCACACGCAGAACGAAGCGCAATTAGGGCAGAACATCCGCTAAACGCATTTAGAGTTGCTCGAAGTCGAGCCAACGGCAAGGGTTCCAGCCTATTCCCGGAGGTGCATACGTCAAACGCGACGGAGGTCTGCTTTATCCTACGCTCTTAAAGCTCGCAATAAACTAACCATTTGCCAGAACTCCGTCACTCTCGAGGAGATTGAAAACGTAGACGGCTTCGTGAAAAACCTGGAAAGGATTGAATTACCAAACCAGTTGATAGCGGTCTTGGGAGATCCATTACTACAGAAGCTGCTCGTTTTGAAGCCCGATACTGAAGCTCATCAGAGAGTGAGCAGCTGGTTGGCTTCGTATGGACAAGACCTCATTAGTGGAGAATCCAACATGGATCCCACCGATGGCTTGGAAATATTAAACAACTATGTGTCCAGTACAAAGGTATGTAAGAGGAGAGCTCGCGAAATCAACCAGTACGTTAGGTATCTAGCTAACTTTCGCCCAGAACTTCCCTCCTATATTTTTCGCGTTCTTCACTGAGTATCTCAAAATATGGAATGGCCGTGATGGACGAAACTTGATCATGACTATACTATCATATATGCCATTGATTGATTTTCAAGGTTTGAAGCAAGTTAATGTCGTGGGTTTTCTGAGGCTAATGTGATCCAGAACTCTCCGCTAGAATTCTCCAGGCACTCGAGAATAAGATACTCGACGACACTACAGTTTCCCAGATACAATTGCTCGAGTTCTATACGATGCTACTACAGCGTTGGGCAGTTTCCTTAGCATCACTTGAGCAGAAGTCGGCGAACACATCGACCATCATTGCTGAGCTAGTGACTCATCTAAATAGCCTATGTCTCACTCTGATTCAGACTTCACCCACCAGTTCTACTCACTCAAGGATCGTAGATTTCTATGAGCAGACCGCAATTCTAGCTTCGGATCCAAAACTACACCCTCATACTCGGATTATGATACCGCCCTCTCCGTTGGTATACATCCTGCACTTTAGCTTCTGTCCGAACATTCTTTCTAGACTCTGTTCCATATTGTCGAAATACAAGGCAGGGTTTCAGAAAGCTATGTCAACATCTCGCTCCGAATACAGCCCCGAGTACATCAACGAGTTCAATGGCTTTCTGATGGATATCTGCAATTGCATATGGCGGTCGCGGGCCTTCAACAGTAACGATATGAATTCTCATGGCTGCCTGGTACCTAAACACTTCGTCGAGAACCTCACGGCATATATCAATAGTCTCGAGATGGGCGCACCGCTCTCGGCATTATTTTCCCTTTCGTATTCGCCGGTTCTAGGTCTTTCGGCAATCTCGTACTTCCGGGAGTTAGAAGACGAAGCACTAGCGCGAGGTCTCACCGAGCTTAGTATTAGGCATGCAGGACCAATAACTCGAGCCAGCCTTAGTTCTCTAGCAAACGGTGGCGGCTTGAGAGCAGGCTGGGATGACTATCGCCTTGGCGTGCTAAGTTATCTTGAAGGAAAGGGTATGGCTGGTGTTGGGGAGTTGATGTATAACACTATGACAAACGTCATGAAAAGGAGGTCATTAATGTCGATGACGAATGCCGCATAGGAAGAGATATGACAAGACTTTGCTAGAAGATTAGTTCAAAGTCGTCCAAGCTAGATCTTCCCATTCTTCAATTACTAGTCTTTTCTCGTATCTAGTGTAGCACATAATGAAACCCCTGATAAGTAAATCGATAGTGATCATGAAAGCACCATACCTCATCTATTTTAATCCACCGCCCTAGTCTTATACTAGGTCTATCCTGTTGAAAGGGTATCAAATAGCTCGCTGTCCTGTACCAGCAAAGACGGTCTCTGTTCCTTATGCCAGCTCAATGACTTCGTTCCAATCCATTCCGAAACGCCCCTACCAGTGTCACAAATACCCCTCGAGTCCACTTGCGCTCGTCATCGTCTTTAATGTCGAAAATGCGCCGTATCATGCAAGTTAAGTGCATCCACCCCTTAGCCATACACACATATTTCTCCCAATATCTAGGTCATATTATAAGTACCTTGGGTACCTAGGTACCTAAGGTAAGGAGGTGCCCATCTATTTCTTCCCGCTATCCTCGAGCCCATACCCACCGAGACCCCCTTGCGAATACGTCAACCCCTCCGTCCCCATCTTCTTCTGATTCCTCGGCCCGCGATCCTTCAGGTCCGTCCTAAGCCACCCGAGCACCAGCTCGCCCAGGCGACTGTTCCCGGTGCTCTCGCCGGCGTACGCCCCGAGGAACTTCTCGGCGGGGCCCCACTCGCGCACGGTGCCCAGGTGCATGTGGACGAGGTGGGTGGGCCAGCCGGCGAGGTTGTCGAGGATGTGGGTGGCGTAGACGATGGTGCACTCGCGGATCTCGGTCTCGCGCTTCAGCCAGCCGAGGAACTCGGCGCGGCTCAGCACGTCCAGGTCGACGGTGATCTCGTCGAGCAGCAGCACGGTCCAGGGCCGCACGAGGCCCATGGCCAGCTGCACGCGGCGCCGCTCGCCGTCGCTGACCGCGTGCATCCGCCACGCGATGTCGATGTCCAGCACGCCGAGCAGCTCGTCCCGGCGGTCCGGGTACGCGTCGCCCCCGACGGACCGCAGCAGCTCCGATACCCCGATGTCCGTCCGCACGATCGGGTTCAGCACCCACTCCAGCCCCAGGTACGTCACGCCCTCGAGCCCTTCCTTGAACGGGTCCACCCCCGACACGCTGATGCTGCCGCCGGGGGCGAGCCGCTTCCCCGCCAGCAGCCGCAGGAGCGTCGTCTTGCCCGCGCCGTTGGCCCCGATCAGCAGCGTCCGGCTGCGCGGCGGCACGCTCAGCGATATCCCGCTGATGCCGGTCCGGTAGTCCGGGAAGGTGTACGTCAGGTCGTTGACCCTGATTTCCGGTGGTTGTTGGGTAGGTGCCATTATTTCGGTTGACGTTTAGCACGAGCACGAACAAAACAGTCTTCTTTTTAAACCACTTGCTTGACTACAATACAGGATAGTTGATATTGTGGAGAGTAGGCAGAGGTTAGATGGATATTTGAGTAAAATATGATGAGAAGGAAAATAGTATGGGAGGAACGTTTGACGGCCTTATGACTATTCTTCTTCGGCTGCTGCAATTGTGGAGTCGCTTGACGATGTTGCAATATGATCTAGATAAACAGTACAGTGTATTTGGCTGTATTTAAGCACGGTGTTTTCCGTCGGAGTACGCAGGAAATGTCTCTCGAGTTAGGTCTGTCTGGAACTGGGGCCAGAATTAAATATTGGATGTAGCTAGTCATAAGCTGCATGCTATTTACGAGCTCCAAAAAATCATGGGTTCGGTATATTATATTCTGATAGTACTGTACTGTTCATTGTGCTACTTTCTATGTTGACGAGAGGCGGCATTCGACTAGCCTACCTAGGTACCTAGGCATCATAATTAGAGGTATCTAACCTATAAGTATTCCGATACCTTAGGTTAAGTACCTCCCAGATATATTTCCCGGTGTTCCAGATAAAGGTAACAGAGATAAATAATAATTAAAATCGCTTAATCTTCTTTAGCCATAACTCTTAGATACGATTCCGTTCGTTGAGCTCTATAGGTGGGGATATTGTTAGCAAGGTAATCAACTTAAAAACAATAGAGTAAGAAAGATGAGTTAGGGCATATTACAAAGAGGTAATCTAACTAATACCTCACTTACTGTAGTATAGATACTCTTTGTCAACAATGGTTATAATGTCAACAAGGTTTCAATATAGAAACCAATTACACATAGTTACATGAATCGCATAATACTGTATAAGAGCCGAAAATGATCTAGTCAAATTCTCTAGATACCTGACTGGCTGACTGGACGGACTGCCTGGTAAGCTATTAGTGTGCACTACTAATGATTTTAGCTGAAGAGTTTTGGGTCTTTATTCCCCCGCGCCAGAAAATCTACCGCCTCGGCTTTATAGGCTTACCTTATAAAAGTTCCAATGATGACACTTCGGCGTTTAGTAATACGGGGTTGTCGCCACCTTACCCTACATAGAATGGCGACGATTAAGTCGGATATAAGTTCCTACTTGTAATTAACTAATTCGAACATTATTAATTTGGTGGGGTCGTTATTACTTGCATAGAGATATAAAAAAACCCCATCGTGAACGTGAATCTTGGAAATTCACATTAAATCACATTAATTTGAATATCTGATTTCCCGTACCGGTATACCCCCCTTAAAATTGTTTAATTCATGACCTTGCTATCGATTACTGCACGACGGACTTTCACACAAGTGCTACGCCAAAACTCGAAAATATCAGTAATACCTAGATTCTCGCAGACGGCCAATATGACGACTGCCGTCTTCAAACACATTGACGTAGCGGCAATCCCGCAAGGGACAAGGCCGTGGGCCAAAGTCGATACCGAAGCAACTTCGTTCAAGCTAGCCGAACACACGCGCCCGGTGAACAATATCCGGGGGCGGGAAAGCGAGTTTACGACGGACAACTGCGGCTTCGCCGTCTACACGGAGCCGTCGAACGAGAAATCCTTCACGGACGACGCCGCCGTGCGCGGCCCCTATTACCGGGAGATCGAGGACCTGCTGAAGAAGCGCATCCCCGGCGTGAAGAAGGTCGTCATATTCGACCACACCATCCGGCGCCGCACCCCGGACGCCGCCCGGACCCCCGTGCAGCAGGTCCACGTCGACCAGACGGCGGCCGCGGCCGCGGCCCGGGTGCGGCGACATCTACCTGCCGAGGAGGCGGAGGAGCTGCTGAAGGGGCGGTTCCAGATCATCAACGTGTGGCGGCCGATCGGACACGCGGCGAGCGACCACCCGCTGGCGGTGATCGACTGGCGGACGACGAAGCCGGGGGACTTCGTGCCGGTGGACCTTCTGTACCCTCGGCGATCGGACTCGGCGACGGACAACGACGACGACGACCGGGGGAAAGAGGTGCGTCCCGACGAGGCCACGCGGTCCTCGGCGGAAGGGTACGAGGTCCGCGGCGAGACGTTGTCGGTCGCGCCCAGCGACGCCCACGCCTACTACTACCAGAAGGACATGACGCCCGACGAGGTCCTGCTGCTCAAGTGCTACGACTCGTTCGGCGAGGGCGAGCCCCTGGGGAAGCCGGGGATTGCGGTGGGGACCCCGCATACGGCTTTCGTCGATCCGCAGACGCCGAAGGATGCGCCACCGCGGCAGAGCATAGAGGTTAGGTGCTTGGTCTTTTATGAGTGATCGGTTAGGTTAGTTATGTAGTGCTATTTGTGCTGGCGTGGTGTGGATGAGACTATACCTTACCTGCCTAGGTAGGTATGAGCGGCTGCTTTTGCATTGCTACCTTATCTGTTCAATGGTTCATATGACGCTAGGTAGTCAATTTAAAAAACATGAGAATTCTAATATAACTTCACGTAAAGAAGAGATAAGGTTTTGAATATGTGAATAGGGGTACGATGGGGCTGATAGCCTTAATAACCTTGGGTAATATAAAGACTGAAGTTAGGTAATAATCAGCGCTCCTAGCTTAGAACCTTCGCCGGCTACCCTCGCGATAGATAGAATTTCTAATACTAACTGATGCTTCGGTTTGTTCATCGGCACCTGAGGGGCCGAAAGACGTTGCTATTTCCGAAGGCTTTGGGGTAAAGCAGCTAACTCCCCTTACCGCCGAGGAAGCTATGGAATCCCTCTTCACCTACGTGATTACCCACCAGGTAAGTAAGGGCCAGCTACAATATTATCTTCAACAACTGGTTTAGGGAAAAATGGTATTTTTCTCCTGAAACCCAAGTTAGACGCCCAGCTGTCATCATCCTCAACTACATCTAGTTTATCGTGAGTGGCTTTCACCAAACAGTATCATAGTGACATCATCCCGTTTCTAATGAAGCCTCTGGTTTGACATAATAAACTCATGGAATGAAATTTATCAGGCCATAAATATGCGTGCCGCCGCGCTATGTGTGCTCTCTCTGCAAACGCGGAGACGCGAACGTAACAATGGAGAACTTGTCATTCTTACACGACGACTTCATATGATAAGCCCAATTACAGTGCACAGTTCAACAGCTTGGATTGGATTAGGTATGCTTGCATATAAAAGAACGCATGCTGTCCTCCTCCTCGAGTTATCCCTGGACGACTACTCTCTTATAAGCAAATAACTCTACCTCCTGGTTTCTGCCACCGTAATGGAATAGTTCTTATCAAGCATATACCTGCATTATAGGAGTCGTTGGCCTTTGAAATCCGACTATGGCTATTCTAGGTTGCCTATCCGCCGCTCTTCAGGGTATTGATTCGAACTCGTTCGCCGACGCAATGAGCGGTTACATGCGGAAACCCTACTTTTTAATGCTTCATCGCGGATCCAGTCACCTTGGGATATTGCATGGAATCACAATTGGGTGTAAGTGACTGTCAAATCTCAAATCAACAAGTTGAAAATTCGCTGATTACTTTTAGAAATGACAGATACGGACCCTATCATCATCAATAAGTTACTTATATTGAGTTAGGTACTTACCTGGTATCTTACTGGCCTCAGGGGATATGAAGAGCGGCTTGTGAGACACCTTGCTTCTCATAATCTTCCTCGTTGAGGTAGCAGAGGATACCTATGAGCCTACCGCATGGGCAACGACATTGGGGACTAACCAAGCGTTTGCTTCCACGTATTCGACGATTTACGATGCTACGTCCGCATTTTGCAACGGGCTACCATCGTTCTGAAGCACCTCCACGAATCCCTCTCAAAACCTCTTTACTGACTGTTTCTTCTCACAGTACAGAAAACGGGTTTCAAAAACCTGACCGACAGCAAGGACTCTGTTGTTTAGCACGTGAAATGCCCGTACAGGTCATTCTTCGAATACATCGCTGCCGACCCGATACGCAACAAGGAATTCATGCTTGGGATGGAGTGCCATTCTAGGTGGAACATGGCAACCTGGACGGACGTATACCCGACGGACCTGCTGCTCAAAGACGCAAAGCCGGATCGGCCGCTGCTCGTCGACGTTGACGGTAGCAATGGCCATGATCCCGAGAAGTTCTTGCTGAAGCACCCCGAAGTTTCGGGCGGGAGCCTCGTGCGAGAAGATCTCCACGAGACCCTCGCGGAAGTAGAGGCCGCAAATAAGGCTATTTCGAAACAGCCGTACGACTTTTTCACGCCTCAACCCGTGAAAGGCGATTGTGCTTACTTTATGGTATGAAGAGTAAAAAATTCTCTCTTTTCACAATTAGCACCCGAGCTTGGGTCTGTATCCACGTTTAACTTAAAGAGAATCATGACTACCTACTAAGACATACCAGAAATCCTCGCCGTACTTAGTAATAATCACTGACGCTTCGTATTATAGCATTCTGTCCTCCACGACTGGTCAGACGAACCCGCGATAAAAATACTGAGGAATATCCCCAGCGGAATGGAAAATGGGTACTCCAAGCTACTGATCAGGGAGAACCTCGTCGACAACGTCAAGCCGTCACGACGAACTACGACATCCGAAATGGTCATGATGTCCTGCGCGGCTTCGGCAGAAAGGACCGAGAAGGAGTGGCACGAGCTCGTCGGGGCGGCCGGGCTGAAGATCGTTAAGATTTGGAAGCAGCGCACAGCGCTGGACGGCGTTATCGAAGTGCATTTGGCGTAGATGGGTACCTAAGGTAGGTATATAAAAGTGGGAAGACGGTCTGCGGTCCTAACGCGAAAGTTCAACTGTTGCTTGACCTGAGGAAGTATAGAACGCGAAAGGGCCTGATTAATGTAACAATTAATCTGTGGTATCCGAGCTCAAGTTATAATTTCCCTTGTGCAAATCGTATTAAAACTAGTTGGGTTGATTTACCCCTTAATACGTTCAAGCGCTTACGTATTCTGCTGACCATAGGACTTACATTGTAATAATGTACGATTAAGCATAAGCAGTGAGCCGAGGATAGGGGGATTTTGATGTAGTACAGCCCGAGTGTCCTGGATCTCCGGCAAAGCAAAAGCGGGAAAAGCTGACCCCACTCCGGTAGAGGGACCGGGATAAAGGCGCAGAATCCCACACCGGGAGCGGCTGCATAGCTCCAATTAATCGGCAGCTGTCTTTTATCACAACTCCACCCTCAATCTTCCGCAACATGAATGATCTCTCTGGGATTTCCGCTAGTTTTCATTGTGAGTAAATATAGTACGCAGATTAAACCGTTTCACATTTATTATAATCTGATTACCTAGTACCTATTACTTTAGAATGAAGATACCATCGTGTTTGCTTAACAGCTCTATTCTTTACCTTGATCTTAATTATCAACGTCTGCTTGAATATGGATCAAATATGGTAATTTTTATATCTGCCAATGTAGCAAATGTCTGGGTCCTGCTACACCATATTAATGCGTTATATTAATGAAGACTGCAAATAGATACCTACTTTATATGTGACTCGTACGTTGTAGTAGTTATGAGAGATTGTATAGTCTTCTAAAAGACTAGAATTGGTCTTTGAGTATTTAACGGTGATTTAAAACGTTATTCAATCTAGCGTATATAATCTTTGATTTAAATCAGTTGAGCTTAGCAGTGTAAGTGCTTTGACATTTGGGCATAAATAGTCATGAATAGCCTCAATGATGTAATCTGGGACAGCAGGTAACTTTCTATGATGACCTTCCCATTTTAGCTTTCAATAATAGCATAATCCCAGAAAATTAAATCATAGCAAACCATCTAGATAATTGCAAATATGCATTGCGCAAGAGGGCCAGGGGACGTCATATCAGGATGCGGAGATGAGTCGAGAATAGTCGGACTTTTTGATACCAAATGATCAGTATTATACCCATACAGAAGAAATACGAGATGCTTAACATTCTAAGTGATATCGGATCCCTTATGTAACGGCGGTGATCGCATGAGAACAACGATCGAAATACCTCAACTGTCCTATGTCCCCAAGTGCAAACTTGCTACAGTACATGAGCTTCTAAATTCGATTGGCCGAATTGGCAAGATCAAGGAATTTTTGAAGCTGTGATTTGATGATATAAATGGGCCACGTAGTGTAGCAAGTTCTCACTTGAGGGCATATATGTGCCTAGAAGTAGTATGAAGTCATACCTAGAGGAGACTTTATTTGTTAATATGTCTTGTGACGTATAATTTCCAAACTTGGCCCGCGGTATCTGGAAGATTGTCGTGACCACCGACGGATAACCTCAATTATCCAGCTGTGGGTAGTAAAATTTCCTGTCGATTAGTTTATGCAGAATCATATTGGAGAATGATGAAAGCAAAGCGGTGGTTTATCGATGGACCACTGGATATTTCGATCTCAAACTCAAAACGCCTCCCATCGGACCAGCACGATGGTACAGATACGAGAGTAAAGTATCACATCTGATGTCAGATTCATATGTCATGCCCCGTTTGAGGATGAACCCAAGCGGAAAGTTACTATAGCTCCCAATACCTACATCGACTAAAGATTGTCAGACATGAGAGAAAAGTGTGGTGGTGGGAATTACATATGATGAAGCACTTCTGACTTCGCACTTCCTGAGGATTTGTGATTCGCCTTAGGTTTCGTCATCACGTAGGATCGCTGAGACGAGTGAGGTCAGCTTTTTCACCGCGAAAGGTTCCAGGGAAAGGGGGTTGGATTCACTTAGCAACTTTTCAGTGGCGAAAGGGACCCCGAATCGAGGAATATGCTACCCTGCAAACCCCTGCCCTGCTACATAAGTAAAAGATAGATGGATGCAGCCTTTTTTGGTTCTTCCCAGCGTTGATCTAAAAAGAAAAAATTGTGGAGATTCGATTCGTGGTAGGCAAGAGCCTCGTCCAGCACACGTTGAGTTGACTTCGCTGGATCGAGAATAGAACAACTGTGTGTTATGTACGTGTTCGAAGTGTAATAACCGGTGACCGATTCAGCTCGTCGTTGGCTGAAAAGAAATCAGCAACGACATTGTTCGGGTTGAATTCGTAGCTGACATCATAAGGCTTTTTGCCCGTTTACAAAGGGGGGAGGAATGTTCGAGGCACGGGCCAATTCTGACCTCACAGAACCGGCGAACAGGGGCAAACGGAAATCTGACAAGTGACAAGATCTCTTCTTACACCTGGTAGGCAGTATGTAGCAATCTATTATTACCTATCCCCGGCTCTCATGCACTGCGTTGCACAACTGTTCGTATTACAAGATTACAAGATTACCACCTACACACCTGGCGGCGGACGCCCCCAATTACATAGACTGACTTATACAGACTTACATTGGATTGGCCGGATAGGTCACAGATCGGAAAAAAAATATAAAGAAAACAGGTCTTAACCTATCATCTTGTCTCCATTGTCTAGATGGGTCTTTTTTCCCGTAGATCGAGCCAATTCGCCTACAACCGCACTTTAACCGATAGGGGTAACCAGTAGGCAGATCAACGGATTCCCCTTGGACCCCTAATTTTCTCGAGGCTGATCTGTTCTTTGCTTTTCCCTTTCTGCCTATCAATAAGGTAAGCAATAGATTGTGTAGATTGTGTGTCGTCGTCGGATTGACGTGCATCCTGCTTGGCTCGGATCTAATCCTAGCATTACAGTGCATTCGTTGGAGGTGTAGATTTCCCAATGGCGGCCTTTCCTCTACTTTCATGTCCTACACACCTCTTCTTTCCTGTGCGTCTCCTACGGCGGAAAAAAAAAATCTCGAACTTCTCTTTCTCAGACACGTTTTACCCAAGTCGATAATGTGTGAGACGTGCAGTCGCCAATTGCTGATTGAAAAGTGTGTTTGATGCAACACAAGGAATAGCAATCTCAACTAAAATTGCCATGGAACAGCAACAACAGCAGCAGTAACTACTAACTACTACTACTAGCACTTTTACCTCGTGTTTTTTGTACTCTCGATTTACACAAGCGGCGTCAAGAACTAATATCGAACTAATATCGAACTAACGCCTAAAGCCGGGAAATTCTCGTTTCCAGGTACTACCTATGTATAATTCTGCCTTTGTAATTTGGGCGGTTCTTCCAAAGTTTGAGATGTACCTGCTTTGCTTTTCGTGTGACGCCTTGTGAGACTTTGCTGCTGGACGATCCCCTTACTATCAAACATGTTTGTGACTTCCAGCGGGATATTCCCATTTGTGTGATTTAATACGTTAAGGATACACATACATATATATAAGAGGTACCTATATACATATATTTCTAGGTACACATATGTGTTGTTACGATGTATCTTAGAGGTAGGTCTCTTCAAATATTCAAATGAAGGTTCTTATTAGTTGTCTTCTAAGGTTCCAGTTATATAGAGGTACAAATGTACCTCCTCTTAATATATTGGATGGATGTAATCTGGTAACTTTGGTAACCCTATACCTTGCACGTGCTTATTACATAGCATAGTTATTTTATGACGTCACATCAATATTTTATTCATTGCTTGTCAAGTCATCGACGCTTTCTCAACACATTTGGATTGAGATTGAGCTAGGTAACATACAACATTCTTCCCTAGGTACCTAAAAAAAAAAAAAAAAAAAAAGGGTGCACGCACCAAGCAGCCGGGATCATCTCATCATTGTAATACGTACCATGTACGTACAGTAGCAACGCATATCGCCCAGTGCTAGTGCTGGTGCAGGTGCAGGGTCTTTCCGTCCTGGCCGCCTGGCATCCTCGAAAATTAATGGCCTCCATACTTCCGCATCGGTACAGCAGAAACTACTATATTAGACGGTACGGTCTTGTGGCCAATAGAATGACATATGCGATGACTTCAAAAGGTGACCTCAAAATGGTCGAAACAAGATCGCCAGGGTCTTTCCTAATCGTACATGGGTGGCCCTGCTGTGGGAGGTCTAGGAGTGTCTCTCTTCACGGGTGGGGGGAATAGAGACATCGAGAGAGAGAGAGACATGAGATCTCTAAAAGTCTTCCGCTATTCTTTATGTCTTCACCCGCTAGCGGCTGACCGAATGCAGAATGACATGCCATTTTTTCTTCACAATCTAACAATGTACAATACCCCTTTCCGCCGTAGCCCGCCTCCCTAATTCGATGGTGTGGTGCTTAATGAGTGGTTATGGTGGTATGGCCTAATCAACTACGTAGTAGCGACTCTGCACGTCTGGTGCGAGTTTGGATACTTTGGAGGGGACAATGCATCATCAGCCTTGCTCGTGGCAAAAGTCTAATGGTCCCGGCTCGGTCATTGGCTTGTCTACCCTCACTTACGCCATAGCCTGCAGGCTTGGTTTCCCATCCCGGTACTAAAACGGCGTCCTTACGTGTCGATCAACCCCATATTCAACCTCTCAGCGCCTTTGTTTGTATTTGTATGTACCTTGTGCAGTGAAAAAGTGGTGGCAGTAAACTCCCTTCTGACTAGTCCTGACTAGTCTATCAGGTCCAAGCCCCAACATTACCTAGCAGCATCTTCTTTGAATAGTCTAGCTGTAGACTTGTAGTAGTCCCGTTAGTCGGTAGCAGTTAAGCCCTCTGAGGTCACGGCCCGCTTCTACCTCTTAATTGTTCATATCCCCATATCCCCTCTTTTCCCAATCTTTGTTCTCACGTATAAAAACTCGAGACCTCACATCTTCCGTCCCCCGGTTTATTGCGATCCAACGATATCCACCAACAGAAAAGATATACCTATCTACAGATTCAGCACGCACGAACAGGTTTTGGTCTTCTACACGTAAACCATACCTACCTAGGTACATATATAATCATTTTTCACGTCATATTCAAGCCGGCTTGACGTTAAATATATATATCACACTTTTTACCGGGAAAAATTCTCATACAATCGCCAATCTTATAAACCATGTCGTCTCGGACTTCCTACACCACCATGTCCATGCCGTCTTCCATCCCCTCGCCCGTAGATCTGGCTAGTTACGCCCGGTCGATGCACCTGCACACCAAGCGGCAAATGGAGGCGGCGAACATGCCCACGAGCCGGCGGAGTAACCGCTCGTCGCGGACCCACGTCCCCGGCCTACCTAACGGCACATCCGGCACGTCGTCGTCCAGGAATCCGGACGAAGTCGAGTATCACGATTGAAGAGAGACATGTACCTTGTTTGTACGAGTTTTTTTATCAGCGGGAGTCGAGAGAGCCAAAAACAACAACACAACACACCACCATTTTTAAAGTAAACATCAACGTACAAGAATAGAAATGTCCCACGAGTAACACCGCGGGACACTTGCGGGCGGGGAAACGAAAAAATACATACACACACATACACACACACACGGATTGGCTCAGCTCACACCGAGTTTAGAAGCCGGATATGGAACTTGGTCGTGGGGCGTTCCAGATGTTCTATTAGGGAAGCGGATACACAGCGTATGCGGAGGGGAAATGGAATCCGTGCTTGCACAGCCCGCTGGCGCGAAGGACTTTTTTTTTTACCACGACGATACATACACATATACTTATACACATACAGCCGACCGCCCCACGATCACGGCTGGTGGTGTTTTTTTATTACATCTACATCACATGGAAGCGACTTCGATTGCAGGGATTATAATAATCATGAGAGCAGCAGTTCTTTTGGCGAGGGAGTTAGGTTCAAGCAACAAAGTCGTCGTTGGAAAAGTGGCCTGTTCTGTTGTTGATAGTGAGTGAGTAAGTAAGTGGGTGGGTGGTTGAATCTAGGCAACAAGACGAAAACCAGGACCACTAGCTAAACTAAGCGACTGCGATAAACACGAGTCGTACGAGAACACGAATCTAATTGATTGATGATCTGTCCCCCGGGTACCCGGGATGATCATGAAACATCTATTATTCTCAAAAAGACTTCTCTTCTTGTCTTACCTGTTGTGTCATACGCGTCCGTGTGAGCTGTGTTCGTGTTGTGACAAGTTGACCGCTCTTATAAGTGACCAGGCTCACGACGCTTCTGCGGGCAAACAAGAAAAAGAAAAACAACTCTACTACCTACGTTGTTCTTGTCGGGTTGTTACTATTTGCGAATCCTATCTATAACACTTTGTGTTCATGCGTCTACCTAATATTTAGCGCGAATCTCTCAAGCCGGCGAATTCACTCTAGTCTGATACAGTAGTTAGTTAGTTGAGATAAAAAATCAACTTACAAGTTTCTAAAATAAAAAGCGCTCAGTATCGCCTAAGCAACTAACATACCTACCTACTTACCTCTTAACGGGGGGTGAAAAGAAAAGATCTCCTCACCTATTAAATTGCGTTGCGGAACCCAACGAAATCTCTCCATGCGGGACGCCGGATACGATGTCGATCTTTGCACGGCCCTGGTAGCCCGACAGCCGGTTTTTCTTCTTCTTTTTTTCTTAGAATTATAGATATATATGCCTCACCAAATGTATGTCGAAGCATATCATGTTGTTTTTAATGATAGCCCGCGGTTAGGGGGAAAGCCTTCCTTCTTTTCCCTTCACACAGCATTACTACCTGAGTACCTGATGTATAAAGATGGACTTCTCATTCGTCTTTGGCGAATGTATGTCGGGTCGGGCGGAACAGGGATTCGATAGGGACGCGGGGACTTCTCCATCATTCATATGTTATATGCTGGTATATGTTTATGTTGATCTCCGCGGGTTGCCGATGCATGGGGATATTCGTTAACTGGCATGTTTGCTAGCGTTAGGAAATGCTTGTATGTAGCTATTTTTACCTACTATTATTATTATTGAACGATGGCCCGCGCGGCCCCGGCCATGTCGTTAATAAACCAGGCCAATAAAATAATATCTTTCGCTACCTAATGCTATGCTATGTATGCCATGCCGTGAATCCGATTTGCTCATAATTGGGTGCTATTATAGCTATCGACCCCGTTTACACAAGAGGCGCCTTCCTCTTAATCCCGAGTGCTGCCGAATGATCCTTTTTCTTCTTCACCACCCGCTTGAACGACGGTGGTGGTGGCATGTCTGCACTTGGGGATGACGCTGACACTGACACTGATACTGACGCCGACGCCGTCGTCGTCGAAAGCTGGGGCTGGGGCTGAGGAGTGCTGCTGCCGCTACTCCCAGACGCTATTGCCGACGACGAAGCAGGCGCCACGTCATCCATTTCCTCCTCTATAACGTCTTCCGTCATTTTATCGACCTGTCTCGCAAACTCAAAAGCTCTCCTCGCCGCCTCCGCGTCTTCCCTCTCTTGCCGCTCGGCTTCGGTGTCGATGGGCAGTGCGACGCCCACCTCTACGCCTTCCTGGTTCGCGCGCTCCAGTCGGGCGTTCCGTGTGCGGATCTCGTCGAGCGCGTCCGCAACCGCCATTTCACGCTTTGCGTCTACTGTTTTGGCCTCGAGCTCCACCATGGCGTTGCGCTCCTCCTCTTCTTTTTCTAACCTATCCAGCCGCTCCTCGTCTGTCTCATCGCGTCCTACCCGCCATGGCTCTGTGCTCCGCTTTGCTCCACTTTCGCAGGCCTATGGTTAAGGTTAGAGGATGGATGAAATCCGCGGGTTTACGGCAGTAGAACACGGAAAACTGGAACATACATAGTCTTGATTCTTGGGATCTGTCTTGAATGTGATTTGTCCACTACATCTCGTACACCGGATGTAAAATCCTGTATTATATCAGTATCAACCTAATATCCTACTGGATGATCTATCCAAGGTAGAGGGGCAGGACGTGGTACAACATACTGCCGTATATGTTAGCTCTATCGAAGATAGTAAATACGAAAAAAAGGGGATATATAATATGTACCTGAAGATCTGAATGCCGAGATATTTCTCATCCACTGGCGTCTCTTTTCGCGCGTTAAACTTAAATTTGGCATTAGTATGAGGCGTTGTTCTGAAGTTTCCTCGGGGTTGAACTGGTACCTTTCTCCCTTTGTAGATGTACTCTCCGCACGTAGTACATTTCATAGAACTGTCAAATATCAGTATCCAGGCCCATTCTACAGCCATGCACAGTTGAATAATAATATCATTACGTACTACGAATGGGTTAGCTTCTGTATTAAGAAACACCTTGGGTCTAAGATTTAAACAAGGTATAAAGGATATCAACATACCAATGGTGCTGCCAGACGGACAGTCTGAACTTTCGGACCGGCATTTTTCGGCCCCTTGACTCTCTTGATCTGGCTAGGATCGAAGTCAGGGGGGTAGTATTTGGCTGCGAGTAGTTAGTACTAAGAAAGTTGATAAAGCGATAGCTGCTATCCACGAGGTCGATATTATGGTAGAGTCATCGGCGGGGGGAACATACTGAGTACTTTTCGTTCGGACATGGTCGTTTACTTGACGAAAAGGACAGGGCGATTGGATTCACTAGATTTACTAGATTTACCAGGGTATTAGTTCCTGACGAATCGCGGTTTGATGAGACGCGTTCGACGGCGATTTGTTGAAGATGTTGAATAATTGTAAGGCGATAAAGATACAAGGGGAACGTGTAAGAGGAAGCAGTTGATTGGTACATAAGTACATACTGGTAGTATTAAGTGGGGTCAAAACGCTAGTCACGTGTGGCGTCAGCCTCATTTTCTTTTTATTCATCACCTTGGAAAACTGCGGCTGAAATTGGGGCTGTTTGAAAAAAAAAATAAAAATAAGAGATACGTTCGGGACTTGGATAGGATTTGACCCACTTCCCCGTGTATGATGCACGCCAAGATTTTTAGAGTGGGGCCAATCTATTTCCAAGTCTTTGCTGGCCTTGTCGTCGGGACAATTATCTAAAATCCAGCCTCTGTCCCCTGCGCTACACTAAATCTGGTTTTGGTCGAATGGGGCCAACCAGGCATGTCCCCGTCATACTATGTAGGTCATAAATTCTGGATGGATATGAGAAAATGACCTTACTACCGGTGGTGGGAAATGTTGGATAATGATTCTTTTTAGAGTAGTTAGATACCTCGCATAACATTCGTGGAGAAGTCCCAGGTCAACGTCACTGGAGACCCCTACTGGAGACTCCTATTGAAGTCCTACAGCATCATATCACTCAGGGTTTAATAATCTTATGCGAACTAATTGATGATTCCCAACAATTCCGTGGCTATAATTCCAAAACGGGTCGGACATGCAAACATCATAAACTATTCTGTTAGTTGAGCTTTTTGTATCATTGATTATCATAGGACCCGGTCCACTACTAAGCCGATTCATCTTCGATCACGAACCCCAGCTTCGAACATTTCCGCTAGGATGTCCCATTTTCCCGCAGCGCTGTCGCCACTGGCCCTTGCAACTCCCCTCAAACCGCTACAAATGAATTTCAAGTGGCGATCGATGTCGGCTCGTATGTCATGCAAAACTTCTGCGAATGGCCTTTCTTTATCTTGCATCATGGAGGTCTTGTCCTGGTCCAAGAGAAATGTCTCGTCTTCCTCCTCGCCACTTCCCATGTACCGTCGACTCTGCTTCAAGGGCGAGGACATCACTGATAATCGCGATAGCTCTTGTTCCTCTTCTTGCTCTCGCTCAGATTCTAATTGGCGTGCATCTTGAAGTCTAATGGCAAGATCGAACATGTCTAAAATGCATTCTCGGATAGGATCGAGCTTGGTGCCTAGACACACTTCACTAATAATTTGCTTCGTGTATGCACTATGCAATGCTTCCATAGCAGCTATATCCTCTGTCTGTTCAAGATTATGGCGAAGCTCGGCAGAAAGTGGTTCTAGGACTAACGTATTCAGGTAAGATCGAAAGGTATTACAGAACCAAAGGAGTTTCGTTCTGAGACCATAATAAGTTGCTTGGTCTGATGACGTATTTGGTGCACCCGCAGTGTTGTCCGAGACTAAGCGGTATTTGTGAAGGACGTAAGTGGCTCGGCGGAGCTGTAGTAAGAAGGTGAAGACCGCTTCATATTGGGCAAGACTTTCGTCTGATAAGATAATTCGGATTGGCCAGGACAACCGATAAAGTATTCTAACCAGTGGTAGACCCTTGCGAACCGACCTTCGAATATTCTTTACATCATCTGTAAGGTTATCTGTGGCCACAGTGACGACTAGCCTGTGAGCATTGGTAATAGTACCGAACGTCTCCTGGGCTACAGCAGTCAAGTTGAAGCGATCATGCCAGTTTGAATTAAGGAGGTCCAAGTTGTTGAAAATTGCAAAAGCGAAAAGGTCGGCTTGTGCGCCGTTGGACATAAGGTAAACTTGTTGAAGAGCGTCCAAAACTGACCAGAGACTACAGGAATCAAAAAGAGTCCGCCGGAGAGTCGTAGATGCGGCATGATGCTTACTCTCCATCCATGTATCGAAAACATTGTTAAAAACCTCAGAAAATGGCGCGAAGATGCCGTGTGCTGATATAAGGTCTTTGTTAACACCTATAGGCGAATCCGGTGTATTTTGAGCGTTGCTTGATTGATATTTTCCAAGGAGCTTAAGTACAACAACACTTTTTCCGGTTGTAAGTATTTTCGATGTTGCAGGTCGTAAAAACCGCGGTACATATAAGGCACCATCCGTTGTTTTTCGCAAAGTAAACTGATTCGACCATACTTGAGCCAGCGGAACCTGGCTTGTCGAACTGGTTATGAAAAAAGCCTTATCATCATTTATCAGCTCTCCAGCCTCCATCCAAAGGCGAATGGATCGAAGGTAGATATGGAAACACTCGAAAAACAGGGTAGCAATAAATCGATACACCGCATCGTTTCCTCCTACTTGGGCAAGTTCGGCAGCCTCGAAAAGAAGTTCCAAGTAATAAAAAGGGCGCGGATATTTGGATCGTTGAAGCTGCTGGATAATGTCCGAAAGGCTGAGAAGCGGTTCTAAATGAGGCTTTACATCATCAAGAACCCTGGCTAGGCTAATAATAACGTCTTGCTGGATATCTACGTATCGAGCTTGCAAATCTGATATTTCGCGATTAAAGGATCCAAGGCGTTCCTCAACTGCCTCTCGGAAAACCTGCAACAGCGGGATATTCTGGGGCTGCTTTATAAACTCGCGCAGGAGGGACAACTGTCGACCAGCTTCGCCAAAGGAACCCAGTAGTGCTTTATAAAGTTCCCACGAAGTATGCTTCAACTGGAACTGTAGCGAAAGCACACTTTGGCCGTCGAATAGGGTATTCTCAAGACCATTTAGCATGAACAGCACCTCGCGTATAATTTGGAACTCTGATAAGGCAATCTTATGAGACCGACCTGTCGGCTCCTTTGACGGCGAAGCATTTCTCCAAAGCTGGGTTACTCGAACTTGCTCTAAGTGTTCCTCGTCTTGAGACTCGACAAGGAAATCGGATGGGGATTTCTGATACTGTCCTTCGACGGTGGATGCTGAGGTGACCTCGGCATTAGATGATAGATCGGATGCACTTTCAAGATATTCCTCTTCGGAGCTATAACTGTCAAACTTGACAGTTTTCCAGAGATTACCATCTTGGTCCCAACCCTCTTCCTTGGCAATGTCTTCCCATCTAAGAGGAGGTTCAGGGTTTTCGTCTCGCTGTTTGAATAATCTCAAATCAGCGAGCTTAGAGTTTTTAACAGGCTGGTCCTCCAGCAGCAATAGTAGATGAAGAATCTCGGGTGTCCATTTGCTGGAAACTTGTGGTAAGGCATCTAAGCGCTCTCTCAAAGCATCTGCCAATCCATCTTTGTTGACGACGCGAAAGTGCTCTTCGAATCCGTTAAGTTTATCCTGAACGTCAAACTGGTTCGTGCTTAGAAAATTATGTTGACGGAGTTTTCTTAAGCTGGATTCTCTGAGAACATTAAAACGTTCGGGATCTAACTATCGATGTGTGTAAGTTGAGTGGGCAGAATGGAATGGAGTGAATAGTTGGTTTATTACTCCTACCCACCTGGCCTGAAGTCGAAGTGATAACTTCAACTAACTCGTCAGTAAGTGCGCCCAACGTTGCGGCATGTGCCATATTAAGTGTTTTATCCTCATGGAGTAAAATTTTAAAAAAAGTAAGGTTAGAATGAAAGGTCACGAAAGAAAAGGGAAAGGAAGTGGTTATTTTAGGTAATCCATCAAGTGGTCTCTCAATCACATGTACCTATGTTCTCTTACACACATTGTTGAAGCTTATCTACCTAGGTACCAAAAGATTATCAAATCGATAACGCGTCGACGTGATCTTGTAATTTACTGGGGGTTTTATCAGGCCAAGCCAAGGGGTGCCAAGGCTCTTACTGTGCGGGTAATATAATATCTTACGCATCACGTGCTTCTAACACTGTGGCTCCCCCTTTCCACTTGCTTACACGTACCCACTTTTCGATTTTACGTACAACAAGATACAGTAGGAGGTACCTTATTAACCAAGATTTTCCGATGCTTCGTATCCATTTCTTCTGGACATCCTGGACATCCTGGACATTCTGCATTCTGAACACATTGAACACTTCAAACATGTGCCATCTGGGCCACGATTCCTGACGACCACCTTCCATTCACCTGTATATTTCCCACCGTTTTAATTGGTTCTGTTTTCTCCCCTTATTATGATCATTCCCGCGATAGTCTAAGCTACCATTCATTCGTTCCTTGATATCGATCTCTCGACTTAGACACGAATTTGGGGCAGTGGACCTCTTGGCGAAGTTAATGAATATAAAACAATAACTACCACAATGGCCATCGCGAGGCCTGTCCGCGCTCTTGCGCTTGCTGTCTTCCTAGTCAGCTGTTTCTTTCTATACACAATATGGCGTCCTGCTTCTTCTGGCGTACCCAGCATAAAGACCTCCGCCGACTTTCACGGCACTATCGAAAGGGATCCGAACTTAGATCGTGAGTTTTCTCTAGTCTGTTCTCTAATCACTGGTGCGCTCTATCTGACAACTCCAACAGCTACTGGAGAACCCGAAGGTAAACTCGTACGCGCAACCGAAGGAGGATACGCCCCCGGTATCGCTGGTACCTCCAGAATCAATGCGACGATCCTGACGCTGGTGCGAAACGAGGAGCTGGATGGAATATTACAATCGATGCAGGACTTAGAACGAACATGGAACTCTAAATTTAATTACCCGTGGACATTCTTCAACGATGTTCCTTTCACTGAAGAATTCAAGCGAAGGACACGAGCAGCAACCAAGGCTGAAACACGATATGGTAAGTCCCTAGGATTATGGGCAACTCGATTAGGCTCGTCCAGGTACTAATTAATACTCTAGAACTAATTCCGAACGAGCACTGGGATACACCGTCCTGGATCAACGACGACTTATACAAGGAATCAGTCAAGATTCTTGAAGAAAACGAAGTTCAATATGCCGACAAGATTTCATACCACAAGATGTGTCGATGGAATAGTGGGCTCTTCTACAAGCACCCCGCGCTAAAAGATATGCAATACTACTGGCGTGTAGAGCCCAACGTCCACTTCTTCTGCGATGTCGACTATGACGTATTTCGTTATATGCAAGACAACAACAAGACCTACGGCTTCACTATCACCCTTTACGATGCTCCCAAATCGATTCCCACTCTATGGCCAGAGACGACCAAATTTATCACGCAGCATCCTGAGTATCTCCACGAGAATAGGGCCGAACAATGGCTGACCGATAAGCAACGACGTCCTATCCACTGGGAACTTGCAAATGGCTATTCGACATGCCACTTCTGGACCAACTTTGAAATTGCCGATATGAATTTCTGGCGAAGCCAGGCGTACGAAGACTACTTCAACCACTTAGATCGCGCGGGTGGCTTCTTCTACGAAAGATGGGGCGATGCACCCGTGCACAGCATAGCGCTCGGTCTATTTGAAGATAAGAGCAAGATTCATTGGTGAGTTGATAATCTATTGCGATCTATTGCGATATATTTAGTATACTAAACTCTTTTAGGTTCCGCGACATCGGATACCAGCATATCCCTTTCTTCAATTGTCCTAACTCGCCGAAATGCAGAGGCTGCGTTACCGGCCGTTTAACTGACGGCGAGCACTGGTTGCATAAAGAAGACTGCCGACCGAACTGGTTCAAAGTCGCTGGGATGGGCTGAACGTGACCAAGAGAAGGGATGTTTTAGGATACATGAAATACAACGGCTGCATGATATTGCCCGATGCTGTACTAATGTCTGGGAAATCCCATTATGGATACGGATAGCATGGCGGCATGCGGTGTTTCGGCGTAGAAGGAGAGGGCACTTCATAGAAAGGGGGCTGTTTCTCAGGTTGGCATGGTACAATTAGCCAAGTTATTTTACCAGGATCCGATTTGAAGGGTCGTCTGTATCAGGTGTCGAAAGATGCCGTTCGATACGTTGGATATCTTTTATGGAATCATAAGAGTAATTGAATGATGTAGGGGATACTTGTATCAATTATACCCGAATACTGTGACAATACCAGATGTACCACTAACGCAAAATTGATCTCCAAATCCGTTCTCCCTCCAAGCAAAGCAACTTAGAATATTACTGCGTTCTTTCGGCTTGCCGTCCTTTCCAATAGACTTCTTCGGCCCAAGACCAGCAGGTCCCCAGGGTACAGCTACTTTAGCTTTCAACTCTCCCGTAAGAACATCCCAAGCCCATATCCTCCCTTCTCCATGTCGACCCGGAGCGCCTGTCATTTCATCTCCCGTCAGGACATACTGTTCCTTTCCACCTAGGATAGACTGGACCCGTAAATCTTCATTCTTCCAATCGGGATGCGAGTACGTCTTAAGACACCCTCCGCTCTCCCTGTCCATCAAACGTAGTTTGCTATCTAGACTGCTCACCAAAACAGCCTTCCCATCTTTCGTTAAGCACAAACTCGTAACGCTCGGCCCGATGACGTCCGTCGTACACCGGCCCATGCGCACGTCGTACGTCCTCACGCGCCCGTCGACGCTGCCGGCGACGATCTCGGGCCCGCGCACGGCGACCGCGGAGACGGAGTCGCGCGCCTCGGCCAGGACCTGCACGGGCTTGAGGGAGTTGCTCTTGACGTCCCAGACGCGCACCGTGGTGTCGAGGCCGCCGCTGACGAGCAGGGAGTCGTCCTCGCCCGCGAACGCCACGCAGTTGATGCGCGCCGTGTGGCTCTGCTGGCCGCCGCCGAAGCGCCGCAGAGTCTGCGCCGTCGCCACGTCCCACAGGAAGACCGCGCGGTCCCCGCCCGACGACGCGAACCGCGCGTTGTCCGCGGCGACGCTCAGCGAGAGGACCTCGTACCCGTGCGCCGAGTACGTCTGGATCAGGCGGCCTTCCGGTACTGTAGATCCCGGAGGAGGCCCAGAACCGCTCTTCTGGTTGGCGATATGAGAGCTTGAGGGGTGGATCGACGTGCTGGGCTGCGGGTTGTACAGCCTGATAGACCGGTCCGCGGACCCGGCTAGGATGTAGGTCCCCGGGGAGGCCGAGTACGCGAGCGCGTGGATGGGGCCTGAGGAGGTTGGGTATTTGTGGTTAGCGAATTTATTATTATGGAGTTATCTTCTTATAAGTTGAGAGAACTTACCGTTAGATCCTAGTAGATGAGCGATTGGCTTGTCCGGGAAAGCCATTGTTTGATATCGCGTCTATAATCCATGACCCAGCTTAAGAGGAAGATTCATCCAACCACTTATACGGACATAAGTCAACCCAACATCGTGTGAATTGACTACACCTTTTTTTAACGGGGAAATGAATTTCAAATTATGACTAGTAACGTAGTAACGTCAACTACCTCCTATTGAAAAAACCAACGTAGAAACAAAGAATTACTTGGCTATAATTGAGTGGTTGAGTGGGTAAGTGAGTAAGTGGATGAGCGCGTTACCTTAGGTTTAGGTAAGAGGTAGGTAATTGACTTACTGAGAAAGTCTCATGTAAAACCCCACCGTACATTGCCATTACCTACATCCTATCTTATCAAAAAGGATGCCCGCCGCTAGCGTAATCGGCAAGTAGGAATTACGGTCCAAAAAAATTTATCGATAACGATTTTTTTTATTTTACACCAGTTCAAGACTCCAGAATTTTTTTCGTAAAGCTTCAACAACTTATTCGCATCGTCACCAATTGTACTCGGGATCAAGTAATATTCTAGGAGACTAGATTATTCTTTCGGTTCAGAGTGTTTGCAATGCTTCGATTGAGCAGTCGGAGCGCGCGCCGTATCGGAACTTCATATATATGTACATCATGTCTTGTCGCTTGCCATTCGACAAGATCGCAGGCGCTGCGTCCCACCTTGATCCCTAGCCATCACGGCCGACATCTATCGACCACATCGCGCCTACTTACGCCTACAACCGAAACCTCTACTACGACTAGTACCGATGGCGCTGGAGACGTAAAGATCCCACCACCAGAAGCGCCCAAGAAAAGGAAGAGGAAGAAGCCAAAAAATGAGGAGAAGACTATCGCTGCCCAGGCCGAGGGCGAACGTCAGCTTCAAGTGTTGCAAGGCGCACTTCAAGCACTGAAGAATGTTCTTGCCGCACAGAATATCAGCGTCGATCAGATTGGCAAGCTCGGCACTCAGGTCGACCAGAACGGTCTACTGCTAGGAGGAGCTACCGAGAAGAAAGAGGAACAGACTGAACAGTCCTCAGAGAAGAAGGAAGCAAGGAAGAAGTCAAAACGAAAAGCATCAGATGACCAAGGTGCAACGGCAGCCGATGCCGCGCCAGTCGATGGTGCGCCAGCAAAACCCAAGAAGGCTGCGGGGAAGAAGGCGACAAAGCGTGAAAAGGTAAAGCAGAAGGCAGCTCCCAAAAAGGCCAGGCCGGCATTCAGCAAAGTTCCACAGAAGGACAGACCTAAAAAGAAGACCCCTCCTCCAAGCCTAGGCAGCGGTGTTGTTTGGGGTGACTACAAGATGATAGGCGAAAATGCATCCGAAGGACCGGAGGAAGGTGGTAAAACCAAATCAAAGACCGTGCCCCTAGAGATCAGTTCTATACGCGCCAGAGACCTTTTCCCAACACCTGTTTTGACAGATCACCCGACGGTTCCTGGGTTATCCTATGGTCTCGAAAGAGTTTTGTTTAACCCCGGCGTGTACCATCTACAGGATCCCCGTTCCCGGGTTTACAACTTCGACCCGTATCTCTCGGAAATCATGCCAATTCAGGAATTTGATTTCAACGCCTTGAAGCAGTACGTCACATCTTCTAAGGACAACACACTTATCGGAATTGCAAAAGAGCATGGCAAGAAATACACAGGTTCGACGTCGAGTATGACATCTATGCTTTCCCATTTCCATTATCTCTTATCTGCCTGGCGAGAAATAAATACGGAAATGCTGTCCAAGGGGTTCGTCACAGAATCTCTTCAATTTACCAAGATCATGAAAGGTCCGGCCGCAGTATTCTTGCATTGGAAAGATGGCACCTACGCCATAGACGCTGATAAGGAATTTGACTCGGCCAACATCCTGAGTATGCTTGGAAAGTCCATGGAGAAACTTCTTACTGTTTCTAAAGAGGAATACGAGAGGTACAGACATATCAATTCTGACCAAATTACTGAGGAAGAACGGAATGCCGCAGAGGCCTTCCACTACACTAAGTTCCTCGATTTCATGATGCGTTCTCAACTGGACGCGCATGATCCAAGGGTGCCTGGGTCGGGTATGTTCGATCTCAAGACTCGTGCGGTTGTGTCCATTCGTATGGATGCGAAAGGATTCCACAAGGGTCTCGGCTATGAGATTCGTAACCGATTTGGCCAGTGGGAATCATTTGAGCGGGAATACTACGACATGATTCGTTCTGCATTCTTAAAATATTCCCTCCAAGTTCGCATGGGTCGTATGGATGGCATATTTGTCGCATTCCATAACACCCAACGTATCTTCGGCTTCCAATACATTCCACTAAGTGAAATGGACCTTGCCTTGCACGGAACATCGAACACAACTCTTGGAGACAGGGAATATAGGCTCAGTCTTGCGTTGCTTAACGATATCCTAGACCGAGCCACCAAGAAATTCCCAGAGCAGTCCCTACGGCTACACTTCGAGACAAGGACGTCAGCGAACGCGCCGTTCATGTATATTTTTGCGAAGCCAGTATCCCAGCAAGATATTGACGAGGTTCAAAATGCCAATAGGGCGTCTATTGAACAATTTGAACGGGAGATTCTTGGTCTGGCCAAGCAAGAGGCAGAGGTAGAGGCGGAAGCTGAAGCTGAAATTGAAGCAGAGGCGGAAGCGGAAGCGGAAGCGCAGGCTGAGGCTGAGGCTGCTGATAAAAATGAGGAAGTGGTAAAGAAAGAGGTTGAGGTGGTTGAGGCGGTTGAAAATTATACATCAGAAGAAACCTCGAGCCTGGCCGCTTGGAATGAAGTACGCCAGATGGTTGAAGATGCTGTGGATGACGACGAAGTTGGCGTCGGCGCTGTTCGAGAAGCAATCGAAGACGCCCTGGAACAGAGTGGGCTCCTTCACGCGAAATCATCCACCGAAGCGCGAGGATACGTTGATGCCCTACTAAGTGCCATTACCAACAGTGCATCCAAACCAGAACCGACACTAGACGCGCCGGTCGAGGAAGAAGTGGCTGCCGATGAGGATGACTCCGCTGTGACTCAGGAAATACCGGAGCCAGAATCAGAACCCACTACCGAACAGTCCGCGTCTGAAGTTGAAGTAGATTCTGAGCAGTCGCAAATCGAAGAAAAGCCCGGAAATACTTCTGGTGAAGATGAGAGTGAGGATTCTCCGATAGAAGAAATAAAAGAGAATTCAGACGAAAGCTTAGAGGCGCAACCCGAGTCTGAACAGACAACATCGCCCACGTCTAATGATGAGCCCAAGGATGTCATGCTTGAGCTGAATGACTCGGCCTCCTTAGAGGAGGCAACATCACAAACACAAACCGACGTCAATGCAACAAGAGAGGTTGAAGAGGAAGGAGAGGAAGAGGAGGACCAGGAAGAAGAAGAGGAAGAAGCTGATGATATTGATGATGAATTAGAGGAAGGAGAATCCAAGAGAGATCTCAACACGGCTTCGTCTATGTCGCCGTTGAAAGATCTCATCGTGAGAATGGCTCAAAGGATCGATGAGAAAGCGCCGTCTGATGAGGCTGAAGGCTCTATAGATGATTCGTCCAAACTTAAGGAATTTGAGCGAATCCTTGGCGAACTCATTGCTCGTTCCAAAGATGAAGGAGCAGAACCTCGAACCGATAACACTGGCTCTACTTCAGGGGCTCCGACAGAATCGGGAGTCGAAGGCGAAGTTGAAATCCTCGAGACTGAGGCTCAGAAAGCCGAGGGCACAGAAGGTGCTTCTCAGACAGAGGCTACCTCGGAAGAGGTTTCAGGTGATGCTAAGCCGGCTGAAGAGGAGATCGACGAGAACCTTCTGGGCATGGTTTTAACCATTAGAAACAAGGTTAACGGCGAATACGTAATGCGGCCCGGTGAGATGAAGAAGGGTGACGATTGGGTCGTGGAATACAACATCGAGGAGATCGCACCTAAGCGGGCCAATACCATCTACAGGCAAATACAGGCTCGACGACGCGCGGTGTTCGAGGACACGGGCAACAAGGAATCGGAGTGGTACAAGATGTTCCGCGGTAGACTCGAGCAGCACACGTTGTCGGGTCGTAAATTCAGGGCCGCGGAGAACCTGAGAGCCCAGAACCACCCCGTCCACATTATGGGTTTCGATAAGTCGCTGCCATGGGAAGAAGTCTTTGGAAGGCCGAAAGACCCGCAACCAACGGGAATCGAGCTGGAACAATTACTGGAAGAACAGGAGGAAGAGCACTTGGAGACCCGGGTGGAGAGCAACCTCCAGGACCAAGTGAAGGATCAGGTGCCGTACCAGGTGGAAAGCCAGGTGGAAAACCAGGCGGAAGCCCAAGCTGAAGACCAGGTAGAAGGCCAAGCGGAGAACGAAGTAAAGGATGAAGGGGAGAGCCAAGTCGAGGGTGAAGCGAAGGACGAAGCGAAGGAGGAAGTAGCAGATCAGACGGAGGACCAGGTGGAGAGCCAAGAGAAGGACGAAATTAAGGACGAGGTGAAAAATGAAGCGGAGGGTCAAGTGGAGGATGAGGTAAAGGACAAGGAACAGGATGAGCGGGAAAATGAGAAATAGGTTGGCTGAAGGAAAAAGGAAAAAAAAAAGAGCTGGATATTACGTCGATCGTAGGCTCATTCTGTCTGTCATCTGTCTGTGACTCATTACATACACACAGTCCAGTGTACAACATAATATGCGACCTACGGCGCTATGATATTTATACGACGATGGCGTGAAAAAAAATATCGGAGGGTTTTAGGGGGCGACTTTCGCTGGCAGGGGGGGAAATTTATAAAAAAAGACAAGGAAGAAAAAACAAAAGGTAAGGAAAGAAGATCTTGGGGCTAATCTTCTCGCGCTGGCTAATATAGCATAGCAATTGGCATAGCAATTGGCATTGACATTGGCATTGCTAGGCTCGCGGGCAGGAAAGCAGGACCGTCTCGACTCTGTATATTTAACGCTGTATTATGTATATGATGTGTATGAATTTTATAGCCTGATAAAGATAGACTTCGTTCATAACAGGTACCTATCTTACTTTGCCTAGATACCTAGATGGGAGGTCGGACTAGTTACTATCATGATTGCTACAGTACTACGCCCGGGTTGTGTATTAGATATAACTTAAAGGACCTATTTTAACTTATGTTGATCTCCTCTCCAATATAGGAGGTATCTACCTTGTATATAATGTACCTCATTACTCAAACGGTTAGACGAGGTGAAACCAATTACTTATTGACAAAGCTACTTCTTACTTAACCTGGTGGTCAAGACAAATTTTTACGACTGAATTCATCACGTAATAACTTTTCTAAGAGCCGACGACTAAAAATAAAAATAATTAATTAGCAGTAGGTAACTACCTAACCTATAGAGAGCTAGCTAGTACGGAAGCAATAACTAATAGAAACAAGTAAGTTTTCCGAGGAGCAGAATTGATCAATTCCCTAGGGTATCTACCTACACATAGCCAAGCCACCTCCCTCCCCCTTTCCACTCTCCTTTCTGCCCCTGTTGCCTCTCCTACCATCAACACCAACACTCTCATCCTATCCCCCTTTCGTCAATAAGTGTACACAGACTACAGAAAGTAGTACCTCAGAGGTACCTAGGTCCTAGGTAGGTTAGGTACCTAGCATATACACCCGCTTCACGCCCCCAAATCGTAGTAAATACACTTAGTCGTCCTGAAATTATACACGAACGCGTGGCGACTGGCGTCCGCGCCGTCCGCGTTCGTATTCGCGTTGTTGTTGTTGCTGTTGCTGTTCTTCTTCCTATTCTCCCAGTCCGCGCGCCACGCCATCAGCATGTCGTGGATCTCGCGGAGGTACCTGCGCTCGTTCTTCTCGACGGACTGCTCGGCGCGGCGCCAGGTCTCGGGCTCCGACAGCCGCGTCGTCTCCTGGATCAGGTCGAGCACGACGTCCGACGTCTCGACCGCCGCGATCGGGCCCAAGAGGAACGACTGCAGGTGCCCCGCCGCCTTGGCCTGCGCCTGCTCGATCACCACCAGCCGGTTGAACTTCTTCGACTTGGTCCCCGCCACCAGCACGCTCACCTCCTGGTTCGGGTTTGCTGTCACGGTACCGCCACCGCCGCCACCGCCACCGCCGCCGCCCTGCGAGACGGGCGCCGCGGAACTGCCCGTCGCGTCCGATTGCTTCGTGGTCCCGCGCTCGCGCTGCGCGGCGCGAAGCCACGGGAGGAGCTGGGATGATGAGATCTCGGCGTCCGGCACGTCCTTGCGGTCCATAGTCCTGACCTTCAGCACGTTATCCTGCTTGATTATCACGATCCACGAGTAAGTCTCGTCGCGATTCCTCGACATGAGTTCTTCCGGGGATCGGGAATCCCGCGCTAACTCGGCGCTGATGTCGTGAGACCACAACATGGAGAGGATCTCGATACCCGCGGTACGGAGGGTCTGTGCGTCAAAGCTGGCTACTAGCACGTCACACTGGAAGATGCCTAGTCAGATTATGCTGGAATGTAATGTGCGATAGTGCTGTGCTATTCGACTTACTCGTTTAGTATTAAAGATTCCGGATGTTTCTTCCTCAAGCTTCTTTAGAAACTTTCCTCCAGACTTCGGCAACCGTGCTAATTTCTCCCATGCTAAGCTAAAGCCAACTGCGTGAGGCCCTTCGCCTATTTTTGGCCGGTGTGCTTTAATTAAGCTATCATATCGACCACCGGCAGCAAATACATCTTTGAACTTTTTGTCGTATAGGCATTGGAATAAGATTCCGCCAGAGAAGAAGTTCTCCTTAATGCTGCTTAAGGGGTTGATGTAAATCTTCGCATGGACGCCAAGACGTTTGGTATACTCGATTACATCCTTGAGATGAGCCAGTGTCGGTTGTAATTTTTCATACATCCGACTTCCCTCGAAGATTCCTTTAAGTTTAGCGAAAGCTTTCGCTGGTGTATCTGGAATCCTGTTAAACTTCTGCCTACATTGTGTATTGGATAATGCGTCAACCACTTACCTCGGAAATCAAACCGTCGGAGATCTTCAATACTAGTAGCTGATATTCCGATCATAGGCGAACGTAGCTCCGCCCGTATCTTTTGAAATGTATAGGAGTGAATGTTTAGCTTGCTGAGGGATTCGGCGGCTAACTGTCTTGCAGTTAGATCCACGTTGCAGAAATCGAATATAAGTTGCAATAAATCAGAATGACCGAGATGAAAGCACATCGGCGACGTTGAGGGGAACGCATGAATGATCTCATCCAGCACTTTAATTACCTCGGCTTCTTTCAAAGCCAGGTCTAGAGTGTTATTAGAGATAATGTCGAAGTCAACTTCGCCAATCATGAGAGGCTGTCCGCCGTTTCGTCTGTCCCGATAAACGTTGCCAAACGTGAAAGATTTCCGAACTGACGATATGTTTGTATGCTTAGCCAATGCTCTAGCATTTCCAAGCATTAGATCATATGGTAATTGGACTACCGTGCCATTTTGATCCAATAGTTGAACGATATCTTGATTAGGAGAGTAGTGCTGAGAGCGGGGATACAGTGAACTGCGCGGTGTTTCAACTGCGCCATGACGGCGGAACACCGATATTAGCTCTTCCTTAACCGCACTTTGGAATAGTAATTCCGTCGCCGTAGGGTTAGGTGTTGTTAGGTCCCAAGCGTAATCTTTCGTTGACTCCAAAGGTGTTGAGAATAAAGCGGAAACGACTTTTGGATAATACGGAGAAGCAGTACTTGTCAGACTCGCAAGCGCCCTTCGTGTCGTCTCATTCTCCATCTGGATAGGTAACTTCCCACTGCGCAGTAATTCAAGGCTGCTCGGGCGCTCTTTTACGTCATGCGTAACTAGAGACAGGACGATATCTGATTTTACCTTATCATTGGGCTGGAAGTCATCCGGGAGGGTAGAAGATGTTCCCAATTTTCCTAACTTGTCTGCTCGCTCCATACCTAGGATAGGATGATAACACATTTCGAAGAATATAATCCCAAGCGAGTACATCTTGAACTCAGTTAGGAAATCGCGCTTGAGTGCAATGATAGGAATGGTAGGATGACTTACATCGACTTTGGAGGTGTACGACCCACCACCGGTCCTCCTGACTTCAGGGGCAACATAATAAGATGTTCCGATGCTTCTTGTTAAATCACTCGTATCCAAGCTACCGCCTATAAATTTATCGACGGCAAAGCTACCAGCAGTAGCCAACCCAAAATCACCAATCTTGACATTGTTAACCCCATCGGGACCAAGGCCAATAAAGATATTTTCTGGTTTAAGATCACGATGGACTATATTCAGCCCATGAATATGAACCAAGCCCTCCAAAATCTGCCGGAACAAACGCCAGACTTCTTCGGTTTCCTTCCAGAGGTTTCTCTGGATGAGATCCCGTAGTGTCTTACTCGAGATATTAGTAGCCGTCTATAAATAGTTGCGAAATAGCATGACGGGAAACCTACTCGTTTATCACAGTACTCCATGGATATATACATTACGGTCTTGGAATGTCTTTGATTGCTCTTCACTCTCATAGGAGAAGGTATGGAATCGTCCATGTCGGAGTCAACATCTGACTGGTCATCGTCGTCATCTTCTTCTTCCTCTGTTTCTTCATCGTCTTCGTCGTCCGAGTCATCGTAACCAAGTCCTATGTTAGGATGACTCGAAGATATGAAGTCCAAGCCGCCAGTGCTAGTGGCGAATTGGATATCGATACCTTGGGAAATAGTACCCTTGGAATCAGTGTTTGCGTCTTCAGTTGATGTATCACCTCCCGAATCTGACACGTCGGGTATTTCTTCCAGCCAGGTGTTGTAATATCTTACAACTGCTGGGTGACTGAGCTGGGAAAGCAGCCGAACCTCTTTCAATATTTCAGTCAGGCTTGATTGGGAACGTTGAGTGATCTTTTTAATTGCATAAATCTGGCCGTCAAGCTTTTTACGCGCCTTAACTACTTCACCAAACCCTCCCTTACCCAACCGCGCTTCTTCAACGAAGTCCTCTCTATACCTTGAAAATGCCGCCCCACGAACGGAGGAGTCGCGCCTTAATCGTGTAGGCAAAGCGTGAGTCAACGAGCCGAGAGACTGCGAAGGGGTGAAGACAGCAGGGCTATCATCAACAATGACAGGGGCATCAGTAGCTAGAAACTCGCTGGAGCTTAACTCAAATGCACGAGAACGCTTTCTAGGATCAAGTTTGAAAAACCTAGTCACCAGTTCCTGTAACGGTCTGGATAGGGAGAGTGATTCCATTAGAGCAGCCGGAGACTGGTATTTCTGAAATACATCAAGACCAAATATCATTTGTAAGAAAACGACACCTAAGTCCCAGATGTCAGTTTTTTGGGTATACTGAGGCCGTGAGCTACCAGCGACCTCTGGCGGTAACCAGTAGGTAGATCTTGCTGCGTTTGCCGACGAATTCTTCTGGGACTTGTGGGAGAGGTTGTGTATTTCTCTTTGATATGCCACATCGGAAAGCTTGGGAATAACGTCGCCAGTTGACTCTCTAAATAGGAGTATGTTGCCGGGGTGGATATCTTGGTGGGTAATTCCGTGCCCATGTAAATATCCCAAAGCGTCGAGAAGGTCCGCAGTCCATGAGCGAACCTTTCCGACCTCAAGACTTCCCGCAAGATCCAATAGCTCTCCGAGCGGGCCTTTGTCTGCCAGTGGTGTTAAAAGTCGTGCGGTCCAGGTCATCAACGTCGACTCGGTATCTTCCTGGTCGCGATCGATACGAAAATTCAGGAGCTCAAGGACGTTTCTGTGCGACAACTTCTTGATGGATTCTAATTCACCTTCCAGAGCTTGTAGTTGCTTCTTGAATTGAGATGATTCCTGAGAGGTCGATCGTAATACGAATTCTTTGAGGGTCAGGCTTGGCCCGTTTCGTTCGCCGGAAATCTCAGGCCAGACGAGATATGTGGTTGCTAGCTGCCCCTTTCGAAACTCGCTTCTTCCGGTGACGACGTTAAATACGAAAACATTACCAACTGCATCGGCGGTCTCGCACGCCTGGTCAAACTCAATCTTCCCGGCTTCCAAGATCCGGGAGTCTTGCGTGTGGCTCGAAGCATTTTGATTTTTGTTCCTCTTTTTAGACTCCTTTATTTTCGTTCTTTGTCGGTCGACCTCCTTCTGTATCATATCCTGCATCATCCTTTCTTCTTCTCTCATAGCATCTAGCTTCCTACGCTCCTCTTCTTCCTGTTGCTCCCGAGCCTGTCTAGCTAATTCGGCCTCGTGAGCCGCTCTCTCTTCCTCCAAGGAGGGCAATTCCAGTCCTTGAGCCTTTGCCTGAGCAGCATCTTCAAGAATATCTTGGATACCTTGCGCCAACTCGTGTATCATGGGTTCCGGCTGTTCAAGTGTAATCAAGGACTTGGGCTTCGTTTCAATGAATTTTTGCAGCTTAAACACAGTAGACTCTCTGAGACCCCCCTCATCCTTAAGACTGAGCAATGGTGGAGATTTTGGATATGTAGCTGTAAGTACTACGCTTAAAGTAACAGCTACTTCGTCGTCAGATAAAGCCCTGACGCGAATGTCGAAGGATGGCTCAGACTTCATCCATGCGCTATTGGCGGCTTTATGTTCAATATAGTCGTCGCCATAAATAGCCTGAAGAACCATGATCTCTTCATTTTGAACATCGGTATATGGTGTCTTGTGGCCTACATCCGGACTAGCGGACTTCAGCCCGGGGTAATTTGAGTCATTCTTGGTTTTGGTAGTGAGCTGCTGGGGCCCTTTCCATGCAGTTTTTGACTTCCAAGCCATTTTGATATTGATATTTCAGTATCATTCGCGGGCGATAGAAACGAACGAAAGAAGATACATACAGCCGGAGCTGTATGTCGTCTACTGAGTCTTGGCCATCTTGCAGCAATATATATGGCATAAAATTTGTGATATGAATATTTGATGAATAGTTGATGAATAGATAGTTGACAGCGGTGTAACAATGCCGAAGTCGAAGTCGAGGCTGAGATTCTTTGATACCTAGTGGGGCGAAATTCATACGTGTACCCGGCCTACATTACCTGGTAATACCTGCCTCCTTATTGCCCCACGTGCTACCTCTATCTGGGTACAATTATAGGTACAATTAGTACGTACTTCCTTGCCCTCTTAGGTGCCCAGGTGGATGGATTTTAAGCTCATGTGCTAGCGTGTTAGCGCATTAGCGTATCCGGCGGGTCAATTGAGTACAAGGCATTTGATGCATTGCCCCAGATCTTGCGGGCTAGCAAAGTAAACATTTCACTTCTCTTCTCACCAAATTTCACGTCGACTTCAAATCTCTTACTCCCACAAACAACTTCTCAAAATCACCGACGTCAATTGTTCAATTTCTTTCAATCGAGCAAAATGCTCGGCTGGGCTCTCAAAAAAGGGTTCCAAGGCGCGACCGGGGCTAAGGACGCGTCTGGCAGCAATGGTAAGTCGTCATCTTCTATATTGTTGACATTTGCTAATTTTCTTGATTATTTTGTAGACGACACAACACAACTTGAAGCCCCCGACACTCCCGCCCCCGTATTCGCTGCTCGTGCATTTAAGAATGTACTATTTGGAACATCTCGTTCATCAGAAACAACTAGCAGCAAATATACCAAAAACAAAAACGAAAACCCAAATCCCAATATCATAACTTCCCCCACCAAGCAATCTCCAAGCAAGCAACCAACAAGCATTCTTCTGACTCCAGGTACTGGAACCGCGCGTCGGAAGCGTGTCTCATTTAACCATGATGTAAAAGCTGGAAGTGGTCCCGATGCAAGTCCTCTTGTTTCGGCTCGTCTGCGAAAAAGATCAACATTACAACAAGCACTCGAGAATTCTCGTTCAACAAAATCCAGGAAATCCATCGAGGAAAAGAAAGAGGATCCCCCTCCAAAGCTAGCTGACGATGAATCTGAAGACGAATGGGAAGATGAATATTGCGACCGCGAAATGACAGTGGATCTTAATGAGCCCCGCTCCGAGTCAGGCAAATATTGGAAGGCGGAATTTCACAGATATCGGGATGAGGCAATGGCCGATATCGAGCGCATGGTGAAGTTCAAGGCTTTGGCTAAGTCTTACGCTCAGCAAAAGGATGCTGAAGCACTTGAACTGGCCCAAAAGCTGAAGGACGAGCAACAAAAGGTAGCCGAATTGGAGGAGAAGGTTGCTGCCTTGTCAGCTCAAGGCACGGATAAGAGGAAACGCGGTGGTGACCGCGAGGACAATAATCTGGCGAAGGATTTGGAGCACCAGACTGCACTTGCTACACACTATCGAGATCAAGTAAAGGAGCTCGAAGCTCTTATTCAAGAACACAAAGGCGAATCTAGTTCTAGCCAGTCCGACCGTCGGCAAATCGGTACATCACCTAGGACCGAACACACCCTTCTGGAGGTCAAACAAGAACTCAGAAGAGCGCGATCCGAGTTAAGGCAGATGGACAAACTTCGCAAGGAAGTCAGCAAGCTCAAGGCTGATTTAAACGCAGCAGAGGAACGAGCTGATAAACTGGAAGATGAACAAATCCAGAAGGGATCTTCTGATTCAACACAGGTGAAGAAGTTGGAGCAGAAGCTACAAGTAGCGAAGGAAGAGTCGCATCAAAAGGACCGTGAAATCCGACAGCTGAAGAAGGACTACGAAACCCTAAAGAGAGACGCCAAGTCTCGGACTGCCGAAGCTATACAGGTGTTGCAAGCAAAGAATGAGAAAATTGCTGAACTGGAGAGCACCATAAAGGTGATCGAGATGGCAAATCCCTCGGTTAAAGCGAGCCGCGCTCTGAAAGTAGACATCGACTCGCTTAGCAAGCCCTCCAAATATGAGAGTGGAAGACCTACACGCCATCTGACTCGATCAGCTTCGGTTGAGGATATCACGCTCGACATGACTCAAAGATCACTGCTCGGTCATGAAAATGAGTTCAACAAGAATGCACTCCAACCTGCCAGAGCCAGTGCTTTCTTTCCTTCCGAGCGATCGAATGGCTTCAAGGATGTCAGGGACCAACCGAGGAAGAACGGGGATGACGAGGCGGAAATCAACAAGCGCGACAAAGAGACTATTGTGAACGACTTGGACATTTCCCCGCCTCGACCTATTACGAAGCCTAGGACTACGCTATCAACATTCGACTCTGGTAGAGCTATGTCTAATATCCTCTCGAACAGAATGAACCAGTCGACAGCAAGGGATACAACAACTTCGGGAGGATTACTGGATCAAAAGCTTGCCGAGGCACGCGCAATTCGTGCAGCCAGAACGGATCGTGCGGACCGCGATACGGAGACGTACGGATCTGCAGAGAGACCAACGCCACGCCGTTCGAGACCCAAGTCTTATAACGGCCAGTCCCTTTCTTCGGGCAGCGACGGACTAGGCTATGACCTGGTGCGAGACAAATTTGCCCGTCTAGGAGGTCCCGAGGCCGATCATACTACCGGGAATACTTCTAGATGTACCCTACCTGCCGACCGACAGGCGGCAGCTCGAGCTCGCTTAGAGCAGAAGAGGCTGGAGAGGCAGCGGAATGGTGGTAGCCGTAACAAGGAGAACATCAAACCATGAGAGTAAATCTCATAGGACTCTAATTTGACGACGGTTGAATGAAGGCTGGAATGATGGGTACAGGCGCATGATATGGATTATGGGCAAACTAAGGGGCATGATATGGTCTACGGTATTGCATTACAGGAGTTATATGCCTTAAGTTTTAACTTGAGGGTTTTGTGTGGGATTGGAAAGGTCTTTTTTTTTCTTTTTGATCTGATTGGCTTAAAACCTGAAGGCATTTTGTCAACCCTTGGGGTGACTTCCAGTATTTTCATTTGGGCGCTTTTAATCCTACCTTGTATTGGCACGGGTATGGTATTCAGGGCTTTTTTAGGTCGAGGAGTTTAAGTTAGGTGGAGATACCAGCGGAGAGATAAGCCTTTTTGGTTTGTTTTTTTCTCGTGTAAGATTAAAAGATTGCTATGGACTTTCAAATGTAAATGCGAACGGGTCAAGATATTTTTTTTCATTCCTCCCTACCTCTTTACGTAGTTGCTATACTATTCCAAGTGACAAGTAACAAGTAATTTTATTTAGTAATGACGTGATGGATTCAACTGCTATAACAGGTACCGAGGACCAGGAAGTCTTGGAAAATGAAATCGCAGATCTGGAGTATCGCCTCCAAAAGGCTAAAGAACGATTAGCGGAATCAGCTACAACAGCGAAAGTCACTTATAAGCCGTCACTCTCATCATATCCCACATCGCAATCCGCGCACCACTACCTCCTGCTCCTCTCGGACTCGGCCTTACCGCTAGGATCCTTCGCCTTCAGTTCGGGGCTAGAATCGTACTTGGCACATACGCGGCGCGGCGGCGGCCCCTCTTCGTCTTTTTCGTTTCCCAGCTCCGGTTCCCGCCCCACCAACCCGTTCTCCTCCTTCCTCCCGCTCTCCCTCTCCTCCTACGCCAGCACCACGCTGCCGTTCGCGCTCGCCGCCCACCGGGCCCCGGACCCCGACACGCTCGCCCGGCTCGACGACGCGCTCGACGCGGCGATCGTATGCGCCGTCGGCCGCCGCGCTTCCGTCCAGCAGGGCCGCGCGCTACTGGCTATTTGGGAGAAGAGCATGGCGGCGGCGGCGGATCCGGGGGCTAGGTTGAGGGGGTATGCGGAGATGGTGCGGGTTGGGGCGGTTGTTACGGCAAGCAGCAGCACCACCAACGACCGAACTAGTAATCATGGTAGTAGTAGTAGTAATGGTGGAAATGGAAATGGTAATGGTAACGAGCAGTTATGCGATGAGCCCCTCCCGCCCCCGGCATCAGCGCACCTGGCGCCGCTCTTCGGCGCGGTGTCGAGCCTCTGCGGGCTGAGCGAGCGGCAGACGGCGTACGTGTTCATGCTGGGCCACGTGAAGGCGTTGGTGTCGGCGGCGGTGCGGGCGGGGCTGTTCGGGCCGTACCAGGCGCAGCGGATCCTGGCGGGGGAGGAGGTGCGGGGCTTGCTGGAGGAGGTCATCGCGAGGGAGTGGGAGACGCGGGTCGAGGACGCCGGGCAGTGCGTGCCCGTGATGGATTTGTGGGTGGGGAGGCATGAGCTGTTGTATTCGAGGATATTTAATAGCTAAACGGGAAAGAGGGAAAGACACACACACACACACAGAGAGAGAGAGAGAGAGAGAGAGTAAAGAAGAAGAAGATGATGATATGATGACTTGTGGCTAAGGAAGAGAGTGTTAGGTACGTATGTAAGGACGCTGTGGGCGCTGGTATCTATTATTACGGAACGCGTGGCGTATGGAAATTATCAGAGGTATATATACAATTTGGCAAAAGTCTGCCTCTTCTAGGAGGCCATACGATTTGATCTAATCTATCCCCGAAGCCCTTATTCGTCATCTTCGCTATCGCTTCCGTATGCTACTAAAGGGCCCGATGACGCCGCTGCTTTGGCTTTCGGGCCTGTTGAGACCTTGGCTGTCTTCAACGCTGCTAATGTGCTGCTTGAGAAGATTCCGCCCCCTCCCCCATCCTTCTCTGCAGATTGGAGTTGGAGTTGGTGTTGTTGTTGCTCCTGCTGTTCCCCAGATGCACCTCCATCACTACCACCCGCATCGCCATTTTCTATCATCAACCGTTGCTCCTGCTCCAGCTCGTATCCTTGTCTACCAACTGGATTGACCGCCTGCGCGCCGCGTGCAAAGTACACGTCGTCCGGCGCCTCGTATCCTTCCAGGCCGAAGCTACTCTCGATCTTCCGCCGTTTCCTAGCCTCGGGGTCTCGGCCCTCGATCTCGGCCACGAAGGCTTCCGGCAGCGCTCTCCTAATAGCTTCAGCGGCCTGCTCCTCGATACGTCTCGCCTCCCTCGCCTGCGCCATGGGGTTCGGATCCGCCGTGGCCCACCGGACGTTTAGGATCTCGTTATGATCTAGAGACTGGTGGGCCATGGCCTCCTTCGCGAACTGCGCGTTCGCCTCGTTGGTGTAGGTGATGAACGCCACGCCGCGGGTGTTTAGCACGCGTATCCGCTCGACCTGGCCCCATTCGGCGAAATGGCGGGCAACGATCTCCTCGATGTCGTCTGTGACGTGTATCCTTCCGACATAGATGGTGCGGTTTTGACGCATGAAACTGCCCACGCCGCCCATATCATCGCGGTAGTCGGAGTGCTTATCGCGGCCGAAGCAGTCGACGTTGGGGTTGAATAGATCGTGGATGCCAGGGAGGCGGTGAAGGTATTCGCAGTCCTGGCCTTTGGGGCAGATGCCACGCGCGAAGAAGAGGCAGAAGTAAGAGCCTGTCACCTTATCGGCGCGTGTGTAGCCGCTGTCCTTGGCGATGTTGCATCGACCTTTAGCGTGGGTCTTAGAGAGGTATTTATCTTCGCGATCGCCGCCCGACCATTTGTTGTACCATATGTTGAAGATAGTACCGGTTTGGGGTGGAGGTTCGGATGTTATGAAGGAAGAGTCGACTTGAGGTCGCGCGGGACGTTTCTTGCGGATGATCTTTTTGACCTTTTTGGGTGCCGCTACGGCCACTTCCGTAGATGGCGTCTGGTCGCTTTCTCTTTCTTCTGACATGATGACGGATGGTGTTGATTTGATGGATGTTTTGGATGTTTGGATGTGATGCAAGGCTGTGGATTGATTTGGAAATGTTTTCCTCAAGACTTAATACTTGTTTGTTGCATGTCTGATAATGGGGCAAATCAATTTGTATGCTAGGTATGCACTAAAACGAGGATTAAGCTTTAGCTTGGATTTCCCCAATTTCCCCAGATTACTCCAATAGTGTATATCTTATCGATAAACCGGCTGTTTCTCTTGGCCCATGTAAGTTCACCTTCAGGTACCTAGGCCATGCCCCTGGCACGATCCTGTCTGGCCTATCCAATCGATGCTCATAACAGGTTGAAGGTGCTACACGAACCCCGCTAGTACAGGCGCGTACCTCGGTTTATATTGAGGGCTTGGTCTTATATCATGCCATCACCTCGGAACAAAGACCTTTTCTCCAACTTCAATCCAGATATTTGATTCCTTCAACTCAACCGTTTAGATTTCGCTTATAGTTCGTTTTGATATTTACCTAATATACCCCATTATTAGAGCATCTCATCTTTAGTTAGCCATAAAACCAATTCATCTACAACAACATGTCTGCTAGAATTCCGGATATTGTAAGAGAACATATTATATTCGCGTATTACTCCGATCGAATATCTAAGCTTACGTAGCTTTTAGGTAAAACATCGCGTTAGCGAAAAGGCGAAGAAGACATTGGATACCATTGCCAAGTTTGTTGAGGAAGAATGCATACCGTGAGTCGTAAAGCTCGCTCACATCTAAAGCATCGCTGATATTCAAATCAATCAGAGCGGATCCGGTTGTAGACGCCCAGATCGGCGAAGGTTCTGCAAGATGGGAAAGCCATCCTCCTATTATTGAAGAGCTAAAGGCAAAAGCAAAACAACTGGGCCTATGGAACTTGTTTTTACCCAAGGGCCATTACAAGGAATCGCCGGGCTACACGAATTTAGAATATGGCTTGATGGCTGAATGGCTAGGCAAGTCCAAGATAGCCTCCGAGGCTACTAACTGCTCAGCGCCAGATACCGGAAATATGGAGGTCTTGGCTAAGTACGGCAATGACGCTCAGAAGGCCCAGTGGTTAAAGCCCTTGATGGAGGGTGAGATCAGATCGGCTTTTCTCATGACCGAGCCGGACGTTGCCTCATCAGACGCGACGAATATCCAGCTTAGCATAAAGAAAGAGGGGAATGAATACGTTCTAAATGGCTCTGTATGACTAGTCTCAATCTTTGCGTGACAAGTCAGACTAACAGTTTACTAGAAATGGTGGTCAAGCGGCGCCGGCGATCCTCGATGTAAGATCTACATCGTAATGGGCAAGTCGGATCCCACCAACAAAGATCTCTACAAGCAGCAGTCGGTTATACTTGTTCCAGCCAACACCAAGGGCATAACTATCCACCGCATGCTTAATGTATATGGATATGACGACGCGCCTCACGGCCACGGTCATATTTCTTTCAATAATGTGCGCGTCCCAGTCAGCAACCTAGTTCTCGGCGAGGGCCGTGGTTTCGAGATCATCCAGGGTCGGTTGGGCCCAGGTCGCATTCACCACGCGATGCGCACTATTGGTGCAGCTGAGTACGCGCTTGAATGGATGTTAATGAGAATCAACGACCCTAAGAAGACTCCATTCGGAAAGCAGTTGAGAGAACACGGAGTTATTCTCGAATGGGTTGCCAAGTCGCGAATAGAAATTGACGCAGCTCGATTGATAGTCCTCAATGCTGCTGTGAAGATGGACGACCTAGGCCCAAAGGCAACGTTAAAGGAGATCGCCCAGGCAAAGGTTCTCGTTCCGCAGACGGCCTTGACAGTTATCGACCGCGCTGTTCAGGCATTTGGTGGAGCGGGCGTCAGCCAGGACACGCCTCTTGCCAATAGTTGGGCACTTATCCGGACCCTGCGGCTAGCTGATGGACCGGACGAGGTCCACCTTCAGCAGATGGGCCGCAACGAGAACAAACGAGGCAAGGAAGTCTCGCAGAAGATACTCTGGCAGAAGGAGAAGACGGAACAGTTGTTGAAGCAGAACGGTCTGAAGCGGTTTCAACCTGGGTCAAATATCAAACCGAGGTTATAGGAAAATCACAGCGCGACTCAATGGGAATGTTACCAGTTGAAATATTAAGAACGAGCTTCACTAAGAGGTATGAGGCTATCTGCTTTATGAACTCGTCGACTTGTATATTAAAGTCATTTTTAAAGCAGTGTATCCTGCTGCGTATTCTCATGTGTACCTCTACCTAACCTTTGTCTACTTCGTGATTGAGTAATAGGGACTAACCTAGTGCTGTCCCAGGCACCTCCAATTATCTATCCGTCTGTCGAGACCTGTTGTAGATACGCATTTATCGACTCGTAGGTGGTTTGCCGGCTGCGTTGACATATTCTATTTGATCTCTACGACGTAGTATGTCCTTGTTTATGTGCGTTATGGAAGGCAGCATTTCGATCATGTCCAGTCGATGCAAGGCAATATTATCGCATCTGAATCTGCCGAAGGCCTTCCAGTTTCGATCAAAGAAAACAATACTTACATTCAGGGGCTCGTAATTCTTGCAGCGTCCAGCCTCTCCGAAACCAGCGGCTTTATGCAAGTACCGAACTCCCAACGTTTCCCCCTTCGCCAGCTTCAATATCGAATAGATGCACATAATAAACAGGACATTATAGATACTTGTTTTATGTCGAGATAAGTGACAGCAAGAAGTCTGAAGTCGTGTATGTTGAGTCCGGCTATGATAACGGGCAACTGTCACGCCGTGGCTGTGAGCCCCGCAGTCTGCTGGAGCTGCGCTGTGTTCGTCGACCATGCTTTGTCCGACTATTTCCACGGATTAACTGTGTCAGGGGTAGGAGGCACTAGTACGGATAGGGCCTTATGGCCCACTAGGATAGTGTATATAAGGAGTACGCTGCTCCCTCGAAGGTGCTTCGAAGGGCAAGCGTTAATAGATCACTACTATACACTGCATACTTGGCATTCTACGTGCTACTGCTTCTAGTATTCACTCTATGTACGACATACATCACGGGATCCCTCTGACAAACTGTGATGGAAGGGTTCTTCTGATTTCACAAGGAGCTTAGAAAATTGGTCTACCTGTGACCAAGCCTATTCTTTGAGAAGATATCCTACCTGCCCGCAAACAGAAGGGGACGAAAATGTTGCGTTCTTCAGCAGATCATCTAATATATCGGGTATTATACCTCTCTCTCGTACGTCCGGTACATTTTCATGTCCTTCAGAAACCAGTCCTCGCCTTTGCGCACATAGCGCTCGTGATAATAACCCCCACCGGTGCAGTGTTTTCCAGCGTTCGATCCCTTCGGGCCGTAATCATAACGGATAATGAAGACTGCCTTGACCTCGTCGGGGCCAATCTGTTCTAGATGTGGGGGAGAGATAGCGTGTATACATTGTGAGTTCTTGAATCTATTTGCGCAGTACTTCGTCATGGCTAGGGCGCTAGAAAAATTCAATTCGACCCCTTTATCGTTCATTATCTTTCCATCGGAGTACCAGGTGGACGTTGCATCGGACAGCATAAATTCTCCTGCGACCCTTTGGTATTGATCGGTATCGACAAGTTGGCAGTATAGGTTTTTCTTGTTAATGATTTTCTGGGCGACTTCATGTGAAACAGCCATGATGAATGTAAATTTCTCTATGAGGTTTTGGTGTTGGCTTTGCGGTTAATGAAGACAGTAGGTACACTTGACGTATTCCTATAATTGTCTCTACCAGCCTCCAATTCAAATGATTCGAGAGATATAAGCTCCTCTTATACTTGAATATCGCCTGGTAAAGATTAGGTCACGATGTGCCGGAGACACATATCGGCTCGGCTCGGAATGCAGCCACCGGAGTATCTAATTGACGAATGATAGCGTCCTGGTGGCATTCCCTCAACGGTTGAGGCGGTGGCATATAGCGGCATCGTCTCTTGGCTGTGATAATACTACTACTCTCCTTAGTATATAAGAGGCTTGAGGCTGAGCAACCATCAACTGTGTTAAGCCACGAATAAAAGAAAATGCCCTACATAGGTGACTTAGAGAAATATGTCTCATCCATGGCTAATTCATACAATTTACCCTAAATGTGAGAGGATGCCAATCACCTCTCCGGCATCAACGGACTCAGAGTCCGTGCTAGAAAGACATGCCGAATGGACATACGTTGACGAGTTCCGTTCTCTCAACTTAAGCTGCTGGCACAGTAATTGAATATTATGTTTTCGTACTCCACCCCCTATAATGATCTCAATTCCAAGCGCTTCTGCTCTGGTGATAAGTTCGTCCAATATAGCCAGATTTTGAACGGCATTCCCCAATCCTCCGGATGTCAGTATGCCGTCAAAGCCACAAGCGGCCAGGTCGTCCAACGCTGTCTTCCAAGCATAGCAGTCGTCGACAGTCATGCTGCCGCTATCGTCACAGCTGGCGACCTCGTCAAAAGCGCGGTGGAATACCGTCTTGAAAGGACGAGCACCTGCAACCAGGCGGTCACATCTCTCCTTATCGATCCAACATTTCCTCCTATGGGTACCGACCTCGGTAGCATCCTGAGATTCCTCCAAGATTCCAAAAACGAATCCATCGCCGCGTTCCTCGTCAAGTAAACCGGTCGCCTTGAACCTCTGAATGGAAGCCTCCATCTCTTCAAACTCCTCGTCGGAGTATATGAAATCACGAGCTTGGGCTTGCGACGGGGGAGCGCGAGGCCTGATCATCACACGTAACGGAACGCTGGAGTGCGCAACAATCTCGAGATCCTTGAGTGGTGGTGTCAGCCCCCCATCTGGATATGATCCTGCTGCATTGAGCTCGATGCGCGTTGCCCCCGATTCTATGGCCTTGGCGGCGGCACTCGCACCAAATACCGGTATTTCAAGACCAATAGCCATAGTCTCTTATCCGAAAACTTCGCGTTCCTTGACTAGTTGAAACTTCGACTTGCTGTAGAGCTCTTTCTTTCCTCTGCATGTGGTACAACCTGTGAGGTTTATTGTATCGTTAGTCAATGCCGCATGTTCAAACGAAAAGGGGGAAAGGGGAAGGGTCCGTGCGTCTCTTAGACTCGGTTTGCCTAGGGATAACTGGCTGTTAGTATTAATAGATTCATTAATCGGGGTAGGTAATTAACGAAGTACACTTTCAGGGAGGTACCTAGGTATACATTTCAGGGGCATTATCATTCAACATCATTGCCTATGAGAAAACAGAGAGCATCCTATTAGTCTAGATTGCCGTAGAATAAGGCAATATCAGAACTAAGACAATTGCTAATGTTAGGTATAGCACATCCGCGAAAGCAGCCCCTATCCTTGTCCCCTGTAGCCTTAACTAGCAGTACATATCGAAGGGTGCTTAGCTTTTCTATAAGCCGGCCCGTTTTTTTCTGTGTTTTTTTTTTCTCTTTTTTTCTTATATAGTTCCACGCAGTTAAAGCAAAGGAAGCCATTCTCTTTGGGATGATGCAAATGGCTGAGTCCTCTTTCACTACCACCACTACCATAATCGTAATCCACCTCGCGTACACAGTCCACGTACCTAGGCAATTGCTTAGATTACCAGTTCGAAAAAGGAAGAATCGTTGCCAAGGATAGTTCCTCGGTAACATCGAAGATGCCCCCCTGGAAACCGGTAACGCCAACAGGCCCGGTATTCGGATCGTTGTTATGATACATCTCTCCGGCTCCTCGGAGGTATTCGTTTTCTTTGTTATCATACTTGTCGAAGTATTCCTGTCCCCGAAGTGCCTCGGAAGGTTGAGGGTCTTGTTCAATCTGGCCGTCCTCGTAGATGAGGAAATCCTGGGGAATCGGGATCGGGTTGTTTCTGTACACCCTAAAGCCCGGCATTTGAAGGTCTTCAATGTCTATACCACCTTCATTCTCTTTGTTCTCGTCGTCTTCAACGTTCGTGTCTTCCTCTTCGGTCGTGTTGCCGGAGGGAACATGGTGATCAACGGGAAAATTGTACAGAGTTGATGCAGAGCTCGAAAATGAAGCAGATAGGGGTCCTTGGCCAACCTCCGGTGCCGAAGTAGAATCCTCTCGAAAGTTCATAGGATTGCTAACTGTGCTCTGATAATATTCCGGACCGACACCGGTGCTATATGCTAACGTGTCAGAAGATGCACAATCAAGGGTATGGCTTTGCGGCACGTAGGCAGATGTGTCTTCGTAGCCGGGTCGAGGCGCTAAGGTATAGGATGACTGGATCGTAAAATGATCTCGCGATTCGTCGCTTCTGGCCGAGTAGTCTTCTGTGCCTATAAATTCGGCGGCAGCGAGGAGAGCGTTGAACCGCGACAAGTTTGTTTCAGGTGTGGATTGATCCAGAGCAGATCGCTCTCCCATCTGATATCCCCAAGAGACTTCAGGAGGGTCGATAGAAGCACCTTCAGATGAAGTCCCTTGGGCTTCTCTAAAGAATGGCGCCAGACCAAGATGTTGCAAATTTCGGCGTCTGTGGAAACTGGTGGGGCTTAGAGGAGTTTGAGGTTGGCGGGACTGATAAAGTTGACGAGCCTGGCGAGCCGCGTACTCCGGAGAGAAGACATCGTCTTCTTCTAATGGAGTGACTGTGAAGCCATCTGGACTTGGAGGAGGAGCTTGAACTCCCCGAGGCTCACCAATGGTCACTTCCCTACGGCGAGGGCGGCCTCCTCGAGGGCCAGAACGAGGATTGATAACACGGCGGAACGGACCTTAACCGATTCTATTAGCCAAACTTGAAAAGTGCCAAATATCGTAAAGGACATACCGAGCTTCTTCATGTACTCCATGACATATTTAGTAGCATTTGGAGATCTTCTATCTCCTTCAACATTCTGGAAGTAATGCTCAACTGAGTAAAACTGTGTCAGTATCCCTCACCAGAATTTATAGGTTAGATGGTGGGCCGTCTTACACAATACAGAGCTACTGTACCAGCGGCGAGCAGTTCCCTGTTCATCCATTGCCTTCTGCATATCAACCGCCAGTTCTTCCCAGGTCTTCTCCTCGTTGCCAAGGTCTACAGGGGCACGTTTGACAGAGTGGGCGACGACAATCTTCCAGAAGTACTTCTCCTCCGCGGGAGACCAAAACTTTCCAGTCATTCTGGGATAAGGATGTGGTGGAATGAGGATGTAGGCCGATAAGTGATATCTGATAATAATGCCGGTGTCTCTCTGTTGGTAATGGCAAAAATCAGGAGTTGAGTTTCGCGTAATAAGAGAGAGGTGCAAGACATGAAAGGTGGATTTGGGATGAGCACATAGCGGGTTATATAGAAATCCAAATACCTTGGAGGAGGGTAGGGAAAGATTCCAGAAATGATGAATCTTGTGTGGCACTTACTTATGTGGTAGGGGACGAGGCACGTAAATGGTTATCTCTTACAGTGCAATAATAGATGCGGCTGACTTCCCCGCGTCATTAGACAGGAACTGGTCAATGCAGGTACGTCTGGAAGGCATGACTCAGGAAGCCCAATGCAAAAACTCACAAATTAGAGGCACCTATGAAGCTACTACGGTCGGACTTTCAGTGAATTAGGTCATGTTATGCATGGTGGGATGTGCTCAGTGGGTAGACCGTCTTATATTATCGCGATACAGCTAATATTCGAGGCTAGTCAGCTGCAAGATATGACTAGGCTTTGTCTAACCCTCAAGAACAGTTACATCTTAGTATTCTAATAGTGGGGAAATACGTACTTGATAATTATTTGTACCGAATTTTACTGGTTGATAAGGCGCTAAATGTTGAATGCAAACCGGCTGATGCATGCCTAGACGTAATTAGGGGGGTCAAGCTGCATAGCATGTGTCTTCGGTTCCTGGTACTAGGTAGAGTAGCCGCCATACCCAGATCATACTTCACAAACCAAATCCGGTAAGAAAGCCTGACTAGTTCGGATGAAAGTAATTCTCATTAATTCCTATGTAGGTAAATTCTTCTACTGTGGACCCCATGATCCTCCTTTTTTTGAATCAGTATAACGCCTAGATCTTAGCTAGTGGTTTTATCACACACAAACTGTGTAAGAGAAGCGCAACCGTACCTTGTGCGTACCTCGTGCCTGCATTAGACACCTCCTGTCAATATACAGTGAATGAGTCAGATACTACATTGAGAAGCAATTAAATTGTCTAGTAGTTTCGAACTTCATCTCATTTTTGAGAAGTTTGCCTACATGGTGTCTTTGCAATGCGATCATATGCACAATACACGTATAAACTCTGCTATATATGTGCGTGGAACGACAACCCCTTGAATGACTGTAGATAAAATTATTCGCGCAAGAGGGTAATATTCAACCAGCACGTGGGGTGCTCACTTTGTTTCTGTGCATGTAAAGAGGGCGCTTTGTGAACTTAGAGAATTTCCTGTAGGGCAACAATAATTTTGGGTTACAATATTGGCATCATAAAACAGAAATATCTTATACCTTCCGTTTGGCCACCATGAAGTTAATTAAAACAGGCAATGTATTATTTTTTTATTATTTTACAATATCTCGTTGAGAATGGAAACATCTTGGTCAGCCTATTTCCTGGCCTTCAGATATCACATCGTGGGAAGATCTAACAGGAAGGTTGAATCTGCTTAACATATTTACAAGGATATCTTCGTTTTCTTCGGACCTCGGAAAAATCATGATTACCTTTTATTTGGATGCTTATTCAGATAAAAGGGTGTCACCACTCGTATGGTTAATATCGTTCAAGCTGAGACTTGACTCAAAATAGAGGAAAGTTACTCGAACGGGGATTGAGGATTAGGGGTACGATAACCACGCGCTATCAAAAATGGCCCAAGTCGCTGTTCGAATTTAGAAAACTATACGCAATTAGTAGACAAGTTCGACTGCTGTGTTAGACTAAGATGACAAACCACGCTCTTCTTTTCTAACGGTTTGATGCCATCCTTAATCCATAGACCCCAGCTCCCCATCAAATTGGCCAGCATCATATCAGTCATCAGACGATCTCCTACGATGGCAATTTGGCTTGGATGGGTTACGCCAGCTTCGGGATAGGCTTTGAAATAAGCTAGTATTTCGTCACCACAGCCGGGCTTTTTAACTCTATGGGCCAGGACTGGAACCCCGGTAGCCTTCTCGAGTTCTTTTGCCAGACGTCCATCACGGTCATAAGTACTCGCACCGGCCGTATTAGACACTATAAGAAGACGTCGACCGGGATATTCTTCTTGAAGTCGGCGGAATCGTTCCTATTGCCAAATCAATGGATGCTACAAGAAGGGGAAAAAAATGAAGAAGAAAAAACAGGAAAAAGATTATGGAGTCTTAAAATGTTCTTACCAAATAAGAAGGGTATATTTCGTTGGAGTTGGGATAAGCGAAGCAATCGTCTTTATCAAGCACTACGGCCCGAATATCTATTTTCTTGCCACCCCCATCAAAGGCTTCACTAAAAGGCGTTGGTATATCATTGAATGTAGGCGCTGTTGCGTGAGGAAGACATAATGAGTGCTTGGTGAACAACTTAAAAACGTTGAAGGTTCCAGACAAGTTGAGATTCATATTTATTGCTGTACATATGGATGGCCTGCCTTGCAAGTTAAAAATTTCTTTGGACTTCGCTTGAGGTAAAACAAGAGTACCTAATGGACGAAAGTTGATGAACTTGGCAGATTAAAGAAGAGGAACTCTCTAGCTGCTCCGGTAATGTCCGGGTCTTATTTTGGAAGGTACTAATGTATAATGCAGATTTTTTCGGGTCGTGATAGCCAATTTTGACAATATCCAGGTAGTTCGAGGTCCGGCTCGGTATTATGTAATATTGAGGCTCTAGTTTTCCCCCTGCAGTTGCCCGCCAGCTCGGGAACTTGGAACATTAAATTAGCTCCGACCTTCCTGGGGTTTAATGCATTAGCCCCACACTAAAGGAGATATTAGCACCGACGCGTCCGTCGCGATTGACTGGTGATGAAAGTTGAAAACATCTCCGTGCTTTCCTACATTTTCCATCATCCAACTGTGTTTCCCGTAACACTCATCCTCATCGGGGGCCAATGTGCCTTTCATATCTACCTAACCTAACCTAAAGTCCTTGATCGCCGTCTTCGCATCAAAACTGATGTATATAATTTATAATGGTACGAACTAAGAGAACACAGCCCGGAGCAGAACCCGGACCTAGCTCTAGGAGTTCGCCCCGGAAACGAGCTCACCGAGGCGATGATGAGGAACAAAACCCAGACACACCATCTCAAAAGCGCAGTACCCAGCCACCACCCAAGACTCATTCTAATAGTACTACGGATGGACACCGCTCCGAATATGATTTCCCTTCCGATGAAGACGAGATAGGCCCACCTGTTAAAGAGACACCGAGCAAAAAGAAGCAGACCGAGGCGAACGGTGGACTTTCGACACCGCGAGGTCGAAAGAAAAGCGAAGCCCAGTTAGTAACACCCTCAAAGACAAGTAGTACCACTACTGCGCAGACACCAAGGTGGAAACGGAACGATCGCTCTGCGAGAAAGAAGAGTGCCAGGGCTCTGATCGAACAAGTAGTAGGCGGAGACGGGAGCGATGAGGAAGCAGATGAAGATATTGCGAGGGAAATATACGAATCAAGCGAAGATGAGGATGAAGACGAGGGAGAAGACGAGGAAAACGCTCCGGAAGAGCCTGCAACTCCGTCCGGGAAACCTCGACGCGGTCGACCGAAATCACAACATACTACGAAGCGGGCCAGGAAGAAATCCCCGACTCCGCCCCGAGACTTACCCCCCCACGAGCTGTATTTTGCGCAAACCCGACCCGGTGCCTCCAAGACATCGAACAATACTCTGGCGTCCTTGAAACTCCTAACTCACGACGAGTACTTCTCCCTCCTTCGCGAGTACAAGGATCCACATGCCGAAGATATAGAATTCCTCGAGTCGATACACCTAGAGTCCTTCCCGCAGTGGACATTCGAGCTCTCTCAGGGGTTTAGCGTGTGCTTATACGGGTACGGGTCGAAGAGAGCTCTTCTGCACAGATTTGCGAAGCACGTTTACGACAAATACTCGGACCACATCGTCAATAAGATCGTTATTATCAACGGGTATGTGCGCACAAGCTCTCTGCGGGAAATTCTGGGCACGGTGGCGAGCGCCGTGAACCCCGCCCATAAAGTTCCATCCGGCAATCCGTCCGCTATGCTGGATGGTGTGAAAGCACTACTCTCGTCCCACGACGTGGTGGTTACGGTCATCTTGAACTCCATCGACGCGGTTCCTCTGCGGAGGGTGGGGATACAGCCCGTTCTCGCGCAATTAGCGGCGCACCCGAATATTCGGCTCATCTGCTCTGCCGATACGTCGGACTTCCCTCTTCTCTGGGACAGCAGCTTGCGGTCCTCGTTCAACTTCGTATTCCACGATTGCACGACGTTTGCTCCTTTCACGGCAGAGCTCGAAGTCGTCGACGATGTGCACGAGCTCCTAGGCCGGAAGGCAAGGCGTGTTGGCGGCAAGGAAGGCGTGACGTACGTCCTTCGCAGTCTGCCCGAGAACGCTAAGAACTTGTTCCGGCTACTTGTTGGCGAAGTTTTGGCGGCTATGGATGACGCGGGCGGGTTCGACGGGGAGAACCCCGGAGTGGAATATAGGATGGTGTATAACAAGGCGGTCGAGGAATTCATATGCAGTTCGGAAATGGCTTTCCGTACACTGCTAAAGGAGTAAGTTTGCACTATCTGATTCTAATATCAATGACCGGCGTTATTCTAACATGTTTACTCTAGATTCCATGACCACCAGATGATTACCAGTCGGAAGGATGTCCTGGGCACTGAGCTCTTAAGCGTGCCTTTCCAGAAAGAAGAGCTCGAGGCAATATTAGAAGATTTAATGTCATGAGAAAAGCACATGCAGAGATTATTACGATCATAGGCATATTGAGTAAATAGACAAGGCACTGAGGGACGGTCACCATTTAATACGTATGCATGAGATACCCTTGAATAATTCAATCACCCTTACTCTCATTTCTAGCCTCGCCTAGAACAGTGTATTCGCTAGAATCCGTTCTACCAACCTCCTCCACGAGCTCGCTCTGCCCGTCTAATTTCGACCACTTGGGTTTCCCGTCGTGCAAATCTACAACACGCTGGCTGTAAAAAATATGGCATCTAGGGCGAGATGGTTAGCATAACCTAGGTAGGTATATATAACCCCTAGTTTCTTATGTGGTACTTACTGAGGATCGAACAATTTCTTATGCTCGGCGTCGCTAAACTTGATAATGCCGGGGAACATGAGGACCATATTCCTGCCCTCATCCATAATCGGCGAGTGGCAATACGCGCAGGACACCTTGCACGGCAGCTTGTGCACCGTCGTCCTATCCGGGGCGTGGTAGAAAGCGAGGCCCTCGGAGCCCTTCTCGAAGTGCAGGTCCTCCTTCCGGAAGATGGCGGCCCACTGGAACGGCGCGCCGTGCAGGGCCTGGCAGTCGATGCAGTGGCAGAACTTGGCGGCGAGGGGCTTGTCCCGCGACAGCCAGTACCTGACGCGGCCGCAGTGGCAGTGCGCCGTCCACTTCTTGTCGAAGTGCTCGTTCGCGGCCGCCGTGCGGTAGGGCGGCTTCGACTTCCAGTCCTCGGCGCTGTCGCGGACTGCTCCGGTCTCCGCCCCGGTTTCCGTTTCCGATCTCGTCGTTCCCATGTTCTGCCTCGTGGAGTGAAAATGGGCCTTTGACAATATTGGAAATTCTGGATGGAGTTGGTGCGCTGGACAAAGGCGTGTAGTAGTAGTTGTGGTGATAGTAGTGGTAGTGGTAGTGGTGTGTATTAATGGCGATAGGGTAGACTGAGTATTGGCACAGCAGGAATGATGACGTCGAAGACTGGTTCGCCAGACTCTGCTTGGTAGCAACCGTAGTTGGAGCATCCTTTAGCGGAGATAAATATAGAGTGAAGATCAGATATCTTTTCCATGGCGACCGTATATAAATAGTAGATGAGTATTAAGGCTTAAATGATATCAAGATGTGCAAGTCCAAATATATATTAGGTATCTATCATTGATATAAGTCGTCACTTATACTTGCACTTACATTAATGCGCTAAAGAGTTGTAAGCTTCGTGCTAATATTAAGTTAACATGACCTCAGGCACCCGTTCGCGGTGCACAATGAGCCCTGAGTTTACGAAGCTACAGTACCTAACCTTAAGCTACACTAACACCCTATATACCCAATCAAAAGCCGTAAAATCTCCATTCTCCACAAAAGAGCCTATTAAAACCGAGGGCCCCCCGTGTGGTGGACCACAAGAGCCCGACTTTAGGGATATCTTATACTAATGTATGTACCAATATACTCTTCCATTTTGGCCAAAACATTTCCTATCCAAATAATCCTTAGGTTAGCTAATCTGACATAACATCCCTCCTACAGTCAGGCATACAAGTCGGTGACAATAACCCTTCGTAAATTCAGGGCATTTCCGCCGTGGCGTTTCGCCTTAATTTAACCTATTTCCTCTCCATCTTCCGCTCCATCTTTTTACATACGCTACTGGATTTAGCAGTATCTACAAAACCCTTTACGAGCGCCTACAATGCTTATCCGCTCCCAGATACCACGTCTCCCGACCCATCCCGAAGGCGAGAGGCGGGTTGAACGTACTATACATATTCTTCACCCTTATTACGGTAATAGGAATGGTCCGCTGTTGCATTTCGGCGATTATGGTGAAGGGGTTGATTACGAGCTGGTTATTTACGCCTGCTGCGTTGTAATGGATAATGCTTGGCCTCTTGAGATGATGGGCCATGAGAGGATTGATTCGTGATACGACGGCGGACTTATTACTTACGCATATTTATCGCTCTCCAGCACGCCCGATACTAACCAGGCTATAGGGCTCCGCGAACATAGCGAAGTTCTGAGGGAGCCGATCTACTATCTTCATAATCTTGAAGGCGACGGTAAAGTTGTTCATTTATTTATTTTATTTTATTTACTTATTTTCGTGATCTAATGAGTAAGGCAGTGTATTATCCGTTTACGCCGGATTTCGACCATTGGGTATTTCCCCACAATGACATCCCTCCTCCGTGGCAGTGCGTACAGATAGGCGATGTTGATACAGTACAAACCGATATTGCCGCAGCGACCCTTACCCGCGACGATGAGCGCTGTCGAATAACTAACTCGATGACCGCTTTGGATGCTGCCCATATAATTCCTGCCGCTGAGCTAGCGTGGTTTGACGCCAATTCGATGGCCTTGGATACTGGTTCCGGATCCGGATCCGGATCAATTGATAGTATCTATAATCGGATAGCCCTTCGCAAAGACGTACACCATTTATGGGATAAAACCTGGGAGATTATCATGTTCCCTAGGTTGCTTTATGGAGATAGGTGCTCCTTGATCGTTCACGCGTTCCGAACCCGCCGTTTAAGTAATTACGAAGTACGGCACCACTACCATAACCGTCAATGCCAGGAATTACGAAATATCGATCGGCGGTTTTTATTTGCCCGTTTCGCATGGTCTATCTTCCGCTCAAGTACTGTCAGACTTCTTGTTGCTGGGTCCAAGGAGCTTAAGCTTTTAGGCGCCGAAACGACTGCGGGGTATCCTAGAACTAATGTCAAAGTTGTCAAATCGGCGGGTCAGCTTCCTAGGTTCACACGAAACACCAACATACGACCGCCGTCGGGTGCCCGGGCATCCAAACGGTCTCGATCTGGACCTGATGACGCCCGAAATATATATGATGCCGAAGAGGATTATGACTGTCCCTTTTGGCACTATAACGAGTATAACGAGATTGAGTTTGTCGATGACTCAGACAACGAAGGGGATAGCGAAAGGAGTAGCGAGCCTAGGTTTTGGCGTTATACCGCCGATAATAAGATTGAATATCTTGATACGGATGATGACGACAGCCGTGGCCGCAAACGCCGACGGTTTGGGAGCTTCGGAAGCCAGACTCCCCCGGCACTCTCCGAGTCTTTGCTTACTGTTAGTAGCGGGGTTCGCGGCGATAGCGCTGCAGCGGATGCTTATGTTACAAAACCCGAGCGGGAAGACGATTCATAAGGTAATGTTTCTAGCACAGCTTTACCTGATTATCATGTCGTAGTGCGCGATGCGGGAAACGTATAATACCCTAAGTTGACGAAAGGTTATTGTTACCGACTTATTCTGGGCAGGATAAAAATTACCGGAATAAGCTCTTTTATAGAGAATAGGGCTTTTACGGCTTTTGATTAGGTGCAAAAGGGAGTTACTAATCTTTGAAGTTAAGCGTAGTAAGTGCGTTATGGATGTTTATTTTGAGTACTGAACTTTTGCTTATAGGGTTTGCTTAGCTCACGAGTAGCGCGAGCTTTATAAATTTAAGGTTTTTATTTATTGCGAATAAAGTGTCTTTTATTAATAGAAAAATTATAAATAAATTTAAATAAATTAAATGAATATAGTATATTTTTATAACAAAAGTTTCAATATTATTATTATTATTATTATTATTATTATTTAACTTTAACTTTTAACAAATTTTTAACGGATAACCCGCTAAATAAGCTTAACTAACTCAATTAAAAGAAATCTTCACGACTCATTCAACTCGAAATAGACAACAAAAAAAGAAAGTACATCTTAGGTACCCTCTCACACGGCATACTTGCAAAGCGATACTCCCCCTCAGTATTTATATTTGACAGTACGAGGCGGAAAGGTAGTAACTGAATCAGCTCAATAAGACAAGACGACCTTGTCTTTTTTGGATTTGGAATTCAGAAACTACCTACAGACGGCATACGAAGTAAAATACTGAAGGAAGGTAGATAACCCCGCGATGACCTCGCGACAATGCGCGCCCACAATGCCCTAGACAGCGACGACGCGAAGGAAGCGCAGTGGGAAGCCGCGCGCGGCGCAGCCGTCGGAGCCGTGAAATGGGGCGCCGCGACCGCCGTCCTGGGCGGAATTGGTTATCTCGTGTCGCCGTTGTATCGCGGGCTGACCATCCAGTTTAAAGTGTGAGTTATCTATATCATCATTTATTTTCATCTGCCAATGGACAATCATAATTATTTATTCGATACTCCTGCAATTGCAGCCCTGGAATGAGTGCCATGAGAGAAGGAATATAACACTGAGTGAGATGAGACTAGATACCTCCAAATGTCCGGCATGATCGTCGGCAGCATGATCGAGGCCGACTACCGCATGAGGCAGTACGAGCAGCACATACGCATGCAGCGAAGGATAGCCCAGAACCGCGCCTTATGGGCGGACTACGAGAACGAGCTGGCGGAATTAGAAGACGAGGGGACATCTTCCGAGAAGAATAAGAAATAAGAAGAAGGATTTATTTAACTCAGGTTAGGAGGTATTCATTGTTATCGCCGGTCATCAGAAGCAATAAGCAATATGCTATAAGCAAAAGCAGGGTAGTATTCCATGATTCCGTGCCATTAGGCCATGCATCCATCTGTATTATAAAAGCATGAAGACAATGCCTCGAATTTTGTTATTCTCGACACTCCTCCTGTACTAACCAGCTTTTTAAAAGAAGAAACCAGGGAACCGTGACTTCGTAAAACGCCAGCGCAATGCCATGCAAAATTCCCCGTGCCATTTCGCTAATCTCTTTGTCTTTTCATTTCTTTTCATATCAACATCTTCTTCATCCCCTTTTAAATAATCCCATATAACTGACATGCGCTTATTCTTTCTATTTCGCCTTGGTCTCAAACCGCTTGGGATCCATATTGATCTTGCATAACCGGGCCACACACCCGCTCAGCTGCAGCAGAGTCTGGACGCCCTCGAGGATCTTCATGTGGGTGAAACCGATCTCGCGGATGAACTCGAGCTTCGAGTGTTCGCTGAGGGTGGGTATGGTCTTGGTGACCTTGAACATGGTGGAGATGATGTCGTGGCTGGAATATCCGAGGTCCCAGAGCTCCCGCAGGGTATCGAGAGCGCTATCTATGTTGCCCTCGTAGCATGCCTTGAGCATGGCCTGCACCTTGATAGGGTGAGGGCTATCCACCACCTTGAAGACGTTGTCGCCGCTGACGAAACCGAAACCCGCATGCGTGCTTTGCAGGTTGTTGATGGCTTGTCGCATATCGCCTTCGGCACTGAATACGAGCGCCGCCAATCCGTCGTCGCTGTACTGTACTTTCTCCGCCTCGATGATTTGAAGTAGTCTCTTGACCACCTGGGCATCCGTGAGCCGTCCGTATCGTAGGATCGCGCATCGCGACTGCAGCGGCTCGATGATCTTGTTCGACTGGTTGCACGCGAAGGCGAATCGCGTCGTGTTGGAGTAGATTTCCATCGTGCGTCGCAGCGCCTGCTGCGCACCGGAAGTCATGCTGTCGGCCTCGTCAAGGATGACGATCTTGTGTCGGCCTGCTGGAAGTGTGACTTTCTTCTGCGCGAAGCCCTTGATTCGGTTTCGGACCACATCGATACCTACAGTTGATAACAAATATTAGTCTTGATTTCCTTTTAGTTTGGTAAATAAGTTGAAGTGGACTAACCTCGCTCGTCACTGGCGTTAAGTTCTAAAACCGCCTCCTTGTAGGAATCCCCGAGAAGTTGGCGGGCTAGACACAGCACGCTTGTCGTCTTTCCAATACCGGGCATCCCCGATATGATAACATGGGGCATATTTCCATCTTTGGCGATGATCTTCAGCCGTTCGATAGTCTCTGTGTTTCCTACTACATCGTCGAGGAAGACTGGTCTGTATTTTTCTACCCTGTAGGATGCGTGTTAGTGCAGATTCCATAGTAGATGGGTACACTGAAAAGTTACGTACCAGGGCAACTCGTAAGTGGCATTACTGCTAGAAGCGCCTGTTAAAGCCTTCTTAGCAGCTGAGGTCGAAGACTCGCCTCTCTCTTCCGGCTTTGCTGCTGGCATTGTTTTGCTGGTGTTGTTATATTTATATGAGAGCAGGTGTAATTGGGGAATGACGCCGGACGTGAATTGAATTAGAAATGAATACCTCTAGGTAATCAATATAAAATCAATTTAAAATCAATTAACGCGTATTTCGAAGGCCAAAAGACGCGTCTGAGCTTTAACTGGTGGGGCAGGGTGGGGCAATAGCTAGGTACATTTTATGCAATAAAGAAAGGAACTACCTAATATTCGTTCTAGGTATGTTCATTACTTAATCCGTTAACGGAGAATCATTAGCATTCATAAGGTTCATATCTCAGTCATTCCATCTCATTTATCCTTTACGCTATATACACCTACAAACTACTCGTATGAGAGATCTATTATGGAGAAGCCAATAGGAAGAGACCTTCCTACTCAAACGAGATCCTTTACCGCGTCATCCATATTTCATATTTCATATTTAGGTACGGTAGTCCCCATTGATGGTGCTAGTGAAAATCGTCAGTACTTGAATACACCCATATCATAGCAAGTTTATATATATATCACTTACATATACTCGTGGCTGTAATCACAAGTCCAGTAAGTAGCCTCCTTCTTACCGGTTCCGAGTCTCACAAGGATCTCGAGGTCTTCTAACTCAAGAATCTGCGCCGCTCGGGTCTCATCAACCGTTTCTGGTTCGCCGTTGACGAGAAGTTTCAGCTCTGGGCTTCCATCCGTGGGAATAAAAGACACGTTGGTCTTCTCGGGGATTATTTCCTCCACGTCGTTAACGGGATGTCCGGGCTCGCTGATTAGCGAATAGCCGGTAGCGCAAAGGATCCGTCCCCAGTTTGCATCTTTGCCGTAGAGTGCCGTCTTGACGAGAGGCGATCGCGCAATGGTACTTGCAATCTTTCGAGCGCCTTCTTCACTCGAAGACTCGGTTACGCGAATAGTAACGAACTTAGTAGCACCTTCTCCGTCCCGTACGATAAGCTTGGCTAGGTCGGTCGCGAAGTCGGTAACAACATCCCGGAATGCGATATAATCTGCCGAATCTTCCGTAGTTACCCCCTGGCCTCCCGCTGCTCCATTGGCCAGTAAAGCTACCGTGTCGTTTGTAGACGTGTCTCCGTCAATTGTGATGCTATTGAAAGACCTGTCTACGGCATACTTAAGAACGGGTGGAATGACAGAGGATGAAATAGGAGCATCAGTAGCGATGACACCCAAGAGCGTTGCCATATTCGGATGAATCATCCCAGCGCCTTTAGTCGTTCCGGCAATACGATATTCAATCGATGGCGATGATGGCAGTCTGAACGTCTTGGAGATCAACTTGGGGAACGTATCTGTTGTGCAGATAGCGGTGGCACATGTCAGCCAGTGCTTATGAGTATCTCCAAGGCCTTCGTAGGCTTTAGGAACTCCGTCCAAGATTTTCTGGATCGGAAGTCTAAAACTTAGGTAATTAGAATGACAGGTGCATAATTATAGTCCTAGCGAAAACTCAAGTACATTACCTTTGCCCAATTACGCCAGTACTCATCACGATTGTTGACTTATCAGCACCTAGGACCTTGTCCGCCGCCTTGGCCATTTTTTCAGCGTCTTCTAAACCGCCTTTTCCAGTCACGGCATTGGCACATCCTGAATTGATAATTACACCTCGAAGCCCAAAGTTCTTCTGTTCTTGTAGAAGTGCGCGACTAAAAGTTACCGGCGCAGCTTGGAACTTATTTTTGGTGAATACGGCCGCTGCAGCACATGGCGTAGTTGAAGTGATGAAAGCAAGGTCGGGCTTGGTGGTATTTTTCGGTTTGACACCAACTATCGTTCCCGAGACTTTGAATCCTTGCGGATAAGTACCGCTAGTCGGGACATATTTCCTCTTAGAAGCAGGAATGCTTCCACTGACAGGAGCCGAGTAGAAACGAGCGCCAGAGACTTTGGTAGTCAATTGACGCAATTGGCTTGGGACCCGACACAAGGAACTTTGAAGAGCCATGGGAGCCTTTCGATCGTTCCTAAGTAAAAGGACGAATCGAGGTTCTCACGATGAACTCTTATAAGACAATTAAATTGAGAGCAAGGTCCGATTTTTGACTCATACTTATTTTATTAGCGATTTTAGCGGTTTTTTTCAACTGCCGAATGGTATGAGTCGCTGAGGGGTGCTGCCACGTGCCAGTCAGCTGTGAACAGCTGTTGACGGTCTGTTTATACGCTACATTTACCCTTCAAACGTACGAAGTACCTAACTTATTCAAGTCTTTCGTGTTTATACAGATTCAAGCGCGGGATTTCTCGTCTATAACATTTATTTGATAGTACACCATCTACCTAATTTTAAACATCTAAATTTGTAATTTTTTACCTCAAAACGCTCTCTTATCTCCATCCTCTATTCACATTGACGCCCTTAACGACGTCCCATAAATTTCCTTACTGTTCCTAGGCTTTCCTTATTGTAGTTAACTGCTCAAATACTGGCTCAAATATCATTCATGCCATGGAAACATTTGGATATGTGTTGCAGTCTATTGAAACTGTAGCCAATATAATCGCTAGCTGTAACATAATTGAGCGCTACTTTCTCCAACCGGAGCATTCAACGTATGCTTTATAGTCTCACTCACATCTCTCATCTCTCATTGTCGAGTTTATCTATCCTAGGTAGCATGAGTGTGACTGACTGGAAGCTTTTGAGCAGCTCTCTAAGTTGGTTGTATCCCTTTACGTCTCTATTCTAAAATACTTATCCTCAATCCTCCACTACTGCGATAAAAATTGGGCGATTAGGCTAATGAAGAGTGCGGTTGTTTCTAAAACTGATCTTGAAGCGAAGCATTCCACCATTACGACTGCAAAGAAGGAAGTTTGGGATCTGCTTCAACTTGCCGAGTCTGAAAACTCACTGTCCATTCTTACAAGTCTTAAGAATGTGACGGCGTCGCAAATAGCTTGGAATAGCGACATTAATTCCTTCTCGGACGAGTTGAGGAAACTTGAGGAGCCTATCAGAAGGACAGACTACCATGTTCAGCTAGTCAATGATAACCTCGAGCGAAACACGAGAGCACATATCCTGAAAGCCATTTCCACCATCCCATATGGAGCACACCATTGTAAGAGTTCGGAAGATAACTACCAAAACGCTACACTTCCAAAAGGTAGATCGATGTCAAGTCGAGGGGTTGACGTTGTTATCTACACCTATAGGGACTACCTACCTCACAGACGGTACTGTGACACTCTGACACACAATCCCTAGTTGTATGCCATATCACTAATTCGGTGTATACGCGGTCATCTTGAAAGTTTCTCTGATCTCCGCGACATATTTCTCTTTATCTTTAAGTTTCTTTTCAATAAGCCCCTTTACCCCTTTACCCCAATACCAAAAGAATGCATGATCAAAACAGACCCTCTGCAGTGCTCCTTGTTGAAAAGGGGTTGGATGTTGGTATTGAAGATCCTATACATTCCTTTTGGTATTTTGATTGCATTAAAATACCAAAAAGCGCCTGTTTTCCACACATGGCGCATGGTAGGATCATGGAGCAAAACACCATTCATAGCTCTTTCCTCTGCTTCGTAGATGTCAAAATACTCTTCAAATATAGTTCCCAGCTCAGAGATGGATTCAGCTTTATTGAAGTCGTCGATTGGTTTAGACGTAAGCCAGTACGGCGGAAGCTGCATTTCAATAGGTTGGGCTTGCGCCCACTCGAGGTCAATAATAGTTTGAATATTCCATTTCTCGTCAACGAATATGTTGTTCTGTTGGAGGTCCGTAAGCGTATAGTAGAAAGGGCCATCTCGATAGTCGGGACGAACAAAGTGATGCATGGTGGCTCGCAAGGCGGTCAAAGCTGCAAGCTGCATTTCCCCGTCTTCCTGGTCATGAATGGCGTTCGGCTGGTAGAGTAGCTTGTTATCTTGCATGACGAGACAATCAGATATATAAGGTTCAATTGAAGTGTAAGTCCTCTGCCGTGGGATGCCGGATGGGATGCCCTCATTTTCAAGCATATGAAAATACATATCCAGTGGGCGGTTTGATAGATTGACGACGCCCGTTGAGTTAAAGCTAAGTGAACCAATGCGCGGCAGAGGAGTTCTGTTAATAGACAGACAGATGCGCGCCATGTCGCGAAAAAGCCTCTGTCGGTAGGCCTTGTCATGGCGGTGTTTTTCCCACGAGAAGGCAAGAGTGCGGCCTTTGGCTGCACTTAGGATCATATACCCCATATCGAAGGAGCTTTGGAATCTGCGTCGTATGTAGTGAGATGGGACCGGAAAGCCGAAGAATGCGAGCAACCGGCGTCGTAGCCCCCACAATATTCTCAGCAAAAACGGTGTTTTACTTGGATGCGAAAACTGTCAAAATTAGACTGTGGTCGACTAAACTGGATTCATTTGGCACAAAGCTTACATAGCTCCCATCCGGTAGCCCAAACCCATACAAAGTTGGAATAGGGACATCGGAGCAATTTTGCTGAAACCATATGTACGTTGCGATTTCTGTCCGAAGCTTTTCCTCTACGTTCCCTTTATACTCGGCCTCGCCAATTTTATACGGTAATGGAAAACGAAGATATACTCGCTCATTACCTCCTAGAGTCTTAGCTCGAATAAGAATAGGGATGACCACGTTGAAACTGCCTGACCCCCAAACTTCCGTCGTGCATATATAGCACCAGTCAACGCCTAAATGATAACGAACCAGAGCCTCGATGTCGAGTTTTCGGGCTACTAATGAGGCCCAAAATTTCTTCTTCTGTTCCGGATAACGTAGCTGCGCCAGCACATCGTCGTCCTCGTCTAATGCATCTTCAAGAGTGATGCTACCTCGGAGAGTAAAAAGGCTAGCCATTGACGCAAAGCAAGGGGTTGTACGCAATCATTAGTTCAAACTTACGAGATTTCAGGTAGAAGGAAAGGCTTCTTTTAAAACATCTTGGTGGGAATATTATTAAGATCTTGTTTGCGAAGAATACGTCTCCCTTGCTGCGGTTGATCGACCTGACGTCCTAGTAAGCGAAAGCACCCCGGTAAATGCAATTATGCGATCTTATCAATAAAAGCGTATTCCCCTTTACGATGATTCTGCTCTTTGGTTTGAGTGAATTCGTTTTCACCGACGGTTTTATCATTGCTATCATTAAGATTAAGACAGAAACAAAGCTACTTCCTATACCTAGCATATAGAAAGTTCAAGTCATTATCCTTTTGAAGATAGAGAATTATCTTCGCCGCGATTGCACGTGAACCGATAAAGCCCCCTTGAGAGAGAGCCAATTTCACGGTTATACCTAGCTACCCAGTGTCCATCCATCTGCTGGAGAAAATTGCAACCAAACGCTTCCTCATTGATTTTCCTCGTGTATAGTACCGTTGTGTATCCTTATATGTCGATGGATCTCACCTTTTTGCTTCTTGCGCTCAGTGCAATTGGGCCAATGGCAGACCAAGTAGTCCTCATGACTTGTCGATGCACGAGTCTGGTGTTCTATGAGATGGTGTATAAGATACTCGGTACGTTCGAAGGTTTGAACGCAGTCCCCCCAGTAGCATCTCGTGCCGATATGTATTGTTCTCTTGTGCGTTCGCACCGACTCAGGCCTACTAAGAGTCACTCCACAAACGTCGCATGGATATCTTGCACGTGTCAAACTCTCAGAATTCTGAGGTTGTGGTTGGGGTGCCTCAAGCAAAAGAGCCGTTTGCTCCTGTGCTTCCACTTCTTGATCATGGCTAGAGGGTTCGTGAACAGGGTCGTGAACAGGTTCGACTCGGCGTGATCGAGGGATATCAGGTAGTGGTGTCCGTCCCTTCCTGCGCGCTTTCTCTTGCTAAGAGAGCTCGGGTTCAGGTTCGGGAACGCTGCAACTTCCAGGAGCTAGATTGGCCTGGTCGCCCAACGGCAACAAGGTGGGAACGATAGTACCTAAATAAGTTAATACTAATAAGACTATTATAACTATAAAACTTCCAATGGTATAGAGGTACTTACCTTGAGACATATTTGGACAGGTTGATTAGGTATACTTCAATTGAAAGGTGGTGGTGGTGCTAGTGGTGGTAATTCGGCGATACAGGAGACCTGACTTCGCCGGTGAGTACTAGCAAAACGTTCGATACAGTTTGCAAAAGAAATATAAGGTGCTATCTCACTATTGTCGCCGAAATTTAGAACACAGATTCAAATGGCACTGTCGCCGGAGTGGCAGTTACACTTCTGTCAAAATTGTGGTTGGCTAAGAAAGCAACAACAGAAAAGGAGCAGAAAACTATTTGCTATAACTGTAGGATATAACAAATGATACACCACCGTTCTTCGTTGGGCTTCAGATAAAAAGCCGCCCGGGATGTGGATTTTTGGAACGTTGTGAATACAATGGTTGGGTAAAGAAAGTTGTGGGAGAGGTGGGTGGGAGAAATGAACGAAGTATGCCTGTTACGAAGGCAGCGACGCGTCCTGATGGGAGAACAACCAGAACGCGGGGTGTACGTGATTAACGTACTAGCCATGCGACCTGAAGTTCGTCTCATAGCAACATATTCTATGGAAGAAAAATTTTGCAAACAAGAGATACCTAGAAGGAACGCCGATGCAAGTGGCCCACGTGCCTCTTACAAGGTAGGTAGGTACATGAGGCATATTCAATTGTGAATGTGCAAAGAAAAAAAAATACAAAAACATGAAACTGACGTTTACTAATGTCAAACAGCATTCACTGTCATCTAATATGTATCTAGCGCCAATAAGGAAGTATACATAAAAATATTACCCCTATTTTCTGACTGATATAGGGGTAAATTGCATCATACGATGTGTTTTCGCAACAAGGATTACATCTATGCCTACCTACCTGATAGCTATTAAGCTTTAAAAGGCAGTAATACTATATCTGATGCATAAGATACGAAGAGGTAATACTGAGTATCTAATCGGCTCTTGGTGACTTGGTTGGTAAAGTGGAGGTTAAAATCAGTGGTCAAGGGACTGTTTCTAGCTACAGTACATGGTATCTTGATGTATAACATATATATAAAAGAGGCCTTCTTACACACTGAAATAGTTAGTGTACCAAGTCAATAGACAGGTAGATATAGCTCATACATAGAGTGTTAGGGATATGTGGGATTATAGGGATAGACTGGCTAGAGTAGGGCAGTCTACATAGAGGGTAGCTAGTTCCCTTGGACGAGAATAGAATGCCAGGTATTACTAGTTCAACCCTGGCAGTTCCTTTTCATGTGACACCCATCACCAGGAACACCTATTATAAATCGTATCTTCCAGCAGTCGACTTGCCTATGCGCTGATAGAAGGGAACAAGGATCGTATAGAAATAATCAAGCCCCCGGCGAGAGAGAGATACGGGATTGGGTACTCGCTTAGGGTCTTTTGAACGACCAACTTAGGATTACTGGAGGATATGAGCTTATTTATATGAGTATCTAGATACGTAGCCATGTTCTTCTCGTATTATAATGTTTCAAATTGCAATAAACATACAAGCCCTCTGAACCAAGACTAGGAGGCACGAGTACATGCCAGGATCTTATTGATATCAACTAGGGATAGATACGCAGCATAATTATATATAATTGACGTACAACGCCCTTGCAAGAGGGGACAAAGGTAAGTCTTAATTATATACTCTACCACACAGCTACTATTTCTAATATACACTCTACATATGACGCTCATTACGGGACTTCCTTAACAAATATTTGCTCTTCTGTGTTAGAAACAATGCGCCTGACTTAAGCTTAGTTGTATAACAAGGCAGTTTGCTTTAGGTAGGTATATTTTTCATATTCAAGCCCCGCTAACAAAATTGGAGAATACCAACGATCTACCACTTCTATCCCAGGTGATCTTTTCCACAGCATCATTCCTCAGGTCGGACCAGCGAACCAGGCTTTCGTTCATCCCATTACTCATTGTCGCTGTCCAATCTGTCCACATTGCGAAAGAGCACCCATAACAGGAGAGTGGCCCCGCCTAATAGCCCGGACAAGATGGCGTACATGGTGACCAAGTGAGGATCCATGGTCAACGGTGTAAACGCCAGCGCCAAGCACGACCCAATGCCGGCCATGGCGAGCCAGATAGATTGAACCAGCGTTTTCATGCTCTTAGGAGCATGGTTGTACGCATATTCGGTGCCGGTGGTCAGACAGAAAACTTCTGCTAACGCGCCTCCAAAGTAAATGGGAAGTTGAAGGAATACCGAAAGCTGGTTAGGCACGGTACGATCAAGGGCATCCGGACATGCTAGGGGTGTGTCATAACATGGCCCTGTCTGGTAGATAAGCTTCTGGACGATTGTTGTGTAGACCATAGACAGAGTAAGAACGGCGAATCCGACAGTCATGCGTGCGATCGGGCTAAATAAGATTTGCTTCCTCGTGAGGAAAGGGTATAATCCCTTTTGGATTACGGGTGCGACAAAAATACCCGAAATGGCTCCGGCAATTTTTATCATGTCATTGGGGATACCGTAAGTGACCATTTGTCCGGCCTGGGAGATCAGATTGTTAAAGGTTTGGTTGTAGCAGAGCCAGTGAATGGGGAAAAGGAGCCTATCGCACAAATGTTAGACGCCGTAACATGATATGGAGAAAGATATACACTAACAACACTCGGCATGTTAAAAGACTTCGCTTGATGTCATTGATAAACGAGTCGTTCCAGGCAACTTGTCGTCCATGTTGGAGCTGTGCATCTGGCTTTGCGGCGTCCATTCGAAGACCTCCGGCTATGCCGTAGCGTAGAGCAGATACCACGTCAGGCATAATATTACCTGCTGGAGATTCTCGCACTAGAAAGTTGTCAGCTAGTTTATCTTTATCGTCTACAATTTATATGAACTGACCAAAGTAGTTGCGACTGAGAAGAATCGGGATCAGGGCTAGCCACATGCAACAGCAGGGGACCAAGTAGGCGACCCAGAAACCAATATATTTCTCTAGTAATGGCGTGGAATCGGCAAAGAAGCCTACCATATTTACAGCCCTATTTATTTTATTAGAACCGCTTCGTTCAGAGAGGAAGGTTGTATACGAACCAGTAGAATGCATTGTAAATATACGTAATGGTAAGCTCTCGGCTGGTAACAACCTTCTCGCCCGTCTTCCTGGTGATAACTCGAGGCTCGGTCTGGTCGTATTGATCGGCTGCGAACGTCAGCTTGAAAGTTCCGCGAAGCTTGGATGCGTGTTACTCACCAATAAATGGAACCACTGTCGTTTTGAAGGCCCCTGATCCCACAGCCAGCAGTATACAAGCAGGGATAACGCCACCCAAAGCAGCTCCTCCGCGAATGGCGGGAGGTAGCGAAGTTGCGAATAGGATTGTCGCCCCAATTGATTCGATACTAATATTGTGTTAGATTAAATTCCTAGTTTAAGGACACCAAGAGACAGGAGTAAGGGAGACGATAAAAATTGAAATCCACCCTACATAGCAGCGTATAGCATGGTCTTATAACGGCCAAGCCAGCTATCAGCAACCACAGCAGCGGGAACAGGGGTGATATAAGACCCGATGATGAGCGCATTCACGATGTTGGATGCAGAAGCCTGTCCTAAACCAAGAGCCCCGGGCACCTCGCCACCAGAAGCGTTTTGAAGGTAGTTCTCTACAAAATGACTAGTTAGCGATCCAAACACCCTGAACACGGGACTGGACGATGCACTCACGCAGAGGGGCAGTTGCCCCATACCATACGAAGCGCTCGAGGATACCGGCGAGACAGGCTACCCAAAGCCTCGTAGGAATTCGGTCAACAACGTTGAGGAGATCGCGCATTTCATCTTCAGTGGCTATGCGACCATCGTCATCAGTCGCGGGACAAGTGGTGACCGAAGATGAGTGTTCATTCTTGTCGCTAGGGGCTTGGGAATATTTTCCTGCCTCTGCAAACGGAACAATCAAGCTCGCGTCAGTAACATTGCTCAAATCAGAATCAGGAACCATTACCAACCGTTGGTGCAAATTGGGCTCTACGGTGATCTCCGCAGAGCCATGGACATCGGACACGTGATCCGACATTTTTACCCCTTTTCTAGAGATTAAGTTGATCAAATTTCGAGAGGATCTTGTGTGTGTGTGTAAAAAGAGGCGACTAACTTAAACAACAGAACAGAAGAGTGAAGTTAACAAGAAATATAGGAGGATATTTATTTGTTTCCGAACCGTTGAGCAACGCAGTCAGCGCTAGTGGGAGAAAAATAAATGAGTCAAAATGTCAGACTCCCAGGGGGTCGAGCGAAATATATATAGAACGTAAGGTCGACTAACTACATGAAGACAATTTTCTTACGGTAGGTGATGACTAAAAGATCGTCACGAATTACACCACGGTCCATGGAGATTACCCTAGTGAAATTTATACGTTGAACAACACACAACAAAACGCACTGCAACACGAAAATATAGACTACAAGGTCATATATTAAAGACTGATAGTTTTCGGACGCCTCAAATGGGATTTCTCGGTATACCATCTCATGCGTACTACGAATTATTGGGAAACGACTTCGTCAATATAGACGTGCACCCGTAGATAGATCAGAAATGAAATCTTAAAAGTCAAGTTGTGTATTGAAACTCGCTAATCTATAAGCCCTGTAATGCTCCCCAACGCAGACCTCAATAGGACCTAGATATTGAATGTAGCCATGTGTCGTCAACAAGACTAATCCATAAACCAATCTAATGCAATCCCACGATGGACCGTGGTATTCCAGGTATCTCTCGCTTTTTTACTCCGTTTCCTAACCCGATAAGCCTTACAATTTGTCGGCTTCAGGTAACATAAAACTCCAGCCTTGTAATCCAAAATAATGCAAAGGTAAATATAGTATTTGTGCCCAGATAAAACCCCAATCACCGTAGGTTGGTTGACACGAAACTATACCAACGCTGGCTCCGAGATGTTCGTAAAGCATTACTGCTGCAACGTAGTGACCGGGCGTGCGTAAGTGCTGCTTGGAAGCGGGACCTCTCCAGCTCGCCACGCCCATTCCGTCTTATTCGGAACGATCCTGTTCTCGGCGATCTCCCATTTCTCTAGCCCGTAGAACGCGTTCCTGTGCTCGTGGATGTCCGCTATGCAGAGTATGACCGAGCGATCGGGCGCCCAGCTCAGAGTAAGCGTGTGGCGGGGATCCCGCTGGCAGGTCTGGTCCACGAAGAAAGTCGTTATGCCGGGAGCTCCCGTCTTGTTAAGATGGCACTGGACCGTCTCTCCGGAGTTGTGCTTGTACGCGAAGAAATTGTATAGGCAGGTTGTCAGGTCACATGTGATTGTGCTGTTGTACAGCGTCCATGTGTCCACCGGCTGAACGTCCTGCCCAAAAACGAAGGCAGCGAAGGCCAAGATACAGGTAGGGAAACGCATCTCGACGGCTGTGAGCTTTTCTAACCAAAATGTGGAAAGTGGGAGCAGATATGTGATAGCAAGTTGATCTGTTGCTGAAATACTTATAGGTAGTCCTTGAAAACATTAGGAGTGCTTGATAAATATAAACAATACATATGGATAAACAAGGAGAGGGAACGGCTCGCGGATAATATATCGCTAAACTTAAATATTTAGGGAGAAGCTTATTTAGTTTCAGTAGAAAGATAACCTTAAGGGTACCAGTCCGCGCGGAGGGACATATGCTAGAGACGGTTTGCTTTATTTTAGGTTTGGGAAATGATAAAATACGTTACAGTAGAAACTTATACCTTGTTGTTTAGTGGCGTACCAACTCCAAGTTCTGCCTGGCAAATCTTGTCTCGCGAATGGCCATGGCTGAAACCTACATGACCATAATGGATGACTGCATATTAATATATAGGAAACTGTTATTGATGATATAGCAAACCCGACTTTCAGCTTTGAGCTTAAAAAGAATACGTTACAAGAAATAACTACATCATTGATCTGGCTCGGTTATAAGTGTCTAGACTATGGTATTGTGCGAGTTGATCGGTGTTATACCTAGATCAATCTTCAATGTACAAAGACCAGTCAAGAAAGGATTCAACCTAATTGGTTAAAACAATAGGGATTGAATACTATATTATCTAGGTAGGTATATACAATGTAAGAGAGTGTTCTAGCCAATTAGACTCAAACCTTCCCATATCTAATAAGCTCCCCCAGGCTTGAAATTAAAACAACGCTTATGTTACTATCCGCATCATCACGTGCTTTCGTAAATCTAGCTAGGGGACTGATAAGGTGTTGATAAGGGTGGGACCGAGAGGCTAAACTAGCCGAAGCTTACATAACGTATCAAGCTAACCCAGTAACTATTTTTTTTCTCGTTCCAAATTTGACACGAAACAGAAAATCTTCTCCTTCTTTAACCTTCCATTCCCGTCGTTCCTCTTCCGACCGAGGTGAACTTCCAATTGGCCCAACCATGCGAACGGCAGCGCTGCCTGCCTCCCCGTGTGCCGTGCCACCGTCTTCGTCATTGCCACCTTGAGGCTCTTGTAGTCGTGTGTGTTGTAGGCAATACGTGTCTTTGTTGTCCTCTATTTCTTCACCTGCGAATAGGAACTGCAAAAACACCTCTTTCCATCAACACTTCGTAAATCAAAAGTTGTTTTTGTTTTTTCCCCTCTCTTAGAGTAATTGATCAAATACTCTAACTACCGCAATCATGGCGGACATGGTTAGTGTCTACATGAGCACCCCTCCGATCGCTAGGTAAGTTCGCATTGCCGCTTCCATTTTAAGAGCTTCACCCAAGCTAACGAAAATCTCTACAGAACGGTCGCGACGGCGGTGTTCCTCTGCTCTGTAGGAGTCTACACGGGCATGCTGAATGCCGAGCCATTCATCTTCCACTATTCGCGGCTCATTCAGTTCCCGCCCGCTCTATATCTAATCGTAACGAGCTTCCTCTTAACAGGATCCGGAATGAGTGTGTTGTTTGATACCTACTTCATATTCAATTATCTAAGCCAGCTTGAGACGGGTAACTCCAAGTTCTCGAAGAAGGAGGATATGATCTGGTACCTCTTCTTCCTCGCCTGCGTCATTCTGGTAGGTCAAAATCTCTTCACCTTTTCGTAACCCATCCATTCGCTCAGAGATGGATCCATCTTTTGCATCAGAAATTTTATATATCCACCTATCTTAGCCCCTCCTCTCCCCTTACCCCAAAAGCACCTCATATATCTGCCCGCATAGTGGATTTCCTCTACAGCTATGACGGTTCCTGGAAATGAGGAAGATCACCCCTGCACTGTGGCTGGCCCGTCATTCGCATACCTCAATAGGGCCAGTCCGGAGTGTGGGCATGGTGGGATGTCTAATTGGATGACTCGAGCAATGTCCTTCGGACGCATTTGCTCGGGTGGTTTTCAGCGCCCTACATATATACATATACTTAGCCCTAGTTCCTATAATCTTGACCGTGCATCGAGAAGAGGAACGACTTGCTAACTTTTAGCGCATTAGCCTCTGAATGCGTTCTTCACAGGTGGTTTCATGCTCCTCCACGCTCTGCTCATTGCCTTGTGTTACACGGCAACGCAGGATCAGCGAGGGATGAACGCCCACTTTTATATCATCACTATCCCCGCACAACTAATGCCTTATTGTCTTCTGCTCGTACAGCTTCTATTTCCGAATGGCTGGGAGAGCTTGAAGATTGGGTTGACTGGCCTCGTTGCTGCTCACCTTCACGACTTTCTCACTCGGATATATCCCGAGTTCGGACATGGTCCAAACCTAATTCCTACGCCTCGGTTCCTTTCATGGATTATGAGCACACCTGCTGTCCAGAATACTGTCTATGGCCAGTCGACTGCCCCCTCTGCCGGGGGAGGAAGGACTGGCCCTCTACCAGACTCATGGAGGACTAAAGGGCCTGGAAGACGTCTGGGTTAAGTAATACAGGTTTATATAAAGTAATTGGTAGTCACCCAGAAGAACAAATAATATGTAGTAATGCCTTGATTGCACTATCGTTATTATCGTCCTTGGTATTCCTTCATTTGACTTATAATAACACGTGACTGGTCTATTTACAATATTCCTCGCTATCCCAGGTCCGATAACCAAAGCGACAGAACGTTACGTCTAGTAACAGGTATAAGATGGCTTCTGTTTGCGCCATAAAATTATATAGGTATGCATAGTCTCCTATTCTCATTCCCCATCGATATCATGCCGTTCCAGTAATCTACCTGCCTACGCCTCGTCTCAAGCGAAGCATCCCAAATTAAAAACGCCGTTCCTAATATTAACCAGAACATTTTTCCCTGGGTATCTATGCAGATGTATACACCCGATGCATGAATCGTACATAATACACCTCTAATCGTAGAAAGAGTTGCCTTCCTCTCTCGTCTTCCCCGGCTCTCTCATTTATATCTTCTTCTCTCAGCCGCGGTGGCTGGTTGAGATGCGCTATTTGCTACCCCTGGATGTCTGCGGCAGTCGTAATATACAAGCCGCGATCGTGGAACCGCCGTTCGTGGATCGTCAGCGGCTTTGATGTCTGCGCGTTACCGGTAGCAGGCTGGTTCTCTTGTGTGTCGACGGGCGTTGCGCCCTGTACGGATATTACCGGCGGAGAGTACTTCCTCGGTATTTTGATGCGGGGTACCGATGGCATCGACAGCGACGGGACCTTATTGTGGCGAGCCGGAGGGGGCGGGGGCGGGGGGTGAGGTACCGGTTGGGGGTTCCTTATAAGTCTCGCTGTTGCGGAGTCCGTTGGAGAGGGTGACCGGTTTGAAGTTCGAGACGGAGGGTGCGACGATGGTGGTGGCGGGATGGGTATCGTAACAATGTCTTCGACCGCATTCAGATATTGCTGCATGGCGTAAGAGTCCGGCACGTGATGTTTCACAGCCGCCGGGGGCGCTGGAGAAGCTGCCCTGGAAGGACCTCGGCTCACGTTTCCGGGAATGTACGCAGGGTGGGTAGGAAGCTGTCGTGGATCCAGGCTGTAGTTTGCCCGCCGCGCCGCTATCTCCTTTTCCAGGGAGTCGTAGTAATTTGCGTCGTTCATGTATGCCCGCTGAGCGTTAAGTTCGTAACCGCTTATCATGGACACGGAGGGTCTACTATCGTAAGCTGTAAAGGCTCCTTTACTTGGTGCTGTGATAGAGCCACTTCCTCCTCGAGGATCGTAGTCTGAGCCTAGGGCATTGCGTTCTCGAGCCCTCTTCTCGCGACGGCGATGAACTATAAAGAGTCCTAGGCCACCCAAAAATAGCAGCGCAGCTCCAACAGCGATGCCTACAATAGTACCAGTCGTCATCGACGTCGGGTTCGAGTCATCAGTCTTCGACGTGTTTGCGTCGTTGTCGTTGTCGTCGGTCGGCGGCGCAGTGACTTTGATTGGCGTATCAGAGAACAGCGTTCCCGATATACCAAGTAAGCTACCCGGTGCGGGTGTCTGTTCGCAACCAGCTTGCAGAGCAATGAGAACTATTGCCCATCAGTTAGCCTCGTCTAAACTGGCAGCCACATAATGAAAGATCGTACAGTTAGCTAAGTAAACCTGGTCATCACTTGCTTGAAAGCATTGATAACATGCTTCAACAGATTCGTTTTTAAATGCGCCGTTTCCTGCTGTACAATACCCAAATTCCGATGCATTATTAAGGTTTGAAATGCCATACTTGAGCGACTCAGCCAAAGGAGCACATCCATAGTCGATGTCACACGGGGTTGAGATGGTTTTGAGGGCGTTTAGAGAACCAAAAACGCATACGTCGACGGCATATCTCAAGTTGTCTTATGAGACCTATGTTAGTCATTACGATCATATACAGAACAACATAATCAGTTATCTCACATAAAAACCAAGAAACATCGCTCTCAGAGCCGCTTACAGCCTTGCTGTCCTTTAGACAACTGAGACAGTTCTTGAACTTGATACCCGCTGGCGAAGAGCCATATTCGCTATCTAGACAAGCGATATCTGACGAATTTGTTGAAGATGCTGCCGGGTTTTGTGCGTCGTCATCCGGATGATCTAAGCACACTGCAGCACACGGGGACCCTGGCGTAACCTGAAGACAGTTGACAAAGCCGAATAACAGAAGTAGTATGCCACGGCTCAGTATTGAAGAGACCATCTTCGCGGGTGCGGAACCTTACGGTCGAAAGAGATTGGTGGGTAGGCGGGGGATGAGGATATTATGAGGACGGGGTTCCTATAAGGGTGGTGTACCTAGAACGCATGGCAAACCTCCTAGTACCGCGGTCCACTTTGTGTTGACGAAATCCTCTCCGATTCTTTGATAGCAACAGGCCCTGCCAGTGGATAGGAGTGGATAGGAATATCCGCAAAGAGTATGAGGCTCCCAGCCCGCCGTGTAGGAGGATCTCCGTCTCATATATGACCGTTCTACTCAGCTCACCCCGCATCCCACCGCGAGGCAAGCGGCTGCGCGGAGACGGAGCTCAACATCCTGTAAGCTCGCATGCAATTTTACATTTGTGCTAAGTAAAGAGTGCGTCTAAGAGTTTCTCTTATGTCCGTTTGTGGAGAATGTTTCTGATAATAGGACTGGGTTTTCTTTGGCCATAAAAAACGGCCATAGACGATCCAATGGAACGGCCGTAACACCTCCGGGGATGAACAGGCGACAAAAAACATGTAACCAATAATAAGAGAGCGGGAAGAGGTGGGAAGCGCGAAGTAAGAGCCAAGTCCAGTCCTAGATATTGATTGGCCAAGTCCCCTACCGGAGATGTTGAGACTAATCCAGGAAGAGACAAGAGCATGAAAAATGATAGGCTATCATGCAACGATGCCAGGTAGATCTAGCGGGTCTAAGTAGCGGGTCTCGTAGACGCCGGCCAGACCAGCGACCGGCCGGGGTCTCAGCTCAAACGAACTTCATTTACCCCTCCAGCCCCTCGTATCAACAGTCATATCATGTCATATCAAATCTTCAACGAATTCTTTAAAGGCGCATAAGCACGAGGTGCACGGGATGACGGACAGAACGGGAAGCTCGAACTGGATTTAATGTTTAGACCAATCTTCTCGCTTAGATTCATGAACTATTTGGGGATACTTATCTGTCTTTTGTTTTGTTTTTCTTGTTACTTTTCTATTTCTTTTTTTTCCCTTTGTCTTCTATTATCTTGGAAGGGTAGGGAAAGCTTCGAGAAGACGAAAGTCATACGACAAGGCTTGCTGACCTCGAGGCCCCAACGCATTTCTTGTGCTTATAGTTCGAGGTTGTTGGTGTGCATATTAAATTTTGTTAGTGTAAAAGCAGAGGAGCCACGAATAGGATCCAAAGGCGTAACTGTATGAAAAGTGATAGCGGCTGCATTGCAGACGCAAGAGCCAACGCTTCGCTTCATTTACGTATGACTGCAGGTGCATTCTAGTACTTCACGTACGTACCTAGGTACCTAATGAGTGCCCCACTCACCTGATGCTTCGGTGAAGGATCCGTTTTTTTGACATTTTCTACTTAACACCAACACTAACTTCATATTTCACAATGGGTATATCAAGACCTCTTTGATGGCTGCCCTCTTTTCGTAGTTGAAAATACTCTGTCAATAGGTAGCCATTACGACTACTAGGTCTTTAACCCCGCGACCTTCAACATATTCTTCATTTGTTCAGGCAAACAGGTAGGGATCATTACTTGCATATTGACTCTTGTCCGACGTCTATACAACCCGATACCATGGTTCTAGACGAAGAATCAGTACTCCCTTACTTAGGCGCTTAACGATGAAGCCTCTAAAGAATTCCGCGCGGAACCTAGCCCAAGAAAGCGGCCTAATCGCGCTTAAATAATATGAAGGGGTTAGCTCGTCGCATGGATAATATCGCTACCGTGCATCCCTGCCATCTCTCCCGGTGGTCGGGTTACTCAAACGCCATCTGACCCGGAGAGTCGCATACGGTGGTCGTACGTGGCAGATTACCAGATCCATATCCATAGCCAAGGCAAACGGGGATTGATATCTTTATCATCATCTCGCATAAATAGTGGGATACCAAGGTGAGCTTCCAATATCGCCCACGGAGTTTTCTGTCAAAGATCAGGAGATCAAGGGTGAATTCATCTTCTCCCCTGTCATCATTTTTCAAGATGTTGGAATAAGAATTCTTCCATTACCGTCTTCTATTGTGCCACACGGCTACCGAGACAGTGGCCTACTGACAAGAATTTGCATCATCTTCGTTTCTTCTACAACCAACATCTACACCTGCGCGGCTAACGGTCGAATATAGGGCCACCCAAGTGATGCGCGTAATATTTTTAGCCCCATCGTCTGCATGTAATAGCACAGGAAGCCGATGTTGCTGGTGCCACGTTGACGTGGATTCTAAAGCATCCGAAAAATGCGCCTAGTTTATTGTCTTCTGGAGCTCCATGTGGAACTGGTTCACGCTACTGCAGTCCCGTATGCAGTTAGATATTCTGTATCCCCAAGCCTTACCATTTGTGGTGAACTACAGGATGTAAGCTGTGAATACAAGCCTAGGCCATCAACTTGAGAATAATTCCATGGAGTAAAGAGTGAAGATGGGTAAAAGTAACTTATCTCGAAGCTGTTTTACTAGTTGATATAATCCATAAATTTTCTGCCCCTAAAGTAACTTGGAAAGAGTTAGGTATTAGAAATAAAACAAAAAAGACTGGCATGGTTGGTGCTGTCAATCTCCACTTCTCAAAGCTCCTTCATCGTAAAGTCCCCCATTACAGCTTTTCTCGATGGCTAACCCCTTCTAGTATTCCCGTCTAGTAGTCGAATCTGCTTGATAGGAAGAAGTAGACGAAGCCTAACCGCAGTTGCAAGGAAGCACCTCACTTGGCCCAGCCGTACCTAGATCTTCATGGGAATTGATATCTCTATATCCAAAGAACGCATATCGATCTTTACTCGGACTGCTCATAGCATTAATTTATCAGCCAACCGATTCACGGAGAGATAAAATGTAGCTAGATTAACTTACGGAACGAGTGTCATTATGCCAGCATCATGGTCAGGCGTATATCCCCAATGAACTATCCAGTCATTGCCAATACAATGGGCGTTTGAGAAGCCCCAGGTCTTGGCATCAGTGTCTTCAGGGGCCTGCAGCGCGAGTTGGCAGACTATCCCCTCGGGGGAACCGTCCAAGATAAGCATGTCAATGAAAATACGATTCTCGGAAGGTGTTACAGCTGGACAGGATATCAGTATACCACCAAATGAAAAATTGAAATGAAGCACAATATATAACTAACCTCGATACATATTCTCAACAGTCCATGTGGTACCATTATCCCGCGCTAATAGGGGCTTTTCGCCAAGACCTCGGGCGCGAGGCTTGTTATAGGTCGTCGGCGGGTACGCAGCCATGATCTGCTCGGGGATATGGGCGCCGGCATTCAAAGCTTTGTCGTCGAAGCCGAAATACGCTTCGATATTCTCTTCGATATCCAGCAACACCATGACTATCCACCCCTCGGGCGCGTGTCCGCCGTTGACACTGTACCGCTCGGTCCCCCTGCAAGCTATGCCGGAGAAGGTCACCGTGTCGCAGTTGTGCCCGTTGTCCGCGTCCACAGTGAACCGACATACCGTTGGAGACGTGTCGGGAGGCGCCTCCGATTGCGACAGCACGAATTTCCAGTCGCAGGTCTCGTTGCCCGCGGACCGCGTGCGGGCCGCGTTGGAAAGCGTCCAGTTCCCGACCGCCTGCGGCTGCGGATGCTTCTCTCCCTGGGCGAGGAGCGCGAAGAGCTGGCAAAGGAAGGGGGCTACAAACTTCTGCATCTTCAAAAATGAATTTGATAGTACCTATCAACGACTTATCTTGGAAAGAGGAGTGAAGTGAGTAATGCGGCTTGAGCTGTCCTCATTCTTCAGCGCTGACATTGCGATCTTTGCCTACGTACTTATACGGCTTGCTGTATAAGATGCCGCAGGCTACCTAGGTATGTATTGTCCCTTTCGAAACGGGAATCTACGTAAAATGAGACATCTCACAGATCTGGCTACCAATGCAGACAGCCGCAAAGCTAGGCCGCAGGCACGTCGGGATAACAGATGAGGCAGCCTGGCGATCGCAATTACTTTTCAACCGGAATTGGAACTGGAACCGGAACTGGCTTCGACTTCCACATCCTACTTGGTTTCCCATCGCGATACCTATAGCGATAAATTCGTACTATCAATCAACCATAAATAGTAGTTGGACTGCCTACTACAAACTTAGGTAGCGACAACGACTTCGAACAAGCCACGCGTCTGGTCGTATTTGCATACGATCGATGCATATAGTAAGGGTGTCCAGTTGAAAAGGCCGAGGTCAGAACAAGAACGTACCTAGTTTCAGGTTTCAGCCAACTACATAACAATCAGTACGAAACGTCATGGTATTTTCCCGTATATTGCCTCTTTGATTAGGTATTGTCAGTTGAGTAGGTACCTAACCTAACCTAGTCGTCTACATCATAGAGGAAAGGACAGGGCTTCGTGCTACCGCAATATCGTGTGACAAATACCTGTTACATGGAAATCGACGTAATAACACTAGGATTACGACTACTTAACGAGCCACTTGACTCGAATAACTTCTGTTTCACAGCAGATCCGGACGCTGCTTACCTACCTACCTCCTACATACGCCGGGAAATTTGTTTGCCATTGTACCAAAAGAGCAAAGCTCCTGGTAGGCAACCGTCTTGCCTTGCAACATGTCTGAGGCAAACACCGGATGTATGTCATAAATCTTTCCATCTGGAAGATGCTTACCTACCTGAGTTGACTGGCGATAACGTTAGGAGGTACCCAGATAGATGGGTAGCTATTAGAATGTACCAGATCGACTATACTTAAAACGTGAACTGCGGAAAGCTGAGAATATGGTACTCAAGTTAATTTATTTTGCTAGGGTTGCCCCTGAACCCTAAAGACCTCACCAACATCTCACTTAATCACATGATCAAAGCCCAGCAATCAAGCTGTCGATGACAACCACCTATAATTTTTACGTGTGAACTTTTTTATAATTCTAGTACAACTTAGGTAGGTAAAACTCAGAGCTCAGATGGAATGAATGTCCGGGTCTAATAACCAAACCAACTCCTCGCTTAGTGCAGTGACACATTTTCCCAGCGCATCGAATCATTCCTATAACCTGATTACACGTTAAAAGTTCCAACGCTACCAGACGGCACTCTTTGGCCTAACATTGCTCAGTGCCTCTTGCCCGATATGCTTCGCGATCTTCAGAGGTTGGACGAAAGGGGCGGACCGAGGCGCGTTAGGTGCGACGTTATTCCCCTCCGTCTCAAAAACCATAGCCTTTGGTGTCTTTGGATCAAACAAGAACCAGTGTGTTGCCAGTAAGCGTTCTGCATCGGTGAGATCCTCGGTAGAAGAGGCGTAGAAATTTGGTTGTGCCTCGAGCTCGCTTTCGGGAGACTTATTTGAGGTTCCCGTCGCACTCTGAATGTTCGATAGTCTTTCCGGCTCAGGAATTACCCGTGACGAATCACGCCTCTCCACGTTGGCAATTTTCGTGTATACGTTGGATTCTTGTCCTGGAGTTCCAACTTGATGATGTCTGTCACCATGAATTGCGCAGCTCGGTGAGCGTCGTACGATGATCTCTTCCACAATCTCGTCATCGTCCTCGCTATCGACATCCCCTTGAACAGACCACTTTGGTGAGCCGCTTCTTCCGCTGATATCCGTATTGTTTGTCGCCCCAGTGAGCTCCTTTGGTGCTCGCTGCCGTCCGCGGCTAATGGCCCGGGGTTGCCAAGAATTCCCTACAACCCCTTGGACTGATGGGTTTGGGGCTTTATAACTATTACTTCGCGACCGAGACGTACGCGATGTATGGGATGTTTGGCGATATGTCGATTCGACATTGCTCATGCGGTTCTCTGGACGGAACACGGCTGAGGAGCCCCTAACCGCGGAGCTGTCATGTATACTGGGGCTCGCACTGATTGGGATAGAAGCTCCTGCGAAATCGAAATATTGTTGCTCAAGAGGGTCATCTTCAAGAACAGGGTTAGCAGGGCGGTTCCGACTTGTGTTCCGTGATTTCAGCGAAGAAGGACGGTATGGGTAAGGCGAGGATGTATCAACTTTCTTCCCAACCGAGGAGTCTGGCCTTGGGCTCATGGTGTCGAGGCGTTGAGCGATTCCAGTCGAACTAGGTCTCTGGTCAAACACTGAGTCTGCGCGTCCACGTCTTCTCGATTGACTAGAGACACGCGGCTTCACTGGCGAGGGATTTATGACATCTTTGCTTGTAGGCTTCGATTTTTTACCCTCTATACCTAACCCCACCGATATGGACACGTCTTCAACAATAGACTTTGGGGACTTCGATGAATGTTCTAATATAGGCGATTGATTGCGTAATTCCTTGGAGTTTCGTAGGTGCGAGTCTGAAGAAGCCCAAAAGGACCTGGTTGGGAATTGTGGACTCAAGTCATCAAAAGCTGTCGTTGGAGTTAAAATTGTATTCTGCTGTTCCATCGAGACTTGGCCTTTCTGTCCTGGATTTGGATGGGGCGTGGGGATGTGTGGACGCTTATGGGCATCCTTTGGTATGGTTAGTTTGGGTCGGACAGCTAATGGAGTTGGGCTTGGTGCCGTCGGAGTCGGAATCGAATCGTTCACCGATTTAAGGGGTGGGATTTGTATCCGTGGAGATGACGTCTTGGCTTTCTTCGATGATGATCGACGGGAGGTTAAGCTCTTCGAATCAAGAGACTCTTTCGAAGCACGGGTGCGGCTTGACCCCTTCGACTTCCTTGAAGTGCCCGAATGACCCGAAACGATTGAACCCTGCATGGATTTTGTGCTCCTATCACTTCCCGCTCTAGAACCACGTCCTAATGGTACATAGTCGTAGTCTTTGGTAGCGCTACTGGGGGATATCGATTCATAGTTAGCGAGTGTAGACTCACTTAATGGTGAAATAGGCTGAGTAGCCTTCCTGGACATATTGTATGAATCGGTGTGCTTCGGTGTCTGGGTTGTTGAAGCACCTGTAGAGTCACTTCCTCCCTGTAGTTTGGGTTGTTCTGACCTCTTCGACGGGTCCTCCTTGTCAGGCCTAGCGGATGTGTTGTTCGAACCGTCTTTTGTTCTGTCATCATCGGCCGAGGCACCCCCTGATGCATTATCATCAGGCCGATACACCAGTTTAGCATATGGGGCAGCGTCCGTATCGACAATCAGAAGCTCCTTCTCTCCCCTGCCAAGGATACCGTAAACATTCACCTCGCCATCTTTTATACCAATCACAGTGCTCGTTCCGGCGTAGACAGCGTCATCTTCAATACCGCAGCGGTTCGCAAAAACGATGATAATCTCCTCCTCGCTTTCGGCTCGAATAAGTGGCTCTAGTCTCGTTACCCAATACGTCAATGTATCCAAGTCCGGTTCATTAGGCATGCGGGAGAACATTCGACCATCCTCTCTTGTGAGCCAGGCCATCGAAAGAACGACGAGGTTTGAACCCATCTCCAGAACATGAAATGCGAATTCAAAAGCGTGGAAGGGAGCCTCGAACTTGTATGGACTAAAGGAGAAGTCAGTAAGGCCAACTCTATATTTAGTCGCGTCGCTCACTTAATATCCATGCCTAGGTAGACAGATTGTTAGCTAGAACGATACTCTGGTTGATGACGGGAATTACCCACATATGCCGAGTGAAGTATTTCCAAGACCCGGGATAGACCCTTGCCAAAATCCCTCGCCTCCTTCTAGAGCCCATGTTTCGTCTGTATAGTACAGGAAATTCTTCCTATAGTTACCGATAGTTTCCCCTTCGCCGCTCACGATGATGGCCGAGTTGTAGTACTCGGGTCCGGTGGGCCATTTCGCTTTTACGTCACAAATCTCTGGGTATCCGACTATGGTAACGCAGTTGTATTTGAGTGCGACGGTTCTCGCCCAGAGCGCAGTAACTCCGGAACCTTGAGGCTCGAGGAAGGGGCTGATGTCTTGGAGCGATTTGAAGTTATATCCTTGATGGTGTCAGTATCATAATTGAATACGTTCGATTGCTCTTTAGGCACGGTTATACCTGTAAAAGATAGCTCGGGTAGACACAGCAGATCGAGGTTCTCGGGATTCGCTTTGCTCAAGACTGCATCGGCGCGATTAAGATTATTATTGACATCCCCGAGCTTCGGGGCGAATTGCAGACACCCTATCCTCATTTTTTACCTGCCACCTCATGGAAAACCGGAAACGGGGTTGTACGGACGAATTTTGACAGGTATGACGAAGAAGAAGAGGGGAATTAGGAGTGTCAAGGTTCGGATTTGTACCGAAGTGACCACTTAACTTAGGCCAGAAGAGGGCGGGATCGGTGGCTCTAGGTCCGATATAACGTGTGGCTTGGCTTAGGTTGAACGTAAAAGATAATAAAATCTAATGTTCTTACCTGTCTTGAGTCGACCTATATAATTAGTATCACTCCCAACGATCGCAGCGACTCGAGAAGTTTAGGATATGCTAAAAAGGAATATTGATTTGGATAAGAGAATGGGAAAAGTAGAGGGGTCGATCAAAGGGGATGTGCAACACCATATTTGGTAGCATACCTCCTACCTAAGGTATATTAAGGTATGTAGGGTAAGATGGGATGGGGGTGTAAATTGTTAATTATAGCTGGGATCAAGTCGTGATGCTACATTTTTCATCAGCGAGACGTGCTTACTAGCACGGTTCAGACAAGGGGATTACTGAGGCATCGCTAACAAAGAAACAGCTACCTAAGATGGATAACAGGGGAAGTAGATTCCTGGACGAGGGTCTAGTCACAGCCAACAATACTGCGAATATAAGCGCCTCTTGGATTATAGACCAACCCTTCTTTGTCCCGAGGCCCGACTGAATAGTTTCAATCAATCCGATATTCAAGTTATGATCATACCTATAGCAAGCTCCTTAGATATATATAACTTACCTAAAAGTTGAAAAAGAAAAAAAAGTGATGCAGCTACACGTCGTCAGTTCATCTTAACCACTGGGATTCTTGCGCAACTTCAACCGAGTTTTCGACTTGATCTGAGGTACATATTAGGAGGTAGGTAGAGAATGGATGTCAATCTACCATACCTAACTAGTGGGGGCACGGATAGCCATCGACCACCCAATTAAATCATGATGAACGGCTTATGAAGTGGTTGTTGTAAATGTCCGGGCTTGAATGTACCTAAGCTGAGCCAAGTAAACGACCCGCTGCAGAACATTTTTGGGGGGCCGTTAGATGCGGCGTAGGCGGGGCAGGGGCTGTCGTGTAACTTGAAACACCTTTGATGGAGGCGGGAAAGGCCGGTGAAGAATTCCCAGAGTAACGGGTAGGCTAGGATAGGCCAATAAACTGCTGCGAAAGTTCCCAGGCTGCCAGGATAAGATGCTGTAGGTACCAGTGGGGTTGAAGCTCGCCAATGATATACCGATCAACCCCCTGCCTGCTCGAGAGGCGCTAAGTACGCGACTGTGAGTGGGCGAAAGTAATAGTAAAGCTCCGCATGCCGCATGTGTTCTCTCAGAATGATGGAACCTGACGAGGGGCTCATGGGCCGACATTGTTGAATATCCACTCCTAGACGCCAGAGAAAAGATGCTCTTCCCCACACATGTCAGCATCGTGAGGATCCGTGGCGTGTTAATCTTTTATTAATATTCCTGTTATCATATTAAAATTTGTTTCGATTGGTTCGACTTTTCCAATAGTCTTACTTTGGGGAAACACAAGGTAAGTTAGGTGGTAGATAACGTCAAAGCAATGAAGACAAGTGGTTTGGACCCCTGCGGAAATGTGACGTACCTGGGTTAGTATAGGTTATTACGGAATGATATATATCATGATCCAGACTGCTGTCATCACATCAAACAACAACCCGAACAGAAGACAATCAACCTTGTTGATAATAAATTGTCTGTCATGACCGGAATTGTGGAGGATAAAAGGAAGACCGATTATAAGAGTGCGAAATTAGTGGTTGGTCAGCCCAGCGCTCCAAGGCAATAGACTTCTAAGTCTTTGGAGGACACAATCTTCGTGGTATCGTTGCCAAAGCTTCCGTTATCTTTCATAAGGCTGGCAAGGAACGATATATGTTGTCTATTTAAGACAGGTTCGCGGCGGTCACTATGAGGCAAAGGGTTCGTATAGGACTCCAAATCAAATCCATCGGGCCTAGTTTTAGGTAGGTAGCTAGAAAAGTACACGAGGCCTCATTGTCGCCATATCTGCGAATGTTAGCCGCTAAACCTATTATAAACCTTTGAGGGGATACAGCCCACTAGCTGAAGTATTACTTGCCGGTCAACTATGTAGGGGAGGTTACGCACAAGCATAATCGAAGATTTTATCTCGCTTGAGAAGGAAAGGTTCAGTCCCACTATCGTCGTCCTACCCTCCATAAGGAATGAAACAAGGTGGAAGAGGCACTGGCCAAAGCGACAGTGGGGCGACATAAGAGATCTTCTAGGTGGTATCGCTTAGGCGCATAGGTAACTTCCTCGTTTCTCCCGTATCCATGATCATTGCGGTATCGAGCCAGCTCATGTGTGCTAACATCGTGACATAGACTACTGAGCGATAATTCTGTCGGGCAAAACGACAAATGGTTTTGATGCAGTCCAAAGTCCAGTGATAGGTTTCTCTTACATAGCTCCATTAGGAGCTACTGGGAAGGCTTGTTTTCCGCATGGGTAGTAAAATGAAGCTACCGAGACTTCCACAGCGCCGCCCTTTTATGTGATCAGAAAGGGGATCAAGGAGAGCTAGCACTATATATCAGCTCCATGTAACACCTCTATATGAATAAATAGGGGTGGAGACATTACTGTCCACGAAGTGCCTAGGGCCTAGGCATTCCTACCAAGTGTCAATCTGTCTTGGTCCATTGAACTCTTCTTCTCTTTTTCTTATAGTTGATACTCCTCAGAGGGAGTAGGTCAGCTGGTATATTGTCGCGCTCTTCAACAAGCTCGATACAGAAGCTGAAATAGTCTCTTATGCCTTACGCCCCGCAGGGATAGAGAGCAGGAGCTATCATTCTACCACGGTATGTTGAAAAGTGAGAGAGAATTTATGAAGTGGCAAAATTTTAGAAGATATGTGAATTGAAATTCCTAAACAGGGCCGGGGGTCACATAGGTATAAACATATCGGAAAGCGTAATGTTTTGTAACGGGTTTGTATACTCGGCTTGCCGATTGCTCAGGATCTTCGGGGCAAAGCGTGCTTCACATGTTCCATTCGTTTCACTCCCTCTCAGTGTGCAACCTATTAAATCCAGATACGTGCTAAGGCACTGCGGCGTTACTCAACATTTCTGTTTCAAGTTGACATTTTCACATTCTTCTGGGGAGGGTCTATATGCATGTTGGTGCAAGATTGAAATATCTAAACTGCAAGATTGTCGAGTTATTGGGTCTAGCTGATGAGACCTTCCCATTCTAGGATGCTCAGCTAGCGCTTAACTTAAGCTCACAGGTAAATCGTTTTCAGGAGAGACATGCGATACAGTCGGCTCGGTATGAGATATCCGATTATTCGGCATACCGTCTCGGCCAGAGTCAGGCTATGCCACCTCGTCAAAGTGAACTGTAGGCCGACGGATTATGCCCGTTGTTACATTATAATATGTGTGTCTAGGTAGCCGCTCTTCATCAAATGTTTGCTTTTAGCTACGTAGTACCGGCGCTTGGGAGGGTAGGATCTCCGAGGCCCGTTGTAGAATAACGGCGAATGAATCTTTCAATTGCTTCGTCAATAAGTCCCGACAGTTCGGGTCGCCCGACATACAGAATACTTCCTCGCGGCTCGCTCGTGTGAATCCTTCGCCTGATACGCCAGGTGAGAATACCTAACCTATAGTGGCTTCAAGGAAACAGTCATGATGGATGCTCGATGTGTACATCACAATAGAATCGTAGTAAGATTAGCAAATACTCTTCCTGCATGCCAAGCCGATACGGCTAATTTCTCGGGTTGTCGCCATTTTCGCATTGCATACATGAAAGCGGCCCCCAAAAGGCCCCAAACTTGTAAAGGTCATGATAGCCAACAAGGTCGCATACTACACGATAATTAACTACGTTAGGTACTTAAGGTGAGTGTGCCCTATGTGACGAGACGTCCGTTTACTCAAAAGAAACAAGCACCATCCGGATTGAGGTTATTCTCGGTGGATCGATGATTTGGGGGACATGTCGAGTGACGCTCTTTTACTCGGCGATTGGACGAAGTTATTAGCGGAGCGATTTTTGATCTCCAATAAACAGCCGTAGCCGAAGCCATCTTCCTTCGAATCTCCACCCGGTAAGGTGCCACGAGCAGGGGATCTTGCATCCGGAACCAGTGTCAATACACGTGCTCTAATATCCCATTGGATCTTTTCTTTCCCTCCCCTGGATTCTGGCCCCCCCAGACATACCTAACCCCATGCAGCCGTGGCAAACTCCCGATCCTCCGACTCTATCGAGTTGCGATGGGTGATGGCCTCTGCACGGCCCCCTCCTCAATGATTTGCATCACTCCGCCGACTATTCTTTTTTTTTTTTTTTTCCCACTAAACGGATCTGGTGAGCTGATGTGCGTCGATCCGATGAGGCGGTCGAACCAAATATCTCAAAGACATACGCGCTTACAGTCTTCTCTTTTGAGACGGCTTCAATTGAGAAGTGATGAAACCACATTGACGAAGCGCCTTCACTACTCCCTTACTTCCCAGTTGAGGGAGAGCCTTCTCTTGGAGTAGGGCATCAAAGATTTTATAATTGAACGTCTGTCTGCGGCTCAGCAATTTCGCTTGGACCCTCCGAAAATCTTATCTTGGCTGCATAACCTCTACCAAACAAACTCGATATCTCGGGTAGAATTTCTATCAAGTCTTTGTGTCTTCGACACCAGGCAATTTTTCGACTATAGACAGAAGTTGCGAGCAAAGATGTTGGCAACCTCTCGAATTCTGTCCTTCGCTGCCCTTTGGCGTGCGTCGGCTGCGTTGCTCGTCGCAGATGGATCACCATGCGGGACAAAATGCGGCAATGTGCTTAGCTCGACAACAAGCGATATGATAGTCTGCGATGATTCGGCATACAGTCTCTCATCCCCAGGCCAAGTCTACCAAGCCTGTATCGGTTGCGAGTCAACAAGTTCATACACAACACCAAATGGGGCACAGAATAAATCGGACTTACAGTATATGTTATGTAAGTCTTCATTCACTATCCCTCTCATATGCGCCACAGTTAGGTATTTTGAGTATTAATTTATCTTGTTAGATAATATGCGATATGCTGTAAATGTATGTCTATTCGAGGCCGCAACGAACCCTTGCATCACTTCGTACGTATCCATCGCCTCTTCTCTCATATCGATACTAACCTCAGCAGTTTCGCCTGCGGTAACATTCAAAGCGCGATACAATATGGAAATCTTACTTCCAGTAGTTCAATATATGACTACTGCGACAAGTGGACCGACTATAATCTGGATAAATGTCACGCTTGCCTGACTTCGTCGTCCAATAGCAACTATCTTAACAACTGTATGATTTCTCATATCTCTCGCCATATTCGAAGCTAAAGCTAAATTTTATCTCATTGCAGATATATCAATCTTAGATGGCGCCTGTAGGCTAAGGCTTGAACCACCAGCCACCCTCCCCTTGCAAGGCAACATCTTTTCCACGGATGTTGTAAATGTAACAGAACCTACGCCAACAGCTACATTCGCTCCGCCAGGCCTAAAGGGCCCCTTGGACGCCGGGGCCATTGCCGGTATCGTCGTCGGCGGAATTGTTGTTCTTCTAGTTATCCTTGGGTGTGGGGTCGTTCTCAACGGGAAACGGCGAAGAAAGGCGTATCTCCGTCGCCGGGAGCAAACCGCCAAGAACTGGCCTTCGACTCACGGCGGTGGAGAAATGTACGAGACGCCTGTCAGCCAGAAGCCCCTCCGAGGCTGGGAGGACTCGCCCATCAGCGCGGCTACGCAGACAACGTTCCCGCCCTATTTCTCGCCATATTCTTCGCAGTATAACAGCCCCGTAAGCGCTTTCGAGGGCCCGAGCAACATGGCGTGGCCGGTGGAGAAGTCGCACAACAACATCGGTATCGCGATAAGCCCCGATCGCGAGGCCTACTCTCCGTGGAGCGATAGGAAGGGGAAGGAAAAGGCCTCACCGGTTGGAGATGGCGGTTATGAATTGCAAGAGGGCTTGAACAGTGCCGGCGGTTACGAAAACAGCCATCCGATACAACCGGCGCACGCCTATAACCCACCCATACTAGGCCATCCTGGTTACGGGAGGCGCAGTACGGGATCCCAGGAAAGCCCGCAAGAGTAAAGAAGAGGAAAATGCGATTATCTACAATGTGGTGCTACTGAATCCGGTGCGGCTTAAATCTTTTTACTTTTATGATACCAGCGAGGAGTTGTGGTGTACGATGAGATACCTAAAGTGCGCGTTTAATGAGTTACGCTGAATTTCTTTGATCATCTAGGTGGATGTACGTTATAATATACCATGTTTAAGGGGGTTACGTCCTTGATTTGATGACGGGGGGTTTTTATACCATAGTAGTTCATTTTGCTGTTAATCGGTTTACACAATTGATGAAGGGGATATATTCATCTGAATAACCCTAGGTGCTATGCCCCACGAATCGCCAATGTTCAATCTTCACTCAAATTGCAGTAAAAGTCTTATTATCACATAGCGGACCTCTGAAAACCGTCAAAGTCAACCCCCTTTACTGTTCCTTAGCATCCGAAGCAACTCGGGGAGAGATTCGTCAGCAGCATCGTATCGCCCATAGAGCCTGAACGCTACAAGAACCTTTCCCAACCAAGTCTTTTGGGCCATAGCAATTTTGACAATCTTGGCGTTGGTCTCCGTCTGGAATAAGGAAGTGATTGTCACTATGGAGGGTTCGAGCCTTTCTCTCTGCAAATGGTCTAGCAGACCCTCCTCGTCGAATAAATATAGAGTCAAAAGTAAATATATAAGTCTATTGGAAAGAGGAACGCTTAGATCCTCTGCTGCTTGTTTTAGTTTGGGGTCGGCAATTATTGGAGATGATGAATTCTGTCTCTTCCCATCGATGTCGACACCGAGCGTAAGGTATTGCAATCCACGCATGAATTTTTCGTCGCGCGTCGCTGAGTCGTTGAAAGGGAGTGCCGAGCAGACAGGCTTTGCAATTGCAGGCGAAACGCAGGGCTTCATGACGCTCGCGTCTTGTCCTACACTGGAAGTCGGCATTGTAGCAGAAAGTGATCTCCTCTCCAGGCATGATGTCCCTTATCGCAAACAACGCGATAACCTCGCCGGTGGGATCAGGGACTTTGGCGTTAGGTATGCAGGAATGGTTGAAGCGCGAATGGAGCAGAAACAGGCCGTGGCCTGAGCAAACAGAAAGAGAAAACGAGTTTTCGGCGAAGGCCTCGTTGATTCTCTTGAAAGGCTCATTGGCGTTGTCACGAAGAAGAGAAAATTGATATTTCCCAACTGGCGTCAGCCGTGCGATTGTTGCCCAGATATCATTGTCTATGATGTATTCAGATGATTTCGGAATAACGAAGAGAGGTTTCTCTGTTAATATCTGGTCTCCCCGTTTGATCAATCTCGTAGCGAAGCCACCCCATCCTTTCCCTGGGGAAGAAGGTCTTAATTCGAAGGGCGCATCTCTGGGTAATTGGAGCCTACAATAAGCTGCAGGTGTAAGTCTAGGTATTCCAGGTGTATGCTCAAGTCATAACTAGACTTACGATGGTCTTGGGGCATTTTTATATGGAGAAGGTCATTACTGGACTCAGTAGCGATGGGATGAAGTAGGATGCCTAGGTTTTGTTTACCATTTCAGCTCCAATGCAACGCAAGCAGGGCGATGCATATAGGGCATGCATTTTACGGCAGCATGCAGATTCCATTCCATCCTAACTTCACTTAGGATGATAATCTCTGCAGATATACCTAAATTACAATGCGATTGCATGTCCAATTACTTTATGCTTTTAAACATAATCGCTGCACTGTCTATCCTATCTTCTAAGTCCACGCCTTAGAAGCTTCTCGTCCACTACTCATATTCTAATCCGACCTTGTACATACCTAACTCTATCTAAGCCAGATAAGATCCATTTCCGATGTTCTAGAAACTCCATAGAAGACAAGACCATAGCTCCTTTAAGTGATATATTAGAGGTAAGATGTGTATAGGATGATGAGAGAGATATAATCTACAGCAATACTAGTTACACAGATTCACGACCCTTTGCTGGCTCCCCTAGCTTATTCTGACCGCCCTGTTCTTGAGCGCGGGCTTTTAAACTGCGCCATTCCACAAAAATACTGCCGAATAGAGTAATGCCGCTTGTCGCTATCACCATATAAAAGACATCAACTATCGCTGCGTTATAGTCGGAGAGAAGGGTCGTCAGCTCACTACCAGAAACCAAGTTTCTCAGTCCAGTGGCACCGCTTCCGGTAACCGAACTAGGATCGATATTGGGAATATTAGAGAGTTTTGAAATGAAGCTGTTCAGGAAGATGTTCTCGGCAACTGGCAGGAATATAGATGAACCGAGGAAGCGTGAAAATGTTACGATTGCTGTCCCAGTTGCGATATCTGGCCTGTCCAAGACCGTTTGCACAACATTCATTGGCTGCTGCATTCCCATCCCAAGACCAACTCCGAAGATTATCTGATAGCCGATCCACTTCCCCTCACTGGTGGATGGAGTAAACGTCGATAAAAGGCCAGCCCCTATTGGCATCATGACGGAACTGATTAGGAAGAAAGGGGAATAGTACCCAAGCTTAGAGACTAGGACGCCAGCCAGTATAGAGCCGATAACTGTTGACAGGACTATAGGAATCATCATAATTCCAGAACCAATGGCATCGGTGCCTTTGATCGCTTGGAACCAGATAGGAAGATAGTAGGTCAAGACCATCATTCCGGAACCATTGAAAAATCCATACCAGAGGGCGGCGACGATACTACGCTGCTTGATGATACGAGGGGGAATGGATGCGCCTTCTTTCTTCCAAGCCTGAACACCGATGAAGGCGATGCAAAGAACACCGCAAAGGACCAAAAGGACGATGATGCGAGCGCTGTTCCAAGGATATACAGTCCCTCCCCATTGAAGAGCCAAGATCAAGCAGACGATTCCTGGAAGGAAGATAAGGTTGCCGATAGGGTCTAGCTGTTTGACCTTCTCAACCCAACCTGTTGCCTTTGCGTCAAGCTTCTGATTGGGTAAGTGTAGGAACAACGTAGTGACAATCATCGATACCGCACCGACAGGAAGATTGATATAAAAACACCATCTCCACGTTACCCTGTCGGTAAAGCTGCCTCCTATTAGGGGACCGACAACCGAGCCGATTCCGAAGATGGCTCCGAAAGCACCTTGGTAGATTGGTCGCTGCTGCAACGGGACGGTGTAGAATAGAATAACCATCACTCCCGAAAACAGGCCTGACGACCCTATTCCAGAAATGGCACGACCGAAGATGAAAGCAGTCGAGTTAGGGGCAGAGCCGCAGATAGCTGAGCCAACCTCGAATAGGAAGCAACCAGCTAGAAAGAGAGGCTTGGCTGGGTAGAATTTATAAACCTTGCCCATGACAAGTGAGAGGCCACACATCGTGAGTAGATACGCCGACCCGTACCAGCCAATATCGTCTAGAGATTTGAACTCGTTGGTTATGCTAGGAATAGCCGTCGATATGATGTTTTGGTCCTGGATTAGAACTGATGGTGAGCTATGTCTAATAATTCGGATTGAGGGTATAAAGTGCGCACCAGAGTAACTAAGAAAATTGCCAAATACAGTGCCACCATAATGACAATCCTCTTTTGAGAGCTGGGATACTCTTGGATCTCCGGGTTGTGGTTCGCCTGTTCGGCGCCACCAAGGGGCTTCTCTTCACCATCTGTCGTATACGATGACATGATGAATTGGAAAGAATAAATTCGACTAAATATCGCAATGAAAAAATGACAATCAAGAGAAGAATTACCAGGAATCAAGTAGCAATTTATATATTCAAAGGTGATGGTGGATTTTGCCCTTAATCTGGCTATAAGACGGGGACCTACACCGTCTCAGGGGCCGGATCCGCTGCTCGGGGTCCAAAAAATCATTTTTTCGCCTCCGAGCACCGAGATTCATGCATCATCACTGTTAAACTCATCCGCCCTGCACCTTTGCCCAATGTGCTAACACTACTCTGTTTCTTTTTCATTCATATGATTAATAAGTCTTAGAAAATATAATGTCCCAGTATAAGTTAGCGACTCCGCTCGGCGCCGAGGGCGATCTAAAAAGCTACTCGTGCGTGATTTGCCGACAGCGCAAGGTCAAATGCGACCGGCGCAACCCCTGCTCCAACTGCGTCAAGGCCGAGAAGCCGTGCGACTACGTGGCCCCGGTGCGAGGGAAGAGGAAGAGAACAAAGCCGCCCAAAGAAAGTCTCCACGCGAAATTGAAGCGGTTGCAGGAATTGTTGAAATCGTATGGCGCGAAGCTCGAACCGTCCGATGAAGTAGATGACTCCGACTCGGAGTCGACGGTGTCTCATCCTAATGATGATGAGATGGTTAGGTCAAGAAGCCCAAGTCATAGCGATCCTATCTTCAAGTCTCAGGAGAGTAAACCGAAACTTATAACGAAAGAGGGGACATCGAGATATTTTGATATGTATGTTGTTCCCTAATTCCTTCTAGTAGGCCAATCATTTAATAATTATTTCTTAGCACGCCCTGGGCCACGATAGGAGATGAAGTAAGTAGCAACCGCCATCTCTTCTCTATTTCAAGTACCGACCATTTTCTAAATGATATTTAGTTTCAGCATCCAGAGGTCGGTGAGCCGACGGATGAAGCTAATTTTCATGAAAGTGGGATTTTCTTCGAGTCGGAACCAAGCTACGCTTTCGATAATATCGCAAGTCTACATCCCTCTCTACCAACATTGGAAAAGATGAAGGAAATATTTGTTGATCGTGTTGATCCTCTGATGAAAATACTCCATATTCCTACTTTCTGGACCGTGTTAACAGACGTGCCACGAAACCCCCAAGGCCACCGACCCAGAAGCTTGGAAGCGTTGATATTTTCTTTCTACTTCGTAGTCATAACCTCCTTGACGGATAAAGAAGCACGGGAGATTTTTGGGATAGAGAAGTCAGTGCTCCATTCTCGTTATAGACTTGCGACTCGGCGGGCGTTAGTGAATGCTGGGTTTTTATCTACTTCCAGTCCAATGACACTTCAGGCATATGCAATCTTCATGGTATGTTATAATCATCGAGATACTTCTCCAATTTCCTTTCCTAACTCAAGCAGATGTCCGCGAGGAAATGTTACAGGCACGATACCTTGTTCGTCTTATCAGGAGTTGCGATCCGACTAGCCCGCAAAATGGGATTGCATCGCGACGGCTCACTCCTGGGACTATCTCCCTTCGAGACCGAAATGCGGAGAAGGCTCTGGTGGCACCTTATCCATGTGGACTTTCGCTTGGCTGAAATACTTGGCACGAGGCCGTCTTTGGATATTATTTCTACGGATATCAAGATGCCGCTGAATGTCGATGACGAAGACCTCAACCCCAATATGACCCAAGAACCCACGGAGCGTAACGGCATAACTCCAATTACATTCTGCTTGGTCAGATGCGAGATTTTTAAGGCTTTGGAGAGGTTCGTGCCAGCATCTGCTAATGGAGCACACTGGGAAGTACTCCGCGGAACAGACCTTTCTTTCTCCGAAAAAGACCGAATCATAAACCAGATTGAAGAGTATCTCGAGACTAAGTACCTACGGTATTGCGACCCATTAGACTCCCTCCATACTTTCATATCGATCATGGTCAGATCATCAATCGGCAAGATGAGGGTTTTCTGCCACAGTCCTCGGTCGTCGCTAAACCGACCTATTAAAATACCGCAGAGCGAGCGCAGCATAGTATTTTCCAACTGCATGAAACTACTAGAATACCTGACCGCTATGCACGGGGGCTTGAACAACATGGAGAAATACATGTGGCAGATCGGCACCAGCTACCTCTGGGGCACGATGCTCTTCGTGCTGGTCGAGACCCGGAACCGCAAGAAGGGGCCCGAGGTCGACAGGGCGTGGCGGCTGATTGGAGAGGTCTACTCGTATTACCCGCTGATGTTCGAGGAGTCCACCAGTCCCGTATTCGCCGCGCTGGGGAAATGGACGTTGCAGGTATGGAACGAGTGTGCCGCAGCTGTAAAAGCCGAAGGCCGCCCGGAACCAGCAATGCCCGATTATATTGAGAGGATCCGTCGCTGCCGCGAAGTGTCCTCAGATTCACGAACCAAACACAAGGGCCCAGAGGTGATTTTTGAACCTATTACCCCGAATTCGTTCGACTATACTGGAGAACAACCCCAAGGCAGTGACGGGAACTTTGGTAATTTCGAATCCTTTGAATCCTGCGATTTTCCAGATCTTCTCACCCTCCAGATGCCGTCAGACGATTGGATACAATGGGACCAGATTATCGCGGAACAGACGGGATTTCCTTAGATCATCGGGATTTAGGTACCTAGACATGATTTATGAAGGAGGCCCAATGGAAAAGCTGTGCGATACTGCCCAGAGATCCAGGAAACCGGGAGGTTGGTTAGGACAACTAGCCTACTTGAATACGTTTACTATTGAAATTTCACTTGATATCTCTTGGATAGGTACTGTATGCTCACATATAACGGTTTCTAAATATCGTTGGCTTCTCTCTGATTTCATTACATACCTCTTATGGATTATGAACAGCCGTAGCTCTGAGAATTACGAATATCGCTCGTGAACTAACCTTAGGGTGTCTAGAACGAACATTCGAGGGAACTCCGCCTTAGATTGTCCGATGAAGTGATGTTGAAGTGTAGCTCGGATGCAGGGAAGACCAAGGCTCCGAAGTAGATAACAGGTAAACTGGAGGTTCATGGAACTAGACGCTGAAATGAAGTTTATCAGTTATTTAGATAAAGGCATGCTTGGAGAACTGTTTACTATCCTGACAGGAGGTACATAACCCCCTATTATATCCTCTTGTAGTTCACTCAAGCGATTTAGTCTCATGCAAAGCTCAAGTGGCTAAGCCTAATAAGAATTAGTTAACTTCGTAGTCACAGAAGCGACCTAATCCAGCAATGATTTCATATATAATCATTATATGTACCTTGATAATGTAGGTTTTTATTTGCATGTTTCGATTTTGGATTCGAAATATATTAACAGCGATGAACCTCGTAACTTTCAATAAAGGTTAAAAAAAAGGAGATAGCGATTTGGGTGGCTAGAACTTCGGCTCTAAGCATGCTATCGATAAGCTGATTTAGGCGCTAGTTTGTGGCTGGAGCTATTGATTGGACCAAATCTGGGCCAATTCTTCCCCACATCCGCCCAGTAGCTAGAAAAATTTTGGAGCTTTTTTTTTCGATTTTATTTTTTTTCCCTTCCAATTCGTAGAGCCGGCGTCCGAGGCAAAACTTCCAATTTGCAATTGTCATTGGAAAATCTCCTCCACGCCAACACCGTCGCATACAAAGTTTACATATCCCAAACAGGTAATTCCAACGACGGTTACAATAGAGGTTCAAGATGGCAACCAAGGACGATATTAAGCCCAAGGAGGACGAGTTCTCTATCAAGCCAACTGCGGTCACTCCGTCTGTTGACACGAGCACATGGCCGTTGTTGTTGAAGAACTACGACAAGCGTACGTGGATAAAGTCTCAATAATGCTTAATTTGCAACCCTGACCTAATTATAAACAGTCCTCGTCCGAACTGGACATTTCACTCCCATTCCCAATGGCAGCTCACCTTTAACTCGAGACCTCAAGTCCTACATCAGCTCAGGTGTGATCAACCTTGACAAGCCTTCAAACCCCTCCAGTCACGAGGTCGTTGCTTGGGTGAAGCGAATTTTACGGTACGAATTTTGTGTTTGAGCCTTTGTGGGAAGGCAATTGAGGCTAACAACAAATCTAGTGTTGAGAAGACGGGTCACAGTGGAACTCTTGATCCCAAGGTTACAGGTTGCTTGATCGTCTGCATTGACCGAGCCACTCGATTAGTCAAGTCCCAACAAGGTGCTGGAAAAGAATATGTCGCTGTTATCCGATTACACGACAAACTTCCCGGTGGCGAGGCGCAATTTTCCCGAGCCCTCGAGACCTTGACGGGTGCTCTCTTCCAGCGACCTCCCCTAATTTCCGCTGTCAAGCGACAGCTCCGTATCCGAACTATCCACGAGAGCCGAGTCATCGAGTTCGACAACGACCGCCACCTCGGTATTTTCTGGGTTAGCTGTGAGGCTGGAACCTACATTCGAACCCTCTGCGTGCACATGGGTCTTCTGCTTGGTGTGGGCGCCCACATGCAAGAACTCCGACGTGTGCGAAGTGGTGCTATGGACGAGACGAAGGATCTTGTAACGCTTCACGACGTTCTAGATGCCCAATGGATGATGGACAACACCAGAGATGAATCCTACCTTCGCAAGGTTATCGCGCCCCTAGAGACTCTTCTTACGTCGTACAAGAGAATCGTGGTTAAGGACAGCACTGTCAACGCTATTTGCTACGGTGCAAAACTTATGATTCCTGGTCTGCTACGATATGGTACGTGGCCTTTTTTTTTTTTTTTTTTTCCTGTTACTAAATTCATGTTAATACTAATTCTTTCTTATAGAGGACGGTATTGAAGTCCACGAGGAGGTCGTTTTAATGACGACAAAGGGTGAGGCTATCGCTCTTGGTATTGCCATGATGTCGACCGTCGAGATGTCGTCTTGTGATCACGGTGTGGTGGCCAAGGTTAAGCGTTGCATCATGGAGCGAGACTTGTACCCTCGACGATGGGGTCTCGGCCCTACTGCGACTGAGAAGAAGAAGCTGAAGGCATCTGGAAAGCTGGACAAGTTCGGACGAGCCAACGAAGCAACCCCGGCCAAGTGGACGTCGGAGTACAAGGACTACAGCGCTCCAGCTGGTGAAGCGGCAGCAGCATCGGCCGCTGATGTTTCCATGACCGAAGCTCCTGCTCAAACCCCCGTAAAACAGGCTGCATCTTCACCCGCACCCGAACCTACACCTGCTGCAGCTGATGATGACAAGAAGAAGCGCAAGAAGCACGACGGCGAGACGGCCGAAGAGAAAGCAGAGCGCAAGAGACGTAAGGCAGAGAAGAAGGCAGCCAAAGAAGCAAAGCGCGCCTCGCTAGGAAAGAAGGATGATTCCGACTCAGATTAAATGAGCAACTTTCAAGTTCTGAGTGGGGATTCTCCCCCGAGTTGCATTTGGTTGGTACCATGTGGTCGGTCTATGGCTAGTTGAATGTATATGCCTTGTCTTATGGCGTTATCTGCTGTATCATACAGTTGTCAAGGATCTGGAAAATGGCGTTTAAGGACCTCTGCTTATTCTGTTAATTTTGTTTTTTACGATGTTGAGATTTTTCAATTTCAGAGGATGAAATGCGGAATGCGGAAATCTGGAACATAGTAGATACCATGAATTACCGCCAAGTTGAACATGAAGTGTTTCATCCAACATGGTTCGCTCTTGGGCGAAAATGTCGTGACCGAGTGATTTATGTTTGCCCCTCTCACCTCGCCCGTCTGAGCTCGACATCAATTCTCGTGTTCGTGTGATGCTTGAACAGACTAGATGTACGTACGTACGTACGAAGCCGCATTCCTAGACGCTTAAGACGAAGGTCTATCTTTTTGAATCGTCAGACTCGACCACAAGAAACTGACGATAGTGAGACTAGAAAAAAGAAAAAATTACTTATAGTAATTACCTAGTAAGGATGTTCCCAGCTGTTGATAGTGACGAGTCGCGTGAGTTCTGGTGCTGTGTTCTGTGTTCTCTCTTCGAATGAAGCTTATATTAATAGGTTAAGTACATACGTCCGTACGTTTGTTGATCAACACTGGTGGTATATTAGACTGGTCAGACTGAACTGGACCTCTCTCGTCCTCTGCGGAGGCCGACGAGATTCTTATCGCGACTCAGCGCTTGTGGGATCGAATTCGTTTTGTTGTTCCAGGTACAGAAAAATCTTAGATTCTTCGTTCGCTCTTGTAATCCATACATGTTAGCAAAAGGATATACCTTGCTATCAAAGTGAGGTTATGTAGCTCAATAATGTTCTTTATTTCTTGGATGTGCTTTGTCTCAAGTATTCCTGGTCTTGGCATCTTGACCTCGCTCAAGGTTTTGTGGTTGTTTTTGCCCCGACGGTGCTCTGTATCCTGAGCAATGTAGTACGTGGACACACGCTTATGGGGATTTGAATTCCTCTTGTGTCCTCGCTTTGCCATGTGTCGTAGTGGCTGTGCGAGTCAAATTGTGTCGCAGATCAAATAGACTATATATCACGACTGATACTCTTCTTGCCAATAGGCACGGTTAGTTCAGGTAAGTACTACATTTTTGAATAGTTTTATGCTTAACACGTGAGATGAATAATTTAAGAAACTATTACGAACTGATCGACATTTATCCCTACTTGGCTTGTGTAATATGCTACTTATGATCTTCATTATCACTTGCGTAAGGGCATCTTTTCATGTGTACAGTATTTACTAGGTTAAACGGTTCTTGGATAAGGCGATAAAAGGGGAGCGGTAGCGTGCACGAACCACGTCTACTGCAACCGTGTACAAGTGCTGCCTTGCTCTACGACAAGTACGTGTAACTGGCGGAGATCCGAATGACCGGAGCCAAGTTGGCTTATAAGCATTGTGCGACTTCTATTCCGCGATGGGATTTAATCGTAGTCCATGAGACCGAATGTCAAACCGATATACTACTCGAGCGTATCTGAGAAGGCTTTCTGCCTCTTAGGGTAGATCAGTTCGAGTGGGTACCTAAGGTAGGTACCTGGTCGCCTTTCCGGGACTTGTCGTTGCAGGGGTTGGATGGATATCAGCCTCAATGTCGTATGGACCCGCACTGATATTGATTCATAATTCCTGAACATTGGTTGTTGGAAGATCGAAACAAAGTTCAGTGAAGATCATCAACCATTAACTTCCCAACATCACTAGGGGTAGGGACTAAAATAGATTATCATCGCTGTGGGTAAAATTCGGTATTGTCGCCGTTCGGCACTTGTCCGTAAGCTCAGGTACCAAACTTAGATAGTTTGTGGCACCCCTGGATACCAAGTAGAATTCGGGCGGAAGGACTTTAACTTTCATGCCAGCCCAAATGCTGAGATGCTTGTTTACGTTACTTTAGAGGTGGATGACCCGCTGTTCTCATCTTGTACCTATTCGAACGAGAGTCATGACCGCTCAGGGATGGGAAATATAACTTATACCGACGCATAAATCACACAATGCCACAGCCTCCTGAACATCTGAATCTGTTTTGAGCAGATGGGTCGATTCAAGGCTCCACGACAGCTATAGATTCATCCCCACAGAGAAGCCAAGCCGGCCGTTATATCCGCGTGCTCTCTTTGATTTTTTTTCAGCGTCCTACCGAGTGACTTGGATGGATATGTAGTTCAGCTGTATGGTTCGACACCGCCAGTTACACGGAAATCTCGGCTGCATCATTTGTTATGTCCATTTCCTCTATCTGTCGTGGTACAACGCGTGTGCTTGAGGTCGGGAAGAACAGGGTGCAATAGCATATTTGCGTAGAGGAATTGGACTTACGAGGCCACGTTCTACACATAGGAACGTTTCCTTATAAAACGGACGAGCGCTGACCAAGGCCTTCCGGATCGACGTGTCAAAGCCGAAGCGAGATTCGATCCAGTCATTTGGTTAGCAGATCGCCTCTCATTCACGTATCAGCTCCGTCTTTAAACACTGTCTCTGCTTTTAAGGTTCAAGCTCCGGCACCCGTGTCGTTTCTAGCTGGCTTTCTCGGTATGCAAGTTATTAAGGATGAAGCTCCTTAGTGTACTTGCAGCAACCACGCTGTCTCTCATTTCTGTTTCCGCGTCGGCAATACCCCTACAATCTCTCCGAAGAGGAAGTGACGATCCCGTATTGGAGAGCAACTTCGCTGACCCGTCAATAATCCAAGATGAAGACGGTATGTGGTACGCCTTCGGGACAGCTGCAGACGACAAGCAAGTTCAGGTAGCCACAGGAGAGAGCCTGTATGGAACGTGGAATCTACTAAATGATATCGATGCGCTTCCTCGGTCGGCTTCCTGGACTACTGGACGCCATACCTGGGCTCCTGATGTGCGCCGCGCAGGGAACGGAAAATATGTTATGTATTACAGCGGCGAGGTAGCCCAAGATTCCGCTCGCCACTGTATCGGCGCAGCAGTAGCGGACGTCATCACTGGTCCGTACGTTCCCGAGGACGAACCATTTGCTTGCAACCTCACGGCCGGCGGCTCTATTGACGCGTCTGGATTCCAAGACGCAGACGGCAAACAATACGTACTCTATAAAGTCGACGGGAATAGCGTTGGCCATGGAGGAAGCTGCAGCAATACCGATAGCCCGATTGTACCTACGCCAATTATGCTCCAGGAGGTCGAAGAAGATGGCGTGACGAAAGTCGGTGAGCCTGTTGAAATCTTCAACCGCAGTGACGAGGACGGCCCGTTGGTAGAAGCCCCAAGTATGTTGCGCACAGACAACGGATTATACATCTTGTTCTTCAGCAGCGGTTGCTACTTAGAGCCGAGCTATAATGTGAATTACGCGACGTCGACGAGCCTGACGGGGCCATTCCAACGCGCACAACGCCCGATAATAAAATCAGGAGAGTACACGTTGCGGGCACCCGGTGGCGCTACGGCGGTGCACGTTGGCGACAAAGTTGGGATCGCTTTCCACGCAGATTGCCAGCAAGGGCGGTGTATGCATACATCGCATACCGTTGTTGATGGCCGGGAAGTAAGAGTTGTGATGTAGGCCAGCTACTTCACAACTCGTCATTTCCCATCTTTCCGCGAACACGATGTTAAAACTTGATAGTGCTGGTGCCAATATAGCTCACGACATTCTTTATATTGAGGATAGACTTGGAATACTTTACGTCAATGCGTTTGGATTCGGGACGGAAGGTGAATGATACCAAAGCGGATAGACTTATATAAGCGTAGTATATCATTAATATCATAGGTTTTTTTTTCTTTGAATTATATGCTTCACCTGCTTTTCAGTTTATTCAAAGGCGATGATTTGATGAGGTCATTCGCCAAAGTTCATGAGTTTAGGAGACTGATGACAAGATGAGATTTAGTTAGTCTGTCTTGAGTGAAATGATGACATAAATCATAAATGAATGCACGGACCAATTCTATCCTGCATTTCCCCTTGCACAGGGAAGATACCCGGAATAATGTATTGACATAAGCGCCCGTTTACTATGCGACTTTCACAATATCCTCAACCTGCACCCTGCACCCTGCAATCCTTTTATCACAGTCACATTTTCTACGCTTAGTAGAATATACCATGTGAATCTGCTCCGGTAGGGCTGTCCACATCTCTTCACCCAATCGTGTTATTTCCCAGATGCTTGGTGCTCCTTCGGAAGCGCCCCCGCAACCTTCAGTATTCTCCGCTGCGACTCTACATCAAATTCTTCATCGTAACGTCTATGTAGTAGAGAGTCGAGATATATTAAGTGACGAAACTTGCGATGCGCAAGCTGGAACGCTCATGATTCAACTGATCTGCAGATCATTTCAGGATATTCCATTTATCAAGGTTGCGTTATTTACTACCTAATTAGACTATTCGCTTGCCAGGTATGTATGTAACGTACAAAAAGTTTCAATTATCATAAGATGGACTTCGGATGAACTAGGCCTATTCCATTGGCCTCCAAATCAGAGCCAAATGGCCGCGATCTTTACCGCCAGCAACCTCAATACCGACCCACTGGGGCTGTCGGCAAGATTACCGAACAAATCACGGCGCTTAAGGACAGGAACGTATAGATCATCTACCCACCCCATTGGTTGGACTTCTTATATGATATCCCTTTTGAGGTAAGCCTTTCTCTTACTATCCAAGACCGGGTTTTGTTCAGCGACTGGAGAATTGTCATTTACCTATTTCGAGATATATCACCCGGGGTAGTTTCTTGCTAGCCACGAAAGAGAAGCTATGGATATGGCTGCAATGCTACTTTATCGCGCGAGCTATCGGCACATTTTGCTTGTGTGTAGGCGCCGACTACCACTGGGCTGGTAGTAGTGTGAAATTATATGCGCCCGAAGCATCACTTAGGTATGAACGTCCTTCTCCCGACTGAACGATGGTGAACTGGATTTGATATATTATTCGGTCTTCCCTGAGCTTCTAATTTCCCGGACAGCTCATCCTATGTCGTACACTCATTTTCCGTCTTAGGACTTTTATATTTCTACGCTCTTTTCGTGGGCTTTTTCGGGACCTTAACCAGCTGGCTGGCGGTATTAACTTTACAATATTTTAATATCCCCATTTAATATAGTCTTTATAATAAGTTACCTCTTATTAACAATCGTTCACTGAGATAACCTCTTATTTTCCCACATCCGGTCTCCAGGCGAGATGGCCTTTCTTGCAGTGACTTTCATTTTTATCCTTCTTGCACGATACACCACCAGCTTGCAAGTTACACCAAATTCACCATGTTCTTCTCTCTGCGTTGACTCTACGGGCCTCGACTTCTCCGACCCCAACTCATCCAACACTGAGAATTCAGACATTTCATGTTACGATACCGAATACTCCACCTCACCCGAGGGCAAGAAGTTTCAGAAATGCATGAGTTGCCTTCAAGATAGTACCTTTGCTCAAGAGGGCGAAAGCGATCAGCTTTGGTTCTTATGTAAGTGCATCCCAGCCACCTCATACTTGGAGGTAGGTATAGGTTAGGTTAGGTACATATCTAACATATACCCATATAGATAATCTCAGATATACGTTTGACTACTGCATTTTTGGATTTCCCAATGCCACAGGAGTAGCATCCACTCCTTGCGCGACATCTACTGCTTGTGGTGGGCTTATGGAAGCTTTGACAGACGGCAATCTTGAACCTGAGAAGAATGGCTATTCGTATTGTACTTCGGATGGCATGCCTAACGCGGCAGTCTCTGAGTGCAAGGCTTGCGTTGGTGTTTCCGATGACCAAGACTACTTAGCCAACTGTAAGTCAGACTCGCCTTCATCCAATACCCTATCGCTAATTGCTAGTACAGTTCTCATCGCTCTTGAGGCAGGGTGCCAGCAGCGACCCCCTACAGGAAGTCTAATTGGCCTGAACGATACAGTCTTCTCTAAAACCAGAATTAGTTCTGTCGACCCTTCCATCGAAAATTCCGATGATGAAAACCGGCCTGCACTCTCAATAACTCAGATAGTGGGGATTGCAGTTGGTGCAGTCGTCCTAGTTTTAGCCATCGCCGGCTTCCTATTTGTACGTTGTCGTAGAAGCCGTAACCGCCGTCTCTTACTTGGGGACATTAAAGCATCGGTCATGGCTCAGAAGAGGAACCGCCATCGCACTGCTTCCACCCTCTCGTTTCGATGCCAAGCCCACCTGACCCCTAGGTCTCCGGCATTCTTCCCAAATCCAACTGACGGTACCATCGAAGAAGAAAAGCCTTACACCGGTCCATACTCTGCCCTTACTTCTCACCCCTTATACCCGGAGTCACCTAAACAGACTCTGAACAACAACACCGGCCTCGGCTCTTTCTCAAGGGCAGACGGCAAGGTTATACCATTACGCAACATTACCACAGCCATTACCACGATACCAAGTAATGTGCATTACTCAACCTCACCAAAGGCTATGTTCTTCTCTCCTACCGATGAACCCGCTAGCACAACTAGCACCAAGAGTACATCACAACTTCTACCACTACGGCATTATAATCCTGCCGAATATACAGATAATTCGCCCCAGATGGGTACCAACCCTAACACGGTGTTCAATAGTCCCACGTCCGGCTCTACTGCCAGTCCCCTCATAAGCCGCGCCTGGGAACGAGGCACGCCAACATGGGACGCACCACCACGCAGCTCTAATCGACCCACAGGCGGAGCATGGGAAAGGGTAGCTGCTGGCATTGCGGCGAAGAATCGAAGAACTAGTAATACAGGAAGCCCTGTAGAGACTATGCAGATTAACTTCAACTTTCCTCCTCCGCCGACTGGGCGATAACTTGATTTCTATACCCCTACCATGTATAAATACCCATTGTATAATAATTGCATTACGGCTCCCTGATGGTATCATCAGGAATGGATGTGGAGGCAATAAGAAAGGGGTGTAAACTCGAATTATCTCACACCACAGAGGGATAAGTGAAAAACAAGATACCCCAATGTTTTTTTAGACGTTGTTGTTACTTCACGTCTTAGAACATATTATTATCCGCGATACTTCTTAACAGGCAAAGCGGATGAGAATCCTCAATTTGAGTGTTATTTCAAGATTTGACCAACCGTCCGCGTACGTAAACTTCGATAATATTCCTATCATCGCCCGTCATAACAAACTTGTTAAATATCGTCTCGGTAGAATCGTCATCCTCTAGCACGGTCATGACGCCCGGCGCCCGAGCATCGATGAGCAGGGCATCGAACTCCTTTCCACCTTCGAAATTGCCAATCTTGCTAGCGAGACCGCACACTTTGGCGCCTCCCAACGTCGCTAGATAAAACAGCTCGCTGATACTGAGCCCCTTGTCCTTCCCCTCGCTCATCACTTCCCGCGCATTCGACGCTACCAGCGCCTGCCTCATCGCGTCCAGGATACTGCTCGAGAACCCGCCCCCACTATCCGTGCCCAGACCGACATTGATCCCGCGGCGCAAGAACTCGCGCACCGGCGCCGCCATGAACCCTCCACCGACCGTCATGTTGGAGACCGGGCAATGCGCGACGCCGCACCCCAGCTCGGCTACGCGGGCCACCTCGTGCTCGCTCATATGGCAGCAGTGGGCGAGGATCGAGCGCTCGTTGAGCAGTCCGTAATGCGCGTACAGGTCCGCCTCGCTGCCCGCGAACTCCGGGAACAGCTCCCGCGTGAACGCCATCTCCTGCCCCGCCTCGTTGAAGTGCGTCTGGATCGGCAGGTCCGGGTTCGCGGCCGCCAGCGCGCCGAGCCCCCGCAACAGCTCCGGCGAGCAGGTGATGGCGAAGCGCGGCGTCAGCACGGGCCTGAGCAGCCTGGCCTCGGGGTCGATCCTCCGGACGTGCGCGACGCAGTCCCGCGTGTCGGCGAGCGAGGCCGCGGCGCTCGCGTCCCGGTAGTACTCGGGGGCGTTGCGGTCCATGTTGCACTTGCCGACGAGGGCGCGCTGGCCCTTCTCCAGGCAGATGTCGGCGAGGACCTTGGTGGCCTCCGCGTGCAGCGAGCCGTAGTACGACGCCGTGGTGACGCCCTGCCTCAGAAAGCCGTCGACGCAGCTGGCGTAGACGCGGCGCGCGTGGGCGGGGTCGCGGAAGCGCGCCTCGTTCGGGAAGGTCACGCGGTCCAGCCAGTCGAGGATGTGCATGCTCTGGCCGAGGCCGCGCTGGGCCCACTGCGGCGCGTGGTTGTGGGTGTCGACGAAGCCGGGGATCAGGAATTGCCCGCGGCTGAGGTAGCGGATGTTGTTCTCGAGGACCGGGAAGGGGGTGGGAATTTCTAACCTTGATAGCTCCGCGGGTATTTTATCCTTGGGAAGATCTGCTAGTAATTCGACTATCTCGCCGTCTGGGTTCACGACGAGTAAGGCGTCCTCGATGATGCAGAGGTCTGATTGCGAGAGTGAGTCGATCACGGTGCCGTGAAAGATTTGATACGCCATTTTCAAGGTTTCTTTATTTATTTTTATTCGTATTACCCGCTAGGAACTTTGGATCGTATAGAAAGATGAGCCTCTTCTTATGTTAGGTAGTTGAGGATATATTCCCGTAAATGAGGAGCACCCGAGACATATCGTTTACCGCCAGCTGGAGATTGAGTCGTCAGTCAAATTTGACAGCTGTAGTAAGTGAAGATAAGACGGAATATACTTCGTACTATCCAGGTTAGTTCATCACATCGCGAGTATAAATTAAATATTATAATAATATAATAATTCTCTTTTGTTCGAACGAGGTAATGTTTGAGCAACGTTTTGGGAAGACTCCCTACGTAGTGACCATCATCATACATGTGCTTCGTACTTATGTTGAGTCGTTCTAGTATGTAATGATTGAAGTAATACTACCTAATAGTATATCCTTATACCTGGTTTAAGCTCCTTTCCATTTTCTTTTTGCGATGGTCGGAACCCCGCGATGATAAGACGTAGGTATCACAGAAGCTTTGAGACATACAGAAGTCCCACTTTTATTGTGTAGATGAGGAGTTATAGGAGGTACCTATGCCATTTATATTGGTATAGTACATTCAACCTATGGTATGAATAAGGCGGCTAGATTGGACTGTTACTGCTAATGTGCACGTAAAAGTGGCACCAGAAGTACCTAACCACGTATCCAGCTATTTCCAAAAATTCACGAATGGCAACTGCCAACTTCTTCAGCAACGTGTAGGTAGCTACCTACCTCCCGACCTAAAGCATGCCTTGCATGTGAGGTACCTAAGGTACATGCAATTGGGCCTCAGGAGGAACAAGAGACGTAATTTAGGCGGGCGGAAAGTGCTTACCTTAAAGTGCCTTCTTCAAAGTGGCTTCCTCAATTTGAAACCGAAAATCGAAAACCAAAAACTGAAAACCAAAAACTGAATTACACACAAAAAAAACTAAAAAATAAACTCACACCAAATCTACAATCGCCTCTTTTTTTCTTGCACTTTTATGCAACACCCCATTATAACACTTTCGACGCCAATACTGAATCAATCATGGAGATGTCAGTCTACGGAGCTATGGGCGATGAAGATATCGCCCTAGCCTTTCGCCTAATGCAGGAAGATGCCGAGCAATTCATATCGACCAGCAGTAGAAAGGGTAAACAAGCCGAGGGAACCGAGACTGATGCTCAAATGGCTTTTAACCTTCTCCTCGAGGAGCTCCAGGCTGCAGAGACCTGTCTCAGTGATGAACGAATGACTAGAAGCATGTTGAGAGCAATTCAAACCGACGGTCCTGTCCTTTCCCAGGCCTATGATGAAGAGAATGTTGCTCGAGCCGATCGCAATCTGTCCATAGCCTTGAGCAATGGACAAGATGTAGACGTGGCCGAGCAGGGCACCCCTGAGTCTCCAAATAGCGACGAAGAATTCCTGGAAAAGCTCTCCGTTCTCTATAATACTGGGTTTGATCACCCCAGGGGTAGTATTTTTGACTATGACGATGATGATACGGCCACTATCAGCCAGCCGGAGAGTTCATCCTGGGCTGCTTCGCGCCAACCTAGTAGGCCACCAAAGACCTGTGATGCTTGCGGAGATGAAAAGCACTTCGCAGAGCTGGCTCGCGCTCCCTGCCACCATGAATATTGCCGCGAGTGTTTGACACGTCTCTTCCGAGACGCCTCAAACGACGAGTCTCTCTTTCCTCCACGATGCTGCAGACAAAACATACCCTTAGCGAAAAATCAGGTGTTTATTGATAGCGATGTAGTCCGAACTTTCCGTCAAAAGGCCATTGAGTTTTCTACGCCTCGTCGAACATACTGCCACAACCGGCGTTGCGCTCGATTCATTCCAGGAACTAATTACTTGAACGATGTAGCAACGTGTAGCCACTGCGGATACCGAACCTGTATGATTTGCAAGGGTGCTACTCATAACGGTGATTGCCCAGAAGATGAACAACTGAATCAAGTCATTGAATTGGCCACTGAACATCGCTGGCAACGTTGCCAAAGATGCTGGGCCATGGTTGAGTTAAACACGGGATGCAACCACATGACGTAAGTTTAAAAACCACACTTATCATCTAATTGGTACCATGCATACTTAACCTTTGATAGCTGTCGATGCGGTTTCCAATTTTGCTATGTATGTGGTGACCGTTGGAAGACTTGCGAGTGTGTACACTGGGATGAACATAGACTGTACACACGCGCTGTCGTAATCGATGCACGCGACGAGGGTGACGAACGTCCAGCCGAAGTGATCCCTTTTCGTCCGCATCAAAATGGCCAGCAAGCCGTCCAGCAGCCCGTCCAGCAGCCGATTGCCAATCAGCAACAGGCACCGGCCCACTTCCTACAGCAAGGTGGCCGCCTACCAGCCGGAGCATACCGCGTCGTCTTTGAGAGTGACGATGAGAGTGAAGACGAGGTAGAAGAGGAAGCCGAAGTAGCGGTGCAGCCAGTAGCCGAACAGGCCCCATGGGAACCACCTGCCTTCGAGTTTCCAGAGCTTGATATCGTTCGGCGAGCACGGGTCCAGCAACTCATGGAAGACCTCCGACACAACCACGAATGCCAACATGATCGATGGTTTTCGAAGAGAGGGCCCCGCGGATGCGAAGAATGTGGTGACGTCATGCCTATTTTCATATACGAATGCCGACAATGTCATATTATGGCTTGTCGTCGTTGTCGATACCACCGGCTGTAAACGCCACCAGCAGCGTGGTTATAATAGCTGTGGCCTCATGAATACCTATTATTGAGCTACAGTTTGATGATTCCTGGGAAACTAGTTAACCAGGGCTTTCAAGCCAATCTCCTCACCTCCAAGGAGTTGGAGGCGAATGTCGACGGAACCATGAAAAATTCATGATTTCTTTCATTTTCCACATACCTCGTATCCATTACCATGGGCAGCCGAGGAACGGTCGATTACTACCTACATGTTGTAGAAAGGCGAAGTCGGAAATGTTTATTTCGACTGAATGTTTAGCTCTTTGTAACTTACCTTGACCATGTAGATGTCGCGTTGTAGCCTGCGTATTGATAACCGCAGAATGCCCCCTGTTAGTTCCATACGATAGGTAGGAACTATTGAAACAAGTCACTTTTATGGCTTTGATAATAATATGAGCCTTGCGATGTGATATTTTTATTTGTGATAAGAGTGCGAAAATCCGCGTACCTGATTGCGTACGCTCAAGCCGGTCAGCCCAGGTTGGTCCTTTCCCAGCTTTGACGGTGTTCAAATACACAAGTTCAAGGCATCCGAAGTAGGTACCCCTTTTCATGGATACTAGTAACGGTACAGGTATATCCATCAGCACCTTCGGTAGATATTTATCCCCCATGCAGCTTGTTATAGCACCTAAATATTGTGACTATTGAGATATATATATTATTGACATCTAATATAGGCAGTATGATGTAACATGCAATATGTATAGTGACACATCAAACAATCTCAAAGCCCCCTTGAGCTCCGAAGTCTTTCCTTAAGTTGCTTATATCCAGCGTGCCACTCCTCATCGAGCCCCGGCAGCGGGTCCTTACCGGCTTTCCGCGCCTCCTCATTAACCCAGTTCAAGACCTCTTCTACGTACTCGTCCTCGACGGCGAACATGCTGTGGAACTTGTCGTCGGGCTGAAACCGCGCCTTCCGCTCCCTGTGCTCGCGCCTCATGGCCTCGGCGGGCGGGAGCCTGACGTGGCCCGCGAGGACCTTCGCCGCGACCTGGGCCTGGAAGTCGAAGAGCGAGAAGGTCGAGACGTAGTGCGACACGCCGACGAAGACGAGCGACGGGTCCGCGATGTAGAACACGTCCTTGTGCAGGTTGTGCGTGATGTACCCGTCCGACGTGATCAGCACCCGGTCGTCCGCGTCCTGCCACGCGACCTGCGGCTGCTCGAGGGCCCCCAGGAACGGGTACGTCGTGATGTACCCCGTCGCGACGACCACGCGGTCGATCCCTTCGATCACCTGTCCGTCCTCGAGGACCGCTTTTCCGGGGATCGCGTGCCCCGGCTCCAGCGGCGGGGACTGCTGGGCGTCTTCGGCGTTCTCGTCGATGACGAACCGGGTCACGAGCGGGACGCGCTCGGCGTCTTTGGGCAGACGCGGCCCCAGCACGTCGTACTTGCTGACTCGCCTGCTCTGGATTATCTTGGCCCCTACTGCTGCCGCCTCGTTTGCGATGTCGACGGATGAGACGCCGGCGCCGATTATGAGGACGGTCTGGTTGGCGAACGGAGCGGGGGTTCGGTATTGCTTCGAGTGGGTGATTCGATCCGGGAAGCGTTGCTTCCACGCTGCTAACCCTGGAATATCCGGTACGAACGGAGTGTGGTAGTGTCCGCTGGCGACCACCACGGCATCGAAAGTCCAGGTTTTCTTCGTCAACGTGTGGCCGGAGTCGGTTATCGTTAAAGTGCTGGTCTTGACGGTCCATTTGCTGTCGCCTTCCGGCTTCGACACGCTTTCCACCCTGGTGTGGAATTCCACGTGGTCGTTGACCTTGTGGAGCCGGGCAATGTCGTTGATGTATGCGTTGACGACTTTTTGGTCTACGAAGTCTTCGCTGCCTTCTGGCCACCGTAGTAAGCTACTTCGCATGACAGGGGTTGGGATGTTGTTCTTTAATCCGGCGTAGCTGTGAATGTATTAACATGGTAGGACTTGAATAAAAACTTCAACTCATTTTGGGAGGGTATTTAATGAGTACTAATATGCCGATAAGAGGGAATGAGAGACGGGAGGTGATAAAATGGGCTGCTAGAACTGTCTGAAAGAGAAAATTATAGAGGCAAGTTTTTCATACGTACCAGGGGTTAGGCGGTGCGTGTATCAGGGCGACTTCATCTGAGCTTAGCCCTTCTTTCTCAACTTCTGACCAATTCGGCGAAGGGGGTACGACATTGGGGAATGGTGGCGCCCTATCTGGTTGAGGTGTGTAGTCCCATACGCCGCCGACCACGCCGGTCCGTTCAAACACGGTGACGTTGAACCCGGCCCGAAGAAGGTGGGCCGCCGACACCACACCGCTTATGCCGGCGCCGATGACGGCCACATCCTTGATGTTGCCGAGACGTGGCCCGTTATCAGTCTTACTGTCGTTAGGCAGGGAACCCATCGCGATTGTCTTAAAGAAGGGGGGTGGGTTAAAAAGCACAACGCATAAGGGGCCACACCAGGATTTGAATAGAAAAAACGGAATCTACAGTTAATTGCGGAACATAACGCTGGTGGTCACCTCATTTCCTACTTGAGATAATAATCTGCCCATTTGAAAAATGCTTTGTTGTGATTATAAATCGTGGGATTCCCTCAGGGCTGGATGAGATGAGACCATTTGGCGTACCGATTACGTGCTTGCGGAACATAAATAATCGTACAAGCGAACCACATGAGAATGCATCCTAACCTAGTTGACGGGGGAAGCGAGATAACAGCCTCAAAGCTAGGTTAATGGTTTTATTTCGGCTCATTTTCACCTGGTTTCAGCACTAACCAATGTCTCCAGGGGTAAAATACACATACAAGGTAGGTATTCAGTTTACTCGGTTTAGCTTAGAATCACACGATTTCAAAAGGAGCTGCATGTTGGGGGGTTCATTTCATGGTTATGATCTAGGTTTTTTATTCTCTATACGGTACTAGGTCTCTAAGCAGTTCCTGTATTTGCCAGCTGCGCCTTTTTAGCTCGTTCTCGGTGATGTAGCACCCGTATCGTGAGAGCAGTGGCAATAAGCCCAGCGCCAAAGAAGACCATGGTAATAAACCCTTTCTGATACCGGGGCCCGTCAACCTGCTGCCAAATAATCAGTGGCAGCCACGCCTGAACCACGTAGGCCATCTCGTTCATAGCTCCCACCACGAAAGCTCTCTCCTCGTTATTGTCACCGCAGATTTCGTGGGCCCACGCGAATGTCAACCCGCTGATTCCTCCCCCGATCATACCTACAATGTAACAGAACCATTTCCAGCCCGTAGGGATATTCCATACGGCAAGACTCGTGTTGATGATAATATTCACAAGCCCGGAGAATATCATAGGCGGCCATCGAGCACCCTTGAACAGGGAATCGGATGTCCAGGCGTAGATATAAGTGAATATCACAGCAATGGCTGAAGCAATCGTAGGATACGAGTTGATGGCGGCGATGCTATATCCTTCCTTTTTCAGCCAGATAGAGAAAGCTGGCTGGCCACCGTAGCCCACTCCGTTGTTGAAGAAGATGTAAAGCAGGACAAGCATATAGATGTGCCACGAGGTGAATATTTTCTTGAACGTGGCTTTTGTATACTTCCCTCTGTTGGCTCGTCCTTCAAGCTGCATGCGCTTGTTCGCTAGTACTATCTCCTCTTTGGTCAGCCACCAGGCGCGAGTTATCTCCGGCACATCGGGGAAGAAGAAGAATCCAGCCATGGCAATAGGTAGCGATATCGTGGTATTGATGATAAAAAGCCATTGCCAGCCACGGTAACCGCCGGTGCCGTTAAGTCGATAGACAGCTGTCATCAAATAGCCAGAGAACATGCTGCCTATGGAGCCGCTGGCGTGGAAGATACAGCTTCTCTTAGCGAGTTCATCTTTTCGATCTGCTACAAGTTAGTAACACGGATAAAAAAAATGAAGTGTGCTTTTATAGGATTTGAACATACTGGGAATACGTTAGCATTAGGTCTATAACCACAAAAGGGGTAGGGGGAAGATAATACGTACCACCAACTTCCAATAATGTACTGGATACCTGGATAAAAGCTACTTTCGGCGAGTCCAATGAAAAATCGTAAGACGTATATCTGCTCCGCGGTACGACATTTTGAGAGGAGGATAGTCAGGACTGACCACACCACCTCGCAAGCTGGGATGAATATTGACGGTCGAACTTTGGTAAGAAGCATATTACTGCTACTATTAGTAAAGTCAATATTGAAGCTCAGGGGAGAAGGACCCTAACCTAGGGATTTCACCAATAACATATCCAACCGTCCAACATGTAACCATGTAGTTGAGCTGGTTACCATATAGACCAAGGTCTTCCTGCATACCAGATACGAAAGCGCTGTTGACATTCACCTGGTCAAGGTACTTTATGAAGTACCCCAACGAAGCGAAAGTCAAAATCACTGCGTCGAGCTTGAACAGAAACCGCCTCTCTTCAGGAGACTTGTCAAACGTATCCCAGAAATAGGACCGCCACGTCTGCTTCGGTTTCTCAGCGACTAGCGCGAACGAATCAGTACGAGTTGAGTCAGCATCGCTATGATCTGTGCTCTTAGCCTTCACGTCGTCGCCGGCTGCAGCTGCGGTCTTGACCGAGGAGATTTCCTTGCTTTCCATGGCGTACTATTCGAGCAGACTGTCGACGAAAAGCTGAAGGTTCAAGCTGAGGATTCAGAACGAGAGCCAGAACACCATGGGGCATTCCGATTTAAAGAGCATCTGAAGTACCTGAGGCTATAAAGGGATTAAGCCCGCTTTTCTCCGTGCTAGAAAAAGAGTCCATTCCGCACCTTAATAAACAAGGATTGTCGCGCACCATCTCACATGCAGATTCCCCTGTTCTATATCAACCCAGATCTAGGTATCCAGCAAGAAAAAAGGCTCTAATGATCCGTATTTCTAACCCCCTGGTTGTTATGGCTTTAGGATTCGGTCATGGACCGCGGTCGCGAACTTCCATCATACGGTGATTTCTCGTGGTCCTCCGAATGGCACGTTGGGGAACCACTGTCTCTCCCACGGCTCTCATGCGACACTTGTGCTGCACCAGTGCGGGGTCTAGAGGTATGCTGTGTTCTTTTGTTTCTAACATAGGCGAGGTACCTCTCAAGAAAGCATGTAAGATGGAGGCGACAAGGTGGTAATGATCACCTCAAACATGGCTGCCATGACGCCATGCTATAACCCCACAGAAAGCGTCAAATAACACCCACGCTTTGCTCGTGTCCTGCACTCGCGACACAATCTCGTCTCGCATCATCGTTCTCCAAGATCACGAATTGATAAGGAACTCCAATGACGGCCTCGATAAATCGCGGGGGAAGTACCTGACTCCTCACCAGGTGCTGCACGCAAGCTTCACAGCTTCGCGGTTATTAGGTACTGCTGGTTATCGCCGTCAAAGTAGATACGGATTACCAATCTTCCCGTCCTGTTAATACAGCTTGCCCATTGGGATGGAGAACTGCCTATCACCGGATCGCTAGGAAATGAGGTCAATGGTTGGGATTCTCCAATTGAATGATTTCTGGTGTTATATATCTGTAGAAGTCGTACGAGAGGATAGCGAGGGGGGTAATATTATAGCAGAAAGACAAGTCCACGAGTCTATAAGATAGACTCAGTTATTTAAAAAGGTTTTAAGCATCACAGAGTCAAGAAATTGAAGTCATATCCAAGCTAAACATTGTGACAATGGCGCCCGCACCAATTGATGAGCGTATCAAGGACGTTGCGGAGCCCCGTAAAGACACCCTTAGTCTTCCCGAACCCGCTCTCCAACGCTTGAAGAAAGCGGGCATTGACCTGTCAAACGGCTACCCTTATCGCCCATCAAGGCCTCTTTACCTGCAAGATGTCTACAACATCAGGAATAAAGAATGGAAGCACGTAGACGCCGGGGCGCGTGCGGATAAGTCAAAGTCGGCGCTGCTATCCGCCGCCACCAAAGTCACAGATCTGACTAGCCATATCGGAACCGAGATCGAGGGTCTGCAGCTGAAGGACCTTACGAACCAGCAAAAGGACGAACTAGCTCTCCTCATCGCCGAGCGGAGCGTTGTCTTCTTTAGGAACCAGACGGACCTATCGCCCCAAGACCAGCTAGCGCTAGGAAAGTACTACGGCGAGGTCGAAGTCCACGTAAGTGTTATTTTATGCCATCTTATTGATAAGAGCGACTGCGGGTGCATACATACTATAGACACACGCGCACACACAAAAAAAATACTCACATACTTGTTCCCAAAAATATAGCCTCAAGTCCCGCAAGTCCCCGGCAATCTCGGCGTGACCGTCATCTGGCCCGACCTGCAAGCCACCGAGCGGGCCGCCAACTTCCGGAACCCGGGGGGAGCGTCGCGATGGCACTCGGACCTGGTGCACGAGCTGCAGCCGGCGGGGATCACGCACCTGCACCTGGACACGGTGCCGCCGGTGGGCGGGGACACGCTGTGGGCGAGTGGGTACTCGGCGTACGAGAAGCTGTCGCCGGACTTCCGGAAGCTGATCGACGGCAAGCTGGCCGTGTACCGCTCCGCGCACGGGTACCTAGACCGGGAGAACCCAGAGCTGGGGCCGCGGTACGTGGAGCGGGTCCACCCGCTGGTGCGCGTGCACCCGGCGACGGGCTGGAAGGCCCTGTGGGTCAACCGGGCGATGACGGACCGGATCGTGGGGCTGGACCGCGCCGAGAGCGACGTCATCCTGAACTACCTGTACGACGTGTACGAGCGCAACGTCGACATCCAGGTGCGGTTCCGCTGGACGCCGGGGACCAGCGCGCTCTGGGATAACCGCATCACGATCCACAACGCGTCGTGGGATTACAACGGCAGGCACCCCAGGCACGGCACCCGCGTGACGTCGTTGGCTGAGAAGCCGTACTTCGATCCCGCGGCGCCGACGAGGCGCGAGGCCCTTGGGCTCCTGGATGAGAGCGAGAAGCAGATTGATGGACCTGCTTAGATGGCCACCATACATAGCTGCATCAAATATATTTATGAAGATACCTCCTCTCAGCAACATTCTGTGAGTGCGTACAGATAAACAATTCCAAAACCGTTGTATCAAGATTCTTTGAAAAGTCTCATACCACCACGTCTACCAATGGTGGAAAAAAAAAAAATCTTATTCGCACGACTTTAGTTTCACTTATTGATATCCATATAAGATCATCCTGCAAAATAAACACCTAAAGTGATAAGTATTTATACCTAGTATTTGATCATATATTCGTGTCTATAGCTGATGCCTGTATTTCATATCTCATAGTCTAAGCAAAAGAAACAGACCAGTCGGCGCCGATCTGAGCACCAACCCGTCCGATGACCGCAAATGCGCCCCTGTTACCATCTGCCTTGTGGTACGTGAGCGGTACTGAGACTTTGTTGCCCTCCGACTCGACTACTACTTCCTTCTTGTTGGCCCAGGACGAGGGCGCTCCAACGACGATGATCTTGTCGACGGCAACGTTGCGCATCTGCTTCAGCCAATCGCCTTCCTTGATTTCTTTGGTATCACGACCTTCGGTGTCGGTAGAAGTAAGTGTTGAACCCGCAAGCTTAAATGTTCGGTGGATGTATTGTCCCTTTTCGTAATCGAAGGAGTCGCCGTCGTCAACATACAATTCTCCTTCGGCTTCACCGTTATTTCCGACAGCCACAATGAGAGTGTAATCGTCGAACTTCATCAATTGGGAAGAACGTCGAGGCGTGTCACGGCGAGGGAATATGTGTCCACCCCGTATCAACACGGGGATAGTCTCGAGGGGTGCATTCACAGTGATGTGCTTGCTTTTCGTCGTAGCTAACTTCTTGTAGTTGAAATAATCATAGTAGACCTCGCTATCTGGGATATAAATATCCGTAGAAGTCTTTCCTTTCTCTACAATCGGCTTTACCAGAAGGCCAGTTGACCCGACGAAGAACTGGTCATCAATACCAAAGCCGCCTTCTTCGCTTGGGTGAGTCCAGTACAAGGGGCGTATTATGGGGCTTCCATCACGGTTGGCGTGGTAAAAAGCAGTGTACCAAGACGGAAGCAGGCTGTAACGCAGACGAAGAGCAGAGGTAACGATGGATCGGTGAGGTTCTGCAAGAAGGAACGGTTCACGGCGTCGAGCATCAATATGTGCATGTCCTCTGAAGAAAGGGTAGAAAGCACCAGCTTGGAACCAACGGCTCTGTAGCTCCAATTCCGGATTACCGAAGAAACCACCAACATCAGCGCCAGCGAAGGGGAATCCAGAAATTCCTTGGGCAAGGACCATGGGGATAGAGGCGCCAAGGTGTTCCCAGCTAGCCTGGTTGTCACCTGTCCACATTGCTCCAAGACGCTGGGAGCCGGCATAGAATGATCTCGTAAGTATAAATGGGCGTCGCAGCTCACCCTTCTTCCGGGAAAGGAGAGCCTCATATGTGGCATTATGGAATGTCATTCCATTGAGGTTATGAACATCACGATGTTCCCAGTCGCCGTGATGGAGATTGTCCTTCGGCATGGTAACTTCGGGTCCGTTAAATACGGACGGCTCATTCATGTCGTTCCAAATAAAGGTATTCTCCATGGTGCCCTTGAACGCGTCATACTTGAACAGGGAAGTCCACCATTTGATGGCTGCAGGGTTGAATGCATCAATCCAATGAGAAGAACCTGGCCAACACCAGCCATCGAAGTCATTACCGTCCTTGTTCTTGACGGCTAGACCTTTCGACTTGAGCTCCTCAGATACGTGATAGCCGCCTACATTTTTGATATGAGGATCAATAATGGTGACCAATTTCCTCCCATGATTATCCAAGTGTTTTCCCATAGAGATCGGATCTTTGAACATATCTTTATCCCACGTAAAGTACTTCTTGTCATCGGTGTACTCGATGTCCAACCATATGACATCATATGGAATATGGTATCGATCCATCTTACGGTCGACTTCCTTAACGTCGTCGTCCGAGACATAGTTCCACCGGCACTGGTGATACCCGAGGGAAAATTCCTGAGGTAAGGTAGTGGTACCTGTAAGTTCGGCATAGCTCTTGGTTATGTCACGAGGAGTGGGGCCAAGGAAAATGAAGAGATCCATCAAGCCACTTTCCGATATCCAATGAGTTTGGGTGTTGGTTTTGGAACTAGTTCCAATAGCCAAAGCACTCTTAGATTCCTTAGCTTTAATGATATCGATCCAAGTCTCGGCCGCATTGAGCCAGAAAACACCAACCGTGGAGTCCTTTCGCTGAGCTTGCATAAAAGGGATCGCACCATACAAGGTCATTGGGCTGTCTAAGATGTACTCGAAAACATCAGAATTGTAAAGTCTGTATGGTTCCGCATAGTTTCCCTCGCCGCCACGTGTCTCTTTCAACGATAAGGGACCGGCGTGTTCTGGAATTCCGTAAACATGCTCGTAACCAAAAAAGGTGATATCAAGCGCAACGCTCTCGGGGCCGCGGGGCTTTGAGTCTGTGTTTCCACCAAAGGCCTCGTCCCACCAGGTACTCTCATCTTCTGAGGGTGATACTTCAGGGGTATCTTCTTTCTTTTCTTGTGACTCTTCACCCTCTTTCTTCTCTGGTGTCGGTTTCTCGACCCTTGGTCGCCAATGTTCCAAGTTTATCAATCCCCGGTCGTTGAGCTTGATTTGAGTAGCACCATCACGTTTGAACTCGATTGCGTATGGTTCGTATGTTATATGGGCTTCGAATGCAGAGTTGGGGCCATACTGGATGGTGATCCCGGCCTTGCTTTCTTGGGAAACTTTGGCATCTGTGTCGATGTCCAAACCACCAACCACGGCCCATTTTTCAGCCTCATTATATCTTTCTTTTCTTGCTTTGCTGTTGTGTCTAAGCTCAATATCCTTCTCTTGCCTCTTCTTTTCGTCGACAGAGACACGTGCCGTCCCCGATTTCAGGAAAGATACGGTGAGAGGGAGCTGGACAGTGTTTCCTTGTTCGTCGATAGTCTTGAGAATTGTGGCTTGGAATTGGCCATCTTTGAACGAGGCCAGCTCGGGAGAGATCTTGTATGGGGCTTTCCACGAGGATCCCAGGGCAGCTGCATTATCAGCGTAGGCCCTATTTCTCTTGCAGAAGCCTGACTGGTGGCATTTCTTGAAATCGTTTTCCTTAACCGACACTATTCCCTATTAGCTAGAATATTTGGTATGATTGATAACTATGTTATTACCTGCTGGAGCGAAGAGAAAGCATAGGGCCGTGAAAAGGCAGAAAAACATGGCCCATCGCGAGGACAAGTGATTCTTACCAGCACCGGCCATATTTGCTTGCTCCCTTGGCACGGGCGTCCCTTAAGAGGGTTAGGGGATGTAGAGGAAACCAGCAGGAATATTTAAAGAAGGGATGGGGTTAAATCAAAGGACCGCATGTATACAGCGTCATAAGGGTTAGCTGTGTAATTGCTCTGCAGATTGCAAGCAATTGTGTACCTAAGGTATAAATGATTTAATTGTGGGAGGCCAAAGAAGTTGATGCTAGCTGTCCGTTCAAAAAGACAGCTCAATGCTAGGTACCTTAGGTACATGTACAAAGCTTCCCCGAATTTAACCAGTTACCACCCCTGGGCACTGGGCAGACAAGCCACTAAGACTGGGGTTAGGCCTTCTCCACTATTTCCACTAGGGCATCATTTCGACCAGCTTTTATGGATAAGATCCCATTGATCTGAGATAACAGTCAACATGAATATACATGTAAGCCACAATAAAGCATTCACTTCAATTATTACTAGCCACACACTTCGGACAATGCATTTGGCCAATGTTGAATTTGTTCACTGAGCTTCCTCCAGAATCCAAGTAGTGATCTATTGTGGGAAATGCTGTCATATCTATCACGTCTTATCATCACACTCCCTTAGAGTTACATAAATTGCAATATAAAATTCCAACTCTTCCAAAAAGTCGCATTAGTTATTCCTTTTCATGATCATACAAAGGTACCGGTCGCTTCTATGCGCTGTCCCTTTTCCTCCTTATTCAAATGCACATTAGAAAGAGTTGACCAATCGTATCGGAAGCTGGTTCCACAGGTTTATTAACTTGAAAATATCCTCACGAACCCCTGAAATTAAAATAGATATTTACCTACTATTTACCTACTATCAAGATAACCTAAAGGTAATATACGGGAAACATATGTATGGATATTTGAGTTAAACACTTACACCTACATACACCTTGGTGTCTTCAATACATGTAAGATGTATAAGCCACAGGATATTTCGAGACGCCACAACAAAACCTCGGCTCCAGCCCCAGCTCCCGTTCCACACGCAGTTTCGAACGAAAACCAGACCCAGACCCAGACCCACAGGGTCCAGGAAAGCCATAGCAAACCCAATCGCGGGCAGCAACGACCGCCCAATGTGAGATTCTTAGGCCTAATACCCCACTATAGCCGTCACCCCACCCTCCATCTTTTCTTCACAATCTTCGGGAGCGCCGTCCTTGTATTTCTCCTTTTTTTTCTTTTTCCTTGGAAGACTCAACCAGATCGCCAAGATTGGACATTCAGGCAAAGCCTCAAGCACGACTTAGACAATATCAAGGGATCATTCTTCCCTTCTACTTCAACGGTTACCACTACCACTACCCTTTACCAAACAATACCTACCCCTCTATACACTCAAGAACCGGTACCAGAAGCCAAAATGTCGACCGAGCAGACGTGAGTTGTCGATACCCCTCTCGTGTTTTTTAAAGGGTAATAAATGATAAATACTAACGGGAATATTTTCTAGTTTCATTGCCGTCAAGCCTGATGGTGTCCAGGTATTTTAATTTTGCCATACGAAACTCTTCAATACTCTCTAATTCTGTATTCCAGCGTGGCCTCGTTGGCGCTATCATCTCTCGCTTCGAGAGCCGAGGGTTAGTAGGAAGAAAAACAAACCCATTTTATACGCCACTTGGAATCTAACCCTAGAATAGCTTCAAGCTCGTTGCCATCAAGCTCGTCGCTCCCGGCAAGGCCCACCTCGAGAAGCACTGTAAGCTGGATGATATCCTACCGAACCGCGACATCAGTGAACTAACCTAACCATAATAGACGCTGACCTCAAGGACAAGCCCTTCTTCCCTGGTCTAATTGAGTGTATGTTACTATAAGTAAATATATACGCGTTTCGTCTTAACTAATCCCGATCTTAGACATGAACAGCGGCCCGATTGCCGCCATGGTTTGGGAGGGTCTTGATGCCGTCAAGACTGGCCGAAGTACGTTTAAGTCCCCTATATTATTAGACATATCAATACTGACTTCTTCTTTTCAGCTCTCCTCGGTGCCACCAACCCCCTCGCCTCTGCCCCCGGTACCATCCGTGTAAGTAAATAACGATTCAACTATATTTCAACCCATATTAATGTCTTTCAGGGTGACTACGCTCTCCAGACCGGCCGCAACGTCTGCCACGGCTCCGACAGCGTCGAGAACGCCAAGAAGGAGATCGCTCTGTGGTTCGGCGAGGGCGAGCTTGTCAGCTGGGAGAGCGCCCAGGCCAAGTGGATCTACGAGTAGAATAAGAAAAAGAGATATGATGCTAGAGATCCATAGAACGTGATAGAAGTTTGATCTAGCTTGGACAAGCGAAACAGACAAAATTCATGTGTCTTTAAGATCAGATAGAAAGCGCATATTGATTGCAATAAACCAAGAATCATAGACAACAAAAAAAAATATAGTCTTCACACGTGATGTTACTTGCATCTACACGATTAGGTTAGATGGGAGTGACTTGATTCTTAGCTGCACTTGTTCCACAACGAACGCCGTACTGTCACGAACCCTCTAGCTAACCAAGGGGTCGCCCAGAGGCTAAGAGCTATCCTAGGTATCAGCAACGCCTTGGTGATCGCATAGGCAGCGGCGATTTGTATGCCAATCTTGTAGCCCTTTTCCGTATTCTCGGCCGTGACCGTGTCCCTGACCTTGCGCCAAGCCTTCACACCCTTACGCTCCTCCTTGCCAGCTTCAGCCAGTTCTTCCTTCTCAGAGACACCAACACCACCATGCTCGCCCTCGTCTTTCCGTCTCCAAAATCCCAACCAACCCCCTCTTTTCCTCTCCTTCTCCATCTCCATCTCCTCCCTCAACCTCCTCTCCAACCTCTCCTCCCCCTCCCTGCCCGCATCCTCCTCCTCCCCCTCGTCCCCGAGCCCAAACCACCCCCTCTTCCTAAACCACCGCATGTACCGCCCCAGCCCCTCCTCCGCCCACGCCGCCCATGGCCCCAAAACCCACGTCGTCGGCACCCAGTCCGCGCGGTGGAACGCGTACGCGAGCCCCAGCAGCGGCACCGCGGCCGTGACCTCGTGCAGCACGAGGAACGCCGCCACGTGCGAGAGCGGCGCCGAGCGCAGCTGCGCGAGGTACGGGCGCAGGGGCCGCGGGATCCAGCGGCTCGTGCGCGCGAGGAGCGCGTCGAAGCGGCGGGTTTGGCGGGCTTGGGATGCGGAGGCAGAGGAAGATGAGGGGGAGGTGGGTGGTTTGGAGGACTGGAAGCGTCTGCTTCGAGGATGGGGGTTGGATCGAGTGCGGAGAGGATGATGATGATGTATTGGTGTGGCTGGGTTCGAAGGTCTGGGATAGGATGCTGGGAAGAGGCGGGCTGGACGGAGGCGGCGGGCGAAGGTAGTGGATGACATTTGGGAGGATCTCTTTGTAATTAGGTAGGTATTGGGTATAAATGAATAATTCTGTAGATAGTAGAGGAGTTTTTATTTTAATAGGTGTATATTCCGAGACGTAAAGTCCTGGCGCGACACGTAAGAAGGAAAGTAGCCGTCTTAAGGTTTGGGTTTGTTGAAGGGAAGCTTGATTTGGCAAAGGTAAGATATGAGATAGGATATCAGCCAGTCAACTTCAATGTGGAAAAGCTAGAACTGCAATGTGGGGCAGAGCAATGACCGGAACTTATACATAGCATGTTATATTCAGTAAGACCCTAACGACCTGGTTCGAATACAATATCAATATCAATAAGTTAGCTAGAAAATAAACCCATTTTAATAGAAGTAATACTTCCGTTTGATAGAATTTATTTTCTTATTCCATATGAACCTAGATGCCAGTGTATCTTATGCTGGATATTGAGCACCAAGTCCATTAACCAGCATGCTCTCCGGTTGTAGACCCTTGCCCTCAGCCAAAACTCCCGCTTTGCGCAGGATACGAACACAGTTCTGAATAACCTTCAAATCGACGCCTTCTGTCTTAGCAGCAAATCGCACCGTGCGAAGCCACTCTCTCGCATCCGCTTCCGAGTAATCCAGCTCCGTACTGATATACTTGACGGCCTCGTCCTGATGCGAAGCGAAGTAATGGATGCCCTCGTCAAGCTTGTTGAACAGATCGAAGAGCCGTTTATCCGGCTTCTGCTCCGGCAGCAGCGCGGTCGACGCCACGATCTTCCAGCTGCTCCAGGGCGTGTAGATCTCGCCGACGCGGCGGATCTCCCCGCTATCGTAGTACCGCTTCGACGTGAAGTGCTCCCACATGAAGAAGTCGGCCGTACCGTCGTTGACCGCCTTCCGGAGGTTGGCAAAGTTCTGCAGCACCACGAAGTCCGAGTACGGCGCCGAACCGGGCGTCAGCCAGCCCTGCTGGTCGGCTAGTACGAAGCCCATTACGTGGCTGCCGGAGCCGATGCGTGAGATTCCGATCTTGGACCCTTTTAAAGAGGACACGGAAGTAATTTCAGGCCGTTTGGCGCCGGTTGAAATTGCCCAACCTATATGTGATGTTAATTAAACATTTCTTTTAGTGACTTATACAGAAGCGTCAGGTAGCTATGATAGTTTTACATAGAGGGGTTTCAACATAAGTTCCGACGATGCGATAACCTCCGTCACCAGGCGCATCTTCCTTGCCAAGACCGGCGACCCAAGCTTCTGTCAGGCCGATGCCGACATCGATCTCGCCGGAACGAATAGCAGTAATCATGTGCCCCGTTCCCGAGGGAAACGGAATCAAGGTGGCTTCTAGACCAAAGTACTTCTGAGCGAAGTAGAGCGGCGTGGAAAAGTGCTCCGGCACGAAGCCGATCCGGAGGGATTGAGAGGCAGATTCTGTCATATCTGCTATTATTTCGATTTAGTACGCCGTCACTAATGGCTACGCAAGTAGTTGCTAATTGAAAACAACTTAGTTGTAATTTTTTTTGAGATGAAAGACAAACGGCGAATGACGTTGACGTGCTTAAAGCATTAATTAGACTCACAGTTACGGATATGCGCGGGACGGGACGGCATATTGCGGGGCATTTTAAAGCTTACCTATTTTCTATATATGTGTGGAACTCTACTTGTTAGGTACCTGTTTTGTAAGGGACTTGCAACTTATTAACACTTATTACTTTTTAATTGTTGAAATATTTCCATCCATTCTTCTTCAGTGCTACCATATTTGAAAACACCATGTTAAACTACGCTTTAAGACTTGTAATAGATTAATGAAATGATCAACTGGGAGATGGAATGATGAAATTGCTCATCCTGTACAAGTTCCTGAGCCCCATTGCAACTATATTAGGGGCCTATGAAGCAATAACTGTAATCATTTCTCAGGTGTCATACAACTAAAAGTCTTGTTATTCTTTCACCTTAGACTAATCCCAGAATAACCCAATTCAGACGATGTACTCAGATCCCCGTGAGCCGCTTCCGTACTTGAAGAACGTCCTACCCTCAAAGCAATTTTATCAGACACTTCCACACCCGAAGGCCTTGTAGGAGGGTCTCGAAATGACCCTACAATATTCCAAGGGTCTTCCTTCACACTTTGGGTAAGCCATCGATCCATTGGATTCATATCTTCCCGTGATGGAGAGGTACCTCTGGGGTCATGTTTTCTTAGGCACTAACACTTTTACCATTCCCCTTTCCTAGCGATTACTTTAGGTGGGTTTTTCTTTGACTCAACCAGAATCACTTCGACAAGTACCCCTAGCCACATTTCTCCTCGGTTGCAATATTGTGAATATTGTACCTAGGCAGTAAGGGCCTTTTTACGCAGTGTCTAATTTAGGTAGACATATAATATACCACCTATTTTGATTGGAGTTAACTGAATTTTAGTATACCTATGTCAGAGATCCAAAGATAGGGGTGAAGACAGGGGTGGTGCTCCTCTTTGCAGGTACTCTTCGTTCTCCGCATCCGCTCAACCAGGCAAACCAGTTTGAAATGATACGCTCATAGGAAGGATCGTGTAAGGCATGAATCCACAGTATTCAAACACATATGCGCTTGTTATCGTTAGATGAGGCTGATGTCCTCCATGAATGTCATACACAGAGCCAGTGTCTGAGTTATAACTTATACGCAGTATGTGGAGTTGATCTAGTAACACCTGACCTTCTATCTTATTACGAGGGAGCTTGCTACCCTTTATATAGGTAGTTCCAGTAGATCCTATTCTAGCTGGTATATCCTTATATAGGTACCTACATGTCCCTGACATTATTTAATATTATAGCAATCTGTAGAATGTAAATGGGTAGATTCCAGGTATCCGGGTAGACCTTATTCATGAAATAGATTACATCCTATGGATGGAGATGCTCGTTTATATAATGTCAAACATTCCTAGTCAAGTCCTTAGTATTGTTCTTGGTAGTTGTATCTCTCTTACAACTCTCATAACATCCTTTTAGAAAAGCAACTACATCTAAGAAACCTAAGCAAAGAGCCATCAACACCCAAAACTCCTCGGATATCATAGGTAGTTCGAAACGTAGAGTCCAGAATCCAATAAAAAACACAGATAATCACCTATCCTAAATTCTCAAGCGTGAGCATGATCCCACTAGAAGCCGCCAATTCCCGAATCAAATCCCTACAAGCCCTGTGTCCGTTCTTCTCCGCGAGTTCTATCGCCTTGCGACACTGGGCGATCGGAAAACCGCCTAGACTCGCGTTCCAGAGGAACTGGATCATATCCAGCCGACCGTACTCGGCGGCCGCTTCTAGAGGCCAACGCCCGTCAAATCTCGAGGGGGCATCGTGTATGCTGGCGCCTCGGTCAATCAGTAGTGCGGCAATGTTGTAGTTCCCACCTTTGGCTGCTAGTTGTAGGGCCGTGCCGCCCATGTAAGTCGACGGCTTCGCGTTAACATCCGCGCCGTTCCGGAGCAGTAATTCGGCAATGGCGAGATCGGCAGTTTCTGCCGCCATTTGTAAGGGGGTCCGTGTTATGCCATGGATAGCCCCTTTGTTGACATCAGCGCCTCGATCAATGAGGTATTGTACCAGATTCTTGTTTCCCACGTCAATTGCTCTCAGAAGCGGCGTCATGTTGTATTGTCTCCTACGTACCTTGTTAGAGAGGAGAGGTGTTGATTCGTTGACGTCGCAGCCCGCGTCAAGGAGCTTTGATATCAACAGAAAGTGAGAGCAACCCCCCACCGCTTCGATATTCACTGCGACCTCTAGGGGAGTTCCAGATACTGGATCTACGTGTTTTAGATCGACAGCTTTACACGCAAGCAGAATATCTAACGATCCCACATCGCCGCCCTGGAGCGCCGTCACGACAGCGCCTGTTCCAAATTGATGTATGGCTTCCTGGGTCGAAGCTAACTGTGCTAGGAGCTTACAGAGTACGTCGGGGTGCCCTTTTGAGGCAGCCAGGAGGGAATTGGTGCCATTGATATTCATTCCCACTCGATAAGCGTGACGAATCATTGAAAAATCACTACGTTCGACTATGACATTATAAATAGTATCTATGTTCCAGGCATAGAGGAAGTTGTGCTCGCAGAGGAATTCCAATAGATGTAAAGGCTCCGATTTCAGATCACGCTCCATGGAGCTGTCGCTACTGCCGCCATCGAAAAAAAGGCCCGGAAATGTTGCCATAATTTCGTAGAGGATGGGCATGTTCCATTTGTATAGTTCGACAACAATCCTGAGGAATTTCGCATCAACATTCACGTCCACATATATCCCCCAGCTAAGGAGAAGCCAAACCATGTCTTCTCTTCGTTGTCTCACAACTTCTAGCAGGGCTTCTGCTGCGATACGTGAGCTGATCGCGACATTGCAGGATAACAACTTTTCCATGTATTCTATATTTCCCACTCTTGACGAGGCGAGAAGAGCGCTCTCGAATCGATTAGGTCTAAATATCGTAAGAGCGACTAGAAAATCGCTAAGGTTTTCGAGAGCACCTTTATCTTCAAGCTTCTTGATGAGTATTGCGTCTCTTGATTCGATTGCTTCTGCTAGTGGCGTTGTGTAGCTCAGAAATTCCATATCAGTATATGGCTCCACCTTGTTGATACACTCAGGAGGTGCCTGGTGGATATTGGGATTTTGTTCGAGGATAAATTCGATAAGTTCGTAGTTACCACCTCTGATTGCAGCGCTCAGAATCTGAGTCAAAGACTTTACGTACTGAAAAAGGAATTGAACAAGCTGGTGATTTCCTTGTTTGGCGGCGGCGATGGCTGCCCAGTTCATCTCGTCCGAGAAGCTTCCAGAGCATTTCTTGTGTCCTGTCTTTGCACAATAGGATACTATTTTGGTGGCATATTCAAGAGCATCCTCGGCATTGAATTTGAGAATAATGAGGTATAGTATACCTTCAAATATAGCCTCAAAGTAATCAGAGGGTGCAAGTCGGGAAAGTAGCTTCTTAGCAAGATCCACCCTCATGTATCTCTCAAGAGAGAGACGGATGAAAGAAATGGATACCCTTAACCCTGCGTCGATCAAAGCGTCCACGGTTTTTAAATACTCAGGAGAGAATATTTGGTTACTTTTATACTCAAAAGAGTACCCCGTAGGATGTCTTTTAAACTTAGAGACGTATATTAGACATCTAAGAGCAAATCTTCCGTCAATACCATCATAGTCATGTATCTCAAGACGAGAGATGTTGACATTCGGACCAGCTTGAAGTAACTCATGAACGACTTTCAGTTCTCGGAGCTTGGCGGCCCGCTCGAGGGGTGTATACATTTTCCCATCGACGAAGCAGAATGTGTTGTCGACGTCTACGAGGCGCTTTTGGAGGAAGAACCTAACCGCTTGGTGGTTTCCTGCTTCTATCGATGCTCGAAATAAATTTTCTGCAAGTCCTTTTGCGAAGTGATCCGGGATACCTTCAAACCAGCGAGACAACAGAGAATTGACGTTACTATGTTTATCAAGGAACGTGAAGACCAGTTTGAGAGGTAAGCCGTCCTGGCCAACAAATCCGTTGGCGACGGAGAACAGGAGAATCCGACGTAATTCGATCTCATGTATTTCGTGCGAGGATCGAGCCAAGTCAGTAGTTGTAGATCCTTGTTGGATTGTAGGAAGAAGTGATTTTAACTTCTGTAAGGTAAACCAGACTTTGTCAAGGTTTTGCGTGGGAGGCTTCCGGTTGGTTTCTGACATAGAAGTAGCGACTTCGACAACAAATTTCATCACTAAAGTTTGGGTGCCAAATAACAGCGCGGATTCCTGCAAAGGCGACGAGTGTGAAGCTAAAACTAGCCGTTTCAACGCCGAATCACGTTCAAACCGCTCGAACGGCAAGTCGTTTATGCACATCATTCCAAAAGAAAGATGACCTGTAGCATCCAGTCTAAAGGGAGACGTCGCCATCTCGGCACCTGGAGATATGATATCGGCATTGAAGTCATAATCAATTAAATCCTGTACAAACTGTGAACCAGGATCATTAATAGAATTCTCCGTAGGATGTGTGACATTATTAACGTCGTTAGATTCCGAATAACTACCAGACGAATACTGGGAAATGTGGAACGAGAAGGATCCTGGGGGGCTATTAACCAATCCCTGGAGGTATGGATAGTCCACGACGTCGTTGCTCCCAGGCCTTTCTTGATTTGCATCGATGTCGATGATTCGTTCTTGGGAAACAAGCTCAACTGCGACGTCTTGATCCAGCTGATTTATTGAATCACTCCTGTACTGACACCATTCACCATTTGGCTTTTGGGTCTCGATGAAGGCTTCACAAGCTCCATGGCCGTTGGAAGTATGGGATGAGTCTATTTCCACTCGGCGGCGCTTCCCAAGGCGGGTTTCACTATTGCAGTGACGTCTTGCCCGATTGACCTTATCCACCGATACGGGGTGGCCTGAAATGACGACTCTAGACTGAGTATCCTGAGATGATAGGTGATCGATTATTTCGAAGATCCTCTTCCACTCGTGAGCTTTTAAGTTCTTACGGGCATCCCAGGATTTAAGTTGCGCTTCATACTGTGAGATACTAGCAATCCAAAGTTAGTCCAACTAGCTAAGGTGGCAGGAGAGGCAAGAAACTCACGTGGCGCGGAATCCATGTTGTTCATCCATAGTCTGGACCAATTGCCCAACTGAGAGATCGGATGTAAGATAGAGGTTTAAGATTGTCTCTTTATGATGATCCCAATTGTCTTGGGGAATCTTGCGTGCCTTGGTAGCCATGTTTTCTAGGTAGGTACCTAGGTAGGTAGGCACAGATGAGAATTATGCGTTACAAGAGAGCCGTTGGCATCTCCTGTTAAAGAACTGAACTACTGCCAAGGGCGCAATTAAGGATGAAGGTATACTCACTCAGCTTTATATAATAAGGCAGTCTTTGGCGCATATACCTACTCGATAATGCTTTTACAAATCCACATTGACATAATTGACTCTACATTTCGAGTAAAATGCTACTATACCGGCTCAGCCTGATCCGGTTTTGTCTGTTCAGCTGTGCGAGACGAGTTACGTGACGAGGCTCCAGGTTCCAGGCTTTGATATCCAGGTTTTGATAATCCGGTTTTGACACCGATGCTCTTGGTTCTCACATGCATAACTTCCTTTATCCAATCATTTACACCACTCCTGCATGTCAGAAGTAGGCTCTAATCATTGGATTCGCTTTCGCTTCTATTGGGTGCCTTCATAGAAGTCCTAGATACTAATGTCCTCAATGGCACACCGTATAGACACAGGTACATACTTCGCTTATATCAACAAACCAAAACTCCTAAAAAGATCAGGACATACAGGATATACAGACAGACTATTGCAGGAATAGTAGAAAATAGCTCAACCAATCAAATTGAAATGAGGGATGTACCTATCCTTAGTCGGCACTTGAGAAAGAGAGACGACATATAATAATATAGGTATTTGATAAAAATTTCGGTAAATAATCGTCAACAAAACATCGGGGTATCTCTTCGTAATCATGCCTGCGTATAGGACCAAACTCCCACCGGATCGTAAAGGCTGCCACCCCCTTTGTCGATCAGTGTGCCTTAGGTACTTAAGGAGCTATGACCCCCAACCTGCATGCATGCAGCAGCAGCAGTAGCCGCAGCATCAAGCCGGCATCATGACGAACAAAAACATTCCACGCCGAAGTTCACATGCCTCCTAGAAGTGAACAACACCTGCATAAACCAACCAGTTCGAAGCGGCTGCCGCCAAAGTTAATATAAACAAATTGGGTGACACCCTAATGCACCGGTCACTACTGCTGTCACTATCACCGCCGCCGCCACCACTACCGCCGCTATTATTTTGAGGATCGACAACTTGCCCTGATGAAGCCACAACAGTCTGGCCCGACGGATATCTGATATTGTAAACGGGCGCAGACGTCAACGCGGCGGGATCCCCAAGCACGCTCGGGCAGCTCGCCTGATTGGCCGCCGGCCAGTCGAGCGTGCAGGTCTCGTCGTGGCCCCAGGAGCACGTGGAGTCGAGAATGTTATAGAGGACGTAGTTCTTCGCAACCCAGCTGTCCGGGCGCGCGAGGCAGCTGGCGAGGAAGTTCATGCTGTTGGCGGCGCTAAGGGGGAGCTTGCGGCCGTCGGTGTGGAGCAGGTCCGCGCACTCCTCGGGGTCCACGCTGGCGAAGTTCATGGCGACGGGCCCGCCGGCGGCAGGCTTCTCGGTCGCCGAGTAGCCCGTGTACAGGTAGTTCCAGGCGTCGTAGCTGATGTCGTGGGCGCCCTGGGAGCGGTCCACGCGCAGCAGCTTCACCGTGCGCCCCTCGTAGCTCAGGGACACGCACACGTCGTCGCAGTCCACGGACCCCGGCCAGTACGCCACGCGGTTCGTGTCCACCTTGCACCCGAGCACCCCCACCGAGGACGAGTAGCTGTCGTGAGGCGTCGCCCACACGGCGCCACTGCTGCCGCCCTCGACGCACGATGCGGCCCACCCGGACAGCAGCAGCAGAAGCGCGGAAATGCGCCGCATTGCAGTGCGAAAAAAAAAAAAAAAAAAAAAAAAAAAAGAAAGAAAGAAAAAATCAGAACAAGCAAGCAAGAATCCAAAAAAAGAGCGACTAAGATAAAAGACCGGTGGGGATATCAAGAGAATGACGAAATCATATGGGTCACCAGAAGGAAGTGATTGACATCGACATGTATTTTCGGTAATTTAATGAATGAATGAATGAATGAATGGCACCGTTGCGGCGGGTTTAGCTGACAAGCTCTAGCAAAAACTGGACATCAAGCCGCAAGGCCCTAAAAAGAATGACAATACTTAGTTGAAGCGATTGTGGATAAGCAATAAGCAAGCAATGGGTGAAAACGATGCCTTATCGTGAAGGGCGGGAAAACGGAACGGCCATAACTCGCGATTGTTCTTCTTCGCTGGCGCCTCGTAAGATTTTTTTGTTCTTTTTTTTCTTTTTCTTTCATTAAATGAAATGCCCATATCTGGTTAGTTTCTGATGCTACATTAGATCCCTGCCTTATGGGTCTGGTCCCCTTTTTTCCTCTCATATCTAAATCCCATTGGTTGAATTTTCGGGGTCTTTATCTTAGCTTATCTAATGCTTGCTATCATTGCTTATTCAACTTTTTATACAGCAGCCGTTAGGTTGTTAGATGTATGTTATGCCACGCAGGCACACATTCATATGCACCCGGTGTACGGGTTTGTTGATGGATGCATTAACCGAGCACATCAGCTTAGCCCCCACGCAATTCATTACTTCTTTTTGTGCGAGGCTCACCATCAGCAGTCCATCAATGCAACGTGAGCGCATGGTCCCCAAAAAATCAACGTCCCTACATCATACGAATCATACGAATCATACAATAATATATCATATATCACGTTCCATTCCGCGAAGACAACATGGAAAATTTTTATAGTGGATATGGTAGACATATTATAGTAGGCTTTTCAGCTTTTCAGTAAACGATTTTTTTTTTGTATTGTAACTATACTACGCAAGTTGATGTTGGTAGCTATACCTTTTCACAACTCCGACCCCGACGACCGTATAGAACGAATAGTTAGATGCGGCGGGTGGTGCGGTAAATAGTTCTGTTTGAAGATGGATAATCAGTCATAATAATACAAGTTTAATAAATTAGTTAGATCGTTGATGTTTGTTTCGGTTCTCGGAAACATGCACAACTAAAAATGTTGAGTTGGCGAAAGCGCGGTAGTCATGCACAAACGATCGGCGGGTGGGCTTAAACATAATGCTGCGGGAATGGCGAACTGAAGCTCAGTAGAATGAATCGGCGACACGAATCTAAGAATGAAGAAAGAATTGGGTGTTAGGTTAGAAAGCAGAGCATAAGTAGCAAAACACCAAAATATATCCTCACACACGAAGTCGCATGACGCTGAGTCGAAAAAATGTTTTGTGGGAAAAAAAACAAGTCTAAAATGTCTTTCCAGGGTACTGTCAGTCTTGCCCAGTCTCTGTCTCTTAAAGTTTCATCCTCGTCTACTTCTACTTCTTCTTCTTCTTGGAAGGTTTCGTTAGTGTCAAAACGATGCTAATACGGATGTCGTAAAGCTTCTAGATATCACATGAAAATGTCCCGATCCCGATCCTTAAAACGCCCTATCCGAAAAGATAAAATAAAATTCCAAATGATATCATTTCCCTCCCCCACCAAAAAAAAAGACAATCAAATGATGGCGGCGGCTTCGGCCTTGTCGCCGTGCAGGACGGGGTTGATGCTCTCATCGAAGTGCATCTTGAAGTCGTCGCCGAGCTGCTTGCGGAGAGCGGCCTGGACGGCCTCGAGGACGTTGGGGAAGACGCCGAAGTTGGCGGGGTTGTTCTCGTCGTTGTCGCCGCCCTGGAAGACTCCCGTGCGGACGAGGCACGTGTTCCAGCCGTACATGTTTCCGCCGACGATGTCGGACGCCGGGTTGTCGCCGATCATGTAGATGTTCTCGGGCAGCCTCTCCTCGCCGTGCAGCTGCCCCATCCACGACGTCAGCACCTCGTCCGCGTACTTGTACGTCGCCATCTCCGGCTTGCCGTACACCACACGCTCTAGGTCGGTGCCCGTCAGCGCGCGGTACATGGCCTCCAGACCGATGCGGAACGCGCCCTGGGACATGCGGGGCTGCCAGTGCTCCGTGGGGCACAGCAGGTCACCCTGGGAGAAGTAGATGGGGACTCGCGAGGAGACGGGGTCCTTGGCGAGGGTACGTAGACGGCCGTTCTCCGCGCGTAGCACATCCATGATGATTTGCATGTCGGTGGCGTAGTCTCGGGAGTCGGAGAAGACCAAGATAGCCTCAATGTTGACCTTGCTGAAGTCTCGTGGCCGAGAAGAGGCTCGCTCCTCCTCGGTGAACACACGGTAAGGTGCGATAGACTCGTCCCAGGCGACGATATCGTTAGGGACGACGATGTCCTTGAAGCCGTACAGCTCGGCGACTTCTCGGCACTTGTAGCCCTCGCCACCGACGACTAGAACGGTGTTGTAGTACTCAGCAAGGGCGCTCATGGGGGTGTGTGATTGAATGAATTGTTCCGTGTTGACGGGGTTCTGTAGAATTCTGGAGAGCTGTTCGCAACGGTCCTTCTCGGGTTTTCCGGATCCGTTGGTCAGGAAGATGTGGGGGATCCTAAGGCCGAGCTCGTTGTCGCCGTTCAGGATCTCAAGAGCGCGGCGGCCTTCAGGGATGAGTCGGTCACCGTGGACAAGGACACCGTCGATGTCGAAAGCGAAAGCCATGTTCTTGGCCTTCTTCACCTTCTCGACCTCGACGCTCTGGACTTGGGAAGCTAGGATGGCACGGGAAGGCTGGACGGGTGGCATGCCCGGCCGGGTTGGGCGACCGATAGCCTCATTTTCATCGGGATAGTGAACTGACGATAGCCGTGATTGTCTCTTAGATCGGGGGATGGGAAGAGCTGCGCCGAAGGAGTTGCGAGAGCCTCTTCTCTCCTTCTGAGAGGGAGAAACGCTTAAGTTGTGCATGTATTTTGCTGCCTCAGAGATGGATGATCTCGTGGCGGGAACTTCGATAGGTCCATCATCATCTCCAGGAATAGGCAGAGAATGTGGGTCTACGTGAGGGTGAGTATTTCCAGTTGATTGTCCACTGGTGTGGTCATTGCCGTTAGGGTTGTTGTTCGTAGAGGCGTTCTTCTTCTCTTGCCTCTCAACGGCCTTAGCAAGGTCATAATCCTCGAACATAGGCATCTTGAATGTAGTTTTGAGCTAACTTGCTGCTTCAAAAAGGAAAAAAAGGGGGTATAATATTCAAAATAGGTAGATGTAGAAGAGTAAAAGGTTTAAGCATATGGAACTATGAAAAAAGAAGTTTGGTATCTATGACGGGAGGGTCGCGTTATATCTACCTAGGAGGTAGTCATCAGCTTCACCCATGATGTCGCTTATCATCCACCGTACTATCGCGCTAGTCCGGCTCGGGTACCCTCCACAACAACGACGTAGCTACTACTTCTCGTACCAGCCGGAGAGGAATACTATGTACATCCAGCGGTACGTGATCGATGTACGTTGGTAGTGTTGGCAAGGCTTAACGAAGAGCCGAAAAAGATTATGAATGATGTCTTACTAGGTATCCAACTTGCTCTCCCGGTATTTGCCGCCAAGATGGAGCCTGTCTATCTCTGTTAGCGGTCCCTTGCATAGGTTGCAGATTGATGAAACGGTCGCGTAAACTAGTTGCTACGTTTCCGGACCCTATTAACCGATTGACGCTGGGAAAACGTGGGTAAACGTTGTTGTGCCCGGTGTGCTTAAGCGGTTTGGCTGTTATCAAGGTTATCAAGCCTTCGGTATTTCCAGGGTACGTTCTTGGATGGGTTCAGGGTTTATCATGGACCATGTCCAATGTCGTCCCAGCCCTGCACAGTTGCTCCCAATATTTCCTGCCGGTATGCTGTCAGTACATACATACCCAAAGATAGTATCCTGCCAATATGCTGCCATATACTGCCATATGCTGCCATATGCTACCAAGTCTTGCCGGTACGATGCCAGTACCATGCACGTCCAGCAAACAAGCAGCCAACCAGACCAACGAGGGACCAGTAGGGATCGAATGTCAGTCCGAAAAGGAGCCGCAGAACTACCCGAACTGGATCCCGGATCCACACGGCCCACGTACGGTATCCGCTGTCATGCCTCACGCTGACATCATTCCGGGTCCGCTGCGCTCCGCTGTGTATCCGCTACAGATCCGTCCCTTGAGTCGGGAGGTGGGGGCGGCGAGCTGCAGGGTTGGCAGGGTTGGCAGGGTGTTGCATGGAGTTGCAGGGTTTTACAAGGGGTTTAACAAGGGTTTTCTAGGGTTTTCTAGCGCCTTGCCTCATCTTTGCCATTTTCGGATGTCACCCACTTTGTTCGCCTGCAGTCACCTACAGATCTGTGATGTTGTATCGGTTTATATCCTTGTATTGTGGGTGTGAGGCTTGAGCGAGCTATTTGATAGGCGACGGTTACAAGACGCCAGATAATAAATAATACACTACCAAAACACACCAATGTACACCATACATTGAACCGTACCGTACATTGGACCGTATATGACTACATAGTACATTGATTATAATTTTTTTTTTCTTTAATTTTTTTTTAATAGGCCACGCCCCTGACCGCTCCTAGGTCCTATCCCTAAATTATCCTAACTTGCATTAGGCCGACCCATGGATCTTCTCTCCTACATCACACTAGTATATACTATACATACATCATTGGTATACATTATCAGTACATTTTCTGACCTTTATAACGACTTATCTAGCTGCCTACATAACCTACTATGTAGGTATACTATGTAGTATATCCATACATACCTAGTAGTCAGTAATAGCGTAGGTACTGTAGGTATCCAGCCGACACCAAAGCCGATAAAACCGACTGAAGCATCGATCTTTGGAACAGGCAGTGATAGACGAGCCTGTCTGCATTGCATCCAAACCCTGTCTTATCACCCAAACCCATTCTTTTTATGACATACTTATCATCAAGTATCCAGGTACAGTATCTTACTATATACCTACCTACCTCCTACCTATAGGTATGTATGGTACCAATGTATTATCACTTACTACATGCCTACTACCAGACCATTAGGTACTAACTTACTGTGACCCACTTCACATGTCATGATGGATATCGAAACCGAGCCAAACTTAAAACTGAGTGGTGGCTTTTCCCGCTGACGAGGTGACGAGGTGCCAACTGTTCCTGCAAACAACTGGATCCCGTAAGGGCTGATCAGGCTGAAAGTGAAACCGACGGGCTTTCTCTCCAATGTAAAACTTTTCTTTTCCGCTGAGTCAGGGGTAGTAGTGGTGTTAGTAGCCAAGCGGCTTGTTGGGGAATGATGCAATAGTGCAGCATCGTGTGGTTAGATGCTGATACAATTATACATCGTATCTTTTTTCTCTCATTTTCGTTTCTTTTTTTTTTCTGTTGATCATTAGCTTGGGGAAATACATAGGAACTTACTAGGTTTGAATCATCGGTCGTTTGCAGACTTGTCCTCTGCGTGGTTTATCCGAATACATACACTATTTCCATCCCGACTTGCCAGCACGATAGATAAGGTAGCTGACAGTATTTACTGTTTTTACTGTTCTGTCCATAATAACGCAATTCGTCTCTGTCTCCCACATCTCTTCTCATTCTCAAACCTCTGTCTATCACATCCACCAATTGCATATTCCCATATCTAAGACTCTCTATCAAACATGGCAACTCCACTAAATCAGAAGACTTTCACTCTAAACAACGGAGTAAAGATTCCCGCCATCGGCTTTGGCACCTTCGCCAATGAAGGCGCCAAGGGCGAGACCTACAAGGCGGTTACCGTTGCCTTGGAGGTAGGCTACCGACACCTCGACTGCGCCTGGTTCTACCAGAACGAGGCCGAGGTGGGCGACGCTGTCCGGGACTTCCTCGCGAAGAACAAGTCCGTGAAGCGCGAGGACCTCTTCATCTGCACAAAGGTGTGGCAGCACCTGCACGAGCCGGAGGAGGTCAAGTGGTCGCTGGAGAACTCCCTCCAGAAACTCGGCCTCGACTACGTCGACCTGTTCCTCGTGCACTGGCCCATCGCCGCCGAGCGCGACGACAACTACATGCCCAAGATCGGCGCCGACGGCAAGTACGTCATTAAGAAGGAGCTTACGGAGAACTTCGAGCCCACGTGGCGCGCCATGGAGGACCTGTACGAGGCCAAGAAGACGCGCGCCATCGGCGTGTCGAACTGGACGATCCCGTTGCTCAAGAAGCTGCTGAGCTTCGCCAGGGTCAAGCCGGCGGCCAACCAGGTCGAGATCCACCCGTTCCTGCCCAACGAGGAGCTCGTCCAGTTCTGCAAGGAGAACGATATCCTGCCGGAGGCGTACTCGCCGCTCGGATCGCAGGACCAGGTCCCCAACACGGGCGAGAAGGTGCGCACGGACCCGACGCTGAACGAGGTCGCCCGCCGCAGCGGGCACACGCTGGCGCAGGTCCTGCTCGCGTGGGGCATCCGCCGCGGCTACGTCGTGCTGCCCAAGAGCTCGACCCCTTCGCGTATCAAGAGCAACTTCGAGGTGCCGGAGCTCTCCGACGCCGACTTCGAGGCGGTCAACAGCGTCGCCAAGGGCCGCCACACCCGCTTCGTCAATATGAAGGACACCTTCGGCTATGACGTCTGGGCCGACGAGGCCAAATAAACTACCTAACCTAACCTAACCTAAGGTAGGCTACCTAAATAAATCCGGTAAATACCTACCGGTAGCTCCCTAGGTAGCATCTCAGACTCTACCTATATCGTGTAGCGCCGGACCAAAAGAAACTCGATTTCGTTGGTCCGACTTGCTTCGCGTTTCTCTTCCCTCCCCTCCCTCCCCTCCCCCCCCTTTTTTTCCTTGCTTAGTCGAGGTGCATGCGACATTAGCGGTGGACAACCGATGTCAACAATGCGTCATAGAAAATCCACTTTTTCCCTATATCCACTCTCCTTTAACCCAAAAAGGAGGGGGGGATAACGTACGGATTACAAACCTATTCCTAAGTGTTAGCCTGCTTGATATCCTAATGATGGTGGTTACTTAGAAAGCATTTTCAGAAAAAACTAAATACCTGGTTTTTTCTTTCGGCGTTAGTAGAGAAAAGGAATTGGATATGAGGGAATAAAAAATTTAAAAAATTAAAAAGGAGAGGGAGAAAAACTGGAGATGGATGGATGGATGGGTGGATGATAAGAATGAATGGATAGGATGGGGATTAGAAAAAAGGGGGGAAGGGGGGTTAGACAAATTCTATTTTCTCCGAATGGGTGGTTACGAAGCGCACGTTTTTTATTCTTGTTTTAACAAATTAGACGACGCATATGTTGCAACTATGAAGATACGTACATATTAACAAGCGAAAAAAAAAGTCTTATTATCATCCCGCGGCTCTAAAAAAGTGTCTTATATTGTCTCATCTAATCCCTGATTTCTCTTCCCTCCCTTCTAGAATTAATTTTTATTTTCATATTGGTAGACACCCTCGGCCCCTCTATCAGCGTACAAGCACACCATCAACTCGCATCACAACTCGCAACCAAATACCAGGTAGGTTAGGTAGGCACCTTACCTTACCTTACCTAAGGTAAGAAAGGTACTTCCATAGAACAAAATCCAAATATCAAAAATTCGCATCACGCCGTAGCCGCCACCGCCACCGCCTTCGTAGACTTCTCCTTGGCCTCAGCGAGAAAACTCCGATGGTGCGCCGGGTGGTTCCGCTCGATGTTGCTCTTGACCATCTTGCGGGTGATCATGTTGCTCTCGACGTCGATGTGCTCCTCGAGCAGGCCCGCCGCGTCGCCGCGCACCCGCCACCGCGAGCGGATCGTCATCGACCCCGTGGGCACCTTGCCTTCGACCGTCGCCTCGATCCCGTCCGCCCGGTTCGTCAGCGTCAGCCGGTAGCTTGTCTGCCCGATGGGTCGCCGGTCCGTGACTTCGAAGATGTGGGACTCGTCGACCGGGGCGACGCTCGGGTTTGGGTTGGGGTCGAGGTTGGGGTCGAACGTGAGAGTAGTAGTAGGAGTACTAGTATTGGTGGTAATAGGTGAGATGCGGGTGTAACTTATGAGTTGTGGACATGTCGTTCGGATGTACGTCTCGTGGTTATGTAGTAGTGCGACGACGACGCTAGGCTTCACGCCGGCGGGGAGGGGTGTTGAGATGCTAGTTTCTACGGTCATTTTTTTTCTATATGAGGCTCCTTTTCGTGAAGAAAAATTGCGCAGCTTCAATGGTTTTGGTGTTTTTGTTTTTTTCCTTTTCCCTCTGGGCCCCCTATTGCCCCTACTACGAGAAAGAGAAATTACCTATCTCTTAATATACGAAACTAACTACACAATAGCGTTCTATTTCGTTCTATCATGTTTTTAAAACAAACGCCTATCCATTCAAACAACTTCCTACGCCATCAGGAAACTTCACTTAATATTGGTCAAACCTTGTTGTTTCCCAAACTTACCGGTAGTGTCGGCGAGCCAAGCCCAGAACACGCTTTGGGGACTATTTGGCGTCGGCATTCCTCTCACGTGGTCGTATGACCTTGGATGCAGTGTGGTCAAAATAAGGTGTTAGATCTAAGCTGCGATGCCTCGAAATCGAGATCAAAATCAGCAGGGCTAAACTCTGCTGTGGGGTCGAGTTCGAGCATGGGCAAACGATTTGGTGCTGACGATGCATAGATGGCTGAGCTGAGAACAACCTTTGAGGCCGTGTGGCCCCCCATGGGCTACGAGGGCCGGTGACCTCAGTGGTGCATCGTGACCGACATCGTGACCTGGCTTGCTTACTCACTTTGAAAAAAAGACCCCTACTGCAGATCTGAAGTCAGCGGTCCCAGACGCAAGCGGAGTTTGGGGTTGAAAATCGAGTTTCTCAAAAATGTCGTGCATGAGCCCTACGAACGGAGGGGGGTTGGCTTGGGTTCACAACGTAAAGTGGATTTTGGAAAAAATCCCGTTTTGCGGATCGTGAACTATGTCACGTTATCTTCATTTGTATGGGTCTGGAAAATTGTTGTTGCAAGGGCACCAACACGACAATCTACAGCCCCCCCTGCTAGTTTCTAAAGCCTGAAACGCATGGTTAGGTCCATTTTAAACATGATGCGTATTCGGTTTAGAGCAAACAAATTCCCAAAAGGGACGACGCTATAGAGCTATTCTACGGTGACGATAGCCTCACAGTCGACACGTGTTAGTTTAGGTACCTAAGGTAGGTAGAGGCTCATCTTCGGACTATATAGTATGTTCCCTACATACATAGTAGCTGTTAGCACGCATAAACGTACGATCTTCCAAAGTTCGCCTTGGCAAAGAGTTCAGCTTTATTACAATACGGCCTCAACAACCCACTTCGGCGCGTTTCAGCATGTAATGGAATAATTGGGTTTTCCATGGCAGCATGGACCGGGTGACCGGAATTGAGAGCGAGGCTATTACTATTCCATATTCCATAGCCGAGCTAGCCCACTCCCTAATTAGCCCTAGTTATTACCGAGAGACGCGGAAAGTTACGTACGATCAGACAAGGTACAACCTAGTAACTCGAAAGTATTACAATTTAAGAGTCACAGTACCATGTACGAGGTAGTTGGGGGGGTACCTCCTACTTGGATATCGCTTCTCGCACCTAGCAGTACTACTTTGTATGCAGTATAACCATAACCATAACCATAACCGCCCTAGCCCAAAGGTAACCTCCATACGGAGATGGTACGGAAAACTTAATAAGGAACGGTAACTGTAGATATTCAAATATAATAATGTCTATAGACTTCGCGCGGATATCAATAATGATAATATTTCTAGCCATACGTATCCTTATGGTACTAGCTCTGGTTACCTTATGCGCTCATGCCGTCCTACCTAGAATTTGCCTTCCTTGCTTCGTAAAGTACCTAAACTAATCTAATATCTAAATCTCCTCATTCAACATCTTGTTATCGAACTTCTTCCCTCTTCCCTTCTGACCACCCTTGAAGTGCTTCTTGCTCGAACCGATCTGTACGTCTTGCGGATCCATTCCTGTTTCCAGAGCGATCATCGTCCTGGCTTTACGCCCGCTAAGATGCTTAGCTTGTGCTTGTGCTTGTGCCTTCCCTTGTTCCGTATACTTATGACTGAAGGGCATTTTCATATGTCCCGCGTTTCCCGCATCGCGCGCAAAGAAAGCCTTGTCGAGCTTCTCTGACTTTGCACCAGTCGGAAGAGCGAGAATCTCCGTATCAACTGTTGATTCGTCGTCGCCCAAGTCAAGTGCATTCGTGGCTGCGGTAAGGGCTGCCTTGCGCTTTGCGGGTAGGTGTGTTGAGTCATAAAGTTCGCGGTTGAAGTCGCTGCCGTCACCCCAACCGGGAGGAGGCTGGACGTACAAGAGCTTTCCATTGACGTAGTCCTTGAGGATGACCCTCGCAGCTCTCGATTCATCTGGCTGTCCTACACCTGAGGTCGTGAAACCTCGTGCTCTGGCATATGCCGCTAGAAGCTCACTGGCGGTGGGAATACCTGTGCCTCCCTCCTCTAGCGGTCGTGTCTTGATGTGGATACCATAGATGGCTTCCAAAAATGGTTGTGGGATCCTGTGTGCGACGAGCGCGGCGGGACCCGTAAATTCTCGTAATTGATCAATCGGCAAGACGCCATTGCAGACGAGATCGGCCTTTGTTGTCGCAAAATTGGGAAACACAAGACCGGGACAGTCGCAGAGGATGACCTTGTCGCTTAAGTGGATGGTTTGGAAATGCTTCGTCTTACCAGGCGTTGCGGAGACGGAGACTTTCTTGGCACCAATGAGGGCGTTGATTGTTGATGACTTTCCGACGTTAGGATACCCAACCAGACCTATCTGCAGCTTCTTCTCCGGATCTAACTGTCTGTAAGCTTTAGAATCAAGGTAATTTTAAATGAGAATACGCACCATCAGGATCATATGCATGCCGAAGAAATATGTCTTCCAGCTCCTCAACTGTTAATATTCTGATATCATCATCATCGTCACCACCATCGGTATCTTGCCTTAGGGGCACCCCTGAATCTACACCCTTTTCCTCGCTCTCGTCCTCCGAGTTACTGTCATCTTTAGATCCGTGTATGGTTTTCGGGTTTGAGCTTTCGCCGTTCAAAGGCTCTTCCGGTTCATCCTCCAGATCGCGTTCATCAATTAATTGTTTCGCCAAGCTCGCAGAGAAGAACCGATAGGCTATCCTCTTCTCCTTGAAGTACTTCGCCCAAGCCTTTCTCTGGTTTGTCGTCATCATGTCGGCCTTATTGACCAGCAACAAGTTTTTCTTGCCCGGGTCGATGTCTTTCACGTATGATTCAAGATCTTCGGACCGAAACATTAAAGGATTGCGCGCATCGACAATCTGAACAACAAGGTCTGATCGCTCAATGACACGCCATAATTGTCTCCATACCTCCAAGTTACGCTCAAATGGAGTCATGAGAAGGTCGTTATTTTCCTGTAATTCTGCCAGACCTCTTCTCCAGTCGAGGAAACTCTCTCTTTCGAGCCGATCAAGCTCTTCAGCGGTAGTCGAAGAATCCCAGTTTGGTCGTCTAGGGACTGTTAACCTTCCTCTATGCTTGGCCTGTTTTCCTATAACATTGCGCTCTTCATTTGCTGATAGGAGATATGGATTTCTTTGATCTGTGTGGATGATCTTGACGTTGTTCATCTTCTCAGCGGTGAAATCGGTACCGGCAAGTTCGGCGGTCGCAAGGAACTCGTCCAGCGCGCCTTGCTCCGTTACAGAGCGCATCTTCACCCATGCTGCTTCTTTTCTGTCGTTTGTGATGTACTAATAATTATAATAAATGCGTTAGCGACTGTGTTGGTATAGAGTCGTGGAACACTGTTGTTTATTACCTCTTCGCCTGTTGCATGGTTGATCCTCGTGACTGCAGCTGAACCTTTTCTGCGATCAGATCCTTTACCCTTTCCAAAGCGGTCGTTCATGAGCGTATTGCCCAGACCGAGGGAGGTTTTCGACTTTGCGTGCACCATTTTGGGCAATCCGTTGGTGTTTTGTGCTTGAACAACAATGTGCGAATAAATATATGCGAATATGCGAATATTTAAGTTTGACCCTTTCTTTTTGCGAAACTCGGTCCTTATAAATTAAGGTCGAGGTTGTCGCTTCCAGGTGGTTTTGTTAAAGTCTGATCGCTGAATAATCGAGGGGCAATTATTTTTTGCGTCACTCTAAAGCACGATAAGCCCCGCGATAAATAAATTTACCCCACCAAAACTTTTTCAATTCTAGGCCCAACAACCCTGAAGGCTATTCTGCCTCTGAGATTTACAAAGTACCTAACCTGACTTTACTTTACTTACTTGCATAAACTTTCATTTCTAACTTACAACCAACTCCTCGTCCCTTCACTACATGTGATTAAAACAAACTCTGAGAGATTTGCTTGTCAGTTACTCATAAGCGAAGCCTCACAAATTAAAAAATAAAGAAAAAATAAAAAAGATAGCTAAAAATGCCGAAAGGCAAGTGGATGTATGTTACAATCGATAAAATAAAACCGTCAAATCAATTTAGCGATTAGCGACTAACGATCTCGAACCACAGCGATAAGAAGACGGCCCAGCACTTCACGCTGGTCCATCGTCCCCAAAATGACCCTCTAATCCACGACGCTGATGCGCCGTCCATGGTGCTCAACCCTACACCCCTCCCCAATGCTTCCAAGGTGAGGAAGCTCAACGACCTCGCGTCCGAGCTGGGCTCCGATGCCGAGCACATCCGCGCGAACGAGGGCGAGGCCGCCAACTACGGCGTTTTCTTCGACGACACCGAGTACGATTACATGCAGCATCTGCGCGACCTGAATTGCGGCGGCGGCGGCGAGGTGGTTTTCATCGAAGCGGATAACGGCCCTAGCAATAAGAACAAGGGCAAGGGAAAGCAGAAGCAGAGCCTGGAGGATGCGCTGAAGAAGCTGGACGTCGCGGACGAGGAGCGCAAGCGGGCGGAGCTCTTCGACGAGGACTTCTTGCCGTCTAAGAACCTGCAGCACATCACGTACCAGGCGCAACAAGATATCCCCGACGCCATCGGCGGGTTCCAGCCGGACATGGACCCGCGGCTGCGCGAGGTGCTCGAGGCGCTCGAGGACGAGGCGTACGTCGACGACGACGAGGACGTTTTCGCCGAGCTAGCGAAAGACGGGCGGGAGCTAGACGATATTGAATTCGAGGCGGATTTCGACGAGGACGACGGCTGGGAATCCGACGACACCGCCAAGCCGACCAAGGAGTACAAAGACCGCTCCGAAGTAGTGCCTGACCTGGTGCCCGTTGAAGACGAGCAAGACGGCAGCGGGGAAGCGGTCAAGAACGAAGGGTGGCTAGAGGACTTCAAGAAATTCAAGAAGGACCAGAGCAAGCCCGGCGGCGCTAGGGTATCCTTCGTCGGCGCGCCGTCGCAGTCGGACGTGCAGTCTTCGCTCATGACGACGACGACGAACGGCGGCCTGAGGAAGAAGCGCAAGGGCGCGTTGACGAGCCAGTCGGGCTACTCGATGACGTCGTCGTCGCTGTTCCGCACCGAGCAGCTCGGCATCCTGGACGCGCGGTTCGAAAAGATCGAGGAGCAATACAACGAGGATGATTTCGACGATGACGAAGACGGAGGGGCATCCATGTCGCAGATTTCGACGGCGTCCAGCGTAACGGGAGCCGTGAGGGGCGATTTCGACAATATCCTGGATGACTTCCTGGGCGGCTACTCGATGCACGGCAAGAAGCAGGTGAAGAAGGGCCAGTGGAAGAGCGGCACCGACCAGCTCGACGAGATCAGGCGCGAGTTGGGTCCGGCCAAGATCCGCGGCAAATATGGTAAGCCGCAAACATCCAGGTTGGCATCAGCATCGGCGTCTAGGTAGATGGACAGTGCTGGTAGGTGGACACAAGTCATAGAGATAGATACCCAGAGAACACCAGGAAAATAGCAACTAGGTTCAAAAGATTGACTTGTTAGGAAGAAGGAATATGGAACAAAAGGCAATTGATATGAATGATATAGTTAATGATTGCTAAGTTTACACACACTTATGCTTTGAGCAATAGGCACCTATTCGAAGAATTTTCTGAGTAAAGTATCAATTCGTGTCTATTGCTACAATGTTGTTATCGCTAGCAAAGAATGATACTCGCTCCGTTGACAACCGAGCTTCAGCTGCTTATGCTACTTACATAGTCCAATACTTTGACGACCTGGACGTCTCTTCTGCCGAAAAGGGATGGGAGCCTAGTTATTGTCTTCCTAAAGCGAATGGCCCTGCGAAATGTAGCGTGCGAAGTGTAGTTGGCTTCAAGGGATCGAGTACAGTGGGAGGGGAACTTCATGGACTCGGGGAGTCCCCCGATGCTTGCTCCGCAGGAGGCTGCTTAGCAGGTTGCTTGGCAGGAGGTTGCTCGGAGGAAGGATGCTCGCTCTTAAAGAGTCGAGTCCTCAAGTCAGAAAACCAGTGGCACAGATTGAGGACGCCTTGTGGCAGATCCGCATGCCACCCTACTGTGTCGTCCTCCTAGCGATGACCATTCATAGCGGGCGGGCGCTCAGGGCCGTAAGCACCGGGCGCGTGCGGAAGTTCCTCCTCTGTGTCGTCGTCGAATTCTCCCTCGTCACTAACCTCCTCGTCGCCATCCTCGTATTCGTATTCGCTTTCTTCGTCGCCTTCGTCAAGCTCTCCTTCTTCTTCTTCTCCTACCCCTTCGGCGTAGCAGCTCTCCACCGTCCCTTGCATGCCTTGCGGTATTCCACGGCCCTGCTGCTGCATCTGGTTAATGATGCTTGTGAGCTTGTCGTTCTTCTTCCTGATATCTTCGAGATCCTTCAGGTGCCTATTCCGCTCCTCGGCCATCTTAAAGATGTTCTGGTTTAGGGCGCCTTCTTTCCTCTTGTAGGCCTCGTTTTCCTTTTCTAGTTTCTTCGTCTTTTTCGACATGTCCTCCATCTCTTTGCGAAAAGTTAAGAACAGGTCGTTACTATTATTGAGCGTGTCCTCGACCTCCTCATTTGTTAATGCCTTCGCACGGCGGGCTAGTGAGGGGCACAGGGCGCATACCTGCTTAAACTTCTCAACATAAACGTTCAACTGGTTTCTTAATTCAGTTTCCGTCTTGGAGAACGTAAGCACTTGGCTGTTCAACTGTCGCGCACGGTTGGCTTCTGCTTCCGCCGTTTTCTTCTGCTGTTCATAACGAGCCATATTCCACTGGACCTCGATCTCCTTAGTCCGCATTGAAGAATGGTAATGCAGTTCCCGTAATTCGTACTGGTCGATGAGAGATTTAAATCGTCCCTTAAACCTATAACACAATGTTAATACAGACTGTGTTCAGACAGATGAACGTTAGTAGTAGGAGGGGGGAATGGCGCACAATTCTTCGGCCTTCATGTATACGACCTGCTTTCGCGGGTTGTCTTTCTCCTCTTGATAACCCTCTAAAGTTTCAAGCACTTTCTTCAATCGCTCATCAGACGAGGCTTTTAAGCGCTCATGAGTATCGTTTAGAGCACGGTGCTCATTCTACCAGCCATTGCCGTCAGCGAGGATTCCGAAAAATTTCCAGTAAAACTCAATGTACCTTCAGCTTATTATTCTCCTTTTGCAGTTCGCGACACAACTTTTCTAATTTTTCCTTGAGACTAATTTGCTTGCTTAGATCGGTACGGCTTGAATCCTTTTCCTTTTGCAACTGATCGGCTCGCTTCTTATTCTTGAGGTTCTCGCGCTCGAGACGTTTTAAGTTCGCAAAAAGTTCTGATGATCGCTTCGTCAAGAGTTCTATTTTGTCCATATCATTCATCTTGTTCATTTGGTGGTTTAGCTCGCGATTCGCCTTGCGCACTTCTCGGTCTAGTAGAAAGTAACATTAGCAAGGTCTTGATATTACGCAAGCCAACCAAGATCCAGCGCAAGCGGTTGTTTAGCGCTGTGTAGCGATATCTGTACAACCGAACTGATCCGCATATCGAGAATGGTAGACGTTATTACGAAACGTATAGTAGTGCATATCTAGAGATTTGATACTCGGTATACGGTGGTGTGGTGGAAGAGAAGTTCCTCCAGACGTATGGCGTCGCAAATAACCGGTATTCCTCTCCCTATCCGTTCATTGTCGACGAGAGAATGCTATGGTGTTTGGTGCTTCACATTTATCCCTCTGAACCTGGTCACGCACGCTGTCTCGAATTGATGAATATATCGCAGTAGCTGTATAATCCGAGCTTATAGGTTTTCATGGTGTTCCAGCCTTTCTGCAACCCCTCAAACATCTGAAATGAAATAAGAACCTACCAATTTCCGCCTCTTGCTCCTTCTCTGCGGCCGTATCAACTTCCAACTGAGAAATCCTCGCAGCAACAAGTTTTGATGCTTCGTTCGAGTCAAGAGCCTTCTTCCCTTTCCCTTTCTTAGAGGCAGAGTTTGAAGCCATGGCGGACGTCGGGGTTGGAGCAGGTCGGGGCTCGTGCCCATGAATATGGTGGCCATTAGGTAGCGAGTCGTCATGGGCATGAGCATTCGCGGTTCCATTCGTATTTAATGCAGATACAAGAGGAGCCGGGGTGGCAGACGCGGTACGATGATTCGTAGTTGCCATGATTTTCTAAATAATTAAACTGATTCTAAGAAAAATGAGAAATTAGCATTCTAAAAGCGAGAAAAAAAAAGCGAAGCCGAAAAGCGATTTATGACACAACACAAGGTTGAAATTTATGGTCTAGTGTGCACTCACCCCACCACTTCGGTAGACATTGGGATGGTATTGAAGAGAAGAAACGTATACAGTTGAAAGAATAATGTTGGCAACTAAGAGAAATAAGTAACAAGTTTTTTTTTAGCTTTGGTTGGCTGGGCTACTATGTATGGTATGTGGATGTTGGAGACGTTTAGTTCTACAATGAATGCAGACTTTTGAGGATTTGAGATGAAGCGCGGCGTTTTAGTGTCGGTTACTTAATCAACAAGCAAGGACGAAGAGGAACTCCGGGTTGCCGCCTCGAAACTTGCACATGCGACCACATCCGAGCTTGCCAGCCTGCCAGCTTGCTTATCTAATCTTTTTGGGGTACTCGACTACCCACCTACCTAAGGTACCTAGGTACATAGTAAGGTAGGTAATACGCGAATAATATCTGCGTAGAAAAATTGAATTCAACATCACATAGTAGCAGATCCGAAGCAGCGGTTTTATGTGGGGTTAACTTTACTTAACCGCACTTTATATATGCTTATATATGCTTAAACAGAATTGAGTTCCAAGGTTGACTGGCACCTGGGCATTCGTTCCAATTGCTTCCATTTTTACCCCATGCAATTATGAGCTAAACCCCGATATCTTAATATCTTCCTAACTTTTGACTTTTAACAGGGGTTAAGCCGACATAGGTATGCGTCATCTAGCATAAACTCCTTATCGTTCGTATCATTCGCCCTTGGAAATTTTCTAGAATTAGGTACGTGCCGTGCGTCCAATCCGTACCTTTAAACTTCCTCTCTCCTTTAACCATCACAACGCCCCACTACGAAACGAAAACTGCGGCTGTTCAACTTGTTGTGATCCCGGTTCATTACCTCGTTACCATTTCTTCTCTTTGATATGATTTGTGGCTTGTACCTCTGATTATCAATAAGATGTTGCGTAACGCGGTGAAAGGTGCAGCTAGGAAAGCTGCAACAGAGCTGTCCCAGTACCCGAAGCCCGGAGAGAAACTCCATGGTTTTACTTTGTTAAGGACAAAGCATGTACCAGAGCTAGAGCTAACTGCGCTACATTTGCGACACGACAAGACCGGCGCAGATTATCTACATATTGCTCGAGATGACAGCAACAATGTATTCTCGATCGGCTTCAAGACGAACCCCCCGGATGATACCGGTGTTCCGCATATTCTTGAGCACACGACACTATGTGGTAGCCAGAAGTATCCCATACGAGATCCTTTCTTTAAGATGCTGCCTCGAACCCTGTCCAACTTTATGAATGCCTTCACTGCTTCCGATCACACCTACTATCCCTTTGCTACGACCAACGCCCAAGACTTTCGTAATTTGATGTCGGTATATCTTGACGCGACCCTTTACCCTCTATTGAAGGAGACAGATTTTACCCAGGAAGGTTGGCGTATCGGGCCTGAAAACCCCAGAGTTGCAGAGAAGGGTGGAGAGGCAGATGCTGAGGAGAGCAAGCTGGTCTTCAAGGGTGTTGTCTACAACGAGATGAAAGGACAAATGTCCGATGCAGGCTACCTATTTTATATCCGCTTCCAAGACCACATCTTCCCGGCCATCCACAACTCCGGAGGCGATCCACAGAAGATTACTGATCTGACATATGAGCAGCTACGCAAGTTTCATGCCGAGCACTACCATCCCAGCAATGCGAAGCTTATAACTTACGGCGATATGCCATTGACCGACCATCTCAAGGAAATCGACGCCCAGATGCAAGCATTCGAGAAGATTCAGGCAGACATTGAACATAAAAAACCTATCGATCTTAGTGATGGGCCACGTTCAGTTACAGTATTTGGCCCGATCGACCCCCTCGCTGATCCGGAAAAGCAATTCAAAACATCGGTGTCGTGGATCACTGGTGATACCACCAATGTGCTAGAGTCATTTTCCATAGCTCTGCTCTCATCTCTGCTAATGGATGGATATGGGTCTCCGCTGTACAGGGGGCTCATCGAGAGCGGGATCGGTACTGATTGGAGTCCAAATTCTGGTTATGACGGATCAGCAGCGACGGGCATCTTCTCCATTGGTTTAACTGGCGTCGATGAGGCTAACGTCAAGACGGTCAAGGATCATATTCAGAGGATTCTGCGGGAAATTCGCGATAAGGGTTTCGAAAGAACAAAGATTGAAGGATATCTCCATCAGCTTGAGTTGAGTCTCAAACATAAAACCGCCAATTTTGGTCTTTCAGTGTTACATCGCCTGAAGGGGAAATGGTTTTCTGGCACCGATCCCTTCGATTCTCTAGCATGGAACGATACAGTTGCGGCTTTTGAAGCAAAACTTGCTGAGGGGAGTTACCTAGAAGGACTGATGGATAAGTACCTCCTCAACGACAACACGCTTACGTTTACAATGGCTCCTTCGGAAACATACGGCGAAGAGATTGCCCAAGAAGAGAATGACAGGCTGCTAGCTAAAATTTCCGAAGCAGCTCAACAAGCTGGCGGGGAACAAGAGGTTCGAAAGTTTCTCGAGCAGCGAGAACTTGATTTACTCGCTGAGCAAAACAAGTCCAATACGGAAGATCTAAGCTGCCTACCGACTGTTCACGTCAAAGACATTCCAAGACAGAAGGAGCCTGTGATCGTAAGAGATGAAGTGGCACACGGCACTACTATTCAGTGGCACGAGGCTCCTACAAATGGCCTTACTTACTTCCGAGCCATCAACACATTTGAAAATCTACCAGATGAGCTCCGTTCCTTAGTTCCATTATTTACAGACTCTATTATGCGGCTGGGAACAAAGGATATGACGATGGAACAGCTCGAGGATCAAATCAAGCTTAAGACAGGGGGTGTATCTGTTAGCTATCTGTCGACCGCATCGCCAACAGATTTCCGCCAGGCATCTGAGGGCATTCTATTACGGGGTATGGCACTCGATCGTAATGTACCCGAAATGTTCGATCTACTACGGAAACTCATCCTGGAGACCGACTTTGACAAGCCAGAGGCAGCTCTTCGGATAAGGCAATTACTCGAAGCCGCAGCAGATGGAGTGGTAAACGACATTGCTTCATCCGGTCATTCATACGCCCGAAGGTATGCTGAGTCAAATTTGACACGTGAAGGTTACCTCGCCGAGCAAGTAAGCGGTTTAACGCAAGTTAAACTCATCACATCACTGGCTGGGCGACCACAGTCAGACAAGTTCGAAGACATAATCGAGAAACTAAAGCGAATACAGAGATTTGCGTTGGCCGGTACCAACATTCGTACAGCGTTAACATGTGGATCCGACAGCGTTCAAGCCAACTCTTCAGCATTGTCCCGGTTTATGGCGTCTAGATCAACTGACCCTGTAAGGTTTCCCGCTGCCGAAAAACAGACATTTGCGAGAGATATCAAAGCATTTTTCCCGCTTCCTTACCAGGTGTACTATGGTTCTCTGGCGCTTCCAACTACCTCCTATACGTCATCGCAGGGTGCACCACTTCAAATTCTAGCGCAACTTCTAACTCATAAGCACCTCCACCATGAAATCCGTGAAAAGGGTGGTGCTTATGGAGGTGGTGCTTATATGAAGGGGCTCGAAGGAATATTCGGGTTTTACTCGTACCGAGATCCAAACCCGCAGAACACACTTTCTATCATGAAAAATGCCGGCCGGTGGGCAGTCGACAAGGAATGGACCGATCGAGACCTTGAAGAGGCGAAGATATCGGTTTTCCAGAGCGTCGATGCACCCAAATCTGTAAGTGCAGAGGGGATGCTGCGATTCATGTCTGGCGTCACAGATGAGATGCAGCAGAAGAGACGTGAACAGCTTTTGGATGTTTCTAAGGACCAAGTCCGAGACGCCGCGCAGAAGTACATTGTTGACGCTCTAGCAAAGGGAGAAGAAAGGATCGCTTTCCTCGGGAAGAAACAGGATTGGGTGGATGACACCTGGAAGGTAAACGAGATAAACGTGAATGGTGCCGAGTAACGACAGAAAACGACGTACGAACGATAGATGTAAAAATTGGCTGTACAATATCTGTGCATACATATACCCTTCTCTTATGAATTAGACGAGTTGTATATAGCCCCAGCACTTGTAGTCTGGGCTACACCGGCTCTTGAGCAATCGGTCACCCAGTGAAACGGCATATCCAGCAGCATATCATTCATTGTAGAAACTTGTTTCAGCGTTCAGATACGATACGTCTTCTTGCCTGGTGTCTCCCCCGGAGACTCCACCGTGGCATGAAGACCACAACAAGACGCGAGATCAAAATATTGTCCGAGGTAAGGTCTGCAGACGGCATGCCTCGAGGGGCTGCTAGTCGCAAGAACCGACCTCGCGCTCGTTCTTTCAGACTCGGATTCCTTAAATTTAGGATTCTGGACTATAGAACAGAGTACATGCTTGATATATATCTATTTTATATATACCTTAGGTACCTATGTAGGTACCTAACATAGTACGTATGTCCCATCGCTACACGTAAAGCAAAAATTATTTTGGCTACCACATCCTCCCACAAACCCGCAAAGTCTTGGGGGACATGATGGAAAGAAAGACAAAAAGATATGCGTGACAAGAGTGGGACTTGAACCCACGCGGATTGCTCCATGAGGATGTAGGAATTAAGGTGACCTTAACCTCACGCCATAACCAACTCGGCCATCTTGCCCGTGGTGTTTGCCTATTTCCATTGTGATGGATGGGGCTTGATGGAATTCTCGGGCGTTAGATTAAGTATAAGAACCAAGATTATTTACCAGGAGGTAACTAGCCGGAATTAGCCAATCGTTGATTATTAGACGCCGGACGCTAGAAAATCTTTGGTAAGTTGTGCGGTGGAGCTCCGGGGCCCGCCGGTCTTGACTATTGGATAGGGCTAAAAATTCGGGTTGTCCAAATACCTAGTACTACCGACGGAAAGGAAGGGGAAAAAAATTGCAAAATTTTTGACAACAAGGTATTAATCCATTTCCCACTCTTACACCCTTAGTTAGGTACTCTGAAGAACATCTATGAAGCCAGCTTTATCTTCTTCAGTGTAACTTCTAAGTGAAAAATAGTAAACTACCTAGACGAATCCACGAAGGTGAATAAGTCTCTATATATTCGTAATATACCATTTTGATAGATCATATATGATTTCTCCAAGTATTGATGTGATAACTAATATCCTGACTCGTACGTACGTAAAGAATCATTTTCCATTAGTCACATCGTTCAATGATGCTACTCTAGTGAACAAGTTGTTCTGCTTAAGATCCATAAACCCCCAGCTCGATGAAATACACATGATCCTATCACAGAGACTTTCAGCCTCCTTCTACGATCTTGACGTCTCTTCTTCACGCCTTCGAAATTTGCGATAACCGCAACATGTCAACGTAATTCCACTAAGGGTATTACTCTTCCTCGTACACAAGCCCCTATCCAAGTTAGCAGAACCTCGATCTCAGAACTATAGACGAACTTTGGAACTTGTGCTTTCACTCAACAGGAATCTACAAGTTCCCCTGGTTTGGTGGTCTAGTGGTATGATTCTCGCTTAGGGTCCACCCTGAACAATAGTTTGCGAGAGGTCCCGGGTTCAATCCCCGGCCAAACCCTTCAATTACACTTCCTATCTCATATCCGCTTCCAAAAGCAGATCATGAGTTTAGTTTAGTTTTTTCTTGTTTTTTCTTTCTTTTTTGGCTTCTGCCCATCAGGTTATTATGGTCAGTGATCACGTATCGTGATGAACCCAAACTATATCGTATGTACCTAACCTAGTAGGTATAGAAACCAACAGGAGGCTCTAAAATCTCTCCCGATCACTAGTGTTCCGGCAATAAACTCCTGTTACATAGCCACGAGTCAGTATTTTTGGACATATGCCTAAGTACCTAATTATAACGACATGTCCTCTTACCATTCATTCAGTAGATAGGACACACATCCTGTAGTTTGGACATTAGGCCTTCATAGTTACAAGAATTCGGCAATGTGATCGGATCTGTGGTAGGCAAGGCCGGAAGCAAGATTTCAAGGACGGTGGAACATAAGAAGGGAGATGTCAAAGACACAAACCGCTGAGCCAAAAGTATATTTCTTAATAGCACAATGCTATTACAGTCTATCTGACCATGAGTGGTATTACCACTCATAGGAGACTTATTGTCACAGCACCGTCTGTGATGGAGGTCCTGATAGGTGGAGATAGCAACGTCAATCCCTCGAGTTGACATCGTTCTACCTTTTAGTAGTGTAGCGGTTTGATAGCTACATGTGTCCATGTAGCGAAATTCATCTTCGGTATTATATCTCGGACATGGCTGAAGTATGTAAATACCAAGACAGGTATAAGGACTTACTAATATCTAATTATACAATATGGCATTATTAGCTCAATTTATATGCCCTCAAAGCTAGGTTATAGCAGACACTTTGGGTATCTACGTTGTAACCGAGCCTTTAAATACACATTCAAATAAGCTTGAAACTTCCTACCTACCTAAGTTGACTAAGGATCTTTCGGGTTGTTGAGAGCTTTGCCTCTATTATTAGCCAAGCACGGAGCGACATGTTGTCGAGGCATGACTGGCAGGACAACCTATTAGCCGGGTTGCGTAGAAGAGCTATTAGTGAAAGTTGTATAACTTTATCAGATTCTGTCTGAAAAGAAACAAAAACAAATCATTACCGACTCTATCCATTGGTTTTGAATCACGTATTGGAATTAAAGTCCTTATGGGAAGTTGTTAAGTTCGTAGCGCAGGGTTTCCCGAATATGTGACCTGCACCTAGGAATATCACGGAGGATCAACGAATGAATTTTTGATATGATAACAACGAGTGATTAAATGGACGCAAATGTTTATCCAGGATATCAGGTTCTAGGTTAGCTGGTCTCCAAAAGACTACATAAACATGCCCCGTTCATGAGGAAAGGTCTCTTCACAAGAAAATAGGGAGAATTCAACAGAGGTACAGAAAAGCTGCGCAAAATCTCATACCAAAGCCGTCATTCTTCTAAGTTTTGATGCAAGTTATTAGATGTTCAGGCTATGTTCAGCTTTTATGGTGTGAAAAGAGCGCCTATATGTAAATAAGCAGCTTACCAGGCGGACCTCTTTATATAGAGAAAATAACATGTCAGGCGTTGATTAAGAACCACTCCATAACGTTTCTGAATATCCCCCAACCTGGGGATGATCAATGTTACTACATTTGACAGGTGAAATTTTCGTACGGCTCTTTCATATGATTCAGTTTCGATAAAACCCTCAGTTTCTTCCGAGGATGATACCTAAAGGCTGTGGATGGCTGATACGATGCCGCTGTTGGAGTCTTGTTTACATCATGTTTGCATATGGCTCAATCTCCTATTTGGGTAAGCCGGAACATCCGTGGTGGAGGTCTGATACCCCAGCCTGTTACGATATGGCGCGATATGTTGTCATTCATTTTAAGTTGTAGGAGAAGTTCAATAAACCAACGCCCGCAATTTTGACGAAATACCGCTGAATGGGGCGAACGAGGTAGTTCTTGAATCCGAAAACTACTACGTAGTTCAGCTGAACGTGTAAGCTCCACCATAGAGATATCATAAGAATGCCTTATTAGCCGCTTGTGCGAAGTTACTTTGTGGCCCAATCCGGCAGCTGAATAAGGTTGCCCGACCGCAACAACTATAGCGTACATCGATCATGATAATTTTTGAGTGGTATGAAATCAGAAGACTTTGATAAAGCACGGCGATCAAACCCGACCCTTTACTTTCGTTGCCGACGCGCGTAAGGACGGGTTGTGAAACCTTCTTGAGGTGGGTCGTATTGGAATGAGGCACAAGTAAACCGATAGGCCACGAGGCTCAGTGATGCTGCGGACGGGCTAGCCGGGTCGGGTGCTTAGAAGGAAACAAGCAAACTGCCGTGCGACTATATTGCAGATTAACTGTATGGCCGATGGAGAGTGGTGTACCTCCTCTTCGACTGCCGACTTTTGACCATTTGCTCCGGTGGTATCTGAAAGATCGAATCGCAACCCTCACTGAAATTAAGGGTAAAGCCAGAATTAGAAGCTCGATTTTGTTGATAGATACGCTATTGGTCACGAGATACACCCTGAAGTCATAAGTTGGAGAGTACAAACGTGTGTAATTGATCTCATCTGGTTGTAACACAACTTTTCTAGTCTGAATTCTAATGTGTGAGATCGGACTGGATTAGATCTACCTCCATCTCACATAAAGTCCCTACCAGGGGCGATTTACACGCTCGTGTGATCGTTCCTTGGACCCTTATGGTTCATGTAAAGTGGATTGTGACTGTTTAGCAACGTATCGATCGTAAATATTTGGTTATTGCCTTTCTATAAGATATGACTGGTGTAGACAAGCGGTAGAATATTAAAATACTCCTTTTCAGGCTAGGTAGATAAACAATGATTTGACTATATATCGTGCTATCGAAATCTGCCGACATGACATGAGAACATGAAACTCATTGAACTAATACCTAGACTACCTTAGGTATCTGCCTACCTCTAAGGTTAGGTACCTACCTAGGCATGGCATATCGAATAGCTTAAGATGTTCGAACCCTTGGGCGTTCTTGTGAGTCTTTCATGCTTTTCTCGTCATTGGTAGGTGTGATATCCACATATTTCAAATGGCTCATAATGTTACCGATACGTTCCCGTATTTGTCAATTCTCCAACTGCACTACAGCAGTGACAGTGAAGGTGGGCTTAATGCTACCTACCTTAGAAAGATACCTCCTAGGTAGGCATAACTCTTACCGTGGTTTCCGATATTTGCCAGAGCTTGACTTCAAGAACCACCTATCTCCGTTGTGATTCATTGTGGCGGGCCTCGTCGACCAGGCACGAGTGGCAGTGCTCATGGGCTACCTCTCGAACTAATTGTCTTGATTCCGAAAGATACACCGGTTGGCGGTGCCGTTAAGTACCCAAGCGACTGTGTTAATTAAGCGATCTCATTTTATTACTTACCTACCTATCTATAGGTTAGGTACCTAACCTAGGCTGATCTTTATGTTGCCGCCTTAAAGCGATCGATGTGCTGCATATACCCTGAGCCTCGGTATTCACCATTGTGTCGGTACGAAGTGAGGTGGCGATGCAGAATGCGACTTGGTTACAAGAATTCGAATATCGCATTGGTTTTAGTTTGTATTCGAAGGTTTCAGGTAGGATTCATACCAGTTGGAAGTCTTCCGAAGAACATGATAGCGGCAGGTTGAGGATGATGGAAGGAAGTTGGCTGAGAAACGATGATTGGCTGAAACGAAATAGAGCGAATGGGTTCTCCAGAAGTTACTTTATTAGTAAGCCCTAATTAGTAAGTTGGGTTTAAACAGATCAATCGTTAGGTATTTTCTATCGCGACCCAAGTTGAGCCCTATCGGACTCTCAAACATTAGCCTTTCTCCTTATTAACTTACTCCACCGGCCTCCTGGCCTCCTAGTTAATACAATACCTAATAAGTCAATAGCTAACCGCCCTAGCTGCTTGGTCGCACCACAGCATTGGCGAACATTACGTCCTCTAATAAACCAAGATACGCAATCAAGCTTTTCAACCGGTCTTGGATGGGTGGTAAAAACGAACCTACATAGTATGTCCGCAGACGGTGATATTGATTAGTGCTACGTCAAAAGGACCGCGTGATGATCAATGCGGCTACAGGTACCGACCATAACTGTCTTCTAGAAGCAGTACCTTGCCAGACCTTCCGTTCTGGTTGGATTACGAAGGTCGCGGCCGAGATAGTTGGCCAATCCTGTCAGGGGTAATATGCAAATATTCCAACCGCAGATCTCCAACTTATTGGCGTGCTACGTGGTAAGGGTATGTTGCAGCAGGTCTTGTATATCAGAATCAGCACTCGACCGAGTTGGACGACAGCGGTAAGAAAATTGAATTGACGATGGGCTATTAACAAATTGATCGTGAGCATTCTGGTCTCCATTGGACAAACAGGCTAATCTCGATCTACTATCAGGACGGAAGCTCAGATCATCTGTCTTCTTCCCCCCTATTAAAATGTCAAGCTGGTGGGCTGGAAGATGGGAAGTGCGCATCCCAACTAGAACTCACAGCATTGATCGTATTGGTTGTTCATGCCATCAAATTTTTCAAATCTTGCGCGAATGGAAGAGCCGATCAAGCTCCTCCTGAGAGCAATATTCGAACCTGCATGCAGATAACCCGCTGGTACCTTTCGGCATGAGTCAATGTCCGTGAATCTGCCCGTCAATCATATATCTAACCGCGGGGTTATAGGTAGACAGCATTCATTATTAGACAGCACCACGGTGTATAATGAGTTGCGGTCAGAAAACTCCATGCTCATCATATAATTATTAGCGCAGCCGGAAAACAACTTGACCAAACTAGGGCCTAGAAGAGTTATAGCTATACTACAAAAGGAATACCGAATATACACACGTCCACAGAAAAGCTATTTTATATTTATAAATCAAAATCTCTTTGTTCCTAGGGATCGTATAAGCTATACCTATGTAGCATCTCCGTGTTCGGTATGTACCTATTTACCCCCTGTTGATCGGCTGGATCGCTGTTTGGTCAACGCATCTAGGTCAAAGCCGGAAAAGGATTACGGCTTGAAACTTGGAGACTCTTTTTTACGTTGTATCCTTGCAAAGTTCTTGATTTTGCCCACTGAAAAAAATGTGCGTTTCTTTTTCTGTCTTCGCCAACACAACGTCTTCATCCTCTCCATCCATCTCCAACTGAGCTTGCGTTTATCACTTTCAACAGACGCTTCTAGATATTTGTCACCAAAATACGTATATTAATTTGCAATATGGTATATCTCGAATACTACTTGCCTGAACATTCGCGTATTCTACTGCATTATCTATAAATATAGAAAGAAAAAAAAGATCTCGGAAATACCTGGTTAATATCGACGTTTCCTAAGCGGTGCACGTCATTAGGACATAAAGTACATAAGGTAATAGTACATATATGTAGTATAGTACAAGGTATGGATATGTAGACGGGGATTAGGCGAATGACCTCAATCACATGTCCCCATAAAAAAGCTTGCCCCGCCACGGAGAAGTGCTAGCGGATTCTAAAGTTCGTATGCACACACGCACACAAAACAACACCAAGCCCCCCATAAGAAACTTTCTGACCTGTTTCAATTTTTTTTATTTCCCTCTCATCTAGACAAGAAATAGAAATCCACAACACTGTAGTTCTCAACCGACATTTTTGAGAACAATTCCCTCAGTGCGACACTGTCATTTTGATTACTATTTCATTTTTTCAGAATATATAAAAAAACCCTCTCCGCCTTCGAGAGAATTCGACTCGACCGACTCTATCGACCGCGCGTCACAGACCTTCCCCAACTTCAATTCTCTTTCGACTTGCCTTTGGTCTTCTCAAAGGCAACCTAATTATCACGGCTCCCGCAGCCGTTAGCTTCGTCTCTGACCAAGATTTCAGTCTGCGAAAGACTTTCCACATTATCAACTTGCGACCACCTCCATACACCTCTGCTGAAGTCGCTTAAAGAAACACGAACGCCCATCTTGTTCGGCAATACCCCCCAACCAAATCCTTTTTTCCCACCAACCCATCAGCTGCCGCATAGGACGAGTTCTAAGGTTCTTCCTCTAATTGAGGGAGAGTCGAGGAGACCTCGTCAGATCACTTCGGGATCAGGAAGCTACCGTTTTCGACCCCCCTAACATCCACTTGGAGGACTCCGTTCCTAGTTTCTTGACTCTTAAATATAATATTATATTATATATCCACTTGTTGGATAGTATTTTAAAGCTACAAGAACTCCCCGTGAGATCTCATACCTACCGGACTTCCACAAAACTCATCGTCACTCCCCAACGATCGGCATTTTTCACCGCCAAATTAGAGGGATATGGTTATGGCAACAGCCGCTGTCGACCGCATTGCACCGTACCAATTTGATAATCACATTCTGAAGAAGAGTTTTTTCTTCGATCAACACCATCAAAGCAATGGCGCCATAATTGCTAAACAGTTGATTGGCGATGCTCTTCGCCAGCGTGTTGAGAATATTGACCATGAATCTTGTGAACCAGGAGATGAGGACACATTTTTCGTGGGCGATCTTGGCGAGGTCTACCGCCAGCATATGAGATGGAAGAAGAATCTTCCACGAGTGAAGCCATTCTACGGTATGCGATACTAAATCTTGACCCCTACTTTCCAATTGCTCAATGCTAACATATCTGATAGCGGTCAAGTGTAACCCGGACCCCAAGGTTATTCAGCTACTTGCTGGATTAGGGACCGGCTTCGATTGTGCTTCCAAATCCGAGATTGAACAAGTCCTGAATATGGGCATCGACCCAGCTCGCATCATCTATGCTCAGCCATGCAAGACGAATTCTTACGTACGCTACGTCGCCAATCGTGGTGTTAAGCAGATGACTTTCGACAATGCTGATGAGCTGCGCAAAATTGCCAAGCTCTTCCCTGATGCCGAGTTGTTCTTGCGCATTTTGACCGACGACTCTTCAAGCCTCTGTCGGTTGAGCTTGAAGTTCGGTGCATCGCTTGATTCCACTGACGAGCTTTTGGCACTTGCCAAAGAGCTTGGGTTGAACGTTGTTGGCGTGAGCTTTCATGTAGGCTCGGGGGCGTCTGACCCATTGGCCTTCCTTAAGGCTGTTCGTGATGCGGATACCGTATTCAAGCAAGCCTACGCCCACGGCTTTGACTTGCACACACTCGATGTTGGTGGTGGGTTTAGTGGGGATACCTTCGAGGACATGGCCTGCGTTCTCCGCGATGCCCTGGACGAGTATTTCCCACCTCACGTCAATATCATCGCAGAGCCTGGCCGCTACTATGTTTCCTCAGCATTTACCCTTGCTTGCAATGTCATAGCTCGCCGCACCATTGATAATCCGATCACTGGTAAAGCCAGCTACATGGCCTATATCAACGATGGGCTATACGGGAACTTCAGTAGCATCATGTTCGATCACCAAAACCCGATTGCCAAGGTTTTGCGAGCAGGCAACCGAACGTACTACAATACCATCCTCGCTGAGAGCCTTCCCGAAGGTGTCAGTGCTGGTATCGAGTACTCAATCTGGGGACCCACCTGCGATGGCATTGACCGCATTACTGAGAGCATCCATTTCCCGCACGAACTAAATGTGGGTGACTGGCTGTATTTCGAAGATATGGGTGCTTACACCAAGTGCTCCGCTACCAAATTCAACGGCTTTAACGACAGCCACGACGTCATTTATGTTTGCAGCGAACCCGGCGCCAGGGCTCTCATGGAGCTCTAGATTCACATCTTAATAGTCACGAGGGCTCTCTCCAGTTGAGCAAGGGAGTAAAGAGTTACAAAAATTAGAAGTGATTTTTCTTCTATAGAATAGACTTAATGGTGGTTTTGGTCATCGCTATCCCGGAAGGGATCATCTTATTTTCGTATTACTTCGTTTATAAACCCATTTTTCCCGGCCAAGACCGGCGCATATAGACAAATAAAATAGATAAAAAAAAGATTGGCTTTTGGTGGCGATACACTCCCAGCAATGTCTTCTTGGAAATACTATGTGATAAAATACCAATGAACTATTTGTCGTAAGAGAAGTTGCCATATAGCGAGGCGGTAGATATGAAGATAGGATAATCATGTTTCGACTCTGTTCTAACGTGATAGCTCGTCGCCATCATCAGACTATTAGATACCAGCGGACCATTAGTAAAGTTATATAACTATTCGACATATCAATTTCTCCAATTCCAACAAAATTGAACGAATGGTCCATACCTCGCTCTTTTATGTCAGTCATTTTTGTTCAGATTATTCAGATCTCAGCCCCTTACTTCGGGATAAAGGGGATAAAGATCCGATGAACTCTCTCCTCCCGCATCGTGAGCTCGAACAACTACATACTTTCCTTCGTAACGTGCTAGGTAGCAATTCAGTGGCATTCGGACAATTTGCCCTTTGCCGAATAGCCATTAGGAACTAATGAAGATTTCTTCAGTCTTTTCAGTCTTCTTTAGGGAGCTGTGAGGGCTATGAGATACGAGGATACAGTAGGGGTCTATTGTCTATATAAAGGGTAACCCTCTCCCTTAGAGGAGATGAGAGGGCTAGGCGGAAATTAGCATGTCAAACGTTTCCTTGCTCATCATTCATTTATAAATACCATATTATATATTGACGACAGGTATTGATATGACGCACGTAGAATCTACAATACATACCTAGGTAGCTTAGGTTGGTACTTACCTCTAGGTACCTAGGTAATGAGGCAGTCAATGCTTACGATCAAGGCATAAGTACTACTGTATCTAGGTAATTTTCTGTCCCCTTTTGTGGTGTGGTTAGGTAGCGGCATAAGTAGTGACTGGCGTTTAAAAAAAGAATAAAAAAATGTGTATCATTCACTCTAGGCTTAGGTAGGCACTGTAGGTATTCAAGCAGGTGCTAAGCCTAATTGCAAGCACCTGCCGACTCATTGCGTCCACTTCTCTTGGTAACAAGAGCAGTTACGTCCTGAAGGACTGTGTCTTTCCTGTTGATAAGACTGGTTTCTAGGACAAGGAAGTTGCGCACGTAGATGCCGTTAGTTCTAAGGAAGGTACCTACTCACAGTTATCTGGGCAACGGCATTGTTCTTTCCTCACAACCAAATCGTACCTTCGCGGCAGGAAAGTACGAATAACTTGCTCCTTCTCCATGGGCACGTCCAGAGCCTCAGATATTTTCTATATAAACACGGGTACATCCCACTCGTCTTTCTCCCAATTCCTTACTCAACCAGACTTCCACTTCCACTTCTACTTTCCATACCCTCTCATCACAGCCTACAATACCAAACACTTCAACATCCCCACGTCACACTTAATCGACTTCTAAAGTGATCAAGATGAAGGTTGTCTCCATCCTCGGCTTCGTCTCGCCCATTGTGGCCGCTGCTCTTGGTCGAGCTGTGGCTCCGGCCGCCGACCAGGCCAACACCACCTTCGCTGAGGTTAGTTCCAAACTCCTGAACCCAATTGCTCGTGATTGAAATATACACATCATACAGTGTCTAACATATCTACAATAGCTTGATGACATCAAGGTTCTCTGTGGTGTTCCTGGCCCTGACAATGAGCTCCCCGCTACGTCTTACAGCTACCCCATTGGTCTGCTCCTCAGCGCCGCGGGCAAGAAAATCCACGTCGACGCTGGCCCGGGCAACTGCAAGCAAGCAGCCTGCGGTGAAAGTAGCGGGGCAGGCGTTATCGTCTGCAATGATCAGAAGAACGGTGTCGATCTGTTGTACTCGGATCTTGTAAGTCATACTTTTCCCTTTATATAAACCTAACCTCTTTTTAGACGTGATAAATGTGATATAACTAACTTAATATTCTAGGGCTTCTTTGCCCAGCAGGTCTACAACAAGTGCAAGCATCGCCGCGACGACACTAACTACGTTGAGAACGGCCAGGCTTTCTGCCCCGATGGCTGGAATGTCATTCTGACTGACATCGGCCACGACTGCCACGCGTCAACTATCCCACCCAATTAATCGAGTCCAATGTCTCTCAATCTGATGGCGTTCGGGGAATACTGCCGTTGATATGGATTTTTTGGAGGTCGGCTTAGACCGACAAATTTGAGTTGATAGGATTTGTCCTATTTTGACCTGGACATGGTACCTACTTTTTAGTTAGGGAATGTCCCAGCACTGAATAAATTCACCTTGAGTTTCTGCACTTTACTAACTTAATTGCTTTGTGATGGCCCTTTTTTTGGCACGATTGTAGAGAATGAGAAGGATATTTGATATGTCCGAACAAAGATTACCTAAAGTACTTAGGTACATACGTAATAAAGATTTGCCAAGTCCTTTGTACATTAGCGTAGAACCTTAAATTGCGTCATATGATGGCGCGTTCGTCTCGCGTGGTGAGTGGAAGCTTTATTGGTAGCACGGTACGTACTTGTCTTTTGTTCAAATTGCCTAAGTCTTACTTTAATTGATTCGCGGTTCCGCACCGCGACTTTTTAACCCTCTTTTGCACAAAACCGCGATGAAATCCTATGCTTCGTCGGCATGGCTCGTAAAGCCACGAAACCGCTTGCCCTTGTAACAAAGCGAGCAATAGCTGGCGAAAATGAAAGCCAGGATAGTCAAGATATGTTAGAGATGCACATGCTAAGGCATGGAGTGGGTGTGGTGAGTGGCGGTTCCATGCATTGCTTTTTCTTGGTAGCAAGATGATCAGCACTGGGTTTTTCTTTGGCCTAACCACCTTGCAACAAATAGCTAAGCAGTTCGCCTGCGCCTATGCAGCCGACCTATCAATCGAATCGGAGTGCTTTTGCATCAAGCATAGGACCAACAAAAGCAAATATTTCATATTCTATAAATCGGCCGAGAGGAACGCCTCAAATAAGCAAGGTAAGTGTAATACATGCGCATTCTCATTTCTCATTGCTATGTTACCTAGTCGCAGACTTGGAGAATTTTGGAGACCTTGAATTTGGCAAGGGTGGCACTGATCCGATTGCATCCCACTACTAGCGACAACCACAAAACGCGTCGAACGCGCCCATTGAGTCAGATATCGAGGACGATCCTATGAAGCAGCCCAGTCAGACGCGACCAAAATCTAACTCGTCCGCACCGCGTTCTCCCAATCTGCCGTCAACTTTAGAACCTGAGCTGGTCTCTATCCAATCAATATGCGACCATACTACATCTGCAGATGAACAACCTACCCAACTGGTTATAAATGGTCCGCTACCTACCCTTCAACAATCTGATAGAGCGAATGGGAAAACGAGGGAAATGTCGTCAGAATCACCAACCCAATCAAATGACGGGCGTAGTTACGAGCAATACAACGAAAATTCCGAGCCGCAATCAATATCGCAGGCAAGCAGTTTTCGCGAACATCCCACACTACACGAAGACGACACAGGGTACTTAAATTTTAGGCGGACTCATTACGACATACCGGACTCTATACCAGAAGGAAACGAAGAAGAAGCCAAGACAGGCCATGTTGACAATGGTATTGAGAAGTCGCAACCGACATCGCAAGTACCTGAGACAAATAGCCATTATATAGCCCCTCCCGAAACACCTTCAATAACCCAGAAATTATTTCAGCATCGTGGGGATGGCGCCGAATTGATTCCCCCATCTCAACTTTTCGGACAGACACAATGGACTTCGGCTGTTCGGAAAGCTAGTCCCACGTCGTCTCGTCCATCGCCTGACGTCTTTAACCACAATACAATCTCACCTAACCCGGTCTCGTCTCCTCTCAAACACAAGGGGCTTAGAAGTTCGCCTACTCGCGCTTTTACTTCAAGTCCAACATTACCTAGAATCTCGTCTCGTCCATCGGATGATAAAACCCCATCTGCGCCGACAAATAGCCACGAGGACGATAGCTCCAATCAAAGAAATGTGGAAGAGCCTCTACTCCCTCACCTTGAAATGCCAAGGCAAAGGACCGTGCTAGAACCAATCAGCGAGTATAAATCGTACCGAAGACGAAGCTTGGAAATCGAGACAAGCGATCCTTCCAGTCAAGTTCACGATAATTCAGACTCGAATTCCGAAGCCGACTTGATTGCGCAACGGCGTCGCCTGGCTAGGTTAAAACAGGAAAAGGCTAGCAAGTCATTCCCGGCCGTCACTCTCCCTCGTTCAGGGGCACGAAAAGGTGACAATGTGGAAGTACCATCAACTAACCGTCCTAAGTCGTTTCAGGGTCGAAATAGAAGGAATACAGACCAGTATTTGGCACAGAATTACTCCGAACCTGCAACTGACAGCAAGTCGCAGGAAACAGTTGCAGACTCTCAGGAGCATCTTGCACCACCGCGGAATACAAAAGCTGCTCCAAATCTTAATAGTTCTAATGAAAAAGATATTGACTGTGCTGAAAATCACGATGTCATTAACCTTTCGAACTCCCAAGCTCCAACATCCAATGGAGAATACAGGGAGACTATTCCTGAGACCAGTCCTCCGGCCACTTCCGCAGAGCCACCGAAGTTCTCAGATAATGGACCAGGTCTTTATTCTAGTGCCAAGTCCGAGACTGAAGCTCTCCCACTTCCAACTCTCACAAACGATATAACTTCTACTGAGCAGCTAAAAGAACCAAGCGCTGTCTCGAATCTTCCAAAACAGCCTTCATTGCTATGTGCAGGCCGAAAATATAAGCCCACCAGAGAACAGTCTGCTGTGGACTCTTCGCCCTCCGTAGTTCTCGCATCGTCTCCACAGAGAGCAGCTTGCCAGCCAACGAGGCCTAGGGATGCAGCCACGCCATCACCTACCAGAGATGACTTGCCGCCTGCCTCAGATCCGAGGACAGGGACGTCAACTTTATCAACTCTATCAGCAACCCCCAGCATGTCTTCGAGTATCACGCCCAGTACAGATCCCGGTGTCGTGATGGAAGATATTGAAGGACCTAGTTCATCGCCAGTGGTAACGAAAATGCAACGTCGAGGAAGACAATCTCTTCCGTCTTCGTTACCTCACATTAAGACATATTCACGTTCTCGAGAAAGCCTAAGAAGAAGTACGCGTTATAGTTCAGTGTCAACCGACGAGTTGGCTAGATCACCAATGCCTGTATCCGATAAGAATGAGCGAAAGCCACCCATTCGAAAACTCGCAAGGCATTCATTCGCTAATTCAGATCTATTCCAAGCTTCGACGGCAACTGAGGGAATTTTCGCGGGGATGGTATTTGCCCTCTCGTTTCAAGGATCCCAGGCTAGGAAGAGCAAAGGGAATTCCACGGATAGAGCGAACATCGAGCGTATGATCCGCCAGGAAGGTGGCAAGATTCTCTCGGATGGTTTTGATGAACTGTTTCAGTTTGATTCATTCCAAGCCACGGGAAACAGCATGTCTTCTCGCGACCTATCTAGCTCGTTAACACTTTTGGATCAAGATACTGGATTTACAGCTTTAATAGCCGATGGGCACTCTCGGAAGGTGAAGTATATGCAGGCACTTGCACTGGGAATCCCATGTTTGGCACCCAAGTGGATAATGAACTGCATTTCAAAGAGGGAAATAATAGATTGGTCCTCATATCTGCTATGCGCCGGTCCAAGTACACTCCTAGGAGAGGCTATCCGTTCGCGCAATCTACAACCTTATGACGCTTCTACAGCAAGGCTTGCAGATGTTGTGAACGAAAGACCAAAATTATTAGAAGAGGCACGAATTCTTCTTGTAATGAAGAAAACCAAGAACGAGAGAAAGAAGCTACCATATGTGTTTCTGGCACAGGTGCTTGGTGGTTCTCTTGTGCGGGTTTACAGTCTCGAAGAAGCCCGGATGAAGCTTCGGGACGAGGAGTCTCAAAACCGGCCGTTCGACTGGGTATATGTCGATGACTCTCTGCACAACGCTCAGGATGCTCTATTCGGCTCGACGGCAGGAAGCACGGCTACGAAGAAACGAAAACGACAGAGTACAGGATCTGAGGGAACTAGCCCACCACCAAAGAGGATTAGGACCCTCACTGACGAGCTGGTAATTCAGAGTCTTATTCTAGGACGATTAATTGAGGACGGCGAGATGGAGGAGTAATCTTTTGCCTTTCACGCGTGCTGTCACTGGAGTTGGTTTCATCATGCCATGGTTGTATTTTCATGGCGTTTTGGTCAGGGCATATACGGGTATTTTCGTTTTCACAAGGTATTTGTATGGTATCAACAAGGGACCAAGGATAATGTTTTATTCGGGGAACAGTTAATGTACGTTATGAATTATTAGTACGGAGAACGACGTTAGACGCTTATGGTTATAATCATGCGTTTCAAGTATTTTATTTTCTCTCCTTTTTTTTCCCCCTCTTCTCGGCATGGATTTGAACAGCTCGACAATTAATGTCCATTGGAGAAATTCAAAGAATTCATAAATGCTACTAAGCTACTGTGCTTACTATAGATAATGTCGTCATATATGAAAGTTGGGCTATAGCGGGCTGCCCTGATTTTCAGCTAAGATGGTACGTCGCTAAAATGGCGTTCGCGATGGGATCGCGCGTGGCCCAAAGCAGGACCATACTCAAAGTTGTACAACCTCCATCTGTTACCCCCCCCCCAAAAAAGTGACATACCTAGTACGTGTAGAAGGTGTGGAAATGTGTGATAACGATGTGGAAAAGGGGAGACTCTTCAGCTAGATCGGGATCTTGAGGCTCGATCGGAAAATACTATTACTAGTTTCATCTCAATTGACGGGCTCAAAATGGGATGGTTTTTGTAAAAATGGAGAGTTACCTACTATATAGGACCAGGCCAAAATAAAGCCACCCTAGTCATTTATAGTGATAAGTGGCAATGAAGAAGTTTGTTGGAAATGCTTCGAACTTTAGAAACCCGATCCATCACACTAGAAGCGTGGGATCTTTTGAAGGATGACAAAAAAAAAAAAAAAAAAGGCGCGTACCTGACACCGGAGGTCTTTCCCGAGGCGAGGGGGTTGGATATGACTCGCGATGTTTTACTTTACCACTTTCCTTTTTCTATCTCCTAAATAAATAAACTACAAGACAAATACAGATAGGGCCGGACGAAACTAGGGTAAATCCCATTCTACGAAGTTCGATAATATACAAACACGGTAGGAAAATAGACTCGGGAGCCGCAAGTTCCGGGGCCGTTACAAAACACCTCGCCCGATATTTTTTTTTCGGGAAGTCTCTTTTTGGTTTGTTTTATTTTTTAGTTTCCTATCTTTCCGTGCTAACTTTTAGCTGCGGGATCCGAGATGGGGGCACCAAGTCTGGGAGAGAGAGAAAAAGAATAGTCCAGACTGTTGTTGAATGATGCCCATTTTATTTCCCCCCTTATTCTGAAAGCGCGATTTCCTATGTAAGATGATGGAGACATTATTTGTCTTAGGAAAAAAGAATCCGAGAGTTAAGAAAAGGAGATCAAAGCTAATTATGGCGGGGCTGAGAAAAGAACTCGTCTAATGGCCGATACCATTGGTAGCATGCGGAATATTAGATATGCTAAAGTGAAAAGAAAACTGATACTATTCGCACACTAGCTTCCTTGTCTCTCAATTCCAAGGGCTAGAACAGAACCGGCCGCATACCGCAACCCCATCGCAAAGCAGCAACATGGGGAATTTACCATGCATGAGAACGGCACACGCGATGGAACCCATGTCAACACAACATTCCCACAGATGTGCTTCCTACATACATACATTACATGGTATTTGCTGCCTGGTCACCGAAATGTATGTAGGTGTCACTATAAGTAAGACATGGGTATACGCGAGGATGTATGCGAACTCAAAGAAAACCCTGACCGCTTTGGATACCTTTTCATCGTCGCATTGCAGCATTGACTTTTTTGAAGCTCTCGCGCCGTGCCAGGACACACATATACGTAGTATTGTACGTACATACTACTGGCGTGGGGCATGAAGTTTAGAATATGGAGCCAGCCTCTTTCCAAAGTCCCGGCGCATGCGGGATTTCAACGCGACGTCCGTAGCAAATGCTCCGTGCTGTCCAGATTCCATACAGCCTCTTTCTTGGGAAAAGTTCAGTAAGCCCCAGGTTCATCTAGATTCGAACCGTTCGATTGTCATTCAATTGATAAAATATATAACCAGGTTGTCAAGGCCGCTGGGTGCCGATAACCACGATGGTAGTATGTCTGACATATATCTGACATGTAAGGCATATATATTGACGGCCCTGCATCGAAAACACGTGCTGCATTCTATAAGGCCGGAGCTCTCGGCGCGTTAATATTAGATATAAGCGGTCTGATGTAGGCTTCAGCCCGACAAGAACAACGAACCATGGTTCGATAATACATTTCCTCTCTGCTGAGTATTATGTGAGCTCGGTCCATAACCTACCCTAAGTGGAAGAGTTCAGGGACTCTTTCCATCTAGGTACCTAGATAAACATAATACTATTTCCCCGAATATATGATATTTCTTTTATATTGAACTGAATGTTAGGTAGTGCTTGCAAATCGACACTCGAAAGTACAATACATAAAGCCAAGACTGACTTAACTCTCTACTACCAATGGGAACTTAATATAAAACAAGAACGTCGAATACTCTATCCAACCTTTGTCTATGCTTGCTGCATGGGCCAACAAATTGGGCAAAAGCTTGGCAATGCACCTCCGCATCCCTGGTTGAGCCTCGCGGAGCTGAACAATGGACGATACAAACGCCATTACCTACAATCTGTCTGTCACCACACGATTGTGTCAAAAAGTATTATCAGTCACATCATCTAACATCTATATTATTATTGTTCAATAGAAAAGACGGGATGTACTTAGGAAAACATGATCGACCTACTTACCTATCTCGTGTAGTCGGAACAATTATCTCGCCTTCTCCCGAGGAATTCTTGGCTTCACGTCATCAGTACTTATTTCTGTCATTGTTTGCGAACCCGAGAAAAGAAAGATAAGAAAAAAAAAGTGCAGCGATTTAGTACAGGCTCGGTCAGTCTATGCGAAGGTGGATAAGGCCTTTCGATATTATAGTTTATTTAGCTTCGATGCTCTTGGGCGTCACAGCGTCTCACTAGAAATTCCAGCTATCGGTGCTGGCTACTGTAGATAGCTTAGACCAGGCCCATCGTCAAATCCGGCCGAGGGGAGAATAGAATATTTCGTCACTGTTTGTTCGTTGTTCTTGTCACCTACCGAATAATGCTAGGCTTCCCGCCTGCGAATTGATGGAGGTTCGACCTAGCAAACCCGAGCGCGTTTGCTGTTACAGGGTATCTACCAGGAAACACAACGAGAAACGAAACTTGCAGGAAGGAACTTAACAGAGGAACTTATTAGAGTTTGACGACGACTGCAACGGTACCGTTTAGAGTAAGTGTGGGGTTTTTGCTGGGCTAACAGGGGCTTTACCTGCTTGCTTTAGGTATGCACGGACCTATCCCCAAACCGGCCATCAGTCATATCATCGAATCATCGAACGAATGGAGCTAAGGGCTAGGTACAGAAGGATGTTGTACCTATGTGAGTACCTATAGCAACTAATTACAGTGTCTGCAGCAGCCTAAAAATATCTCCAAAAGACTAAAAGCTACCTGAAAGATACCTATAATCTGGGCTAACAGACCTGCAGTTTCCCGTCGCATTTGCGATAGAATACCTACCACCTATCGAAGGCAAATACCTAAAAACCGGCAGCACGGCATGAGCATACCTAAACCATAGCAGGAAAGCACGGGGAGAAGAGACAGGAGAACTTATGGGAAATTCGATCAATCACAATAATTAAATTTCGATTGCGCTTACAACCGTAACTTCGGGGAATCCCATCTAACCATCGCCCACGCCCAACAATCCCATTCACGATCCTCGCTCCCTTTTCCCCGCCTTGGATGGGATAGTGGACAATGGGCTGATACCATGTAGTATGTACTAATAAATCGAACACCTAATAGCACCGAGAAACAGAACGATCGATTCTATTTACAATCGTCGTTACCGAATCTACCGAATCAAGAAGAATCATAGAATCATACATAGAATCCCCCAGACTTTTTTTTGGTCCTCTTCGCAAAGTCACCTTTTCTAATCTTACCCTAGTTGATAATAAGGAAAATAATATGAGGTGGTGGTGTAAGTGTTCATCAAGGTAGTTCTCCCGCTTCAATCACTTACATACCTACCAGGTAACCTACCTATACATACTACCTCATATGTATGCGTATGTCCATATTCGTTTGCAGTTAAAACCTCTCGTTTCCTCTCTTCCCCCCTCTCCTCATTCCAAGGATTCCAAGCCAAAGGCGGTCTCATTTTTACCGGGGTATCGTTCGAAGATCAAATAATAAGATCCTTAACTTGACCTTGACTTTTGGGTTTCTCGGCCTTGAACTCGCATGTGTCGTGGTGCCGTAGCGCAGCTTTCCCGTATTTTCCTAGGCAAGCTTTAGGCAAGATTTTGGAGGTGATCGACATCGGTAGCGAAGAAGGGTATTGACGCTTTCATTGGACAATCCCTCGTTCAAACGTCAACAAGATATCAAGATCACGTCAACACCTACGAAGTGATTAGCGACTAACGACCAACGAGGCCGCCTGCTTTGCGAGGGCTGCGAGGGCTGCGAGGTTCAACCCTGATTGGCTGCACTTGCGGACAAGCTATTCGGTACTACACCGAATCTAGCATTTTTCAGCTGGGATTATCCTCCCTTTACCACTGTCCGTCACAGCCCATCGCTGTCCACCACTGTCATTTTTCGCCTCTGTTTATCGTTTTGCGCCACTAAGAAGCGGGCAACCTGGCGCTGCTTGGTTATAAGCGCTACAAAGTGGTACTATAAGTCAAAAGTCACTATTGGCAAATACTGCAGATAACTGCAGATACTTGGGGGCACTTGGGGACAATAAAACAACAAGTTACGCCGAGTCGGCGTAAAGTTATCGACATTTACTTTGTTTTGCATCCCTCGGGTTGCGCAAAGAAGAAAAGAAACAAAAAAACAACACGACACAAGACGAGCGAAGACAAAAGTACTATGTATATCTACAAAAACTTTGAGTTGTTGTAGAGATCCATATCAGCTCTCTCACCATTGTATTAAAAGAAGGCTCCCATATCATTACAAAACATTACAGAACCAAAGCAAAACAGAGTAAAGAAGCAAAGAGGTAGCGCTTCAACCTCTTTGCTTAAAAAAACCAACGAATTATCCTTCCCTTGTCATCGGATTTTTATTAACTTTCTCTGTTATCCTTGCGGCTACCACTTGTAGCGCTAGAGAGATAGATAGGACGGTTCCCCCACCCAAGACAAATCTAGCGTCCAGCCCACTTCAAAAACGCTAGACAACGGAGTGTGCGAGAAGAGAGAAAAAAAAAAGCAAAAGAAAAAAAGAGGATCCCTTATTGGCACATTCCGCACGTGTGTCAGCCAGTCCCGGCTAGTCGGCCACTCAGCATCTTTCCGCACTTTGGACCATTAGGCTACTGGACTTAGGTACTGCAGTCTACTGCTACCAACCAACTGAACACAGGCTCCCGGCGACTGGACATCATCCACATCATCAACTGGCACAGCCTATGCAACGTTCACTTACCTGGGCAGGTACCTGATTATTCTTACCTACCAAATATCCAAATCATTTGTCTTGACTCTTGATTTCTATCCACCTCAAAACTCAAAACTCTCAAAACCCACCACAATCATCCGATATTTCTTTTTATTCAAAAAGTCAATTCGAAATAAAATTGTACAAATAGTACGGTTTATATACTTCGTACCAGGCATCATTGTAATTTGCGGATCACCTCGGTAACTCGAATTACAAGCAACAAGCGCCAGTCCGCCCGCTATACGCCATTACTTTACATATCTTATCCACTGCATCCCAAAAGAGAAGAAGTCTTACTGCATACATGTCTCATTAGACGAACTCCATCCTCAAACGCCTATCTTCCTAGACGCCTATCGCTCTCTCCGCCGACCCAACGCCGATCTGGCTTAGCGAAGCGACCCATAAGCATAAGCAATTTGGATCGTCAGTGCTTTTTTTTTCTTTTTTGTGACTGGAGTTCCGAAAAGGGAGAAGAGGAGAAAATCCTTTCTCAACCATGTTAGGCCAAGATCATAATATGAGGATGAGATCTCTCGATCCATCTCCTCAAGTTTACTCCCACTCGAGATCAAGAACCTCTTCCTCCAGCGTATTCCCCCAAGCTTTCAACCCAATGCAGCACCTGCAACAGCCGCAGCCCCCTATGGGACACACACGGCGATCCCCCTCCGTGAACACTTTCAGCACAACTTCGAGCAACACCCCACCTGCCGCATACCGAACGTCGCCTACCGCCGATATTCGACGTAGCACGTCCTCGAGATCAGGCGGTGGCGGCGCTCCGACGAGCTATGTCGCCCTGCTTCGAAAGCAAAAAGCCACCGTCTGGTGCGATCGGTCACAAACAGAAGACCCGCGACTCCTGGCTCAGCAGCGTTTAGCGAAGCAAAGGGCCAATCAAGAAGTTATCGGCGGTACGATGCAAAGCCGTACCTCGACTGGGATAGGAAGCACTGGCGGCAAGGTTGCCGCTAAGATCCGCCATCACGGCAAGCCCGGTGTTGTAGGATATACACCCGATAGCAATTATATGGGAGTTACTGGAGTACCCATGCGATTGAGCGCTACCGAAGTCGAGGGCGAAGACGGTGACGAGGATGATCTGTCAATGCGTCGCCTGTATCACCGTAGGACGGGTAGCAGCGGGCGCAGTAGTACCGCCAGCAGCAGACGGGGCCTCACGTATCGTACTTCCGGCGCTTCTCAGCACAGCAAGAGATGGAGCCCTGGCGACACTCCGGAACGGGCGGGCAGTATGGTTATCGAGGATCTCGAGTATACTCCTGGTGATGATAAGCTAGGGGGCCGACCGCAGAGCACTCGCAGCGGGAGTAGCGCAGAGAAAGCCGATGCTCTACCCGAGCTTGGAGGCGCTAGCAATACCAAACTGGCGAGCAATAGCATGATGAACGCCGCACTCACGAGAGAGAAGAGCGTCAAGAACCCTGAGGATCTTCGACGCCGCGGTAGTGTAGACGAGCGGACGATGACTCTTACAAGCGGGCGACTATTCATTGCGAACCCCGACTAAGGAGACAAATTTTTCTTTATTTTACAATCTGAGCATGTCATTTGGACGGTCAAAGGCAATCACGGCGTTTGACGGCCATATCGAAGGATATTTTTGCATTGCAACGGCGTTTATTAGGCTTTTGAAACGGACGAGGTCATCCACGGGGCATATTGAAACCTTTTAGGGAACAGGGACAGCCCTTCATACGGTCGTTCATGGTATCGCGTCGGTTCGAGTAGTTTTGATTTTTTATTAATCTTCGGAGCATATACCCTCGCTACCGCTTCGGAGTTTGTTTTCTGCTTTTTTTTTACTTTTACTTGTTTTTCTTTTTTCTTAACATGCTAAACTCGCTGAGCGAGATATAGCAGGATCCCCCAAAAGTCGGTGGAAGTCAGCGGTTGCGAAAATTGTGTATCACCGGCCTTTGAGCCAATAAGCGTAATTGGCGGTGGTTTGAGGCAAAGGGCAAGAAGACACCAAATATGGAAAATGTCGATACTACCCGGGCAGAAAAGAGAGGGATGTATTGCCATAGGAATTATTATCCATACTACCTACCTCCCGAGGTACCATAAGTGATTAGGGGAAGAGAGAATGGAGAGAAGGAGGAGTATAAGTTGGAAAGACGAATATAAATACTGGGGATCGCTTGCGGCTCTGGACATTCAAGCCGATTATATTCTAAGCGTGCTACTTATTTGTGAAGTGCGTATGTTTTCTATTGTGTATTATTATTGCTACTACTACTCAGTGTCCTGCCATTGTAATATGAAGGATCTGTTGCTTTATGGTTGAATAGCACGGCTTAAAATGCCATCTTGCCATTCATTTCTTGCCAACCTTTCTAGAGGAACCCGCCAAACTCATATAACTATCGTAAATATTGACATTATCACCGAAAATCAAGGACCCACGTTCAAAGCTCTTGGCTCTCTTTTTTTTTCCTTCTCTATTTAGTTACGCGTTATGGAGAATGCTTTAATTTCATACTATTTGTAAGCTTGGATTGCGCGAGCGCTTCCATTGCTTGGGTTTGATAGTGGACGTCGCTATTTCGGAAGATCTCCAAGTCGCGAGCGGAATAACGTCGGAGGGTTTTTACGGTATGGTGTTGTATGTTAGGTTAGGTTAGGTAGACTTGAGGGGGGGAGGATAAGTTACAACTTCGATTCTTATGGTTATAGATACCGCATATCATACAATATTTACATTCGACATAAACATATATACTGTTTGTTGCCAATCCATATTCCAGAGTACCCGAAACTTTTTTTCTTTTTTTAATCTATCAAAAGTCTTGATCCCGAGTCCAGCCATGGCGGAGCACCCTTCGTTTACGCTGGCGGCTTTGCGTAAGTGTCACGTGCGACGGGTCTATTGATGGGGAGAGGAAGATAGATAGACGATGGAGATGATATTTGAAGAACTTGGCTAACGGGCTTTTACTTTTTTTTTAACGGTTAGTTGCCGCGGGAGGAACGGCTGGATACATCAAGACGAAGTCTCGACCGTCGCTCATCGCGGGGCTCGGGCTGGGAGTTTCTTATGCGTTGTCTGGTATGCTCTTCTCTTCTCTTTTTCCTATACACCTCCTGCACTACTCGTTCATTAAACTCCCTCTCACTATTTGCTTTTTCTGGGATGTTTCCACTGTTGGTATTCACTCGGCACTATATTTGGTGCGCCCGTACCTAAAGCTACCTACCTACCTGGTACCTTCCTTACCTTAGGTAACCTACGAATGTGTCTAACCGGGGTGGTGCCAGGCTACCTGATCAAAGAAAACAAGGACTACGGCACGGAGCTCGCGCTGGGCAACAGCGTGCTGCTGCTGGGCTCCGCCGTGCCGCGCGTCGTCAAGACCAAGGCCCGCGCCCCCGTGCCCATCGGCCTGCTGGTCGCCGGCGCCCTCGCTACCTTCTACTACCAGAAGAAGGTCCGGGAGTTCCGGTTCGGCGTGTGAGGCTCGAGCTTATGCCCATGCTAAGTTACCTACGCTAGGCTAGGCTGGGTTATTGGGGACGTGGAACGGGATGGAATCGAATGAATGGAGTCTAAAAAAAGGAGATATCGGTTATGAACGAGAAAAAAAGCAAAGCGAAATGGGAAGCGGTTGGAACATGTACGATAGGATTAGGTCAAGCTACCTACGGTATCTAACTGGCAAGCTTGGGTAAGGTTAGGTAGCTAATTGTGTATTTCCCCCCTCTCCCTCCTCGATGCCTATCTACCTAGGAGGTACCTAAGGTGAAGATCTTCTCAAGTCCGAGTTTCCGAACTTCGGCTGTGTCCGCGTGTGGGCGGTTTTCGGATCAGACGCGCACGCATACACAGACCGTCTTCGTCTGTATTGTACAAGGCGTTCTGACGTTAACGACGACGACTTCTTACTACGTGGTATCATTTTTCGGGTTCGCCGAGAATCTATTTCCCTATGTACCCCTAGGGTCCCGAAGCCCCCCCCCCCCCCCTCCGTGGAGTTATGTATTCGCAAAGCCACGGGAAAACGTTACCTCTCCCTACCTCTTATATTATTACCGATCGTTGCATTTCTTCCTTTCGGAATGCGGTCCTTACGCTGAGGTTCTTTTTTGGTAATTTCGGAGATTCGCATTTGTTTCCAGGCCCGACGGATATATGTACATAGCTACCTAGCTACCTGTATTGCATTGCATTCTATCGAGTAAGTAAGCAAGTTTAACCGCAAAGAAGCCTGGGATTCACGCCTTGATAGCCTATGCAGCCACCGTCGTGGGACGCGTGGCCAAAGTAGCGGTGACTATGTATTGCCATGCCATGCCATGCTATGCTATGCCATATGTCCGTTATTAGCGGTGCCAGCTAATTCCCGTTGATTTACATACACACATGCATACATATGAGCTTGTGGATCTCTCGACGTGATCGGGACGATCATGGAATAAAATTTTAGGTATTAGAGAGCAAGATTTTCCTCCGGCGCAGCAGGTTGGAAGTTATTAAAAACAAGGAATGTGGCTATCCACCGGGCGACGACTCGAAAGGAATGAAACATGAAGTACGGGAATAACGTGGTAAATATGTGAGGTACGCATCTACATAGTGGTCCACTTAAGCTACAGCCCTATCAGCAAGTTTCCATTACCTCTCTTCAACCGGTTGTGGATGTGCTTCGATCTCTCTGACGATCTCTCTCGTCCGTGCATTATCCACAAAACTGAGGCCGATCAGCTCGACCACTTCCTCGACTGAAAAGTATAGACTGAGGTCGCTTTCCATCCACAGATACCGCACATCCTGCAGGTTACTCTGTAACACCTCGCTGAGATATTTGAGCCGTAGCCAACTACTAGCATACTGGGCCGTGGTCGGTATAGCATCCTCTGGCGCTCCCGGAGGAAGAAATAGGTCGTCGAGCTCCGTGATACGAGCGATTAGGCTCGCGATATTATACGCCTCATCCTGACCGATTCCGGCTAGATCCATAACGTCGGAGACGAGTTTCGAGGCAATGGTGTCGACCAGTGAGCCTACAGCTTGGCTCCAGGCCGATTTAGCTAATATCGTGGACCATGTCGCGGCGAGAGCGCGCACGTGCCCAGTCGCGCTGTCAACCTGCGCTTCTAAGTCAGAAGTAGCAAGCCCATCTTGCTGGAGAAGATTTTGAGAACCGCCTAGTAAATCCCGTATGATGGTTCTTTGCGTAGACATCTCGGATGAATAAGCGCGATTTGCAAAAGACTGGAGCGCCTTGATGTCATTGTCGAGGCGGAGCATCGCGATCGCGCGGGGCGTTAGATCTTGGCGGGCCTTCCACTCCTTAGCGAGGTCCGCAAGCCGTTCGGAAAGGTACGTTGCGTCGTTGTATAAAAACCTGGGCGAAAATGAGTTTTGGAACTTGAATATTGAGAGTAGACTTACATGTTGCCGCCTGCATTAAGTGTGTAATAATACGGGGATACGGCGCGGAACATGGCAAGGACAAGTGTTGGTAGTGAAAAGAGTCCCCCAGCTGTTGCTGCCATGGGATTGCCATCGTTTCTAAATTTATCTTAGCTCATAAGGACTTCGCACTTTTATCAGGACGTGAACTTACCCAACAAGTGAGGCCGCATCTTCAAGAATAGCCGAGACAAGTGCTATGACTGGTTCTGGCATAGAAGAGATATTGTATGTTTCTTTTAACGTCAACTCACGAGTCTGTGTGTTTGAAGGCTGAGTTTTGGCTGCCGGCTCTTCAGCGGCTACCCCTGTCGTATCCTCTTCACCCCATCCCCATGCCGCCGCGGGATCTTCTTCGGCTGCTGGGTCCTCCTGAGTTTGTTCACCGGCAGCGTCATCATCTCCCCAGCCCCACGCATCGGCTCCATCGTCTTCAGCAGCCTCTGGTTTTGAATTGGTGTCTTGTTGGATATCCGTCTCTCCATCATCCCATGCTGCGCCCCAGTCATCATCGTCATTTGAAGGACCGACGCCATTGGCGGCCAATTCTTTGCCTTCGGACTGCGTGACTGTCTGAGTTTCAACACGTTCTACTTCTTTTGGCTGGCCGAGTCCTTGTGAAAGCTTTGTACGGACGGTGTCTAATGCGGTTTCTTTACACTTGGATAACCACACTTTGGGAGCATCGTCAACCCAGTCCTGTAGCTCTTGGAATCCAGCGAGTTTCAGACTTCGTAAGCGGCTACAGAATGCCTTGACAACTTCCGTGACATCTCGAAAACCATCCATTTCTTTCAGGGACGCTGGAACGGATGTGTCTAGCCAAATGCTTATGAGTCGAGGAATAAGATCTGGCATCATTACGTTGGATAGAGAAAATACCAGCTCTTCAGGTAGGCGCTCAGATAGGTACGTCACCACCAGATCCAGATCAGAAAATAAAGAAGTGATAGATCTATCTGCGCGCCCGTTCAATGTTAAATATGACTAGTATAATGTTAGCATCTTCTAGATGTGACGTGAGAAAATTCATACACCCTCTAACTGGATCTTAGGTAGCTCCTGAGATTCGGTGTTGGTGCGTGGACCGACAATAGCTTGGTCTATGTCATGCCAGAATGAAGTCATTCTCTGGTCAAGCTCTTTATACGCCTTAAGGCCGACGACAGCATCGGCTAGATTCATCTGCTCATCTTCAAGAGGTCAGATAGGTTGTAGCGTATTTGATTGTCATAATTACCTTGGTGATTTTGAAACACAGCTATTTTCGCATTTTCCCGGTCTACCCGTACGAGGGAGTCCCAAACCCTGTCGAACACATCATGAATGGTAGACTTCAACTCAAAAGCCCTCATATCAAGGAGCTTCATAACGCGGCAAGACTTTCCAACAGAAATAGCGTCCAATGCAGACCAAGACTCTGGGATTAGTTAATAATAAACAACGTAACAAGGTGATGTGTCTCTTACTCTCTAGAAGGTGAAGTGAGTCCAGTATCCTGCGCTCATCTCGCGCTCGTTCAACTTGATCGAAGAGCTCATTCACATGTTTGATATTTCCTAATGCATGGTGGACTTGTTGGCTGTACTGGACCTCTTGTTGCAGGAACTTAACCTTAGTTTCCGCCTCTTCTATTGCTTTCCCCGACACATCAGGCGCTTGCGACCGTCGTATGATATCGTTCGCCCAGTTCCGCGATCGGGTTATATCATCTTCGAGAGATTTCGCATTTGCGATCCATTGGTTTACATCCGGAGCAGTTTCTTCGTTGATCTTATGGATATCGGACTATGGTAATTCAATTAGCCACTGGACTGCCTAGATAGAACGACACGGATAGTTATACAGTACCTCTAGCTTTATCTTGGCTGCTTCTAAGGATGCTAAGGCTGGCGCAAAGTGTTGCGCTGAGATTTGTCGCGACGATATGTCTTCATCGGGAAAGATACCGTACAGAGAGAATTCGACTATGGCATGGCCAACTTGGGCTCCGTCATTAACAGACATGGTACTAGAATAGACGCAAGCCTGTTGTGTTCTTATTGTAAAATGATACTGGCTCGAGGTATCAATGAAAGGGCAAGCTATGCAGCATGAGTGACGACGGTGATGAGCTGGCTAGCAAAGACACTAGAAGTCATTAAATTTGGGAAAGATCTAGTTGCGTTATTCTATATAACGGTTGGTATTATTGAAGGGAATTAGATTGAGTATGTAATGAAAAAGCATAGCTATAAAAACAAAGAAAGTTGAAGAAGCTTGTAATCGCGTGGTGCGCGGTGGTGGTGATAGCTTCAAAAGAAAAGGCTACGTCAATTTTGATTTGGTTGTTGTTACGGACAAATCATTCTAAAGCTACGGCGAAGCTTGGACCCAAAAATGATTTATGATAGGTACCTATCTGGCGCCTAGCGCTTAGCGCTTATTCATGCAGGTTGAGTCGATTTGCAGCCCCGCCGCGGGGTTGATAGGTAGTAGGACCACTGGGACTAAAAAAAAAAGAGGGAGGAGCAAAGGGATTTGATCTCATCAATGGAAGGAGAAATATCGGGAACCTTTCAAAGCTTAAAAAAAAGGGTAGTCGCAAATAATTGCACCCCATCTTTTTATTAATAAGTCCAAAGCCTTGTGTCCTTGTATCTTTGAATCCCTGACGTATCTCTCTTTCATTCCATCTTGTGAACAAACCAACCTAGAAGATTCATACTTTTTTTCAGCTTCTTTCAATTAGGTAGAATCGCAATCTTCTACCCGCTCTTCTTATTCTTAGATTTGCTTTTTTTCGTGTTTCGTCCCATTCCCCCTCTTTTGTATGACCTCCAACCCGGCAGTCCTATGCCTAAATAATTCGTACAGAAGAAGTATTCCGTGCCTGACGTGCCGCATCATCACATCATCTTTTAAGCTGACGCCAGGATTTTTTCCAGGATTTGGTACCCGAAATTTGGTCACTTTTACCTGCAGCTGGTTCAGATCGAAAGCACTCCAGTTTTCACCTCGATCTTATTGGCGGCTCCCCGTCTTGTCACAATATACATCCTCCCACCCACGGAATCATAGGTATGTCAGAGGCATTCTCACCCTCTTATCATTTGTGATTTACATTCCCCGGATCGACCTTGTTGAGCACAAAGTACTACATTCCAACACATACATAAGTCCTTCCGAGTAGCTACAGTTATTATTAGCACCTGTTGTCTCTTACTCGGCAACTTCTTCTTTAGGTACTTAGAAGATGGATTCAAGGACATAAAAACTTTTCATAATATCATGATCGGTCAGGCGCAACTTAAGGCATCAGTCTTAGTTGCTCTAATTTCTATCATTGGTGCCATCATTATCTTCTACCACCAGAGGCTTGGTAATATTGGGTATGAAAGCCTACCTTAATGTGACCGATCCCAAGGTGCATAAGGGGTTGGTAGATGGTGTGCTGCCGGAGAAATCTGATGCAGTAGTAGAAATTTCTTCTATTACATGCGTCTGACTTTTCGAAAAAGTAGCACATTACTGGACGCCCGATTCCAGTGAACAACATGCCCTGACCGCACCTTGACTCCTCATCACGGCTTTATGATTCTTAGTACGGATATGCCTAGGTACCTATATTTGACTCTATATAGGGGTTTCTTTGGCATATTTATATCTACCAACTCGTAGCCTTTCTCGATCTCCTTCTTCATCATATCTGCTATCGTGGATAAATGCTTACTAGCTGAATAGTTATTTACAAGCCGCCTCGTTAAGGCCCTTCGACGTTAAGATGGGGTCACAAGGCCCCAGTGTGCGATTTCGTAAGCTTCAAAGCTTTCAAACGGATTACGCCCACGCAACTATCACCCAGTATGAATCTGAGCGAAGTGGTATGCAGGTTATTGTGACCGACAGAAAGGGCCCAAAGGTCAATGGCTACTTTACTCTGGCCACGGAAATCTTCGATGATTCGGGAGCCCCTCATACCCTTGAGCACCTGGTATTCATGGGTTCGAAGAGCTATCACTACAAAGGCCTACTCGACAAGCTAGCCTCTAGGGCTTATGGTAATACCAACGCTTGGACAATGACAGATAATACAGCGTACACTCTTGAGACGGCTGGCTGGGAAGGGTTTGCCCAGATTCTGCCAGTTTATCTTGAGCATCTTATCGTACCTACTCTAACAGACGCAGCATGTTTGACAGAGGTCCATCATATCAACGGTGAAGGCAACGATGCCGGTGTCGTTTACTCAGAAATGCAAGGCGTACAGTATACAAGCACGGAAATCATGGATATTAAAGCACGGCGTCTTCTTTATCCCGAGAACGTGGGTTTCCGGTATGAGACAGGAGGTATGATGGAAAATCTGCGTGTTTTGACACCAGAGAGGATACGCGATTTCCACAGAGAGATGTACCAGCCACGAAACATGTGCATCGTCATTATTGGTGAGGTTGACCATGATAACCTTCTTAATATCCTGGATCAATTTGAGGAGAGCGTCAAGGACGACCTCCCTCCTCTCAACGCCCCCTTTAAACGACCATGGACAGACTCGGCACAGCCACCACCCCTTAAAGAAACAATAGTTGAAACCGTTGAATTTCCCGAAGAGGACGAGTCAATAGGTGATATGGTTCTAGGCTTCTTTGGGCCAAGTTGCAACGACGTTGTCGAATCAACTGCCATAAATCTTCTATTGACTTACCTGTGCGGATCATCCGTTGCAGTATTGGAAAATATCATGGTTGAGAAAGAAGAACTGGCGAGCTCTATCTCCTACATGTATGATTCTCGTCCAAACAGTGTCATTTGGCTTCAACCTACCGGCGTAGCTACAGAAAAGCTAGAGTTTGTTGAGAATAGGCTTATTTCCTTGCTGAAGGCTGTCGCATCTCAGCCACTGAACATGGCTTATTTGCGAGACTGTATTCGGAGAGAACGGAGGCAGGTGAAGGCTCAAGCAGAAGAATCTGAATCATTCTATTCGGCAAATATTATAACGGATTATCTCTTTGGTGAAAGAGACGGATCAACTCTCAAACGACTCTCGAATCTTGATGAATATGAAATCCTAGAAAAATGGACAGACGAGCAGTGGCGAGCTTTTCTCAGAAAATGGCTTGCTGACGCTCATCATGTTTCCGTACTTGGAAAACCTTCTTTGGCATTGGCTACAAAACAGAAAGAGGATGAAGAAGCGAGGATCTCAAAGAGAAAACAAGAATTAGGCGAGGAAGGACTAAAAAGATTAGCCCAGAAACTAGAGGATGCTAAGAAGCAGAATGAAGTTGAAATCCCCGCTTCATTAATTGAGAAGTGGCCGGTACCTCCGATAGAGTCGATTCACTTCATTGAATCTCAGACTGCACGTTCAGGCATGGCTCGGAAACTTGGTACCTACGAAAATCCCGCGCAAAAGATCATCGACCAAACTCCATCTACGTTACCACTATTCGTGCAATTTGAAGATGTTCCGACTAACTTCGTGCATATCTCGGTTCACGTTGGTACTTCTCAGTTACCCCCTGCATATAAGCCTCTGTTATCACTCTTTAGCGATAACTTCTTCAATACCCCCATTCGTCGTAATGGTGAGCGCGTCCCATTCGAGAAGGTGGTAATGGAATTAGAGAGAGATACTGTGAGCTACTCGTTGGACTCCGGTAGTAAGTTTAACGACTCAGAAAGCTTGCTCATCCGATTCCAAGTCGAACCAGAAAAGTATGCTACTACTATTGAGTGGATCCGCACAATGATGTTTGACAGTATTTTCGACCTCACTCGTTTGAAGGCATGTATTGCCAAGCAGCTTGCCGACATCCCGGAGGCGAAACGCGACGGTAGGGTTATGGCTAGCGAAGTGGAAATGGCTATTCATAACGAGGCTTCGTCCCTACTTGTGGCAAAGCGCACCCTGGTTAAAGCTGTGTATCTTCGTCGACTTAAGAAGCTCTACGACAAGGACCCAGAGGCGGTAATATCGAAGTTTGAGGAACTTAGAAAATTCCTCTTCACTCTCGATAACCTTCGGATCTTGGTCGTAGCTGATATATCAAACTCGAAATTATCCGACCCCGTCAATGCTTGGGATAGACTTGCTGTATCGCTTGACACTCGTGTCAAGTCTATTAATCCCATTACAAAACCTCACTCCCTTCTAAATGATGAGGGTCGCAACCCTGGATCTGTTGGAGCGACAATTATCCCCATGAGGGCAATCGACAGTTCCTTCTCCATCTCGTCTGGCAAGGGCATCGTGTCATTCTCTGACCCGGCAGTTCCCGCACTTCTCGTCGCTATGCAATACTTAGAAACCGTGGAAGGTACTCTATGGAATGCTGTCCGCGGAAACGGCTTAGCTTACGGTGCATACTTTGCGAAGGAGTTAGACGGAGGATACTTGCATTTTAAGGTATACCGATCTCCCTTAGCATCAAAGGCGATATCTGCCGCGCGTGACGCCATCAAGGCCTTGGTTGACGGTAGCGTCGCGTTCGAGGAGCCCATGATTGAAGGTGCAATTAGCCAGTTGGTGATGGCTATGGCAGAGGAACAGGCTACTTTGGCCACTGCAGCAGTGCAAAAGTTTATCGTCAGTGCTATACGAGGGCTTGAACCTGACTATAACATCAAAATGCTTGCGAAAGTTAGACAGGTATCTGTTGAAGATATCAAGCAGGCTATGAAGACATGGCTATTACCCCTATTCGAGTCTGGGAAGAGTAATGTGGTGGTCTGCTGTGCATATGCGATGGTAGAAGTAAGTTATGATATCCTCTATAGTAGGCTAGAACCGTCCTAATACTAAAGTTTTATAGCAACTCGAGAAAGATTTCCAGGCCATGGGTTATAAAACCCAGGTCAAGCAGTTGTCAGATTTCCAAGGTGATTATGGCTTCGAAGACCCAGATGGCGAAGAGAACGAAGACGGGGAAGACGATGACGAGGACACGGAAGACGATGACGAGGGCTCTGAAGGATCTTATGATTCAGAGGAAGATGATTAAGCCTTACGACGTTTATTTCGCGAGTTATATTTGCTAAAGGACTAAACGCATTTTCGTTAAATCCCCGGGTTTGTCAGGGTTTACACAGGATATAACGCGGATTCGGAGTACCGGATAGGTACAAGTCAGGAACTTTACTGGGATCTATTAGTTCCATGACCTGGTCATAGCGACAAGACGTTCTCTCCTCTAGGAATATTTATGCCGTGGTATCATGGCTTAGCTCGTGGAGAGAAGACACAAAAGCGTACCTACGGTAGGTATATAGCAAAAAACACAGTCAATATTAACCATTCTTATTGCTATTCGCATAGATCAGCTCGGGCGCCTAGTAAGCTTTGTGTGAAACGTACTGACATTGCCTAACTTGTTTGTTTTGTATGTCCTGCGTTTCATGCTTTGCTAAGATTTGCCTTGGCAGGACCTTGGATTGATAAACCGTTCTCACCAAAACGACTACCATGAACCGGGCAATCCCACGATTTCTCAACACTGTTCCAGCACACTACACCTCCCATATGCGGACAGAGCGCGCTCATCTTGGTCACGTTGCCAATCTCGTCCTTGTACACGGCTATTGGCTTGGCTGCAGTGGGGTTCAAAACTCCACCGCAGCCGGGCTTTAAGTCTTCGATATCTTGTATATCTGACTGTACAAGTCGCTTGTATTGCATGTTGACCTGAAGATCATTCTGGATCATGCTTGGGGCCGACTTCATAACGCTGGCGACCCGCTTTGGCGAATACAGACTACTCCAGGGATTTGGCTTGTCCTCGATTTCGTCTGCAATTAACTTGCCGGCTATTACGCCGTGCGTCAACCCGTTCCCGGAGTCACCTGTCGCTATGTAGATGCGTTTGCTGCCTTGATTCTTCCCGATATATGCCATATAGTCCACCGGCTCAAAAATCTGTCCGCTCCACTTGTATTCCACGGACTCGGCTTGTGGGAAGCGCTCCCGCGCCCATTTCTCTAGTGCTTCAAAGTGTCCCCCGGAGTCTTCTTGACCGACCTTGTGGTCCTCGCCTCCAATAATCATATAATCATCCTCCTCGTCGCAGTGGGTGAGTCGGATGTACCTATACGGATCATCCGTGTCGTAGAGTAAGATGTCCTCGATGCTGCCTTTAGGCACCCGCATCGCAATACAGTATGTCCGGTTCCACTCCATCTGCACGATGACGCTGAGCTTCTGAAGCGGCACATTCGTCGCCTCGACGGCGTGCTCGCAGCTTATCGTGTTACCGGCTTCCGTTTCCACCTTGACGTACTTGTGGCCTAGGCCCAAAACCTCAACGCCTTTCTCATTCACGCCCCGGACTCGCGTCGAAGTGTAGCACCGGAACTTGGGCTGCTCTTTAAGCCACTTGAGCACTCCGTTCAAGTACTTCGTCGGGTGGAACGTAGCCTGCTTGGAGAAAATCAAGCCTCCCCGTTGATCGGGCTTGCCGCCCCAGCCCCTGACAGCCAGGTTCTCGTCGAACGTAACGTCGATGCCGAGCCTCTTCGCCAATTCCGCGTCCTCTTTAATCTTCTGCAGGTCCTTCTCGTGCTCCGGGGTACCTCGCTGATACTTCGACACGCGGTACCCGGGCAGGTAGCGGTACTCGCACTCGACGCCCAGCTCCCGCGCGATCTCCCCGACGCGGTTCAGCGCCCAGGTGTGGCTCTCGGCCGCGGCCGCGGCCCCTTTCTCGCCGTGCGCCCTCGCGATCGCCGGGTACGTGTCGTCCAGCGCGTTCGACAGGTGCCCGCTCGTCCGCCCCGTCTCGCCCGCGAGCACGTCCCGCGCCTCCACAAGCACGACCTGCCGCCCGCGCGTCACGAGCTCGTGCGCGAGCGAGATCCCCGCCATCCCGGCCCCGACGATGCACACGTCCGTCTCGATGTCCGACGACAGAGCGCTGAAGCGCTGTCTTTGCGTGAACGGGTCCTCGTGGATCCAGACCGGGTTCGTGAACCCCGACGTCCGCACGAATTGCTCCGCGTCGCTGGCCGCTAGGTTAGACGCCATGGTTCGTCTCGGAGAAGTGGGAAACGGCTGCTGCGAAGAATTCTTCTTAGCCGGGTTCCGTCCTGAAGCAGAAACAGAAGCAGATGTAGTTATTCCCAAAAGATCGCAGGCCGCTGTTGTGGCCGATAGCTAAGCGCGAAAAGGAGGATGAGGAGGAAGGGGAGAAGGAGATAATATTGCTGCTGAGAGGGCGCGAGTGCTGGGAAAATGCGGTCACCACTCGTTGCATAGACGTCATCCTCACGCAAGACGACACGTCGGCATCGTCGGACGGGCCCTCTGGTGTTGGGAAACACTAGCATATTCTCGTTCGCTCGCTGCAACAGAAGCTATTCTTATCCTTCGCGGTACCATCGTGAGATGAACCCTTTGCTGTTACGTCACTGTGACGGGTCGATGGTGAGCGATGATTCAGCATTATTATCGACGCGTTGATTTGACGAAACAAGCCCCCGGCTACCTAGGGAGGTTATTGTTCCAATCAATTGGATTCCTGGTAATCCAAGCCGCTTAAAAATATTCTGGGTTCTAGTGTTGATATCGCTTGCGGTTTACATCGTCATGGCTTGCATCGGTGGAAGATGGTGACTGGATCACGGATAACCTCGGGTTTCGGGTTCTGGGCAACGATAGCTTTGACCAATACGAATATAGCAGTTATTAATTTTAAAACCACAAATATTATATATATTTTAGGATATATTATTGGTTTAAACGCTGCTATAGCGAGACCTTGGGAAATGTCTTTTTGAGGGGTTCTATACACGTCGAAACGTTTTGTATAACTAGGAGGTTTTAAAAGAGGTAACTTACATCAACCTTCAACTCCAATAACCTCTCTACCATTGATTATATAAGATAGGTTTTCGTACACGAAACTGAACTTAATCGTCCTTCTATCAGATAAAATTAAAATGCTAATTCTACGACCTTTATTGAAGAAGATATCACGGAGTGACAATGCTATATCTTGATATATAAAGGGAAGCCAGCTCCCTCACAAGAGGATACTCGGAAGACCAGGGGTTACTAGTTCAACCCAATACACTACATATACGACCCTGACACTCACTCCGTATATGACAATCATCACCTGGGCATAAACCATACCTGGCAAATGCTGGGCAAGCTTGGTTATACAGAAGTTCAACGCAACACACAAGAAAAAAAAGATATTCGGCTACAGTCGTAGCACTATCTAGCAAGAGATAACACTCATTTGATTCCACACGCGCTTTCTTGCAATATTAATTGTGTGTTTCTCTTAGCTTGCTTAACGCCGTCTAAGAAGGTGAATAATATTATGTTAGGAAAACCTAAGACAGGGTATGAGGGATGCATAGACCTAAGAGACATTCCCGATAGGAGTAAAACCTCGTCCACGCTTTTTCAAACCTCCATTGAAGGAACCTCAAGACGCCGATACCATTATGCTATGAAGTTTTTACTCGATCTTTTAACCGCCCGTAATATATACAAAGAAGATAGGTACCTAACCTAACCTAAGGGACCAGGTAGGTAAACTTATTTTACCTAGATGAGGAGCCCCTTTTCACATTCGAACACAGCGTCGTTGTTTTCTTCCAACGCATTCACAATTAAGCGCCAGACGCTCTTATCCCACATGAGTCCCGCATGTCCAACCTTGTCGTCGGGGCAAGTATCCTGGACGATGACGTTCTTTGCCCCTTCCTCGTCGACCCTGCTGACGTCCGGCGACACCAGCGTATCCGAGTTGGACATGATAATTGTGACTTTGTTCCCCGGCTGTACGATCTGCTTAGCGCTCTTGAAGTCGTTGTATATTCTGCCGTCCGTTGCCATGTCCTCGCAGGCCGGGCACCCCAGCGCGTCCACGACCTTTCCAGCGATGGTGCGGGTGAAGTTTCCGCCAATGTACCACAGGTCGGTGAAGCCGAAGTACTTCGCGCCGTGGATAGCCGGCCCCAATGCGACTACGTGCTCCACGATATCCGAGATGCCAGCCTGCGTCATTGGCACGTAGATGGCTTGAACGCCGCCCTCGGAATGCCCGACGATATCGACCTTGTCGGCGCCGGTCTTCTCCTTCACCTCCTTGACAAAGGCAGCGATATCCTTCGCCGACTCGGCCATCGGCCTGAGACCACCGATCCACGGGACCAAGCCCCAGGCGCCGTAGGTCTGCGAGTACGTGCAGTAGCCGCGCCTGTTGAGCTCCCACTGAAGCATGTTCAAGTCGACCTGGCGGTTCGCAGAGAGGCCGTGGAGCATGACGACGGGATTCCGGTCGCTCTTGCAGGCGAAGTCGTTGTCGGGCGCCCCGTATAACTCGCTGAATCTTAAGATAGCCGGCGTCTCGGTATCAAAGTCGAGGCCGCGTTCCCAGACGTCGACTTGATCATAAACGGGGGTCGTGGTCGGAAGGGCATTTACGCGCAGAGACAAGAGAGATTGGGCTAGTAGTAAGCCAGTTAATCTTAACGAAGGCATGATGGATATTTTTTTAATGGATTATGGCGAATTATTACCCGCAGATTGGGTAGTAGTCGAGTATAACTTCAGTATTAGTTATCAAGAACATAAGTACGGTAGGTACGTTTTATAAGTACGCCGCTCGGTAAAACCGGCCGACAGATACCTCCTTTCCATCCTCATATCCTGCTTGAAATTACCAAAACAAAGTAGCAAACAGGCAGGCTAGGAAATTTCAACGTTCTCTCTCGCCTTAACCAAATGCGTAAGGAGTTTCTGCCATGCCGCAATCCTTTGCTAGGGGCCACCACTTTACTTATAGCAGCTGCGCCACCTTACCGAGGATTTGATATTGTACGATGCGCGGCCAGGCTCGGTATGTTCCGCCGCCACCATGGCCTGAAACGGATAGAGTCACGATCGTGTGTGTTTCAGAGCCCGACGTATGCGATTGGTTGTCTTCCGAGAGAGATTCCAGATCGATGGACGACGCTATTGCAACGTTAGCCGCAACCTTCCCCCTAGCAACTAGGTTCGTGTATATCTGTTCCTCTTATTGACGTATCGTTGGTAGCATCAATAGCTTCTAGAATCGAATGGCTCTATTATAGAACCTGGTTCCTGGGCTTTATTTACATTTTCATGCATCCCTTGCCTCGCCGGACAGTCAATTACCTAACGTAATGAATTTTAATATATTATCAGTCCCAATCTGTGCTGGGGAGCGAATAGCTTTCGACATAACCAACACGTTTATACTTTATCTGAGAAAATTATAAAAAAAGAGAGAAGAACTTGTGCTAATATGATAGAAGAAGCATGATGGAAATTAGAAACCATTGGTTGCGCATAATTCTACATAGGCGTCTTGTCCACCTACAGGGCAAGGGGCGTGCTGCGCCGTAAATGGTGTATACCTATTTAACAGCAAACTATTCCAAATCGTGCTTCACCGTTTCAACCTTCCGTCCGCCAAGTCAAAAGGAAGAAACTTGCACCTAGAAGAAGGAAATTGAAACACCTTACCCATCGCAAAGTCGATTCGATCCTGTCTAACTTCTAAATAAATAAGAAGCCAAGAAGCGCCATCAATATCAACCTGTATATTGCCAAGACTGTGACAAGGGATAAGGCAATACGTTTATACCAATGCGAATCGAGGCCATGACACTCACCAACCATCATTAAATATATCCGAGTAAAAGACAAAGCACACGATGACTTAAGTATCTACCTCAGTAAATATTACTTTTAGCGGGAAAGGAGAGAGGGAAGGCTCAAATCTATATCCAATAGGGAATAAGAAGAATAATAAACATTTATGATGCTGTATTGATAGGAGGTACCTAAGGTATGCACATATATGTAGAACATAAGATTCTTTAAAAGTCAAAGAGTGGCGACTGTTTACAGTTCAAGTACAATGCTCGTCGCTTCGAGAAGAGTACACTTCCAGAACTAGTAGCAGCCAATCAACTTAATATATTATATCGCTATTTGCTATTCATCTTTTGTAACTTTAGGGAGGTATCTAGGATATGCGAGATGGCATATAGATGATACCTACATCCTACCTGGTAGGTAGATAGCCCATCAAGTGAAATGCTACCTTTGTTATGTGCTCTACGACATGATTACGACTTCTTTTCCTCAGGGACCGGCTATAAGTAAAAAAGCGCATTCTTGATAACGACTATAATGGTGTATGAATACTTAATATATGGCCGGTAATAGCAAGCGAATAATAAAACATACCTACCTGTAGCTAATTACCTATAATATGAACCCTCGGTACTTCATTCCCCAAGAACCGTATCATGCGATTCCCCTCATATGCACCTACACGCCGCCGTACGTATATTTTCGCCCAACGAGCAAATCCCGGAACCCGACATCAGAGCCCGAAGCGATGGAATACTACAGCTCCTCATGCTCGTCGCCAGGAGGAGGAGAAAAAACACCACACTGAAGGAATTTCTTTCTGTTTTCTTTTTTCCTTTTTTTTCCTTTTTTTTTTTTTAATACCTAGGACCTAGTACCTACCTTCCATGTTCGAATATTCCCCTTCGGAAACTAAATGCTCCTCGGCCGCCGTATCCATGGGCAACAACACCAGCCTAACGCGGATCGCCGCGTGCCACGCGTCCCCCGTCTTCCTCGACGCGAAGGAGACGACTAAGAAGGCGGTGTCGCTGATCCAGGAAGCCGCGAGCCACGACGCCAACATCGTGGTGTTCCCGGAGTCGTACATCCCGGGGTTCCCCATCTGGAGCGCGCTGCGCGCGCCGACCGAGAACCATAGATTCTTCCGGAAGATGGCGACGGAGTCGGTGTTCGTGGACGGCGAGGAGGTGGCCGCCGTCCAGGCCGCGGCCAAGCAGCACGGCGTGGTCGTCAGCCTCGGGTTCTCGGAGAAGGTGCGGTACAGCAGCGCCACGCTGTTCAACGCCAACGTGCTGGTCGGCGCCGACGGCCGCATCCTCGTCCACCACCGCAAGCTCGTGCCCACCTTCTACGAGAAGCTGACGTGGGCGCCGGGCGACGGGCACGGCCTGGCGGTCGCCGAGACGCCCTTCGGGAAGGTCGGCGCGCTCATCTGCGGCGAGAACACTAACCCCCTCGCGCTGTACACCATGACCGCCCAGGGCGAGCAGATCCACGTCAGCACGTGGCCCGCCGTCTGGCCCACGCGGCCGCCGTACGGCGATCCGCCGGACCTTGATATCCTGAATATCGCCAGCAGCAGCAAGCGGGACACGAGGGCGTCGCGCGGCGCGGGCTACGACAACGTCGGGGCGAACCGGACGCGGGCCGCGGCGCACTGCTTCGAAGCGAAATGCTTCGGGGTGCTCTGCGCGGGGGCCCTGAGCGAAGACGCCGCGGCGCTGGCCTCGTTCGGCTCCAGCGACCCGGACGCGGTGGCGCAGTGGCTATTAAGCTTGCCTAGGGGCGCAACCATGTTTCTCGACACGACGGGGACGTTGCTTCCCGGGTTTACCTTTGCCAGCAGCGATTCGGAGAAATGCGTGACGGAATTCCTCCAAAAGGATGAGGGGATCCTGTATGCCGACGTTGATTTGGACGATTGTATAGAAGGGAAGCAGTATCACGATCTGGCGGGTGGTTATCAAAGGCTAGATGTGTTTGAACTGAAAGTCGATAGGACGCGGAGAGAGCCGGTTACGTTTAAATAAGGGGTAATCAGGGGCTTCGTGAAACCAGTCAGCTAAGTTGTAAAATGCGTACTTCATCTAATATTATAGGTTAGATATTCAACCTACCTCAGATCCTCGAAATAATATATGGTGTGTTTATACAAAGTCACAAAAAAGGGGGATACCTGCGATATACTTTTTGAATGTTGATTCACGCTGACTATGAAGTCATGAGGCAGCCTTGGCAGCCTCCTTCTCAGCGGCCTTTGCCGCCTTCTTCGCAGCTATCTGTTTCTCCTTTTCTATTTTCTTCAGCTGGTTCTTCGTAAGTTTACCCTCTCCAGCTTGGCCTTCGGCCTGCGCCGATGCTGCCTCTACAACTGGAACAGTCCGCTGCACTCTAGGATTACCTCCCCACTTCAACGGCCTCACGGACATGAATAGTTTGACCGTTTCCTCTGTAGCCTTGGCTCTCCGTTCCTGGAACGCGGCGACATATTCCTGGAGATACTTAATACATATTGCTTTGAGCTAGGATGAATGTCAGTAACCTAATACTTCTGTAGGAGCGGGTACACATACTTCTCCGGTTAAGAGCTTTCCTTCCCTATAATCTTGTCCAATTTTCGCTAATTCCTATACACGCATTAGCATTAGAAGAAAATGAGAGTGACACCAACAACTTACTTCGTCATCTTCCATGAAAAACTGGAGGTACTGGTAGGCAACGTCTATATCGGGATTTCCGCCCTTCGCCCTCTGCTCTTCCGCACTAACCTGACCACCTGAGAAAGCATATTTGTTGACTTTATCCTTGATCTGTTTGGGGGTATCTTTCATAAAGATAGCAGAAGAATCAATGCTAGCAGACATCTTCGATCCCGGGCCTTGTAGCGCGTCAAGGAAGCGGGAATGGATTAAAGAAGGTTTGGCGTACTTTAGCCTGGCAGCACAATCTCTAGTTAAACGGAAATAGGGGTCTTGATCAATGGCGCAAGGAATTAGACAGGGGATGCTCGCAACCTTCTTCTCATCGTCACCAAATATGTGCGGGAAGGTAGTCGCGAAGGCGGTAGCACCTTGTATACTGGTGAAGTGAATCTTTCCAATATTTGAGCTGCGCTGGTATTAGTTGAAATTGTCACATACGCATAAAAAAAGGACACGTATAAGCTTACCTTTCGTCGAAACCGAAAGTGGCCTTTGCTTGGTTGTAAGTGACCAGTTTGGCAAAGCGTGTGACGTTTCTGTAGAAAGCGCCTCCCATGAATTCGTAGTCGGAGAATATGAAGGTCTTATCAGGGTCAAAGCCTATGGCGATGATATCCTGACAGTTAGATCGCGAGTAGCCAATGACTTCCTCGACTGTTCTCTTTTCGGAGAAAAGGAACTTCTCGTCTATTCAAGCGTTTTTATCAGTAATTGGAGAGGCCATCAAGATGATATAATAATACGAACCATCCGTAAGCATGATGACTAGGGGAACATCAAACACATCTTGCAACCACCTAGAACAACCGCGTTAGCCTCATCTTCTCATCTTACTTTAGGTACACAGTATATAACTGTAAAGTCAGATAGATTTATACTAACTTGCAAAAGTCGAATATCTGCGTATGTCCGATGTGCATACTATCACTACTGGGACCACGGCCAGTGTATAAGAAGAAAGGTTCACCCTATGTAAAAGTATCACTTAGATATAGCCCATATTCAATTGTCCGTTTTTTGTTTTTCTCAAGTTATACCTTCTCGTACCGATCCAATATCAAACCGAGGTCGCGCTCGCTAAAGACGATCTGGCGCCGCAAGAAGCGATGGGGCTTGTGACCGGTGACCCTTTCGAATCTCTCCAGTATCTCCTTGTCGATCAGCTTGGTGCCGAACTCTTCCACCAGCTTCTTGTAGTCAATCGCCTTAACCTTCCCATCCTCGCCGACCTCACCGGCGACGTTCCACGGGTCTACCGTCTGCTTCGAGGGTTGGAGAGCAGCTGGCGCGGCGGGATCCGCAGCGGGCGGGACCTCTTTGGCCGGGGCCTCGAGCTCTGAAGCCATGTTTAGTCGATCACCAACGTCAATGAGAACGTCAATGGGAACCCCAAGCCGGCTTGGAACCCTTTTATTGAAATTATATGACGGGAGTATTGACAACCTTAGCTTCTCTGGTCAGAGAACAAGCTGGAGGATTGCAGCGTCGCAATTAAGGAGTGAGTCAAAATGGAGGGGGAGTCTCCGTAGCTTTTTTGGAGGGGCAAGTACCTAAGTACCTACAGCCGATGTATTGAATGCAGGGTTTTGAGCAGTTTCCAGAACTCAATTGCCAAGAGAAAATTAGAATGGAATCAGGTTACATGTAAGCAGTGTGGACCCCAGCCACAAGACGGAACGGAACATCCAGTCACCCACCTTCAAGCTTCAGCCTTCAGCCTCAGCAACTCGATTCCATGTTGCTTCAGTTCAGTTCAATGTTGCCGATTGTTTAAGCACCCAAAAAGTAGAGTACCTAATACAATACCTTCAAAGCGTCGCGAACTACAAATCCCCCAACGAATCCGTTTCGCGCCGTCATTTTAATCCTACATCGCGCGGAAGACCTCGTATAATTATTCTCGATTTAATTCAGACACGATGACGTCGACAATCGGTATTCCCATCAAGCTCCTCAACGAGGCGCAAGGTCACATCGTCACCCTGGAGATCACCTCAGGCCAGACGTATCGCGGCAAGCTCCTCGAAGGTAACAGATTTTTTTTCGCGTCATACATATACATACATACAAATCCATAAATATCTCCCCTACGAAGACTTCCATAAGCTAATCTTCTCTTTATTACGCGTTTAGCCGAGGACAACATGAACGTGCAGCTCAAGGATATCACCGTCACGGCACGCGACGGCCGGGTAAGCCACTTGGATCAGGTGTACATTCGTGGCAGCCACGTGCGATTCTTTATCGTGCCCGACATGTTGAAGTACGTATAATGCCAATGCTGCGTCTTCGGAAGTTGCGTATGGTGGGCATACTAACACATATATCTGCTTTAGGAATGCTCCCATGTTCCGAAGTCGCAACGCGAGAGGTCGTGGTGTCGGTCTAGCCAGAGGACGAGCGACGGTCAGCAGAGCGAGAGCGAGTGGACGCGGAGGCCGATGAGCGGGTGCAGAGTAGCAAGCAAGCTGGTTGTCTGTTTCGATATTGACCGGCGCCATTTTCTTTAACGGAAAAAATAGAAGGGGGAAGAAAAATAAAAGTCTAAGACGCCAACCAAATGTGCCAGCCAATCGGTTATCAAGAGAAGAGCTTCCTGGATACTGATGGATGGCGGGCGTTATTTATTTTTATACTGCTGGCAAAAAAGGGGGGGAAATAACTGAGGGACTCCAGGGCTATAGGCTACCTATGTTTTAGGGGCTTGTTCTCTTCCAATTCTCAAGTAGGCAAACCTGACGCTTGCTCGTTTTTTTTCTCCCTTCAACACCCTGCTGAACAAACACTACATAGCCGGTGTCGCCGTCTTGAGACATACCATTATGATAGTTTGAGGTGGTGGATATGGTATGGTCGGGAGACCGGGATAATTACCGCCAATATTTGGCGTAAATAAAATTTTCAGATATAATGAGCTGATAGGTGGCACTACATGATTGTTAAAGTACGGATTTTTTCAGGATACAGTCCAGATATTCAAAAAAGTACAACTTCGAGCCCCTAAAGCTTGAATGAATGGCTAGAAACCGGCTGGCAGATACTGTACAGGACATGCTAGCTATATCCTCAAATGCAAACTGCCGGGCCAATTAAATTTTAAAATCGTCATGTCCTGTAGCAAGTTCGCACTTGAGAACATAGGATGTACAAAAGCTGGGTTCTTCTTCATAAAGTGTCTCGGGTACTTGTACAGCTCGTCTATATTTCTCACCCTTCACCACTCGAAACATGACGACCAGTAAGGAAAAACCATCCTTAGCAATACCTCGGTGGTACAGCAGGAACCAGTTGTTGCTTCCGGTCAGGCACTACGACTTCTACAAGCGAGACACTAGGAAACAAGCGTATAATAGCGCTAAAGCAGCCAGCCTTACGCAAATAGACACGTTCACTTTTTGGTATCCAGCTCTATGGCAAATCTTGGCCATATAATTTCATTTGACTTGATTTCATTTCCATTCATTCATAACTGCTATCTACCTTAGGTACCTATATAGCTAAGGTGGTATGTATGTAGGAGGCAGGAGGTAGCTATTCATTTCCCAGTGCCTTCACACGAACCGATATCTGATCGTTCCCAGATCTAGTAGTCCATAGTAGGGTGGCGTCTGGTGTTGTTCCTGTACGATGATTTAAACATTAGCATTGGCTCTCCCCCCTTCAATCATGATTGGTTACGATGACGATGATGAATTGACTTGTATGTATGGGCGTCTACTTACGGGTCATATTGGTCCTGGTCGCCGTAATGGCTGTCGTACAGCTCCTCGGCCTGCTTCCTAGCGTGGTGCTTGGCCTTCTCGCGGTCTAGGAAGTCCAGCCCCTTGGTCTCGACGAGCTTGTCGACCTCTGCGCCCGCAATGCCGGCGAGGAGCTCCTTGGCGAAGGCGTGATCAACAGTCTTGCCTATTAGCGGGACATATGTCAGCTTACTATGTCACCGATGTCTCTGTCCTGTCTTTATTACAAGTGCTGTACTAGCTTTGAATGGCTTTGAGGAGGTCTGGCTGAGTAATGATGTAGTTGCATACCTTCTCTGCGTTGACGGTCCTCGAAGAGCTTCATGGCCTCGAAGGAAGCGGCGCCGCCGATGAACTCGTGGGACAGCTTCGACTCGTGAGGCTGGCCGTCGTAGACCTCGTCACGGGCGTTCTTAGCGTCGTCTGATTGTGCCATTAGCTCTCTAGCACTTTAAGGATAAAAGCCTTAGCGCTAAACATACCAAATCCGAACATGATTGCTAGTTGGTAAGGATGAGATATTTATTTTCAAGAAATTGGTATGGTGTTCTTTCGTCTTGCTTATTTGTCTATTTCGTAGTTGTAATTGTAGAATTATCTAACTAAGAAAGCAAATCTCGAGGAAGTACGGACGACACAAAGCTTACCTAGGTATATATAGACCACTTGCCCGATGGAGTTGGCTCCCTCAGAGACTAACCTCGTTCCTAGTTCAGCTGGCCATGACATCTTCAAGTGGACCTTGGGGCGGGTGCTGAAACTTGGTCGGTTCGACCGGCACACGCATTAGGGACTAGGGAACACGTAATGGGCAGAATTGGCCGAATCAATAGGAACAACACTTCGCGCTTGTGTTTGTAAAGAATACCACACGTACGGGGGTATGCCGGCATGATGGAAAGGCGGAGCAGGCTGCCTCTTGCCACCCCTGAGATATGATTTGCACATAGTATTCTCTCGCGAGCGTATAATATGTATGTCAGGTTTTATATATGCGAACTTCCAAGGATAGTAACTTCTCGTAAGGCTCTTTAGCCTACCTCGTAGTACCTATAAAAGCTCTCAAATGCTGTATGACAAGGAATAGGCCTGGATTTCAAGGCGGACGCATATTGCTGAGTAAAGCGTTTGTATATTTTAGGTAGGTACCTAAAGTAGCTGTACCAAAAGCTGTACGTTTCCAAGAGCGGCGGGTATTTTTCAATAACCCCTCTTCGACTATCGAACTAGGTATTGTAGAGTTACCAGAAAAGACCTCGGACGTTACCTACCTGATATGACATGCTCACTTCCCCTGAACACATTGGACGCAAGGATGAAGCCTGAAACAAGTCAAACATCGTATCCAATGTAACAATTGCTATCCAACAAGGTCGTGATCCTAAGCAACCCTCAGGGTTGGCCGTGTATACCAAGTTAGTATCTAACTTGCGAAGGTTGGAATCATTGGATATCCTCACTCTATGTCCTTGAGAGAGAATTCGTAATTCAGCCATGATTGACATCATGTTGGTTTCGTCGTGAAGCTATTACCTGCTGAGCTTACGTACAGCGATCATGCTGTACCATAGTGATACATAGTAGATTGGTTTGAGAGGGCTAGTGCTGGATCGAAAGATGGTCTACCTGTTTGTAGCTAGGTTAGGACGTACGATGTAACTTGGAAGCACATGTGTGGTTGAAAGTGACAGGGTGCAGAGCTAGGATGCCAAGCCGATACCCGGCTTGGCAAATGCTTGTTCATAGCTGCTGGGTCGAGCAACCAGGGGTTTGGAACTTGGGGAAATCTAGCTCACTCATTGGGTCGTTCTAATATTTCTACATAGTAACATCATCAAGCTGTAAAAGCTGGTAGCCATTACCAGTGAGCAAGTTTGGGATACATAACCTAAGTAGGTAGGTAGGTACATAATCCGTTAGGCCTTTCCCATTGTAAGAAAAGAAGAATATCTTACGAAACACCAATTCAACTCGAAACCGGTATCTTTTGACTCCTTTTGTCTAAATAGATCGCTCATCACTTTATGCTTTACCCTCCCCAAATTTAGCCTTGTATTCGCTATGCGCCTTCTTTTGCCTATCCCAATCCTTCTTCAACTTTTTCAGTTGACTTTTAGTGACTTCGCTGCCGTCTTTCATCTTCGTAGGTAACCCTTCAGCGTCCCATTCGCTATACCGGTCATCACTCCTAAACATATCCTCTGGTGCCACCTTTGCCTTTTCCCACTTCTCTGCCTCAGCTTTTTCTCTAGCTAGTCTTGCTTCTTCCTTCGCGCGCGCTTTCTCTGCTTCCTTAGCAGCTTTCTCTTCTCTTGCTGCAATCAATTCAACTGCGGGAACGAATTTGATTAGCGATGGCTGGTCTGGCCGATCATCTAGATAAACTCCTATGTTGGTCAGATCAAAATCTCGCACCCGATCGCACAGGCTCAGGATTGACTTCTTCACTTCGGGCGATGCTGTTGGTGCCAAACGTCGGAGCTCATCACGTATCCTTGCCACAGCTCGTAAATACGGCAATGCTAATTGCTCCGGGTCTCTGATCCCAGCGCTGGCTAATGATTCGAATTCGGGATCGGGCAATTGAGAGAAAAGTTTAGTGATGGTTTCAGAATCAGGAAGGCTAAGAGCCTGCACATCAGAGTAGAAGATATCATATACATCTTTATATGGTTTCACGGTGATAGTCGGATCTTGGTTGGCTGCGGCGGCCGCAGAAACCCAGCCGAGACCTTCATAGGGAGGGGTCGCGTTTGCATCGAGACCAAGAATACCAACTATCTTGGTAACCCATCTTGCAATTGCCTCAACTGCCGGAAGGTCCACATTGGACTTTTCAGCGTTGATATGAACGTTGGCTTTTCTGATAACTTCGGCTATCGCTCGTAGGACTTGTGGAGTGTCGAAAGAGTTGGTAAAGGCTTCTTCAACATCTTTCTTGGCTTGTTCTAAATCGGCTCGCAAGCCTTCTTGGGGTTTATCATCGCCAATTGAGAGCGCCTTCACACCACCATCCACAATAGTCGATGTGTCTGCTGCCTCGGCTAGAAGTGATTTTGTGTTCGTGAAGAAGTTCTAGCGATATTAGCAGAAAATTAAAATAAAAAGAAGTAAAGTAGTAAACAACTTACGTTAACCAGGCTTTCCCAGCTATCAGCCTGAGTTCTCATGTCCGGAGATATTTCCACGCCGTCATTCCATCGGCCGAGTAAGAATACTATGCGCATTGACCGCGCCGTATATGTAGATGCTAGTGCATCTTTGATTGTTTGGAAATTCTTGAGGGATTTGGACATTTTCGAACCGGATATGGACAAGTGGCCCATATGCAAGAAGTAATTAACCCAGGTATGCTCATGGCCGTGCTCGCAGAAGAATGCCTCGCTTTGGGCCAATTCATTGTCGTGATGCGGGAACGCCAGATCGATCCCACCGCTATGAAGGTCCATACGCGACCCTAGAACGTCAGATGCCATTACTGAGCATTCAATATGCCATCCTGGTCGTCCATTGCCCCATTTGCTTGGCCAATACGGCTCGCCCGGTTTGGACTTCTTCCACAACGCAAAATCTCCTGTACCTCTTTTCCCACCAAGGCTCTTGGATAAGGAACCCTCTCCTTCCTCTTGTAGCGCCTTGTCATTACGGCTGTCCGGTCGCAGTCGTGCATACGTATTGCCCGCCTTCTCGAACGCTGCAATATCGAAGTAGACAGAACCCTCAGCTTCATAGGCGAAGCCCTTTTCGACAATCTTCTCGACGAATTTTGCGATTTGGGGTACGTATTCGGTAACTCGTGTCACTACGTCGGGTCGGAGAACGTTGAGAGCATCCATATCATCGGTGAATTCCCCCTCCATAAATCTTGTTAGATCGGTGAAGATTGATTGATCACTCGTATCAATAGTCTCCTTGTACAGAGAATCCAGATACGGCAGTAAGATCTCGTCGGCACCCCCGAATACCTGGTTACCACTGATAGCGATGACCGCGGTGGTCATATTACTTATGTGCATCTTCAGCTTTGCCTCAGCGTCTCCTGGCTTGCTTTCCCCTGTCAGAGTACCCCCCGCTAACACATTTCCGTAGGCAGCGTCTCTTCGCGGAATGTAATTATTGAGGTCAAGCTCGCCCTCGCCTTCGAGAAGTTTTGGAAGGTTTTTTTTTGCATACTCTCGGAATGCAGCTTTTGCTAATTCTATAGTTTCGGCGTCTGTGTAGTTCTTTTGTTTTTCGAGGTCAAGCAATCGCTGTCTTCGGGCTTTTATTATAATCTTGTATAGAGTTTAGCCATGACAGTCTGTACTTAGAAACTACCTAACCAAAGGTAGTAAGGTAGTTGACCTTACCTTATCGTCTACGTCCGTGAAGTTCATAACAAACTTGACGTCGAATCCAAAGTAGTGGAGTAGAATACGCCGTATAATATCGGTCGAGACATAATTACGTGCGTGACCTAGATGGCTCTGGTCGTAAACAGTCGGACCGCAGGCATACCAAGAGATTTTTCCTTTCTCAATTGGAACGAAAGGGACTGGCGCTCCCGGCTTTAGGGAGTTATGAATGCGTATATTGGAGGCCATGGTGGGGTGTGTCGCGAAACCTCTTTGTGGTAAGTATCTAGTCGCACGAATATCAAATAGATGTCGCCTAGATACCCTAAAGAAGAGGATGTTCATCAAGAGTAATAGTCATGAGAATAGAAGTGAGAAACGGGGAGGAGGGAGGGAAGGGGCTTCTTGTATATGACTTGGAGTTGGTTACTATTTTTGAGTCACAGTGGACAATGTCGCAATTTGGGCTGGGCACAGCAGAAAAATCAGAAAAATAGGTACATGCCGCAATGCTTCAGCTAAAGCCTCGTTCGTGCCTTCACTCTATAAAAACACTGCTTAACACCTTCCTTTCGGAAATCGGCTAAATTGCATTAGGTACATGTTACCTAACACAAATTCTTATCTAAAAACGTAAAATGATTCTCAGGTCAACATGAAAAATTACCAATTCATCTTCATCACATTATGGAAACACAAGTACACGTAGTTTCACAGGTTGTATCGGGATCCTAGGTTCCGCTACTCCTCTATCACAGAAGGACCCCTCCTGCCCTCCTAGGTATTACGCAGGTCTAAAATAAGATAACGTTAACATTTGTTATCGATTAGATCAATTAGTAGAGGTACCTACCTAACCCCTCCATCCCCCGTACCTTGAACCTTGTACTACTCAGCCTTACCTAGGGTTGTTTATTTTCTTTTTATTTTTTTTTTCTTAGCCTCTCCTAAGCTTCAAACTCAAGACATATTCGATTCGTTCTTCAAGATGAAAATATAGAACCGAAACTATTTCATACTAATAACCCAAAAGGAAATACATTAATATGTCGGCCGTCTCTCCATTCCTCGACCCTGGTCCTCGGACTACACCAAATTCATTGGCTGTAGCTCATCTTTCAAGAGATAGCATTCAGCCCATTTACTTAAAAGAGGTTTCCGGCGCAACTGACGGATACGTCGAAGGCCCGGTTTTAAATACGCGCTTTGGATCGTTTCCACATTCAACTTTACTCAATAAGCCTTGGGGTTCGCAAATACGTGCCTCGGTTGTAGACACCGGTTCTAGAGGTAGAAGGCTGAAACTCGAACGCGGAGAACATGGCGCAGAAGGCGACAAGTTAGACAACATTAAAGAGGACTCTACCCTAGCTACTACAAGCCCTGAAGATCTCAAGACAGCACCAAGTGGTTTCATTCACATACTACCTCCTACTCCTGAGTTATGGACCATCAGTTTACCGCATCGAACTCAAGTAGTATACACACCTGACTACAGCTACATTCTTCACCGGATCCGCGCGCGACCCGGTATGAAAATAATAGAAGCCGGAGCAGGGAGTGGCAGTTTTACCCACGCTTCCGCCAGGGCTGTTTATAACGGCTACCCCAAGGATGCACACGACACCAAGGGCAAAGTTTTCAGTTTTGAGTTTAACCACGACCGATTTCTAAAAATGCAAAAAGAAATCGAGGATCATCGCTTAGATGGGATCGTTCAGATTACCCACAGAGATGTCTATAACGACGGTTTTCTCGTTGACAATGAAAGTCCAGGGGCCGAATGTGTCTTTCTAGACCTTCCAGCACCGTGGAAAGCTCTTCCCCATCTAGCAAGAAGCAGACCAACACAATCCCAACTTTCAAGTTGCGGACTGGATAATCTTGAAGACACTGGATCTGAATGGAAATCACCGCTTCGTCCTGATCGAACTGCCTACCTTTGCACTTTCTCCCCTTGTATCGAACAGGTTACTAGGACCATTGATGTCATGCGCCGCCTGGGTTGGATGGAAATCGAAATGGTTGAAGTCGCGCATAGAAGGATAAATGTTATGAGAGAGAGGATTGGTTTACACCTGCCTGCGGGGGAACGAGGTTCGAGCCAGACAGCAGCAAATGTTGAAGAGGCTGTCGCCAAGTTACAGGAGGTCGAAGGTCGATACAAAACTTCTCGCGATCAATCTTGCGACATTGATGTCGAGATGGGCGAAGATGACGAGATAGCGGCTGAGAGTAGTCATAAAAACGACAGCAAGACATCTCTACTGAACAATGGGGCTGAAAGCGCTCAGACGGCTAAACCCTGGATGTCTGGAAGGATAATTCATCGCACAGAACCGGAGATCAAGACACATACTTCGTATCTCGTTTTCGCGCTGCTACCGCAGGAATGGACAGAGGCACAGGAAGCAGCGGCTTTCGAAAGTTGGCCATGCGGCAAGGAAAGCAAAGTCATCGGAAAATTAGATAAGGAGGCACGGAAACAGCAGAAGCGAGAACTACTCCAGGGAAAGAAGCGGAAGAAGGATACTGATAGCAGGTCCGAAGCTGAGCGCCCCTTTTCAAAGAAGAGCAAGACTCCATAGATGGAAACGCCTACTCAAGATAGACAAAGCATATGATACCCCGACCTTTATGGCCACCTAATTAATCGGATACGGATTCCTTCCTGTCTTAAAGTCCTCATAAACTTTACACTCTACTGACTACCTCCTATGTTACGGCGATATACTCCAAAGGGCGCGTGTACGATACCCAGGGTGTACCTATTGCAACAAAGTTTATAAACAATAGCGTGACAGTAAGTGTGATTGAAATAGAATTATAACTAACAGATTATGTTAGTTTGGCAATTGATGCTTTTAAAGTTTTTGGGAAAAGAAGGGCGATACCGTTCCACTCGGCAGCCTGATCGACGGCATGGGCTCGTTTGGCACGAAATATTTGCTAGGTTAGGAAGTAATATTTCGAGAGGCTTATCTAAGGGACTTGAAAATGTTTACTAGATCCTGGACGATACCTGCTGCATTAACACTTCACAAAGATATTATCGTAATTAGTTTAGGTAAGTTTAGCGTATTGGCTAACTACCTAGGTACCTTATACAGTGCTGGCAACCAATATTAAGCTTAGAAATACCTGTGATTCTTGGGTAATGAGGCTCTTTGAGCACATGACATACGCTGACCCGCTTCTTGGTATTTAATTCCTAGAATTACACGCCTTGCGCGTCCTTGGGCTTGCCGGCTTCAAACTTCTATAGCTTCTCAAGGAGCTAGCCAGCGTCATGAGCAACTTCTCCCGGAGAAATAGGAGAAATCTAGGTTATGAAATCGAGAGCGAATTCAAGTTCCTAAGATAATATCCCTGTTTGCCTCGAGGGCGATATAATGTCCAGACTTCCAAAAAAAGCTTTCAACATAATACAATATTTGCATTCGAACTTGAGATGATCGCGCTAATAATACATCTATATCATGAGAGCAATGCAAAAGAAGGAAAGGTAACGTAGTTACAAGATCTCGTGTATAATAGTAGACTGATATGAAAAGGAAAGAATATCTTACCAGGAACCGAACATATACTTAAAGAAATCCTATCCAACGATGACGTCCCATAGTAACAAACCAAACGATCATAACTACAAGGAGCAAGTCTTATCTCCTAACTCTCAACGACTCCACCAACCTTCCCATTCCCATTCACCTCCACGCCATCATCCATCTCCATCCCCAACTCCAACTCCTCGAAAACCTTCAAAGCCGCCTCGTTCTGCCCCTTGACATCGAACTCATTCGTAAACGCCGCCATCTCCCCGAAGAACCTCTTCATCCTCTCCGGGTCCTCGTGCATCCCGTCCTCGGCGTATGCGTACACCCGCCCGAACTTGCGCGCCAGATCCACGACCGCCTGGCTCCGCGGCCTTCGGACCCGGTCGAACGCCAGCAGTGCGTGCTCAACCTGCAGCAGCTCGTCGGTGCGCCGGACGCGCGCGAGCAGGCAGTCGAGCACGGCCGCGTCCTCGAGGGCCTGGGCGGCCCCGTTGCCGGCGAACGGCATCGAGGCGTGCGCGGCGTCGCCGAACATGGCGACGCGCCCCCGCGCGTAGTACGGCGCGTGGTCGTGGTCCGCGGCCGTCCACGACGCGCTGGTGTCCGCGGCCACCATGCGCACGATCCGCTGCGCGTCCTCGGTGTAGTCGGCGTACCAGGCCGGGTCGAGCGGCGGGGCGCGTCCGCCCCCAGCAGAAAGTACGGCGCCGCGGACGGCGACGCCGGCGCTCAGGCGCGTGTTCTTGTTCAGCGGGATGCAGTTGATGTGACCTCTGGGGCCGAGGAGGATGGGCACGCTCGTCGTCCACTTGGGGTTGATCTGCTTCCGCGCCTCGACGGTCGGCACCATGGTGCGGTAGATCTGCCAACCGTCGTGGTTTTTGGGCGGCGCGGCCGGGTGGTCTGCGCCGAGAAGGTAGCTGCGAGTTAAGCTGTGTATTCCATCCGCTCCTAAAAGGCAGTCCGCCTCAACCTTGGACCCATCCTGGAAGGTCAGATGGACTTTGGGTTCCCCGGAGACTTGCTCGTTGATCTCGACGAGTTTCTTGCCAAAACTGATCTTGTCCTTGGGAATCAGCGCCAGAAATCCGTCTAAGAGATCAGCTCGGCTGACTGTCTTGCGTCCCTTCGCCCTGCCAAGTTCTGCTACTAGCTCGCCTTTATGTGGCCCCTGACCTAGAATTACCTCGGTGACCATCTCCTGGTCCTCGTCGCCCATGGTCAGAGCCTTATCAAAGTACGCTTGCCTTATTTCAGGGCCTAGGAGCGTCATGGCCTTGATGGCATTGAGATGGAGGGCCAACCCAGCACCGACATCTTTGTAAGCTGGGACCGACTCGTAGACGTGAACATCAATATGCTGTTTCTTAACCAAGCCCGCTGCGAGAGCAAGCCCGGCGATACCTCCTCCCACAATCGCAACTTGAATCTGATCTTTTGCCATTTTTATTAGAAGTGCGATTGAAATCGTGAAATCCAGCCATGGCGCGCAAAATTTAAGGACTACTAGTGTCTAACCATTTAAACTCTGTAGGGTGACTTGAACGCGCAAGCCACAACGTCACAAGGTCTTTACACTGATCTCGGAATAAAGAGATAGCTTACTAAATATAAGCACAACAAAGGCATACTCATGTGTTTTCCCAAGGGACAAACCTCGTGTATAGGACCTTTACACCTACCTGTGGTAGAAGCTGAAAATCAAAGAAGACTACCTCACTTCATACCGGGCCAAGTCCTCATTGCCGTCACTGCTTCAACTTACTAAAGTAGATGGATTCCTAAGGCCATTGGTGAGTTATCCGTATCTGGAAAAGATTTTGGTAATTCGGGGGTGCGGATATAGGCGTCCCCTTTTCCCTTCAAACGTAGGCCACTTCGTACATGAGGATCTTCGGATGGACCCGGCTATGTATAACCAGGTACCTTGTTGCACAAGAAAACATGCCAGCATGCTTTGTTCTACTGGTACAACTTCGAGGCACGTGGAAAGTTGTCTGCGAACCTACAAAAAAAAAGGCGCTATTGGGGAAATGCGAATACAAACTCCCTCATAGTTTTAGTGTGTCATACAAATAGAACCCGTAGACTGGGAATCTCTGGGAGAGAATGAATTCTCCAGTTTGACTGCTACAGTCTTTATATAAGATACCTATGGGGTAACGCCACATGGTCGGGTCGGGCGATGAAGCGTTGTCCCAAGGAAATAGTTCATGTCCTATGTAAGTGCGCTTGGGATTGATCATTGATCCGCAGAAATCTTATCAGATCAAAGGTTCGCCTACGATTGGTGGCAGGGGCTGGGAAGTGGGCTTCTCGTCAGGCCCTACGGTCTTTATGCATGAATTACAGTCGTGGATCGTGGCGTGACTGGCAGCCAATGCATCCGGAATTGTTGGGACCCCGGGGGGAAGGGAAATTATGTTTAAGCGAGAAACGCAAATGAAAAACAGAAATATCTAACGGTTCCGATATTAAGTAGTCTTGGGCTTCTTCGACTCTCAGTAAAGGAAGAAGAAAAAAAAGTGGATGAATTTTCAGGGGTATGGTACGATAGATGGAACGTTCGAAGCTCACGAAGCTGACGAAGCTCACAAAGCTCACGTCGTCTCACCCTACTTACCCCAAAAGACGCAATTGATTGATCGTATCAAAACCAAATATGTCGTAGTGTGAGTCTAGTGAGCCTCAATGCAAACCAAAGGCCTGTCAAGCTGGCAAGCTGGTCAGGCCAGCAGGCCATATGCCGGGGATTCCTAGGTACGGAGGATTTTAATTCTCTCGGTACTTGGTGTCATTTCCGGGGAATTGGATATGAGGTAATTGATAAAAACAAGCTCGTTTCTAATTTCTTTTTTTTTTTTTTCTTTTTTTATCTGCCTGTTTGTTTTGGAAAGTTTCACTATTAGATAAGCTGGCTCTCTACATCACCCATGTAACCCTGTAACCCTGTTTTGGATTACATGTATGTCGTAAAAGTTTCCGATATCGGTAAAACACGTTGATCAGATTGATAAGAATTTTCTGTGTTCCGCGCTGGGGCCGTCTGTGCTGTTCAGTTCAAATTAGGTACCTACATTAGGTACATAGTATGGCTGATTGATTAGATTACTGCCCGCTCGATCCCCCGATCCCCCAATCCTTTAAGCCAATGTTGTGCTACCCTAAATTGCCCGTGTCAATTATCTCGCAGAAAAAAATACTGTGTTTCCAGAACCCCGAATAAACTCGTAACCGTGCAACAGCCTCATTACATTAACAGATCAAAATGTCTCATCTGTATAAATAATTGACTTGATCGTTACTTGTTTGCGATTATGTTGTTTCACCAAACGCGAAAAGAGACTTAACTAATTTCCTATAGTTACGCCAATTGGTAGAACCTCGCGATATTTACATAGTTAGCTAGGCTGCTAGGTTAAATCCAAAGCATCGATCGTGAGATGAACAAGAACGGTCCCCCAGGATTACGTGACTACGCCGTAACAGGATTAGTATTGCAGATAACAGGTAAGACAGGTAAGCAATATTCGGCACGGAAGAACGGGTTTCTTAGTCGGCAGAGTGCGCCCGCAGAGTCCCGTCGGGTCTATACCTATGTCAACTCCACCAAGCCTCTCAGTCGGTACTGCTGCACCTTTTTTTGGCTGGGATTGCAGCCGAGGAAGAAAACTGGACTCGATCATGTCGAATGATGACACCGTATTCGCATAATTCGGTAGGAGAGGCCCTATAGGCCCATTTTGTGGAGGAGACGATCCGGGGTAGCGGGCAGCAGCAGATTCAAACCACTGCCAATCAGCCGGACGGTCAAGTGATGACATATTGTGCAATTCTTAACGAGCCAACCAGAAAAAGTGCCTAATACATTACATACGTGAGAAAAATAGATTAGTGATATTGGACTAATAGACAAATAAGAAAATAATACACGCAACTGTAACTCCGCTCTGATATATAAGTGATGTGAAAGAAAGAGGATATTCTAGAAAGTATTATCAATACACTAGGTAGGTTTAGGTACTAGGTTACCATTGAATTGGGCTGCTATCTCACGCAGTAACCCGTGCCGTAAATTAGAAATCGATAGTAACGTACCTACCTAAGTATTAGAGCTAGGCAGAGGTACATAATGGGTTGGGTCGGCAAAGACCGGAGTCCACTGACAGGTACCTTACGGGGATCCGCGGGAACCAGTAAACCGTATATATATGGTTTGAAATTTTTAACCGATATAATACAATTAAATTTGTCAAAATATTTTAAATACTAGATGTTGATGTTTCTCAACGTCTACAGGTGTTTTGA